AGCCGGGCCAGTGAAATGAAGAGTGCCCCATTCGGCACGGTCGCGGATTTCCGACAGGTGAAGCTCCTGTTCTCTACGAATTTGCCAGCTTTGGAGGGCTGGCTTCTTGCTTGTCTTGTCTTCGACATCGATTGTATCCCACGCCCAGTTTATTTTAGTTCCATGATCGCCAGTGACCCAGCGGGCATCGATATCCATATACACATTGACATCGGTCTCTCCATGTACATCGATCGTGACGTAGGAGGCCGGGATCGACTGTCGCAAGGTCGAGGTTGGCGTAATGGGCGAGAGGAAGGAGACCGTAATGTCTAGGGGAGCAGAAGAGCCAGTGTCGATACGATAGGTGAAGTTTGTGGTAGAGGCATCGTAGTTGTTGCCCAGGTATTCGGGGAAGTGGACTTGGTCCGATGACAGAGAGTCCTGGGGTTTACCAACAAGGGGATAGACGGCCCCCTGACTCGGGACATGGGCCATCACGGAGAGACCAATCTCCTCCCCGGTATAGAACATAGGCCATTTGGACCATGGAGCCTCTCGGGCGTTCCCTAGCCAAGTGCTCAGGTAGGGGTTTCGCACGATTAACGGAAGGACTGGCGGTGTCAAGGAGGAAGCAGTGGTCAGGGCCGCCTGTGTGACGGCCGCAGCCAGAACTGCGAGGGAAAGCTGCATTGTGTGCAGCTCGGAAAGGAATTCGGGCGGATCGAAGAAATCTTTGGCCAGGGGTCACCAGGAGCCAAAGATGTAATAAGAATAGGTTGTACCGAAGGGCCAGAATGCGAACTAAGCCCAGGGTGAAATGCGGGGAAGAAGTCGGGCTCAGCTGAGTTCGAGTTCTTCTTCACGACCCCAGGTGTTTCCCTCCAGATCTTACTATGTTAATACAGGGGTCTGCAAAAGGTAATATTGAGGTAGCTGATTGGACCAGTAAAGGTTTAATGCAGTGTGAGTACCAAAGTACGAGGTATTCGGTTCGAGTTCGATGTTGCAGGCTTCGATGATGTCATGCGGAGGTGCATCCGCGGATGCAAGTAACCCTGGAGTACTAGTAGAGATTAGTAGATACCTACCTAGGTAGGTACTCAGGCTTTCGATTTGTGTTTCTTGCAAAAAAAAACACTGGTATTAGTAGCTAACATGTAGGTGTACAGTGAACTTCACCTGGGCAACTTGAAGTTGAAGTTCAACAATGTATATTTCTGTAGTAGGCCATCAATGTACTACTGGTACCTACGAGATACGATACCTCCGGTCTTCAGCCTATTACATAGTACTAGTACTACTCGTAGTCCTTCATGAAAGTCGAGTTCCAATCCATCTATTTTATGCTCCTACTAGTAGTATCTTGAACTTGAATATCCCAGGATCGGCAGGTCACATGATCAGTTGACTACATTGGCTACAGTTTCTATATCTACTGCACCATCCTACTACTACTACTAGTACTAAGTATACTGGTACCACTGATTAAAATTTCTCTTCTTCATTCCCCTCTCCATACATAGAATTGCTATACAATATATCAATATACTCTATTTTGCTCACCCCGGAGGTCTGAGAACGTGACACCTGACCTAGAGAATTCCTGGCGAGACGCGTGATGGGATTGTCATTCAAATGGACCGACATTCAATACACTGATTTTCAAAGAATGGAGTATGCAGTATACACTAGAGGAACTTGAAATAAAAGAACACAAAACAATCATTAGCGATATTGAAAAATTGTGTGGCAAATTATCGTATAGGCAAGACAAAGATTTTAAGCTGCAGACCATGATCAAGCAGCTTTACTAGTATACACAGTATACACAGTACTACCTGATATTGGTTAATACACCACTACCAACTGTCACTGTTTAAATTAGCCAAACTCCATCAAAACAAGCTCCGACTCAGGAGCTCCGCAACTCGCGCAGTGGACGCGTGCTCAACACGACCACACGCTGTGGAGCCGTGACCGTGACCGTGTCCGTGCTCTATACAAAGCTAGTAATCGGGGGTCTATACGCGATTGACGCGACCGTTTTTTTTGTTTAGTACCCTTGTTCTTGCTCTTGTTCTTCTTCAATCCAATCCCGTCTTGTTCTTCCCACTTTCATTGTGTCTATTGATCTTTTCATTTACCTCTTCCTTTCTTGTATCCCTCAACGCGTGGATTGCCCCGGTCCCCCGTCCCGAGCCCACTTCCCCCGCTACGGCGTGTATCTTTCGATCTCTCTCGACCCCAACACCTCCCCCCGACCTCAATTGATCCCACATACGCTTTACCATGCAGTCCACAACAATGCCTTTCAGTCCGATTAAGGACGGACGCCGCATTCTAGGCGAGAAGGACGCCAACGCGTGTCTCTCGCCGGCCCACCAGAGCAAACAGTCGCTCTCGGTCGTCGGCACGCCCACCAAGCGAACGCTTTTCACAAATATTTCACCTAAGAAGCTCCTACCTTCGCCCATATTCGCCGGCCAAAAGAGAAGTAGAGATCAGGTGGACGAGGTCGAAATCAACAACACCGGACACGGGCAGGATCCGCTGGGCTCGCAAGAACCAAGTTCTCAATCCACCATCAAACAGAGCATCCACGAGGTTAGTTGGCCATTAAGTTGCTTCTAGCGCACGTCTCGATGTCAATTGACTAACAAATATATTTTATAATAGCCTGCCCAAGTACCAAACGCGACAGATGTTGATGCCTGCGTCTCGACACTCGCCTCAACCACCCAGCCGGAACGCGACGAGACGGTCGAAGATCAGATGGACACAGAGCTGTCCCCAACCGCGCCTCGGAGCCTAGAAAAACACACAAGATCCGTATCCGTGGACTCAGATGCGCGGAAAATGTTTATTCAGGAGGTCAGTCGAAATAGTTTTAGAATTGTATTGTCACGGCACTCGTCCTAACTATATTCCAGAAAGCGAAGCTTCTCCGAAACACCCTACAAACCGCCATGCGGAATGTGCCTCGTCACCAATTCGATCGCCGAGTATCCGAACTGGAAGCACACAGCCGCAAGTGTCCTCGGGTCTCTCTCTCCGCTCTCTCATCCCCCTCCGTCTCCTTCAAAAACACCAGCACCCCCTCTCAATTCCGTACTCCCCGCATTGGTACCATGGCCGACATGACCTCCACTCCTTTCCGAAGCACGCCTGATCTCCCCAGACACCGCTCCGCATTCCCTGACTCTTCGTCCTGCGTGAAACCATCCCAACGCACTCCACCCCGCGCATTTGGATCACCAATGCAACTGAGCAGCCCGCCCGCTACTATCGTCCGCCAGAGCCGCACACGTGAAGTGAGCGAGGAACCAAGACCAGAGGAAGAGTCCGACAAGCACGAGGAACTATCACCGTCTCAAAGAGGGGACGCGGTGGACGGGTTACTCAAGCTCATGAGCACGGCAGGCAGCCAGGACAGTTCGGACGCATGGACCGGACAGGTTGATGGCCGTGGCTGATATGCCATACAACAAAACACTTTTCCTTTCATTCTTCGATTACCCATTGCTTTTTTGCGAGGCATTCTGCTTTTCTACGGATCTCGGTGAACTCGATGTTTGTGTTGACTGTGACGAACGAACTGTTGCTTTGATGAACATACTTGTCGGCTGGCATATGGAGATGCGAAGGTGGTTTAATTTTGGGAGCAGGCGGCGTCCTCTAGAATATTCTTATTACTCTTACTACCAATGATACCATTTGTACACTTTTAAATACCCAGGTGTCTGGAATCAACCGCAGTCATACAAGTTAGCGGTGGAAGATGTCGGCAAGGCTGTCTCTTCACGGCAAAGATGAGAGTAGTGAGTATGTACATGGTCTAAAGAAGAAGTAAGTTGATGGAAGTGGCTATCAGAGCTGGTTAGGAGTGAGAAAATGGGAATGCATGAATGCATCATGACATGGCTGCGTTACCCTGGCGTAGCGCCGATCGCCAGCCCTGGCCACATTGGGCCTTGGGAAGGATCCGGTGTGCAGGATAACGAAAAGGGAAGGCATTTGTTGACAAAGGGCTCTCTCACCCAGAATCGACATTCGAACTCAACAAATTGAGCCAGCTTGTGTACTGAAGATTGTCTTGGTCCTGATTCAGCGCAGTAGCCCAGAGACCAAATGGATCTACCCCCCCTGAACTAATGGCCAATAGAGGCCTGCAGGCTGCGGTCTTGTGACGGTGAAATATGTCAGATATCTCCAGGTTGGATCGAATGGAATGGAATCGAAAGCTGTACTGCGTTGAATAGAGACTGTCTTGCGAGATTGGCGGGTATTCATTGCCGGTGTGGAATAGAGGCTACTCAACGCTACGCAGAACATCGCATATGTTCTATCAACCGTTGATGGGGTATGGTATTTCCACAACAGTGCAAATTGGGGGTAGATATTCTGGCACTATTACTTAGCCTAGGGAAGAGTGACCGAATGGTGGCCACACTAATGCCTACCACGTCATCCGTACATGGAGATACCCCATACTCCGTAGTTGGCTCTGAGTATGTAGCCCAATGAATATGCTTTCATCTAACCAATCTGACCAGAAAGTGTTATGCCGGCCTAGAACTCAATCTACTAGATCGACATGTACTCCGTACGGTGTAAAGAGTGCCCCATCAATAGATCCAGACTGGGCTCAACAGGGGGCTCATCGGCCTTAGGGGTTCAAGCCAAATTGAACCCCGGCTGTGCAGCGCAGGCAGCACTTCTCCTACCACTCAACTCATCACCCATTTTGCATATTTAATTTCATGCACAGTGATTAAACATCAAGAGTCCCGACTTAATCAGATCGATATACACTATTATTCACAACATGATTTACAACCCTGCTTGTGGCCATTGTCGACAGGAAAGAGTATGCGAAACCAAACCAACGATAATATGGCAACCCTAACTGACTTCTTTGCTTTATGCAGCTCAAGTTATCACAACAAATCATAGCTTCTTCACCCCCGAAGCAAGAAACGGAATGCAAATCAAGGCATTGGAATTGCGATAGCCACGGCATGAACATACATCAACCACTGGCAGCACGACGCTCCTCTGACAATATCGAAACCAACACCACGGAGGGAAGCGAACTGAGTGGCGTGATAGATCCGATGGAACTATCTGCACCAAAAGCGGAGATTGGGCCAACTGGAATTATTTTTGACGCTGCACTCGACGAGGCTCTCGATTCTGTTCTAATGAGAACACATCCACCTTCAATGGACGCATACAACCCACCAACTACTACTATAAGTCACGAAGAGAAGCAGACACTCTACAACACACAATTAGCGATGGAATCATCGAAGGAACCATGTAACTGGGTAGCAAACTCAACGGCTCATCCGTTCGCCATCTCCCAGAATCCCTCGCCTATCGGACTGTCCCCGTCTTTCTTGAATACTACCCAAAGCGACTACCTCGAGCTTGATGAGCTGAGAACCGAAAATTTTGGCCCCATCGTCGCTTTGTCTCCCACCCCTAATGATACATGGCTTGATAACAACAGCTGGTTCGCTGGACTGGCCAGCGCTGAGCAGGGGATGGAGCCGATGACAGCCGTGACTCTGATGGGGGAGCCTGAAAAGACAACCCCCAGAAAGCAGCGCGATGAATTCGAATACGTCCTAGGAGGGATAGGAGGAGAAGTGCCCTTGATACAGTGACCTTCGGTAGACTGCCGAAGCGTTTGTTTATAGAGGATATCAGTTGCAGATGACCATGTCATGACAACGCTAAAAAGCTCTCATAGATTCGGAATATGGTATCAGATAGAAATTGAAATATGAACAGAGTATTTAAATCACCCTTCACCGGACCTTCTTGAGCTTATTCCGCTTCCGTCCCAGTACATCACGGCCCTCGTCAATCTCACCCAGAGCCTCGCGCTTGGCAGCTCCAACCTCCTTCAAAGCGCCGGTTCTCGTCACACGGCCCTCAATACTGACACCCTCTTCGGCGAACTCATCCATCTGGCGGCCTACGCGTGCCTCAATTGCCAGAACGAGTTCCACGTCACGCTGTCCCACGAGCGTAACAGCCTCACCGGTCCGACCCGCACGCGCAGTACGACCGACACGGTGGACGTAATCATCTGGATTGCGAGGCACGTCATAGTTGATGACGAGGCTGACAGATGGGATATCCAAGCCACGAGAAGCGACATCCGTAGCGACCAGGATGCGCGCAGCTCCAGCGCGGAATCGGCCAAGATTGGAAGTACGCTCTGACTGGGGAAGAATACTGTGAAGGGAGGTGGCGCGGTGACCAAGTCGGCGCAGAGTGCGCTCAATTAGATCGGCGGTCTTGGTGTGATTGCAGAAGATGATAGCAGGTTTCGAAACATTCTCCTCCGTAGAGAGCAGGACATGCAAGAAGACTTCACGGTGGGTCATGGGGACTTTGATGTATGTTTGCTTGAGGGTGGGTGGGATATTGCCTTGGTTTTCGGTGGAGACTTCGGTCACGAAGATGGGAGGCTTGTTAGGGGTGCGCGGTAGGGACTGTAATGCGCGCACTTCGGCAGTCAGGGTAGCTGTGAACAGCAAAGTTTGTCGCTCGGCTGAAGGGGGGAGTGCCGAAAGACAGGTCTCGACGTCTGGTAACATGCTTCCCTGTCCGCTGGCGAGTAGCCGATCTGCCTCATCGAGAACGACCATTTTCACCCGACCCAGTCCGGCAACGGTATCTTTTCCGGATGTCCTGATGTGATCTGCCAGTCGACCGGGGGTCGCAATAACGACGTGAGGCCGTTGTGCGAGCTCGATTGCCTGCTGTCGCATGTCTGTGCCGCCGGTGACAAGAATGGGCTTCATGCTCTGGGGTGCCGAGATGGCTTTGAACTGCTCGAAGATTTGCAGCGCAAGCTCTCTATAGATTTAGAATTGAATTAGGAACTGGGATCTTTCAAACAATGGAATATGTTTTTTTTTCTTTTCTTTTCTTCGGGAAAAAGAAACTTACCTCGTCGGCGTCAACACAATCGCAAATATACCAAACGGGTCCTGGGCCCATTTCTGCAAGATAGGGACCGCAAATGCCATTGTTTTTCCCGAGCCAGTTCGGCTACCACCAATGCAGTCTCTTCCATTCAGAATCTCTGGAATACACGCCTTCTGAATAGCCGTGGGGCGACGAATAGCCATCGTCGACAAGGAGCCAACGAGCCATGGAGCTAAGTTTAAGGCACCGAATGTGGATGACTCGGCCCGCAATCCAATTTCCAGAGCATCTTTGATCAAAACGGGCTCATCCTCGTCTGTCACTTCGGGTTTCTTGGTATCATCTTTCTTCTTGATGCGAGAGAGGGTGGGGAGCGGTGCTGGGGCGACATAACCATCGTCTGAGGATTCGGAGAGGCGGCGGCGCTTTGGCGCACGATCTTGAGTATCGCGTTGACTTGTTTCAGAATGATCAGACTCATAAGAGTCCTCAGACCTCGGATCCTCTTTTGGGGACGCCATTGTTGCTTGCTACTTTGTTCTTGGAAAATTTGCGGCAGAAAAAGTTACTTTTCTGACGCGGTGAGAAGTGACCGCCTTCGATTCGGGCAAAACGGCTCCGATGTATACTGGGTCACGTGTATTTAGGGTTGGGATGTATAGACAACTTGGAGGCCAACTTCATGTAGAAGTATTAGAACTTAGACATTTACATGCCACTCTATTTTAGACAGATAGCTAGATTCAATATTAAAAGGCCGAATGACACATGGCCTTCAGTCGATGCGGCTAGTGGTGCTTCTTCTGCGAACCGAAGACCGGGTTGTCATCTCGTATGCCTCGCCCCTCTCAAGATCATTACCATCGACAGCAGATTCCGAAGAGGACGAAAGGCGACCTTCGAGAATACCATTTCCATCACTAGGCGAATTTTGGGCCCCGCTCGCGACTGCATCAGTAGTTTCCACGTCGAGCCCATAAGTGCCACCAACACTCTCCATGGTGAAGGGGCTAGCAGTAGGTCCATCCAATGCGCCTAATTCCTCGCGAGTAAACCAAAAAGGAAGTAGGAAGGTCCGCACAGGGACCAAAATGAGAATGATGACAGGGAAACCAATAGCTGCAATGGTTTGGGTGATGGCAAAGGTAGCACCAAATCCAACCAACTCAAGGATAACAAATGCCCAGATAGCAGCACGGCGCTCGATCCGCTTGAGCGGGTTAGACGCGGGGGTAAAGGCTTTGTCTTGAGCAAGGAAAATGAGTTTCTGGGTAATGCCGTTGCCTTGTAAGGCTTGGACACCCATGACAAAAAACAGACCGGCCATGACACCCTGTGGGATTAAATGCAGGACAATCAAGAGCGGACCGGTCATCGTGCCGAGAGTCAGTAGACCCTGAGCGAAATTGCTCACTCTCTGTTCCACGACATGGTCGGTGACCCGGATGGCTTTGCCCTTGTTAGCTTCATCCTCATCCGCTACCTGTCGAGTGACGCAGAGCGCGGCAGTGTGAAAGGGGGCTTGTGGGATGAGTCCATTAGGGAATGGAATTCCGAGAAGACCGCCAATAAATGTTGTAAGACCGAGAAGCCAGAGATCCCAATGGAAGCCAGCGGGCTTCCTTAAAGGAAATTCAGTGCCCTGTGCGATAAGAGAAGATACTGAAAATAAAGTGAGCAATAAACCTCTTGGAAACGGGAGTAACTGTTTGATGAGGGAGACCAACCATTGTGATCGAAATAGAAAAGAATCGTCAGAAGAACTGCAAATGGAATGGCCAAGAAGATGTCACCAACATCGATATTCCAAAAGTGCACCAGCCATGGACGATCGAGGGTAGGGAAGAATGCCTTGCTCGTGGGAAGAGTGGAAACATTAACATCCCGCATTTGACCAATGTGGACGAAACCAGTAAAGAAGATAATCGTCAAAGGAGTTCCATAGTCCTCTAGGAATTTGCGAATATATCTTTTGAAGAGGTTGCTGTTACCCAACTCCCCGCAGATCCATGCGCTCATCAGGACAAGAAGAGCCACCATAATGGCAAGGTAAGCGGATGTCTCTCCGACTTGTCCCCATTGCCTAGTCAGGACTTGAATACCCTTTTGAAGATAAATGAAAGCAACATAAAAGCCAAAGATATCACACGAGAACCGAGTGACATACTTCAAGGCGTTGCAAGAGTTTGTGATAGCCAATAACCAATGCATAATTAGGGACCAGCTAGAGAGCACGTTAGCGAGTGTTGTTGGATAGACGATTTCGGGCCCTAAGTTAACGACTTACATGCCAATCCAGCACATGAACGGCAGATATGGAGTACCTCTGGGAGAGATAATATCATAGACCGTGTAATTAAACACGGTTATAGGACCTGAATTATTAGCATTTTAGCTCGTATGGAATATTATTCAAGAAAAAGCAGAACACACCAGTGACACCGACAATGACCAAAGGCTGAGCGGCGAACAGCGAGAAGACAATTGCCCCAAGAACAGATGCAAGCAAAACTTCATTAACTCCGTAACTTTGATTCGTCTTTTCGAACATATCCAAAGAGAAGGCCAGAGCGGGCAGAATACTGCAGAGATGTGAGTTCTCAGCCGTACTAGTATTTTATGTACCAGTAGTAGTGGATTGCCAGAATTCCAAGGGAAACCCGTAAAGATTGAACCATTTCATGGCAAAGAAAAGGATAAGAAAAAAAAATGCAAGAGTTGGGAAAACATACTTAGCAAAATACATATAAACAGTCGCAGGTACGATGCGGTAGTCCCATGCATCCGTCCAATCACTCCAATAATATGGTGCTCTTCGTTTAACATCCTGAATCATGCCACGAAAGAGGCGAATGCGCCACCATTTTGGGGGAGACGAAGCAGTCGAAGTTGACATAGAGGCCCGACGCGTCGAGCCCTCACGCGCAGAATCTCTGAGATTCACAGAAGGGATTGTTTGCCTTAGAGACTGACCATGGTTGGATATATCAGATTGGCCGGATGGCTTACGCTGGGACTGCGAAGAAGGTTTACGCTGAGTGGGTGCGGCGGCAGCGTTCATGTTCGGCCCCGAAGATAGGGAGAAGTCGCCGTACGACGGTCCCTGCATATGCAATGTAGATCCGATACGGTGATAGAATAATGCTGAGCCGTGTCCCGGAACTGGGAGAATATGGCGATTAGGACTCAAGGAAATCAATGCAGTACCTGTAAGCGATTTGCGGGGGGAAGAAAAAGTTGCAGAGTTGTGATGAGCCAAGACTGGAGATTGTGGGGCCTGAGGCAGAAGTGGACCTCCGGACTGTACGAGATACACGAACTATTCCGTTAGAACTCGAGTAATTAGTTATTCGAATAGTAAAGGTCACGATGTGTCAAAATCGAATAAAGACTCCAGAAATCTAGAATCTACTCTACCCAGGTGACTATCATAATGTAAAAATTACTGATATCAAGATTCACCTTTAAGCCAAACTGTATTACTTCACATAATAAAAGGAAAGAGCTAAACCATCCCGTCGGTATCACTGATAGCAAGAACAAAAGCGAACACATTTCTGATGACTTTTCTAAAGTATCCCCAATTTCGTTTATGCAGGGGGGGGGAGGGGGCGGGGGCTGATCGCTGGGAGGTGGAGGTGGGGGCTGATCGCCTGGGGGAGGAGGAGGCGGCGGGCTTCCGGCACCATTATACATAGGGGGCATTCCGGGGGGGGAGGGGGAGGAGCTGCCATGCCAGGAGGATAGGCGTAGCCACCTCCGTAAGCACCGTATCCATAGCCCGGCTGTCCACCAGGAGGAGCCTGTTGTTGCCAAGGGGCAGCACCAGGGGCAGCACCAGGAGGAGCGCCAGGAGCAGCGCCAGGAGCAGTCCCGGGAGCGGCATATCCGGTTTGCTGACCGTAACCGCCATAGTCGTTGCCACGGCTCTGAGAAGCCCAGGGAGGAGCAGCGCCCTGGTCGCGGGGAACGTATTCGTCGCGAGAGCGGGTTTCGCGGCCTCTCTGTTGCCAGGGGGCCACATCGCTTGCTGGCGGGCCACGTTGCTGCCAGGGCTTCGCATCCCGATCATCAGGGGGAGGATATCCAGACTCGGGACCAGCCTCGATGCGACGGGGCGGGTACTCACCGGGAGCACCTCCAGAAAGCTCGTTCATGAGTTGCTAGCAGATGCGTTAGTTTTTTATGAAGACAGTTATAGTGGACGGAAGAACTAACCTCCATTTCGCGATCCACAGCATCACCAGTGCCAATAGCACGAGGTCCACGGGCACCAGCGCCACCATTGTTGCGCCAATCGCTGCCTCTCTGTCGATCGGGACAGTCACGAGCCATATGGCCAGCGTTGCCACAGACACGGCAAATGATGTTGGTGGTGAAGTTTCGCTGCTCAGGGCAATCGTACTTGCGGTGTCCAATTTGACCACCTATTCATCATGGTCAGAAGTGATACTTCATATAGTGGAGAGTCGATACTTACAGTTCTGGCAAGCTTGGTTCTCGTCGTCACGGAGAGTACCGTTAAGGGCGGCGAGCTCACGAAGCTGGTTGCGCTTGAGCTCGTTTTGACCCTCAGGAATGGAGGCAGCCTGTAGATAGATAATTAGCTCAGATGTCCCAGACAACAAAAAGAAGGATTGGACGCGACATACAGTCTCGATAACGTTGTGGACAAGTTTCTTGGCCTTGTTCACCTTCTCTTCTGTATCTGCCATGATCAAGCAGTGAAGATCCTCCTCCTGGTTGCTAGCGTGAGCCGCATCAGAACGACCCTTTCCTTCCTTGACGGAACCTTTACCACGGATGGCAATTTTAGCGCCGGATTCGGTCTCCATTTTCTTCAGGGTGTTTCCACGAGGTCCTATAAGTAAGCCAACTTAAAAAAGATAGCAAAGAGCTAAGTGTTAGTAATCAGGTAATTGTGAAATCGTGTCAAGCAATGTGCAGCATTAAGCACCAAGGGTTAGCAAGAAACGGGCCGACGGCATCCGAGGAAATGTCTCGTCAACTCGAGTCGAGCAGGAAGTCATGGCAGACACGATAGAGGGATAGTTCGGAGTTAGAGGGTTAGTTATCATACTGAAGTTAATCTCTGGATAGTCATTCACTGGAACGTAGACCTTCTCTTGAGTCTTGGTGGGTCGTCTATAGTCAGAGGGCGGGTGATAGTTAGGAATGGTCTTCATGGCCTTCTCGACCAACTTGTGACGCTCATCCTCAAGACGCTTGCGGTAGCGGTACTCGCGGGTGTTCACACGGCGACCGAAGTTGTCATATTGAGGCGGGGGCGAGGGAGATCTAAGAAAGGAGTGAGTAGGATGCAAAAACACAAGAAGGTTAGATGGGAACATACCGATCACCGTCGGCTGGGACCACATCGTTGATCCGAAGCTTTTGGCTGATCTCCTCGATACGCAGATGCAGAGTGTATGCCTCGAGCTGCTCGCTGGTGAAGTTGGCCATGATCATCGTGGGAAGGCCCATGAGACCAGCAGCCTTGTTCTCCTGCTGATCACCCCAGCGGTTACGCTTCTTGCGCCGCTTTACGCCATCGCTGTCGACTTGAGGTTCCGCTATTGGTGATAAGAGAAAATTGTGAGAAAGGAACGGATTCCGGTATCGCGTTAAGGTAGGAAAACTCACCTCGAACAGGGCTGCGACCACGCTTAGGGCCATCGGGCATGGAGGAAGGAGTCGCGGTGCGACTATCATCTTCTTCTCCTCCTTCATCACCCGCGAACCGACGTCGGCCCAGGGGAATGTTGTTGGAACCAGTGATTCCTTGATTACGCCAGGCCATAGCAGCGGTTTGAGGACGAAGTCAAAAGGTGGTTAGTTAACAAAGCTCGAGATCAAAGAAGGTGTCTTGTCCGCTTGTGAAAATAGTGGCAATCGAATCACGTGAGTAGAGAGTTGTTCCGGAAGGCGGTAAGATCTCGGTGGAAGATCCCCCCGTTTTAGTTTCCTCTCATCTCATTGGGCCTCTCTCCCAAGGGTTCCAAGGTTGTTTCCCCAGCTCATCAAAACTACGCGATCCTAGGATACCGAGGGCCGAGTATAGTATACATATACAATTACATATGAAAGTGCTTTAGTGGATGATCGTTCTCATTAAACATTGGATTTGGTACCCTATCATCGCGTGCTACTTTCAAAGGTTGTTCTTAGCATCCTCCTTCATACCCTGCTGAACCCATGCTCGCGACTCTGCAGCAGCCTTTTCGGTAGCGGCCTTATCCTTCAATACCTCCTTGACCGTGTGCGGCGAAGGAACGTGGCGTCCCTTCTCTGTGCCTGGGCGCTGTGCCATGCGCTCCTCCCACGCCTTCAGATGCGGGAACTCCTCGATATCAATGCCAGCCCAGCCAGCAGCGGCGATCCAACCCCAGTGTGAGATATCGGCAATGGAGACATGGTCTCCGACGAGATATCCGGATTCGGACTTGGCCAGGTGCTTGTCCAGGACCCCGTAGAGTCGGCGCGACTCATTCACATACCGATTCACACCATACTCGATGCGCTCGGGGGCGTATCGCGAGAAATGGTTGGCCTGGCCTTGCATGGGACCCACGCCAGCATTTTGGAAAAAGAGCCAGTTGTTCATCTCGTAGTCTTCGCGACTACCCTTAGGGAAAGAGATCTTGTGGTCAGGGTCGTACTGATCAGCTAGATATTGTAGAATGCTGCCAGATTCGAAGAGACGGATCTTCTGGCCATCACTGAAGGTGTCGGTCAGGGCTGGGATGCGGCCATTCGGGTTAATCTCCAAGAACCAGCTATCCATCAGGTTAGCTTATAGGCTTGGAGGCCTGGGTAAATAGGTGCGTACTCTTCTTTCTGTACATTCTTGGACATGTCGATCTTCTCAACCTTGTAAGGAAGGCTGTCGCAACATGTCAGTCTCCGCCAAGGCCCATACACTTTGGTGGCTTTAGATTACTTACCCCAGCTCCTCCAGCGCCATGGAGATTTTTATTCCATTGGGAGTCTGGGCAGTGTAGAGTGTGATGTCTGGACGAGTCATTTTGGGCAGTAGGGAATATCACAGGGAGGTTTTTCGGAATGAGAAGAGATGATTCCTAGATGGATCTTGTATCTGAAGTATTGCGGGGCAACCCGTTTTATAAAGTGAAACCCCACCCGATGGATTTATAATCTCACAGAAGCTTCTCCCGAAGTCGCCGCGTGCAACGTCCACCTGAATAGTAATCCGTATTCCATCCTACATGATCTCTAATCCATCAGTGTCAGCTGGTGTGCCGAGCGTGAAATCACTCGAAAATCAAATAAACCAGTCAATGATAGTGAGCCGGTGGCAGTCCCCTGAGGCGGGCATTTTCCAATTCCAACATCAGTTGGTACTAGCAGGGGAATCATTGACCTATTTGCAAGTAAGCCCTCCCAAAGAACTTGAATGGGACTCGGTGTCACTGTGCCAAATGGCATGGCCTTTATCTAGCTCTTTCAAGGCCGGAATTTTGGAACATCATTAACCTGCCATCGCCCATGGTTGACCTGCACTAAAAAACAGCGACACCTCGCGACGAGAGAAAACCAAACAATCTCGTGTTCGGCAAGCAACTCGCTGATTGAGAGGTCAAATTTAATTGTTCAGGACTTGAACTAATCATCTTGGTTCTGAATCGTGGTAGATACGGCCAATCGTCAATTTGTATTTAACTGTAATGTTGTTGAATTTAGTTGAGTTAAATTTAAATTTACTTTTGCTTGAAATGGCTTACACTATCCCCTAGAAAGTGGGCTAACTTTGATGAATTTCAACAACAAAAAAAATCGAAGTTCAGGTCACGAAGTATGATATAAGAATCATTAGTTTCGGCTCTCTTTTTGATAATATTCCACATAAACTTCTGTCATGCCATGGCTCCATTCACTCTTAATATCTGACCAGACATCCAGCTGCTATCCTTGCCACAAAGAAAAGCCATTACCCCAGCAATCTCTTCGGGCTCTCCAATCCGATTGAAGGGGCTATTTGACGCTACTGCTTTGATGATTTGTTCAGGTTTCCCGGTAAGGAAGAGCTCTGTAGTTGTTGGCCCGGGAGCAACAGCATTCACCAAAATACCCTTCCGAGCCAAGTCCTTGGCCATCACACGCGCCATTTGCTCGATCGCCCCCTTTGCGGAAGCATATAGAAGATATGTGGGAGCGATATTCGACAAATTGGTGACTCCAGTAGAGACAAAGATGATTCGGCCTCCAGATGGCATGTGCTTTGCGGCTTTCTATAAATTGGTCATGATTATTAGCATTCATTCTTGATTGGAAGGAGGTATAGTCGAAGAAAGTTTTGCTGATCGATAGGGAGGTTATTCTTTACTAACCTGAGCAAGAAAGTACGGTCCTTTTACCATGAGATTATAGGTATTGTCAAAGTCCACCTCACTGGTATTCTCCAGGTCTTTCATTGGAAGTATTCCAGCATTGGGGATCAGGACATCAATTCGTCCGAACTTTGCGACCGCCGCGTCAACAAGACGATCCAAGTCAGGGATCTTCGAGACGTCGGCTTGTACAGCCAAAGCACGATCCGATCCGATCTCTTCAACTAGTGCGTTGGCTGCAGCTGCATCAGAAAGGTAGTTGATCACCAGGCTGGCGCCTTCGCTAGCAACGCGGAGAGCAGCTGCTTTGCCAATTCCCCTCGAGGAGCCGGTAATCAAAATCACTTTCCCAGAGAGAGACATTATAGGAGCTGAGTTCGTCGGTAGCTATGTGAAAAGTGAAGATCCTGTTTTGAGTAGTCTGTATTTGGAAATGTTGTTGCAAGAACCAGACATGGCAGTGTAGGTCTTCTTATACTCTTGTCCCTGCGAGAAGTGTGGCTGTTCTTCAAGGGAGGCCGGGATTAACTGCGTGAAAAGCCGGATACCTGATAACAAATCGTAAGCTGAATCCATAGAGCCACTCGTGGAATTAAAGAAATCTGGTAGATAGAGTAAACCTTGCGGGGTCGTAGATTATCAAAGGGTGGGCCGGACTTCGATCTTAAGCCGAAGTGAGTGGGGCGATTTCCGAAGCCAACGGACTTAAAACGCTCGCCCGCTGGGCCGCTTATGTCGACGATTACGAGAGCAGTAGGCTTGGATTGGAAGATCCAAAGCTTAGATGGAAACTTTTCATGTGGAATATAAATCCGGAGCGTTCTTCGTCTCGAAGACTACTTTCGCCGTGTTCGGACCCATCTATAACTGCCATACCCACCGTTCAGCCCAACCCGATCGATCCATCGAATCGGACAAGTTTGACGACTCGGAAATTGCACGACAGCCGACCCTGGTGGTATACAAAATACTACCAAGTATCTCTTTCCAAGGCTATAGAAGGCCCCAGATCCGCTTTGATCCTAGTAGCTTTTTGCCTAATCCTGAAAGGCGTCTGGAATACGAGGGGTTGGGAATGAAATGAACCTAGAAGAAAGCACCTCATATCTTGCATTCGCAAAGAAGTAAGATATGTACAACTCTCCGAAGCCGGCTAACCATCAAAGATGACAGGCCAAACGGGAACAACCACAAAATATACAAAGAAAGAGCCAGGTTCAAGGCTGATAGATCAAAAAGGATAAAGTATACCCCCGAAAGGAAACGGGGGATGTACTCCACCAAAAAGAGAGAAGTGAAAGAAAGAGGGGCTTGATGAAGCAAAGAAAAGAAAAGCGACCAAGACATGAGAGCTCTCGAACAGCATCCACCCGACGAAACAATCCATAACATGCTGCTCATCAATGCAAGACATAAAAGAGGAGTCCGAAATGACTACCAGGAGAAACTCTCCTCGACGTAGTCAACATTTGTCCGCTTTTGTCTTCTGCGGCATACCTTGCGAACGTCGTCGCTCAGTCCTCCGTTACCACAGACCAGGACACCCATCGAGCCAACCTGGTTCTCCACTTCCATACCGACCAGGGTGTCAATGTTAGGACGACCAGGGAACATCTGCACAGTGGCCGATGGGCTCTGGATTTCCTTGGTGTTACGTGGGCGAGTCACGAAGAGCATGATGCGGAGAACTTCGCGGCGACGGTCCATGGCCAGAATACTGGTCATCCAAGGCCGGATCCACTCCAGGTGTTCAGGCGATTGGATGATCCAGACAAGTGTCAAGCGACGACAGGCGACTGTACCCTCAGCAAAACCAGCAACGAGATGGCGAACAAAGGGGACGTGGTGGGTGATGCCTACACCACCGGCAAAGAGCATCACTGTGCCATAGGAGTCCATGGTGTGGATATTACCGTAAGGTCCTTCGGCAAAGGCGCGTAGAGTGACACGATTGCCGATGGCATTGGAGGCGCGCTGGAACAGCTTGTCGGTCATACCGGTACGGCGACGGACTAGCAGTGAGATGGTCTCTTTTTGAGGCGCGCCGACCAAGTCTTGCTTCGACATGGGCAGAGATTTCTCGTCAGACATTAAGTCTTCAGTCTCACTCCAGCCAACGGAAAAGGGGTGGGAAGTCCACCAGCCAACAGATGGGATGTACAGGTAGATGTGTTGACCGGGGCGGAAGGTCCAGGGTCGGGCCATGCGCAGAGTAATACGCATAGCATCTCCTGGCATGGCCTCGACAGTGGCGGTGGTAGACTCGCGACCGAAGTTGCGGTAGAAGATGATGAAGAATCGAACCGCGCGCTGGTGAGTGAAGGTGAGCCTTTTGATCATTGAGTAGAATTACATCGGCGAAACTTACCTCGAGGGCCCACAGGACGATAGCGGCAAGGAGATACGCCTTGGCAGTCAATCCATTCAGATGCACCCAGAGGAGACCAAAGGAAGCAGCTGCGAATATGAAATGGAGGTGGACGAATGTTTCATAGAACGCATGGCGAATGGGCGACGGAGAGTGCAGCATGAGAGCAACAAAGGCCGCAGTTGTCTAAAGATTAGATATGTCAGCGATGTACACATGAAAGGAAGAAACAGACAAGACATACCCCCATGCCAGTGTACAGAAAGCTACTGGACGAAAGAGCAATCCCAACAACGTCCCAACCCGCTGTACCGATATTAGTATTGGGATCATCATGTCGGAGGTATTTGTCATTTACCTTCTTGGGCCTTGGGAATCATCCATGCAAGTGTATGCGCCACACCCTCAAGCACAACGATGCGGCCCAACCACCGATGGAGCAAGTTCCAGGTATCGAAGGGGACATGCAGCATCTCGATGAGAGGGTTGTTACGACCTGCCATAAGTACCAGGGGGATCAGGTTAACGGTGGCCATTGTACCCGTCCGGTTGCGAATGATACCCGCCAGAGTATCTTCATCAGAGGCGTAAGGCGTGGTAACCACACATAGGATGACGTTCATGGCGACCACTCCAAAGACCAGGATACCGTGGAATCGGCTGGGAAGCGTGCCCATGTTGATGGCGGTGGAAAGTTGGAACTCGCGGTTATGACGGACGCCGAATAATGGGGCATAGATCAAGTGCTCCTTGAACCAGGAGAAGGTACCATGAGCAGGTACAAAATATCGCTGTTTGTCATCGGTGAAGCTTGACAGTCGTCGCAGGTGGCCGGAGAATCGGAAGACGAGGGTCCAAACCAACATCGCCGCGGCCGCACAGCCAAGGGCGAGGATACAGTACCGAGCTAGATCATCATTCACTGCCTCATACCAATAATCCAAGGCGGACTTTGCATGGCCACCTCGCTTCTCAATCTCTGCTGCACTGCTCAACCCTGCGAGGGATAGAGCAAGAAAAAGGCGGAACATGATGTTCTATCACAGATAGATCCGGTTCAAAGCCTAGCGATATGTTCTATATTTTGCTTTTTGCTTTTGTTTTGCAAGACCAGCTTGCGTTAAGAGAGACGGGTGGTGCACGAATGATGGTGCTACCAGGTCCCAAAAAGGAATGGAAGGACTGAGTTGGAAATAGTTTGGAAGCGCGATCCAAGCTTGAACAACACCAGGCTGTTCAAAAAGCAATTGATGTTGAGAGCAGATGATGTCGGGAAACTTTGTCGATGATTGCTGGTATCAGAGAGCAAGGTCTCCTAGGCTGATTTGGTCGGTCGGAGTGAATGACTCGCAGGAACAGGCATCGACAGGAATACGGATTTCCAGGTTAAGAAATTTCGCTCAGCAACAAGCCAAAGAATGTTAGATCGGCTTGGATGTTTTCCAGAGGCTTTTCTTGTTGACGGGCAACAAAAAGAATGCTAGTGACCCAGTCACTGCTTGTAGAAAAAGGATAGACAAAAAAGTGGTTGGTTCTAGCCCACCACTTGAATGACTATTGTCAAAGAAAGAAAGTGCGACAAAAAAATGAAAGACACAAGACAATGGGAATGTCGCGGTAGGAGGAGAAAAAAAAGAAGAAAGCAGAGACAAGCTCATACAAGGGGGAAAGAGAAAATGACAGTCTATTTTTTTTTCCCTGCGTCCACTCTTCCTGAAGGGTGGGGAGTCAATGAGACAGGCCAAGTACGGCGCCGGGACCAGCGCGGCGGAATAAGTAGAATCAAGCAAGGCTGGGCCGACTGGCGTTGGTACAAATCGTAAGTATCATATCGTCATGGAATTGATCATACTCCAAACTGTGTCGCAGGAGGAGGGGCTTTGGCGCCGCTCTCAAACTCTGCCGATGTGAGGAATGTCCATCCGTACCGATGAGACTTCAATATCCCAAGGGACACCCAGGGCCGACTCAGGTCGGCACATCCTACGGATGGGGATCGCCAGATCGAATCAGGGGTAGCGAACGACCCGTTCGAGCGGCACTGCTGGTGCTGTCATCCTCAGTACACTAACATGCGACATGCGACAGGTCGAGAGAGATCTTGGCGCTGGCAGTGGAGATCATAATGGGTTGATGTGACTGGCTCATGCTGAAACACCCAGTGAGCGGCCAGAAGTGAACAAGAGTCCATAGACGCCAGAAAGAACTTGCGTCGATCCTAGTTAGCACGACGGGTTGTTTGAGAATCGCCCTTGCTCCATTTCGAGTCCAATCCATTGGATGATAGTGGAGAAAGGGGGAGGCAAAGTGCGGAGGAGCTTGCCAATAGTGGATTCATGGATGACTTTTCCATTGGTCCAACCTTCTGTGATCTTGTGGCCGGTGTTTGATGTTTGGTGGGCACTTTGTAGGAGTTAGCGCCCACTGCTGCACGGTTCCATCACAGCGACGAAACAGCCTCGATTCGAAACGCAAGCAGAACTTCAAAAAAAGCCGCCGTGCATGCAACTTGGTATCTCTTATCAACCGAAAACCAAGATTGCTGGTGCTGATGGCTTGAGCGTGTTAATTTGGAAGAACTCTGGGAGATCTTGGCACTTCATCTATGTCAGACCTTTAATCTCCCGAGCTCCATCACCAAAAAAACCCCCATGCCCGCCATGTGGATAGTTTATTTATCCCACGAATAGACCTCACACCCGCATCGCAGGCGGCTGAAACAATAGTAGATTGGCCGATGAGTACTTCCGGGAGCAATTCTTTCCCTCGCCGAATCTAGACTATGCGCCGATGGCTGATCCTGCATCCCGCAGATAGAATGGTATCCGTCAATAAAAGAGAGCGTCTAGACGATTCGAACCCCTCAGAGAAATTTTGACAGGTGTCACCCAGTAACCTACTCCGTGGATCCGAAACATACAGGGGATTGATGATCCTAAACATCAAATACAAGATGGATCCAGAGAGACCCACGGTCCATGAGCAAGTAAGCGGAATGCATGAGCAATTCAACAAATACAAGAGGCTAAAACAAAACACGAATGCAATCTAACGCCAATCATGGCCCAGGGGTATAATATCATAACAGGTCCCAAACACCGATTTCCCTCCCCAAGAAAGCTGAACCCCGCTCTATCCACCATTTCCTTGGAAAACCGAGCCGAGCAATCTCGACCACGCTCGGTCGAGCTCGGGTGATCCATCCTTCAAGATCACCTCAATTTACAAAAAGGTCCGTTCGCAATGTAAGACTCGATGGTCAAGATGAACCATGGATAGACAGTAGACCCTGAAAGGTAGTCAAACTATCGAGTCAGTAGAGATTGGACCTTATTCCATTCTTAGAAAGCCCACGCGTGCTCAGAGAAAACTAAGCTCGTCATCGCTTTCGTCCGTGCAGGGAATGACCGTTCGCAAGCCAGGAACTTCGCGTACTGTTGGTCTGAATACATCAGGAACTCGTCGCCCGGGCCTTCGTCGCTCCATTGTTCGGTGGACCTGCATCTGGACAGATTCTGGGACAGGCCGTGAAGGCTCGTCGCTTGGAGCGCTTTCTCTTTGATTGATGATCACGACTTCGACCTTGTTTCTGGAGCTCGTCCTCGTTGGGGCTAGCCGATTGCGCTGGTGGTGATTGGACTTGTCACGCAAGATATGACGACGTGAGGGCTCTCGCTGCGAAACCGAGGATGGAGTCACAATACGAGGAGCATTTCTTCTGACTTCGGGATTATCCACGATCACCGGGTCTGGTCGCCGACGTTTAGCCGGGCGAGTTGGCGACGACTCTGTCACCGCATTATTCCGTTTTACCCCAATAGAGGTGAACTCCGCGGATGTAGGGGAAGAAGTCAGGCTCGAAACGGTCCTCACAGATGTTTCTGAGTCGGAAAAGCTGCTGTCGGTTGAGCAGGGAATGTATGGAAGTGGCTTCGCAGTCATCGAGTTGCGTCCTCTGATCACTCTAGGCACTGCGTTTGGTTTGGCTGCGGGGGTTCGGGCTACCCACTCGCCAATGCTTTCCTCCCATCGATACCCTCTACTTTGAACTTGTACTTCTAGTTGTTCCGTAGTATCAGGACTTGGTTTTTTCCCGTTGTGGAGCGCAATGACCGTTTCCTGGATCTCGATTGCCCACAGGTGGTCATTTGGATCACCAGTTGCTTCCGCAAATCGCATGGCGGTTTCCACAGCAACTTGGCCGAGAAGTGCTGAAAGGCAAGGCAGCTTTCCCAAGTGAGGCATTCGAGAGACCATGCGGCGGACATCCCTACCCATGTTGGGGTCGTCACTTTCAAAGGCACCGCCAAAACAGCGAAAGGTCTGTTGGACGAGGAATGCTAGTTCTTTGGCAGAATCAGGTCTGCTAGACAAGTATTCACAAAGGCCCTCAATGCTAGACGCTGGTGGAATCATAAACTCGTCGTCGTTTTCGAGGATCGCGTCGTTACAGTATAAAAGGCAATCTGCCATTATGATGCAACCCCGTCTGAATAATTGATGTGATGTGACCGCAGTCGCCTTGTGAAGTGGATTCTGTTCCATGTCCCTCTGAACCATATAGCAAGTACGGTTGACAATATGTCCTGCTTTGGTTCCGTCCGCTTCTGCCCAATCGTCGAGTGCACGAGACCGTGATATGTGTATGCCGCATAGTGCTGATAACAGGCTTGTGATATGGTTGCTGAACGCATCTTCCACAGACACCGGGCATGAGCTTACCATGTTTGGCCTGCCTGCCTGCCCTATGGATGAAGCCCGTGTGGTTGTTACTCGGCCTTTATCAGAGAGGGATATTGTAGCCTGCGTGGAGCAAGCTGCCGGTTGTACATCACTCGAGGCTACCAAAACCGCCTCAATCAATCGTGATGCAGAAGAACAGTCATTATCTTCTTTAGAAAAAGAAATCGTGGCTCGGGTCATCCAGCTTGTCCACAATTTAGTTGACATCCATTGCGGAGGCACGATGCCTTGCTTGAGAAGTTTGGTTAGCTCATCAAAGATGTATGAGCGATGTGCAGGGCCATAGGATGCGTATTTGCGCAATAAACGCATAGGATCTCCAGGCCCGCTGCAGTCGATGGGAGCTTTGAGGGCGAGAGGGAAAGGGTAAGTAGTGCACGTGGAGAGAAAAGTCGTCAGAAGGGCCTCGCATGCATCTGGTTCATGATATCGGCACTTTTCTATTAGAGCGCAGGAAATCGCATCGGTAACCCATTTGTTGGAAATCATTCTGGAAACCAGATAGATGCCCTGGGCCCGAACAGCTTCGCGTAGTGGCCTCCACCCTCTGCCATGAGGGGCATAAAACGATTCCAATTCGGTGAAATAGGCGCCAGACATGTCATCGTCCCTATCTTCTGCCATCTCGTTCTGCAATTCCTGCTCCTTTGCAAGGAATTCCGGCAGACGTCGTGCAACCATGGACATCAACGAGCGCGCACCACGTTCAGGCTTTTTCTTTACCTCATTCGGCGGTCCTTTGTGAAGTCGGGTATTACAGAGGAAGTTCTGGAGAACACGGTCCAGATTGTTTGCGATGTCGGCGAATCCTGTATCGCCTGACTGGTCGAGAAGCTCCTGCCATGGACTTTTCTGGAGTTTGTATCTATCACGGAAAGCTTCCATTTGACCCTGGGATTTCCTGGTCTTTGGCTGCTCTGCAGAGCCCTGCGAGTGTGCACTCAAAGGTACCTTCCATCTCTTCCCAGTAATTAGAGGCGTCGCCAGCTCAATTGCGCCAGGCAGGGTGCGACTCGCTTCCGGACTGTGCACTGAAATACGCGTTCTTCTCCTTCCAGTCTTTGCACCTCGGTTCGAGAACTTATGTCTGACACGTCGTTGGTCGGGCTGCTTCCCCGGTATCCAGACTGGGTCGTCCTCGTCCGCGTCCGATTCGGGAATACTACTCTGGTCGAGCACAGTTCCAAGTCCATCTGGCACATGTGTTTCGTTGTTATTATCCAAAGTTTCCTCAAGTTTCGATTCGGCCGCAATGATTGCTAGCGTCTCCTGGTGTTTCTCGAGTCGACGATAAATCGAGGTCAAAGGGCGTAAGATGCGGTTTGCCCACTTGGCAGTCGCTTGTAGGTCGTCCATTGGGGGCATAGGGAAGAAATGTTATGAAGTAAATGCTAGGTCTACAATTCAATCGTTAGACATGCCACAAGAGGGATTAATTAGAGCGCATGGGGACTGTACTGCAAGAAAAGGGCCTCTCAGCAGGACGGCCACGAGGGTGCATGATCACCAAACGCGGTAACCAAGCATAGCTATTGACTGAGGAATATATTTTCCATGAGTAAAAGATAAAAGATGTACACTTAAGTAGGCACAAATAAGAGGCGCGATAAAATGCGACGCAAGGTGAGAGAAGGGAATCGGAGGCGGCAGAACAAAGTAAACAAGGGTGGGTCCCAAGGCGGTCAAGCGGCCAGAACATTTTAGTCACTATGAATAATTTTGGGAATACCGGTTTCGCAAGCATGGATCAGGCATAGAATGCGATGTTATAAATGTAATTCCCTTTCGATAAGTACGATGGATGAGTTTGCCTTTTGGCTCTGTCATTGCCATTCAAGTTATGGGACTCTTGACTGATTGCCTCCACCCCACTCATGTACAACAGCGGGTCGCGTCGGCCTTTTGAATTACTATTTCATATTAGTTCACTTGGAATTAAGATCCACTGTTTAGTACCTCTCTGAAACAATCAAAACAGAGCCTGCACAATATCAGTGTATAATCTTGATTCCATGCCATACTTACCTAGGTAGTACTACCTGATAGGTGCTCACAATACAGCAGCTTAGGTTTCCTTGCTGTATGGAAGTGATGAGTGAAATGAGTAATAAAAAGGTGATCCATTCACTGGCATAACTCTGAGCTATCTGGCTAGTATATTGTACTAGAGCAGGTATCATGTCTCGCATGCCGTATCACAGAATTCAATCACAACCTCTTGTCGTTTTTTTCTGTTCATGATCAGGGCGATCGTGCAATGGCTGCCCCAATCTCCCGGATGGACCTCGTGAGCCGATGACCGTTGTGAACAGTGATCGAAGCCCCGGGGATTTACATTTGTCTTGATGGTGTTTTTTGTCTTTACTAGTACATATCGGGTGGGATGGGACCAGGACGGAGCAGCTTCTCATTTACTTGTAGCAAGCATCTCGGAAACGAACTCATCAAGGGAAGCTCATAGTTCTCAAGTATCTCATTCGTCAATCGTTCCCCCCTTGAGCTTGGGATTCACTCTGAATCTGACAGTGGCTCTCCTTTTGAATTCGAAGGATCCGAAAGCTTATGTATCCTCATCTGACAGCGTGGAATTGAGGGTGGAAAGGAGGAGTTTGGACAATGTATCGCGAAACATCTGCTTCGAACGGGGTGTACTACCAACAACTAGAGTAGAATCTTCCGGGGAAAATACCAGTGACCTAAAGCATGATTCAACGACCCAACTCACATTATCATATGCAAAATAAACTCGTAAGTATATAGACCTTCCATCATCATCCATCCACACCAAGGTATCGGGCCATATAGTACAACCGAGTCCCTGAACTTTATCCCGCGCAGTGACCCAGGACAAAATCAATAGATCGAGAAAACATGAAAAAAAAGACTCGAAGAGAGGAGAGAGATCTAAAATAGTAAAACAGTTTTCCGCTCAAACTGGACCCCGGCCCCAACAGGAAACAAAATCATGAAGTATTTTATTGTTAAGACAAGAGATGGCAAAAAAAGAAGCCCGTAATTGATGGATCACGATCCAATCAAGCTGAAAAAAAAGGAAAAACTTTAAGCCTTGGACTGCTTAGAGCCACGGAGTTTGGGGTTGGCAGTGCGCTTCTTCTGCTTGCGTGAAGAACCGGTCTCGCCACCCTCGATGAACTTCACCAGCTCGTCGATGCTGCGGTTTTGCATGTTGGGATCAGCGGCGCCAGCGCCAGCGGTCTCAGGAGCGGTCTGGCCGACCTGAGGCTGGACACGAGTGCCCATGGTAGAGACACGGGGGTTGATGTTGACACGGCGCAGGCGACGGGCCTGGATGTCCTTGGCGTGCTTGGCGATAGAGACAGCGTTCTGGGTAAGCTGCTCCAGCCAGGTCTCCGCCTCCTTTGTGTTGCGGTCCTCGGGACCAAGCTGAGCAAGGAAGATGTTATAGGCCTCGCGCATCTTGCCAACAGCAGCCTTGGAGTCCTGGTCCAGGGCCAGAGCTTGGGCCAGCTGGAAGAGGATGGTGGCGGTGTTGATAGACTCCTTGCCGAACAGGTTCTCGCAGACGGTGAGGGAGGCCTCGAACCACTTGCGGGAGTCAGCATACTGCTTCAGGTGTTGCAACATAACTGCGGCGTTGTTCATGGTGGTGATGGAATCGGGGTGGCTAGCACCGTAGATAATCTTCCAGAGATCCATAGCGTGCTTGATATAAACCAGGGCGGTTTTGGTGTTGCCAGAGGCATGCTCGAACAGACTCAGGTTGAGGTAGGCAAGGATAGTGTCGGCAGAGTCGACACCAAGGGTGCGCTCAGTGACTATGACAGCCTTGCGGGCCAGCTCAACAGCAGCCTCCTTCTCATCGGTCTGGTAGTAGAGCATGGAGAGCTGGTGGTACAGCTTGGCAACCTCAGGGTGGAGGATACCGTAGATCTGCTCATGCAGAGAAAGGGATTCCAGAATGAGCTCCTGGCCCAATTGCTTCTGGTTCTGCATAAGAGAGATACGACCAGCCTCAAGGGCCTCCTCTGCCAGAGCACTGCGGGGAGAGGCATCCTTAACAAGGGGCACGATGTTCAGAATATCATCCGCAGAGATGGACACGGCAGGCTTGACCTCAACGGGGGCGCGGCTGGGGGACTTGTTGTCGCCACCCTTCTTCTTCTTCTTGTTCTTGCTGCTGTCATCGTGGCCATTCCCGTTGGCCGCGGGGACGGGGACGGGAGCCTCCTTCACCTGGTCCTTGGAGAAAGCGAACTCGCGGGCACCGAGCTGGAGACCCAGCTTGATGGAGATATCACGCAGAACCTGCATGTGGCGAAGGGAGTTCTCCCAGCTCTTGGCCAGGGAGAATCGGTAACGGACGGTGACCTGCTTCTCGATCTCGGCGCGAAGAGAAGCGGGAGTGACCTTCTCGAAGGAGAGGTCACCTTCGGGGTAGACCTCACGCAGCGACTCGTCAATTTCAGCGCGAGGAGCAGCGTTGACGTCGGCACCGAGCAAGCAGTTCAGCAGGTGAGCGATGCAGGGAGCAACAAATGGAGCCGGGACATTGCGCAGGTACTTGTGAGAGACATGCTTGAAAGCACGAGCGATCATCTCCTGGACCAAGAGGGTGGAAAGAGCCGCAAGGCGAGGGCCCTTCTCGCTGGATAGCTCAGCCAGCTTACCCAGGTAGCGCATGTTGATACCACGCTTGTGCAGGAGCTGAGTCAGGGACTGGCCATCCATGGGGAAGCCAACATCACCATCGTGCAGGTCCTTGACCAGGTCAGGAATGATCTTGGAACGCAGGTGGTCGCAAGCACTGCGGACTTCCTTCTCGTCTTCCGCCCACTGCTTCTTCTCCTCCTCGGTCTGGGGAACCTGGCCGCTGAAGACATCGGGGTTGAGCGAAAGCTGGAATCCGGAGATGTCAACACGCTCCTGGTCGGCAGACTCCTCGGTTTTCTCCTCGGTCTTCTCCTCGGCGCCTTCTTCGGTCTTGCTCTCGGCCTTCTCGGCACGGCGGCGCTCGACCTCGGCCTTCACATACTCGCTCATCTTGCTGCGCCAGTATGACTCAACGAGCTCCAAACGGAGGACTGACATACGGTGAGGGTATACATCGCTACCGTCTTCCTCTTGCCAGGTAGCATCCATGGGGGCCACGCGGTAAAGGTCGAGAACATACTTGCGTCCATCAGTGCCCAAAAGACCCTTAGTCTCAACACTGCCCTCGAGGTCGTGGCGCTTGCCATCCTTGTCCCAGACGGGGTGTTGCTTAACGCGGAGAGCCTTGGAAAGCTTCTCGAAAACAGGCTTGAAGTCAGGGTGGGTAGCCACAACCTCCTTACCCTCAACACCACCGTAGTCGATCTGGTGCTCACCGGGCTCACGCTGCTTGAAGATACCAGGGACAATACTCTGGCCAACAATACGTTTGCCAAGGTAGTCGACAACAATGGTACCGGGGGTGAACAGGCCCGGAATATCGAGCTGGTTCACGGCCTTGATACCCAGAACATCCTTGCCAACGGCAACGCGGGCGGCCTCGTCGCCACCCTCGGAGGTGAAAGTACCAACACCGTCAGCACCGAAGGAGTAGAAGATGTTGTTGTAGACGAAGATCTGAGCCTCACGGGCCTCGGTAGGGTTCAGAGGAGCAACCTCACCACGAGCAACCAGAACGGCACCACGGGCAGCAGCCTCATTGTAATCAGCAAACAGCTTGGAGGTCAGACGCTCGCGGAAGACACGGTCCTGGACAGTCTCGCGAGGCAGCTCGCGGGTAGTCTGGAACTCCTCGTTCCAGTCACGCAGGGTCTCGGCGTTGTCCACGCCAGAGATCAGGTAACTCTCTTGAGAGCGGGTAAGGTCGGGCTGGTGGGCGTTCTGGCTCGATGATACCGGGGCGACGAGCCATGGGCTGTTAGGAATTGCGTTTTGGAAGGGGAATGTGGTCAGGAGGTCCTTCTGGTTGTTGGACTCCTGGAGGGCCTCGAAGGAAGTATTGAAAGAGGCGGACAGCTGGGAGATCAAAGTAAGAAGAGAGTGGGCGCTGCCCTTGATTCCCTTGGGCATGACCTTAGGGAAAGGATCGAATCTGGTGTTGGAGTTCTTGTTGACGAAGAAACCCGACACGTGCGCAGTGATCTGGAACTGCTCGGCCTCGTTGGTGAGGACCTGGAGGTAGAGCAGGTGGCCCTTCTGACGGAGGTGGTAGGGCACCGGGTTCCATGCCGATAGCGAGATGGACTTCACAGTCTTTGGCAGAGGTGATTGGGGCTTCGGCAGGATGGTTTGCAGCGATGAGGGCCCAGTCAGGTTGTACTTGAGCAACGAGTGGTCCTTCTCCGACTCGGCGGCGAGGGCAGCCTCAGCGGAGACATCGTCGTGCAGCGAGAGACCGGCAGAGATACCGTGAAGGCTGTCCACCCGATCACCCGCCGCACCGACAAGCTCCCTCAATCGCACAATATGCATGCGGGCCTCCTTCTCGGTGTAGGGATCCTCCACCAGAGTGATTTCGGAATTCGCCTGCAGGTCCGGCACCTCGGAGAGCTCAATGAAGTCGTTGATGCGAGTTCCGTTGAATTCGAGGTGGAAGCATGTGTACTGGAAAGTGCCAGGCAGCTCGACGATAGATTGGCGGACATCTTGAACCTGTTCTTGGCTGGACACCTACAAGGAAAAAAAGACCCAGAGTCAGATGGTGACTTTCCTTAACTCCTAACAGAGAAAACACTTACCATGACCTGGATCTGGAAAGGATCATGGGGCAGCTTCACGGAGATTTCGAAAAGGCCTTGACACGAGTCAGAAAACCACAGCATCGGATCGTCTCAAATTATGCCACATACCACCAGCATTATCATCCTCCACACCCTCGGGGTGGTCGCCATTGGTTTGTTCCTGGGAAGTCGGGGGAACCTCTATGAAATGGTTAGAAAAATGTATCCTGGATTGCGGTCTACCACGTTGTATGCTGCGATCCCATGTATCGTGTGACCGTGTCGGGGAAGACTTGGAGGAGCGGGCGGACCTTTCGAGTGCTCCAACTCTCCATTGGATTGGGCCATTATGTCTGATTGATTATAAAAGATAGCTCTGGCAAAGTCAATTTGCGATCAACAGCTATCTCACACGCGATGCGTAGTTGAGACGAATGGCAGTGTCGGTGAATGGGAAAAGAGGCGAAGTGAGGACCCGGCGGTGATTGAGAAAGGGGGGAAAAAAAAGGTCGCTATGGTACAGAGAGGAAGCAGGGCAATTGAATCGAAAGTATCCAAAACCCCCGTACCCCAGAAAATTGATGCAAATAGGAAAATCGTCTGGTGAGGAACCGAAGCGGTAGAACGGAGAAAATTTCGCGGGATGCGGCATACCCTCGGAAGTGCTCGGGCGGTGGGTTCAAGTTCGGGGAAACCACCGCGGAGAGCATCTCCACAAAGATGTGTCATGACTTGCGAAATACGGAGGATTGGAGGGAAAGTACTGCAATAGTACCTAGGTAATAGACGACGGTGTTAACAGAATTGAATTGGTTGGGCAATCTCAGAATTAGAGTATCCCATAGCAATGTATTACCATATCAGGTCCCTCGAACCTATAGTAGGTACAGTACTACATAAGGTGTATCCATCCTTGTTTTTGTACTAATAGTTCTAGTCAGAGAGTACTATTTATCAGGCCAGTACTCCGTGCCTATCCAAGTCATGTAGTTCAAGTTGACGTAGGAAGTCCTGGAAGCGGTGTTTCAAGTTATCACGGGACTTGCGCACCGGGTAGCTTCCCGACGGACAAGTTTGCTTCCAAGGGTTGTATACTGTAGTATGGTATACTACTAGGTATACTAAGGTTATTAGCAATTTATCATTGGTATAGGTAATCTAATCAAATATTTACTGTTGATTTATATACGACTTGCCTGGATGCTAGTGCTACCTATCATACACCTGAATGGCGTAATTATTTTTCCTCTCCAGTGTTGACATAGTACTAGTAGTACTGCTACGAGTAGTAGTAGAACCGATACCATCCATTGAAAGTTCAAGTAACCGAGTCAACTTGAACTTACTTCGTACTCGTATATTATTATTTTATATATTATAATAACTACCTCTCGCACTGATACCCTTCTCTGGGAACTGACCACCTCCACGTCACAGCTGAGGAACACGACCGCCAAGCCTATGAGAGCCCTGGATCGATCGAGGCTGGGGACTCCACCGCGACTAAGCCACAACATCTTCTCCCTTCTTCTCTTTCTCTTTCCCTATATCCATTCATTCATTCCTTTGCCCTTTTTCATCAATTCCGGTGTCTCTTGCACACCTTTTTGGGTCATATACCCGTCCATTCTCTTTCCCCAACTCATTGACCCCCCCTGGTGGTGTGGCGCCTGGACGCATTTACCGTCTTACTGGAAGGCCACTGAACCCCTGCTAAGGCCGCGCATTGATCGACCTAACTTGCATCCTGACATAACTGAAAAATAAAATAAACTGAACCCAATCAAAAAAATAACAAGGTCAAAAAAAGTCTCTTTGGCAATCTTTCTTAATTGAAAGTCCAGACTTGGTGTATCCCCACCTAGCCACACCTAAGACTTATAGCCAAGATGCCATGGAATCGGCTCGCGCAGCCTCTGTCTCGCGCTGCTCGGCAAGGTCTACCGAGGCCCTTTAGGTCGTCACCCAAGTTCATTCCATTTACAGTCCGACGATTGAATTCCTCGGATCCAAAGAACACGGGTCAATACAACCCAGACCCGACGGATCAGAATGACTCGGAAGAAGGTAAGGGTCAGGGTCGTAAAAACGATGACCCTACCCTGAAATCAACAATTTTGAAGATGCTAGAGACAGCAGCCACAACCGCCGCGTCTATCGCCATCCTTGGGTAAGTCTGCAGTCTGCCTCGCGTGGTGTAGTCCTAAACTAACTCTTCTCTCCCAGAGCTGCAGGTTACTCGTACCACCAGTACTACAAGTACTTGATCCTAGATAAGATGGATAATGCTTTCAACCCGGGTGACCCTGCCCTCGAAGTTGCAGGCGTTGTATCTGGAAAGCACCAGTATGATCATGAGGAGCATTGGGTTGTACGAGACGAGCAAGTGCGCATTGATGATATCATATCAGGCCGACGTCGTGGCCATTACTATCTAGTGATCGGTGAGAAGGGTACCGGGAAGACATCCATGCTTCTTGAGTCCATGCGCAAGATCAACGGCGATGGATGTGCCATGTTTGAGGCTCATGCCGATCTTGAGATTTTTCGCATTCGACTGGGCAAGGCACTTGATTACGAATTTCATGAAGAGTATGTCCTCATCCGCCCTGTTTGTCTTTAAGGGATTATCTAACATATTGCACAGCTACATTGGGAGCTTGTTTAGTATTCGTGGGCCGCGCGATACTACAGCCCTTTTGGATATTGAGCGAGCTTTCAACAAATTGGAGAAGGTTGCCTTGAGCAGAAGAAAGCTGGGCTCGTCACCTTTGGTTCTTATCATTAACAGCACTCACCTGGTTCGGGATGACCATGACGGCCAGGATTTGCTTGAAATGATCCAACAGCGGGCCGAGCAATGGGCTGCCAGCGGCCTTGTCACAACGAGTAAGTTCCAAGTCCCTTGAATCTATGACGCCAAGGCAACGAATACTCATACCTTCCAACAGTTCTTAACAGCGATGACTACTGGGTATACGAGCGTCTCAAGCGCTATGCGACTCGAATGGAGGTCATTCCTGTTACCGATCTGCCCAAGGACAAGGCTATGACTGCCCTGAAAAGGTATCGCAGTCGGTTCTACGGCGAGAACCTACCATCCAAGATCCTAGAGGAGGTCTACGATAAGGTGGGCGGGCGTCTCTCTTTCTTGAATCGAGTAGCCAAATCCCCCGACATCGTGAAAACTTGCGAGGAGATTTGCCGGGCCGAAAAAACTTGGATCCTCAACAAGTGCTGGATCCTTGGAATGGAGATGGATGATGATGTGATGGACGAGCAAAAGTATTCGGTAAGTGGCTATTCTGGCAGTCACCAACTTAATAGGAGAACATCGCGGCATACTAATATCTAGTCTAGTCTGCTGCCATGGTCCTGGCTAAGGCCTTGGTGGACCGTGAGAAGGAGATGGAAAAGACCTACGACCCCGAGAGAGGTCATATTTTGCCCGAGATCCCTCTCCATGAAGCGCGCGAGATCATGACTCGCGCCGATTTCATTCAAGCCTATGATCACGAGAATATCTTCACCATCGATTCGCGTGCGATGGTACGCGCCGATTCCGTCCCTATGCAGCTCGCATTCCGAGAGATTTGCGCTATTGAAGGATTCGACGATCATCTGGAAGGCACTTTGCAACGTATTGGTGACATTGAGAGCCTCGGTCGCACCAGAGAGCTCACCATTAAGGATCTCTGGAATCAAGGCAAATACCGCATTGTTGTGCGGGATAACAGAGGCAATGAGAGCGGAACAGTAGAATTTGCTGTGGCCGAGAGCGAGAAAGAAGAGTAGAAGTAGGTGGACTTCCCGGGACAACCTTTCTATGTAATTTTTTAGTCACTTTTAATCAAAAAAATACTGCCGAGTTCTTTGATTTCGGAAGTAAATCATAGTTGACCTTGAAATTGGCGGCCGCGACCTTGGAAGCTCCAGTAGTGACATCATCACGCACTCACACCGCATTCCACGCCTGCCTTTTCCCTTCATCGCTGCGTGCCACCTCACTTTTCCTGCATTTACTGCTTGCCATTGAAAGACTGAAGCTCGCTATGGCCCCGAGAAAGAGAATCTCGTCGGTGAATGACCTCGCAATGCCCTCCTCCCAAGTGCGCGACCCCAACGATGCCTTGACAGCAATGGCTCCTTCGCCATCGTTGGCGCGCATCCCCTCACCAGCTCGCTTTGCCCTGGTCGTCTTTGGCAGCTTGATCATGAGCTCCGTTCTATTTACCTTGACTGCAGACGTTACGCAGGGTGATCTTGGTCTGGTCAGCAAGCACCTGGAGGAATGGTGGGAAGTGGGGGGGGCTGGTGGCATGGAAAGCCGCGGAAGTCGGATTGGCCTGGGTTCTTGGTTTTGACAGTACGTGAACCATTTTTGACTTTGGATATGCACAGCAGAGGCAGTTACAGCTCCTCAATTCAAGGATTCGAGCTAACCAGAGTTTTGCGATCGTAGGCTGGGATGTCGCATCATTCCTATTCCTAACCCACCAACCCACCTTCTCGCTCCTCTCTTTCTTCTATGGCGTGCGACCAACTTCGACTCTCGCCTCATATTTGATAACGATTCTTTCAACTGTCGTCCCATTTGCGTTCCTACGTCGACCCACTTCGGTTCACGATCTCTCCCATGCGCCGTCTGGTGCAGTGGCCAACCGAACTATCCTACAGGATACCGCTACTACGATCTATACCATCCTCGCCGCGACTTCGATATTCAGCATTGTGCTATATGGTAGCTATGCATCGTGGCTCCCCGCCCAGTTAGTCGTGCACTTTGAAAGCCTTCCGGACATCAGCGCCGCCCATGCTGGCCCTGCCGGTTTCCCCGCTCTCTTCTTGACGCTCATCCCCTCCGGCTATGCCGTCCGCGACTTTTTGTTCGTCAGCTCAACGGGCCACGCCGAGAATGTCACTGAGGAAGCAGAGCCCGCAAACCGCGAGGACGAGTATTTGATCGTCGATTTCTACCGTAAGACCTGGGGTCAACTATCCGTCAAGACTCGCATCCTTATCTCCCGAACGCTCATTCTTGCGTCCAGCGTTTTGCTCAACACCACTGTGCAAATTGCCGGTACCATCCAAGATGTCTCTATTCAAGGTGCAGCTATCTGGGGCAGTGTCTGGGCCATATCTACTTTAGCTATTGGTGCTACTTTCAGTTGGATCGAAGCTGTGGACGGCGTATGATTTGCGATGTTATAAGCCTGTGATGCAAGGTGTTGATGCCTCTTTAAAATGGCATCTGGCGTTGAACGCGACCGGATTGTGCTTCAAGTTTTGATCCTTTTACCTGGCGTTCTGAATAGATCCGTCGAAAGTTTTCCAGAGGCTATCCCCCCGATTTTATGTCGAGACGATCACCTGTTCTTGCCCATATTGAATCTTATCTTTGCCGTGCGCTTGTCTTTATATCGTGTACTTGTAGTTTTTATTGAGACCTTATGTTACCTCGTGTACCCTAGTCTTTCCTCGCCGGAAATCTTACGATGGTCATTATCTTTAACAATTTGAAAGCTCTGCTATGTTTGGTGTGTGATGCATCTATTTGCGTAACGGGTATATGAAACAAACTCACACTAGTTCTAAAGACTCGGATATACAAGATGAAGTGAAAAATGAGGTCCTCAAACACCATGATGCCGTTCAAAGGAATTGTTTAACTGGACCTCATCAACAGAGGAAGCATCCGGCTTGTTGGAAGAATTCCGGTTTTGAGGAAGAAGCCAACCAGGATGAAGAACGTTGAAAACCGCGACGGCAACAATCATCATAGCACCGTCCAGTGCAATGAAATAGCTCTCGTGGGTAATCAGATAACCCGACCAACCCTGGGACAGCTCGATCGTACGATATATGCTTCTGATATAGATGCAAACCACGGAGAGGATTGTTGCGGCGAAAAGAGGGATAGCGGACCCGGTCAGATTCTGCAGTAGACGGAGACGTATACAGCGACGAACGAAATCCGCGGCGCAGATGACGAAGATGGTTATGGAAAATAGTTGAAAGACGATACCGGCGACCATGGTGTGGGTTCCTGGGGCTGTATTGCCACCGACTTTACCTGCTTGGCCAGAGGCCAAGCCACCACCGATTGCTTGGACGACAAGCGATATCACATCACAGGTGCAGAAGATCCAGAGGTATAGATTTGGTCGGAGGATGGAGGACTCGGGGCCCAGGATTTGAATGAAACGGCCGAGGATGACGTAGATACCGGCGGTGAAGAATGTTGGAGCTAGAAATAGTCGAGTTAGAAGGTTTGGAAGAGTAGTTGTTCTATCATGTGCGACTCACCGATAATTAGGGTGGAAATTTGCATGAGAAACGCCGTCGAGTTGTATGGACACTCGGCGGACCAAGTTCGACCAGCCCATCCGATGACTTCCACGAGGCATCCGATGCTGAATACAGATGCCCACCATGTTCGTGTCCAGCAGAACTGGACTGTGTGTAAGATCATTGAAATTCCAAAAAGAACGCAATAGGCGATTCCGGCCCCAAGGGTTGGGACGTATCCGTAGGACGTGTCGATTCCTTCAATTTTGGCATGACAGCCAATGAATAGGCTTTGTCTGTCCATGGTATTGATATTCAATGAAGTAGTATATGACGAACTCGGAAAGCCTCGGTGGAGTTATATGTCGGCGAAAGAATATGAGGTAATAACAGTAGCATGCGCGTTATTGCCAGTATTATTATTATGAGACGGTGATGCTTCGGATACCGGCGGATATATTGGTGAGCAGTCGTTTGTTTCAAGAGGGCATCAATGGACAAAAATCGAGAACAAAAGGAAGATTCACACAGTAAGATAACGTGCAAAGACTTCGAGAAAAGCTCCGCCAGCTTTTACCCGGGCGAAGTACTTCTCAAAGAGCGTTTATTAGTAGTATCAAGGTTGAACGGCGGCGCTAGCCCTAGGTCAGCGAATCGGCTCGTAAGTTCATGGAAATGGGATGCCGCAAGGTATTTGACTTGAGGCGCCCTCCATTACCTGCAACGGCGTCCGGCCATAAGCCATGCCGACCAACGGGGAAGCCAATCATGACTCGCGATGACTCGCAAAATTCATGCTCGGCGCGGATTTATGCACATAATCCCGACGGGTATACTCCGTAGAGCAGATGGGAAAAAAAATCATTACAAAGTGGGGGTTCAACTACGCAGAAGTGGATCGGCCTCGCCATGCGATGTTGAATTTGTGCCCTATCAGATCCAGCATCAAAGCACAGGAACCATACAAAACCAGGTCTGGGCGGGAGTCGGTCCGAAGAACTGTCCCGCAGCCGTACACTTCACCTTGGCCTCGCAAGATCATCCCTAATAGGTTTAGCGTCAATGAGGATACGAGACAATTTTGTTCTGGTCCGATCCGACAAACCCGTGTCCGTGTCCGACTAATGTCCGTATCTGGACGAGCGATGCGGCTAGGTCTTTTTTCTGTATGTACATGAAATCGGGAGAAGAGGCTCCGAAAATATTTAACTTTAGGCTCATCGGCAGTATCGCACGATTGGGTATCAATATCTCTTGGCCTCGTGTTCCGTTACTTGCTGGCTGATGGCTGATGGCTGATGGTTCACGGCTTCCACCGGTATACAGTAGTATGCCCTGATCCCTTCATGTCCATGCGCCAAATAACCTACTATTTAGTATCTTACTTACTTAGATTCAGTATGGAGTACATTGAGGTTAAGATCAAGCATTTTGTACAAGTAGAATATGTGATCATTGTGGTAGTTCTAATGGATTACTCGGTCTATTGCGAGTATTTGACCAAATCAAGCCACAGATCCAATGCGCACTAAGGAGACCCCAAATGAGTGTTTTTTTCGCTTTTGGCTCCTCTAATAGAGCGAATTTCCACTGATTGTCCGACTCTAGTCCCTATTGTGACCACATCCGTCTACATTGACCCAAAGATGACATATAAGAAAAAGAAAGAAAAAGAAAGAAAAAGAAAGAAAAAGAAAGGAAAGGAAAAGAAGGAAAAGCGAAAAAAAAATAAATCCCAAAAGCCGGCCATGCGTCTCTTCATTTTTCATTTAACACCAAATTGTATGATCCGCGCATCTCATCCAACTAGCATTGCAGCTCGGCAGAAGCGAGTTTGCTTTCGGCTGGTGAGCCTTTTGGCTCTTTTGTGCCTGAGTTGTTGATCGACCGCAAAACAACGGATGGATGGAAGACATTCATCACGAGCATGACCAAGAACATCATCAAGGCATCAAACACGTAAAGAAAAACCTCATGGCTGATCACATAACCGTTGTCCCCTTGGATAAACTCGATGACACGGTAAACAGACCGAATCAAGATCAACACACTAACAGTATATAGTGCGAAGAGGATTCCTTGCCAGTTCCGCGGGATCAACCCACTAGCAAACGAGATCTGGGACTCTTCTGTAGGCGATCGCATGATTCGGCAGTTGAAGATGATAGAAGTCACCAAGAAAGCTCCAAAGAAGACAAGTTGGACACAGAGACCCCCAACAATGATCCACTGGCCCACCACCAGGAGGTTTGCGGATCCACTGCTAGTCATTACGCCACCACCTGGGGAAATGGGAATTAAAGTTAGTTTGGTATAAATCAATAATTAATGGTTCTTCTCTCGTCCTACGTACCTGCCCCTTGGAGGACAAATGAGAGCACATCTCCCATAACGAAGATCTTGGTCATGAATTGAACAGGCACATAGCTCAAATGTTCTCCTTTTAAGGATGTGATGATTCTTCCAAGGACCATATAGATGGATGCCGCGTAGAGGGTCGGTGCCAACAGAATAAATAGAGTCTGCATGGCATATAGTGTAGTCGCTGTTGTATGGAAATGAGAGATGGCACGAGCTGCATAGCCGATAATCTGGACTGTGCTTGAAATTAGAAACTGCCAGAGACGGAACTATCACAGGGGTCGGATTCGGGCTTACATATTCCTCCAACAATGAAAGGGTTGAAGTATTTCGCATGCGTTCTGATTCGCTGGTAAAGATGAAAGGCAGTGGTTAGGAAAAATAACGCAGCGAACAAAACCGCACCGACCAGGGTAGGCGTATATTGGTAAAGTTTGAAGGTAGAAGATGCCATGGCTAAATATGCAAAAGGCTAATTTTGTGGACCTGAAGATCTGACACTTGAAGTTTTGGAGTTCGATTAGAATTGTTGGGTCTGGACTCTACAGGATCTGACAGACAACTCGACCTTTAAGTATTCTGGGATGGCAACATTTTTCCCTAGCAAAGATCTCAATCGGTAAAAAGCTAGATATGATTCTAGGCACCACTGAATGAAGAGTCCGCGGCAAGAATTGGTTCTATGTTTATCTCACTTGTTAAGCTTGTTGTCTGAAGGTTAAAGTAAGTTTTCGGATTCTGGTCCGAACCCGAGTACGAGTCCGAGGGCTTAGAGTTAGCCGCAGCCCGGCCACAATTGCGACAACCCCACTGATGGGCATGATCTTTATCTTCAATACCTGTCTGTGGTTGGTGTAAAAACAGAAATAGATGTGATAGAAATAAAGTTGAAAATTGAAAATTTCGAAAATCCCCAACGGTTGGTTTTCTCATCTGCAGTATACTACGCACACGAATCCTTATTTAACAGAGCGATTTCAAGTGATAGATAATTTCACTTCTATTTTCGTACAAGCCATTCTCTAGATAATTCACTTGGGTAAAAGTCATCTGTTGCCTATATATTGAGTAGCAAGACAAAATACGCACCTAGTCAGAAGGGGGTTATAAGTGATTGCTTGTGTCAAAGGCTAGACTGGGTTAAAAGGCGGCATAGAGAATCCTTTTTTGGGCAAACCTTGAAAATAGGCTCCGCATTTCTCGCATCCACCATCTGTGTTCTAAAGCTGCTACATGCTAGTGCAGGATATCCATAATGTAGGATAGTTGAAGTGGAGACGCATGGACTACTAGATCCAGTAGGATCTCATGAAGTCCGAACCCGAGTTTTGCTCCCACCACTAGGACAAAAATAAGCTTGGCATCCCTCGACTTTTTTGAAGATCAACGTAAAATCAAAGTTAAACAAGAAATTGACAGCTATAGGGTTATTTTCAGCCAATTGGTTATTTTGAAATAGGCATCCACATAGTCCAGGCTTAGCACGGTTGTCGATCTCCAGCCTCGAACCAGCAATGAAGATTTTAAGCCATGGAGAATGCCGAGTGTAAGACTCGAACAGAAATCTCAACCTGGAGACTGACCGCAGCACGCTCCTGAATGCTGATCTTTCCTAAGCCCCTGGCCCTACTAGTATCTGATACTACATGTCTGCCTAAAATCATCGTTGAATACTTTAAAAAGATTTTCGAATGACTGCAATCATTGGAATCATTACAATTATTTGCCAATCCATCACTCATACAACGAATTCTGGCCAAAAATCCTTTCTCTGCGGAGATGGAATCTATGCAATGCGAGCTATACCTATATACACCCAGCTTTCCTCTGGCATTGGTGGCTATCATCATCTTTTCGGTTTTGACGACAATTCATTTCCTCCGCATGACTAGAGCCGGAACATGGAGCGGTGTATACTTTGTCTTTGGGGGTGTTGGTAGGTCCCGAGATCAAAATTACGACACCTAGTACTACCTAGGGTCGTATGAGTTAGTTTGGTTTCTAATCATTCACTACAGCGCAAACATCGGGATATACAGCGCGCTTATTTTCAACACAAAACCCATGCAATAAAGTCGCCTACGGCATCCAATCTGTTTTGCTACTAGTGGGTCCGACTTTGATGATGTTCTCCGTCAATTTGGCCATGATTGAATTTACTCGAGCACTGAAAGCGGAGAGATTCTGTTGGGTTCCGGTCAACTTACAGCGGCCACTATACCTCAGTATGAACACTGTCTTGGCTCTCATTCAAGGCATTGGAGGTATTATGACTGCATCATCTACCAACGTCACGATCATCGCAGCCGGGACTAAAGTCGGAATTGCAATATTCATAATCCAACTGGTATTTTGGCTCTTTACCCTCGCAGAAAACACGTATATAACAATACGTCTGCGCCGTGGGTCGTCAGAGACCAGTCAATCGGCATTCCCTACTTGGAAGTATTGGAGCCAGCTTTTTGGACTTGCAGTTTCTATCATCGCATTGGGTCGTAATATCATGCGATTGACTATGGATGGTGGAATCGAATTTCTTCTCGTCAACGAGTGGACATCATATGCATTTGATGGCTATCAAATGGCGGTGGTTCTGGGGGTGTGGGCGATCTGGTACTTACCAGGAAAGTGCCGAGATGTATCAGAAATGACGCCTCATAGTATGAGCCTCTATAGACTCCATACCAGAGGCTCAGACGAGACATGATAGGATGCAGGGAAGAGAAGACAGACTCCGCAGAGAGAGATACGAAACTTGCTGAAATGCACTTAGTTCTTAATTAGGTATCGCTTAATGGAGCCCCAGGAGAGTGAAAACTACATTTGAATTGCTCTATCTGAATGTTGGCATAGCGTACATCTCATCCGGATCTAGAAATTATATTAGCTTGAAGGGAACTCCGACTTAAAGCTGGATTATATAGTAAATCCAAAACATCAACTTACCCTCTTGGTGTTCGATTATGTACTTCCTGGTCTGAACAATATTATGCTGGAACTCAATATCTAGTTCATGCTGACGGATGCGAACTTTTTCGTTGTACTTTCCCGCACCACGTACAGCCGCTTGCGCAACGTGGTAGCGTGAGGTGCGATTCACTAGCATCATATCGAAGGGAGTGGTCGTGCTACCCTCTTCTATGTATCCTGCAATTGAGACTCGTTCAAGTCGGGGCCGACCAAATAATAGCCCCTTCATTTCAGCCGGGTAGCCATGGTAGTTGATATGGATGGACCTATCCTCGGTGAAAAGATTGTCGAATGCCTCCAACTTCAGCGCATGAGGATGTTGTCCTTCGTTACCAAGAATCATAAGATCAGTCACATTGACCACGCGGATACGGAGCGATGGGATACGCTGTCGTAGAAGTGCAGCAGCTTGAATAACTTCAAACATGAGCTCAACACCAATACCCACTAGCACCACGTCGGGATTTAGTCCGTCATCTGTGCTACAGAACTTCCAGATAGACGCTCCTGTCCGGCAATGATTTTCTGCTTCCTCCGGCGTCAGGTATACGGGTGTCGGCTGTTTGGAACCAATCATCAGATTGACATAATCTTTTGACTTCAAGCAGTGGTGGATCGTCGTGAGGAAGGTATTTGCATCTGGTGGCAGATAGACGCGAGCAGCCGTATGTTTCAGATTAAGGACAGACCCGATGAACGAGGGATTTTGATGGGAGAATCCATTGTGCTCCTGGCGTGTCCAAGTGCTGGTCTCGATATAGTTGATACTGCTGATGGGATTACGCCATTGGGTTTCCTTAGCCTGGCCAGTAGATTAGTGAACGAGTCAAGAAGAATAGCACGGATGAACTAACTATCCCAGTGAACTTGGCGTACTGCACCATCATAGTGTGAATGATATTGAGGAAACTCTCATACGATGGAAAGATACCCGTGCGACCAGTCAGGGTATACCCCTGCAGGAAACCCTGACACAAGTGTTCACTGAGAACCTCAACTACCCGACCCCCACGTGCATTGGCAAATTCATCCCACTGGAAGCTGCGGTTGGTACTCTCAAAGACAGCGTCAAGCTTGTTGCTCTCCAGCTCATCAGGTGAGAAGAGTCGAACATTGCGGGGGTTCTGGATAAATGTCTCATTGATGAATCTGCCGACTGCTTTCATGGCGCTCTCATCCGTCCCCTTTTTGGCGCAAAGTTTTTGCCAGTCTGGAAGCTTCGGTGCGATGTAGCTGTTGTAAGACTCAATGCGCTGGCCCAACTTCTTCGAATTATTGGTTGGGATAACGGATTTGATCTCGTCAACAACGTCGCCTGTCTCTGTGAAAAGCTCCCGGGGTTGATAACTAGAAAGCCAGCTCTGTAGGAGGCGTAGCTGCTCTTTATCGGTCTTGGCCTTTGGCAATGGTACTTGATGGGAGTGAAAAGAACCTTCGATAAAGTGACCATCAAGTTGCTTAGGTCCGGACCATCCCTGTAAAGCGGTATCAATTTCCAAGTTCTTCGAGCACTCTTTGTGTAAACTTACCTTTGGGGTGCGTAAAACAAGCATTGGCCACCTGGGCTTAAGAATCGGCTTATCAGATCGAGCAGCATGCTGTATCTTATGAACTTGGTCCACAGCCCAGGCCATCGAGTAGTGTAGATCTGTGTCAATATCATTAATATTTTCCACAATGCGGACCTGGTATCCGTATCCAGAAAACAGGGCCGCGAGCTCTTTGTTATCCATGCAACCGAATATCGTGCGCTCGCTAATTTTGAAACCATTCACGTGAAGGATGGGTAGAACAGCCCCAGATTCTTTGGGATCTAGGTATTTTATTGCATGCCAAGAGCTGCACTAGTCAGAAATTGTAACCATGAGTATATGAAAGACAGAACTTACGTAGCTGTGGGACCGGTTTCAGCTTCGCCATCTCCAATAACACAAGGAACAATAAGATCGGGGTTATCCATGGCAGCACCAAAGGATACAGCCAAGGCATACCCCAGTTCGCCACCTTCATGAATAGCTCCAGGCGTTTCAGCATTGATATGACTGAGAAACGGTTAGATCGTTCGAGGAGTGAGATGACATCGTAGAGGTGCCAACCTTGGGAGCCCGGCCGTTGTGCTAAATGAGGATATCAAATTGTGAAGACCTTGAGAGTCCCGAGAATACTTTGGGTAGAACTTCTCCAGGGAGCCTTCCAGCCATAGGGAGGCCAATATTGCAGGGGCGCCATGTCCTGGGCCAACCACGTAGAGCATATCAAGGTCCCTTGTTTTGATCAGATAATTGAGGTGAGAATACACCAAAATCAGACCAGGACATGTTCCCCAATGTCCTAAGTAGACTGTATAAGTATATCATGTAATGGTAGGTGGGGAGGTAGAAGATGTGCTCACCAAGCAATCGAGGCTTGATATCATCAGCGGTGAGGTCTCTCTTTAAAAGAGTGTTATCCCGCAAAAATATCATCGCTACAAATTAGCCGTTTTTTTTTTGAAAAGCTATTTTTTATAACAAAGGGGAAGATTGAATTGATTTACCTGCTGCGATGTACGAGGCTGCTTTCCGGAATTTCAACAAGACATCGCATGCTTCTTGATTAAGAGTTTCTGAGGGAAGCCGAACCTCCAATTTCTCTAAACATTCAGGCAAGTGCGAAGGTAACGGCGCCGGATTTGGATGGTCGATGACTTCGCCGGGCATAGTTGCGAGTGGTTATGGGGAGATGGAGCTGTCTCCGATGGTACGATATGATCGGCACGGGAGCGACGGGGCCCAACGGGATCCGCACGAAGTATAAAATTTCAATGTAGATGGAAGTCACAAGGCAACCGATTGATTGAGTGGTCGATTGTTGAGGATTGAGGAATGTGAAAACAAAGCTAGGCGCATGTATCAGACAATTACCACATCCATGGGTCATGCCATGGGTCTGGCCATAAGCGGTTGATAGGGGGGGTATTTTACCCGCCTTTTTTTTCCTCCGGTCGACGTCACAACGGCCATCCTGACATCACCTTCACAACCCCGGTCGCCCAACCAGACTCAAGTTGAAACCGCTCCTCACCTCATTCTTGCGACAGCGAGTTGTCTTACCTGCCTGCCGTATCACTGCCATGGCCAAGTCTATTCTGGCCGTCAACGCTGGCTCGTCCTCGGTTAAGGTGACCTTCTATACGTTCACGAACCCCCCCACGCGCTATCGCCGACGCGCAAGTGTCCGGCATCACAGCACCACCTGCCACCTTCAAATACCAGCGAGGTGAGTTCAAACAGAAGGAACAACCACAGGAAAACTTAGGCACTCCACAGGATGCCTTCAAGTACATCCTCCAGCGCTGCTTCAGCGATCCCGAATTATCCGAGGTCGCCAGCGACAATGATCTCGCGTATATCTGTCATAGAGTCGTCCATGGCGGCGACTATTGTAAAGAGATTGAGATAAACGACGATACGCTTCATCGTCTCGAGGCACTAGAAGACCTGGCACCGCTGTACGTGGAGGAAACAACCCAGCATAACTTCGAGATGTATATTGACAATTTCTTTGGGGCAACAGACACAACTTCTCCGCACTAGAAATTATTCGACTATGCAAGAAAGAGCTTCCAAGTGTGGCAAGCATAACATTTTTTGATTCGGCCTTCCATCAGACCATGCCTCTTCATGTGAAGACATACCCAATTAACCAGCAAATCGCTAAAGCTAATGGACTGCGCAAGTACGGATTTCACGGAATCAGTTACTCTTTCATTCTTCGCTCCGTGGCTCAATTCTTGGGCAAGCCGGCGGAGAAAACCAATTTGATTGTTATGCACATTGGAAGTGGAGCTTCGATCTGTGCGATCAAGGACGGCAAATCCATCGATACCTCGTGAGATACCCACCTTGACGGAACCAGGAGGACTCAACGCTAACAGACAAATAGAATGGGCCTCACGCCCCTGGCAGGCTTGCCTGGGGCGACACGAAGTGGAGATATCGATCCCTCGTGAGTCAAATCTCAGAGTGTTGATGGTAGATCTTCGTGCGGGTAGTAAGGCTGACTGTCCTCGTTTTTGCAGTTTGGTTTTCCACTATACAAACGAGGCTGGGAAATTGAGTCCCGCGAGCACCAAGGACATGCATCTGAGCACGGTAAGAAGTTAGCCCATTCCTCGTCTTGCTTCGCCAACTAACTTGCGGCGTCATAATTAGGCGGAGGAAATTCTGAACAAAGAATCAGGATGGAAGGCTTTGACCGGAACCACGGACTTCTCGCAAATTGCTGTTGAAAATCCGCCTTCGGAGGCCCACAAGCTTGCCTTTGATATCCTTGTTGACCGCATCTTGGGATATATTGGGAACTACTACGTCAAGTTGGGGGGCGAGGTCGATGCACTCGTCTTTGCCGGCGGCATTGGCGAGAAGAGTGCGTTATTGCGGCGAATATTGGCCGAGAAATGTCACAGTCTAGGCGTGGCGATTGACTCCGACGCTAATGGCAAGGGGGTGGAAGAGGATCAGATCGTGAAGGATATCTCCAAGGGCGGCGGTAAGGGGCCCCGCACGCTGATTTGCCAGACCAATGAACAGGTGAGTCAATCTCAAGACGGGGAGAAGCTTAAGAGGCTGTTTGCTAATCGGACATTCGCAGTTCGAAATGGCATACCACATCGTCAGCTCGCGGTCGTGATTTCCGGTTAGATGAGTCGATTTCAACAGAGCGACTAAAGGACACCGACAGCACACTCATACGATTGTTGAATATGGCCTGTACATATTAATTCCAAAACCAGATGTGACAGGTTCACATTAAGACTTCTTTTTGGGTGTTTTGTGAAAGGTACTCCGTACATGACTGGTGTAAAAGCAATCGACGCGTCAAGAAATGTAGTGTCTTGTAATAGGGTTCAGGAACGCAGCGCACAGTTCGTCAACATTTTGCGCCTCACAGAAGTCCCAGTCTCTTTTCTTTTGTCATTCTTGGTAGGGGGCTCGATAGGTCCCTGCATACCGATGCATCTTTCAGTCAATCCCGGCTGGAGATCAGGCGGTCGGAGTGTCCGCCCACCATGTCATTGGGCGGCAGCCACCACCACCAGAGGAATGGATGTGATGTATCGATCGGGCCCAAGTGGGCGGATTCGACAGCTTGCGTCGGGGGGAATCTGCTTCCCCGATCCCCCTCAAGGTTGATCCCCTAGTCTAATGCACGATGCGGGTAGGGGACGAGGATATTCTTATCGAGAGCAGCATGAGATTGGTCGATCGCTGAGTGAGATTAATCTGCTTTTCCGAGGAGATCAATGTGAATCATGGGAGATAGCACAGATCTGCAAGATAATACAGATAGAAGTCGGGAGATCCGAGTTTAACCTTAGCGCTGGGATCTTTTAGGTCCTCCTCTCATGTACGGAGTGCAGTTTCAGGCTGCATAAGCGTCTCTCAGTCCGTCGTGTACTTCTGATCTCTCTCTGCACGGCTGTACAGAAGTACATTATGCAGTCGATCGAATGCAGCATGTATGTCACCTTAGTCAATCTTGGAGGCGATATGGCCCGGCACAGTGGTTGGGCATGTACGATGAACGGAGTACGGAGTACATCTCCGTCTCGAGTACTCCGTTAGCTAGGATGCAGTATCCCAAGTCCTCCCTATTGACGCTGCAATGCACCACCAAAGTGTCGTGCTTTGCTGTTTGGGGTGTGTCATTCTGCATTTGGGCGCAATGCGCGCGACCGCGACCGATCTGGCGTGACAGCCACTTCTTTCCTTTTTTTGGCCCTTGGTTCCCAGGGTAGGGGGTTGTGTTCCTTTCCCAGCCTCTCATTTCCTCGCTCGGGGGCGCACATCTGGAAGCCGTGAATCTCCACTAGCGGGGTGGAAACATCAGGCGTTAACATTCGACTGGTCGCGGAACCCCTGACGAAGGAGCCGGACCCTCTTTGGCTCTTTTCTGGCTTATTAGGTGGGTCACACTGGCGTGAAGTGTATCCATATTGTACTGTGTATGGCTCGATCGAGGGCAAAGATACTGGTTGTGGCTCCCCTCTTCCCCCCCATGCCTCAAGGTTGGACTTGCGTCACAGTACCTTAAGGCGACGCGATATGGAGAATGGGGAAAGTAAGAAAGGAAAAGTCAGGGGCGGCTGACCCGACAGGGAGGGAAAGGGAGGACGATCGAACCCGACATGGTGGGTGTTGGTGCCGTGGAGAGGCAGCGATCATCATCATACTGTGCTCATCTGGCAGGGAAGCTTGAAGGATTGGAGGCTGTCACTCGTTTCCCAAAATGGAACCACCCAACTCCACCTGGATGGGATGGTTTTCCGGTTTGACGGAGAGCAGCGGGCAAACAAAGGATCTCCAACGCGGGTCTCGCCGCAGTGCGGTCTTCGGGTGATCTCAACTATTGAGCTAGAAAGACTTGAGGGGATTGGTTGACTCAAAAAAGGGGGGATGAATGAATGCTGGTTTACCATCATTGCTCTGTATAGGGAGTACGGAGTACAGTGAGTTCCGAAAGTTGCCCTATGTGTACTCCGTACTTTACGGAGTCCCACGTACATACATACTAGGCACACTAGATCCCGGGCTATTCGGCCTAAAGATGCATCGTGGATCATACAGTAGTCTATACAGGTTCCAGGCACTCGGGTGGGCGCAGGTCCATTTCTTTTCCATTTCTTTTACCCTTTACTTGTCTCTTTCCTTTCGCGATTGCCGTTGCGGAGCATAGCGGACTTGTGAGCTCCAGGCCCAGCGACGGTGGAGGAGACGGTGTGGACATGGTGGACATGGTGGATCAAACCTGGTTTCCACTTGTTCCAGAATGCTTCTGTTTATGGAGTTGAATATCCAGGAAAATCTTCGCTAGGATCGTCCGGCTTCACTTCCGCGCAGCCCTAGCTACGCCACTCTGGATTCACATCCCTGTGGTTGGAAATGGATGGGCGAATGACCCGTCCTGATCAAACAATGAGAAGCAAAGTACCGAGTACCTTGGTACGTATGTACGTACCTAATGTATCCTACACAGGGCCGCATTTTTGAGAGATTGACACATCGATCGACGGCTGTCAGAACAAAGAAGATCCAGGGTGGCCCCCTGCTTGGTGATGCTCATCCTGCAAGGTGCATCGTCGGCTTCGCTGCTTTGCTTCCAGTTGGTCCTGGCCCAGCGCCACCATGCAGGCGGACTGCGTCTACGCACGGGACGGCAGCGCTGTTCTATATACGGTTATCCCGGATCGGAAAATTTTTCATATCTGATTTCCATTCATGATGCTCTACTACTTCGTACATACCTACGCCAAAGAGATGTATGTAGGTTGTACATGTACTCCGTACTCTGCAGCTGTTTTTGATGTGCTTCATGCAGGCAAGGGATCGACGATGATTTGGTGGGTTAAGGCTCCACGGAGTTGAACAAAGAAGAACGACAGTCCAGTTCATGCAATCCAGCTAAACCTTGTTTCAACGGGAGAACTAATGCATCGAGCCGCACTCTGGAGACGCATCCAGGAACCCGCTGTGGCAAGCTCATCCGACAGGATCGGCTCGGGAAAGAGCTTGGAAACCCAGGGAACCAACAGATCCAGAACCTTGGATCAAAGGACGGGCCGTTACAGGTTATCAGAAAATCATGGCCCTCATTTGGTGGGAGCCTTGACCGACACAACAGACATAGTTTTGACACTAAAAACTAGACACACAAGACACGTAACGGGGAGAACGGAGCAAGAGCCCGGCGAGAGGAGCCCGGTCGATTAACATTGAGAAGCCTTCCTATTTGGGCGATCGAAAGAAAAAAAAACAGTTGGGTCTTTCTCTGAGCGTTTCTTTGGCTTTTCGTTTCTTTCTAGCGTGATTCTAGCTGTAAGAGAAATGGGGCATTCCCGAAGATGGAGACTTTTCCCCCAGTTGCCGGCTCCACCATGGACGAAGAGGAAGCTCGTTTTGCTGTAAATTCAAGTCCGCTTTTTTTCGTACGAAACCCCGACGGAACTGCGTGTCCTGCCCGCATTGAGTCGCCCTAGTGCAACGTAAATACAGCCGGGCCCATTAATTGGGGCGACTCTACCGCGTGCGCCCCACAGAGGATCATCGTCACTATCCTTCCAGGGCCAGTCTTTCGAGCACTGGTCCCATTATCGCGAATAGGAAACGGTCCCTTGGAAAAAGGATGGTGGAGGGATTGAGAACTCTATCAGTGGCTGGGAACAACACGAGTAAGCACCCCAGCAACGGGGAAAAAAAGAATTCGATGGACAGTATTGCTGCGGACCTACTCCGTACCATGTACAGATACCTATTCGCGATCAACTTCCGCGTGGGGGGGGCAAAGTTTCACCAATATCGTCTCGATCTCGCTAACGGCCCCGGGGGATATTCCGCGGTAGATCACCGGTCCCGATTTCAATAGATTGATTCAATATCAGTGAGTATCTAGTTTCCCCGGGCTTGAGGAGTCAGTGGCATAGCTGAAACAGGCTTACGAACCTAGCTGTCCAAAGCCACCATCAGGAAGGGAAAAGGCCCCGGGAGAAAGGGACACCTGGCGCGTTTGATCTGACGCAACGACTCAGTGACTGATCTGTCCCGTCACACCCTCCACCGGAGGAAAGGATAGTGGCTGGATGTACGGCGCGGCTCCAGTGTGGCAAAAGTTGTGATTTGCGTCAGCTGCAACCCTTAATATATCTTGGTATAGACGGAATACGGAGAGTACAGGATGGAAACATCGTGCGGGACCAAAGATACCGCGTACAAGTACACGGCGAATACTGTAAAAGGGGGGAAAGGATATGGGGGTGGAGCTGGGGGGGCGTAAATGTTTCTGCAGTGGACGGAGAAAGAAGGAGTCCAGAATGTTTCCATGGAGAATTTACGGCTAAACCTTTGGTAATGTCCATACTCCGTACCATGACCCAAGACCCTGGGAAACTAGAAAGGCTAGAAGGCGAAAAGAATGTTCATACGTAACCGAGACTGGGAGTGGGCTCGGTAGCGGCTCTGATTCATCGATACACTGGCGATGATGGGTCCCTCGGCTTGAGGGTGGCCGGGGGCCCACCCCCTATGATGGAGCCAAGTTTGGATCGATCGAACCTGAGAGAATGGGAAAGGAATAAAAGTGACAGCTACGAGCGATGGGGTGATCCGTGGATGAGATAAAAATGAGTAGTATCACCTAAAGTTCCAGGCTGAGCATAATCAAAAAGGGGGGAGGGGAGGTTTGATGTCGATTGGCTTTGTTTGGAGATGTCTGCGACGAAAAGCGCCCAAGGGGGCCCTGGGGAAGAGCGAAGCGATAAGCGATTGGAGGGGAAAGGGACCACAACAAGGCTTCCGAGACTGTTTTCTCAATTATTATTCATCGTTTCTTGTCTCGCGCTGTGTTTTAGTATTTTTGGATTAGTTTGACCTGTGATTTTGCCTGTGACGTGTTGAGAGTGTTCGAGTGGACAGGAGTACACCAGGCGATTGTACGGCGGACCGCTCAGAAAGCCGAATGGCTGGTCTTAATTACTTAACAGATAGATCTCTAGATGAGCCTAGAGCTCCACGAGACAACCGACGAAAGTACCTACTAGTAGTAGGTTGGCCAGGGGACGATACCTATTCTCTATACATCCAAAGTGGCTCGATCAGTTGGTGACTAGTTACCGGCAGTGGTCTTTCTACTCCGTACCTAGGCATCATATGTCAGCGCCCAAAGGACCCCTGGCATTAGGGTTGGAAGGTTGGGAGGGCTAGTGATGAGAACTTCATCCAGTAAGAAAAAAGGACCATCTGTCCGTATGGAGCCCGACCACGCGAGTCCCGATGTCCAGTTCGGATGGATCCGTTTTCTGTTCCTGCGGCTGCTCCCCCTTCTCCACTTATGCAAGAGGGCAGCCCGGAGATTCGGTTCCTAGCTTCCCCTTCCAGTGGAGCAGTAGAGCTCGTCTGGATCAGGGTGATGATCTCTGTCGGGTATCATCCATCTGCACGGTACTTTCGTTTGTTGGGCCCGGGGGAAGGGGAAGGAAGAGGAGTCCCATACACCCGTGGACTGAGTCGGAATGGATACATATCAAGGGGAGGAGAGAGAGAAAAGACTGGATAGATCCACGATCCAATTGTGATGGGTCAGAGTGTAGGCCATCGATAGCAAAAATCAGGCCCCGATCCGCCCTGGCGCTACTGCAACACTACCGGGTTTAGCAGACGTTGGAGAACGCAGAAAGGGGGCGCGTTCCTGTTCCCGGGACCAGGGGACGCGGGAGAGCCGCTCGCTGCTAAACAAAGAAAAACCGGGGCCCATAAGCTTATGATCTGGATTAATTTCCCTTTTGCGTTGGTTTAGGTAATTTCGATTTATTGATTTTAGTCTGGTTTTATGATTTTCCTTTTCCTTTTGGGCTTTTTCTGCTTTGATTTTATTTATTCCAGAAAAAGGAAACTGAGAAGATCATCCTAGTCTTTTTACTCATTTCCATTATTTTAATTTTTAATTTTAATTGATTTTCTTTTTCTTCTACCTAGGTAATTTTCTTTTTTTTTCCAATTTCATTTCCATTTCCATTTCCATAATAATTAATTAATTTTTTTCCCTTTCATTCATGCTATATCTACGCAATCGCTGCTCACACACCCCTGTTACCCTAAGATAGTCTCTTCTTATTTAATTATCTCTTGCTCCCTCCGGACTTTTTTTTCCCTTCCTGTTCGCATACTTGACTATCGTCAACAACTATTCATCTCATCATCATCATCATCCTCCTCCTACTCCTACTCTTCCTCCCTGCGATCAAAACGCCCTCCCTACTACCCGCCCTGTCTTCTCCCTTCTCCCTTGCGATAACATCCTTCTGGTTTTCAACCGGATCTACCGGACCCCAGTTCCGCGGCTTTCTCCTTTCCAGGGTCTCCCTTGCCGACTTGGCTTCATATCCCTTCTCAGCCGTTTTGCTGGTTTGGATCGCGATTTCATGGCCTTGATTCTGCAGCCACCCTCGCGCCTATCTTGTTGATTGAATATTCCTTTTTTTTTTTTTGGGACGTACTTTCTGGTTACCTGCGGATTTATCGTTTCCTTGGGGGAAATCCGATTGACGCGATCTACCGGTGGAGCCCAAATAAAAAGCAACCAGCAGCGACCTGTCGACGCCTCTAAAACCAGCCGTCCGCCATTCTCTATTTGTCGGTCTCTCAGTCGTCACATTCCTGCCCTACAACCTGCTGGTGCCCGCATTGTTCCAGTGCAGTCAGGTCTACTTTTAAAAAGGATCCGTCTTCCGATCTTAACTGCATCCACATCCCATCGCCTGCACCGCCTGTCCCTGTCTAGACTCGGTTCTTTTCGCTTTTGCTACGGGGGGTGGATTGGGAGTTCGTTTGCCTACGATTCTCCGGCCGAGAAAGAAATAACTACTATTTAAGACCCGTTCGTGGTGTTTACTTGGTAAGTTATTCCATCTCATTCTTAACCCTGCCGTGTCGCATTCGCAATATCTTTGCCGCAATCGCCTTTGGTATCATCTTCGTCACCAGCTTCTCTGACAATGATTGCTTCCGCAGACCTGAACATGATTCTCCGAGACCTATCAGCTTTCAACATGGGACGCGGCGCCTACGACACAACGGGCGTTAAGAAGCCTGGTGCTCCTCCCCCACCACCTAAATAATCACCTGCGATGATACCCTTATCCGGCACACATATCCTCCTGCTTTCTGGCGATGTTTTGGATTTGTCAGGCGCCTATTGTCCCTGGGGTTTTTGACGCCTCGACGTTCGGAGTTTGCTCTATCTTTCGGTGAGTACCCTAATGCACCCGCCTCGTTTTGGGCATCAAAGCTAACTTTAGTTGCAGACATTTGTAACACTATTTTTCCTCTTGTGACTTTTTTTTCACACCTCTCGGTCATATCTCTGCTATTGATTCGCCACTGGCTTTGCGCGACCTCGTTATACCCTTTTTAATTTCTTCAATTCTGCATCGGGTTCGGATTTTCAGCGTCGACGACACTTGTTCGGTTTCATTTTTTATTTTTCGTCTTCGCACGTGCGCCTTACCGTTCTCTCGGATACCTTCACCTCCACTTCATTTCGATCACCTCTTTTTTCTCCTGTTACGACAAATACCGAGATGACCTCACTTCGACCTCTCAAAAGTGCCTTTTTGTTCTTTTCATTTTTCTTATCTTGTCGTCTGTGGTTATCTGCTTTTTGTTTGTCTCTTTTCCAACGGCGTTATGGCATAGATGGGACGGAAATTATTGCATGGGATGCATGGACTGATACCAGAAGACTTAGACCTTCGGACCTCACGGTCACAATAGCACGTTTATTGACGCGCAATCACTTTTTTGGAATTTATGTTTCTGTATTTGTATCTGGGTTTATTAACACCTGTATATTATGTTACGCACAGTCTCGAAATCGAAGCGTCCACTATCTACAAGGTTGTCTCTGCTCTCTTTTTAAATCAATAACCATCTGCTATACGCATAGATTCAGGTCTAGACCTCCGATCCGTGGCCGGATTCTCTTAAAGTCTCATCCCTGCCCCAGACCTCGAAAAGCACGGGCATGTTCGTGTCGCCCAAATGTCGTGTCGGTCGGACTTGACAGCTGCGATTCGGGCGGTATAGACTGAGCGTCGGGCAGATTTGCTTGGGGACTAATGCCGAGCCAGGAACCGCCAGGCTGATTTTCGATCCCCAGGCGCCTGTTGATGCATCGGCAGACAGATCCCGGGCCCGACTGGGGTCCCACTGGCGCCCGACATCATCTCGCATGCCCGTTGGGCACTAGTCCGTGAATCATCGTCGTGTCCAGGAACAAGACCTCCTCCACAGAGAGTTCTTCTCTGGACCCACAACCCCTCATTTAGCAAGGTCTGAGAACTCAATTGGCGTTCTCGACATTCCGTCTTGTGCTCTCTCACGTTTCTAGGCTGTAAAGATTGACCGCCATTCTATAGCAGGCCTCTTGAGTCTAGATCCACCAGTGTCGAGCTGTTGAATCAAAGGTGATATACGTAGTGCGATCTTAATACATAGCCATCATTTTTCCTTTGTTTTCTAATGTGAGCTCCATCAAACTTTTCGTGACTAGGATTCTAAGTTTTGATCACCATGTTATTTTTTGGTCGCGCCTTGGCCGTGATCAGAACTTGAACGACTCTGGCTTTTGGTCCCAACAGTTAGTTGCAAGGGCTTTAGTTTAGGTAAGGTATCCTAGTAATTCTTCAGTCTGCATCGAACTTGAATATCGCCACCGTCATGTGGAGTTATTAGTATAAAATAGCAGTCTATTCACATTCGTCAGTGCTCAAGTATATTATCTTAAACTACATCCAGAGAGATGCGACTGAAATATTCTATCTCAAAATGTGTGATATGATCTATCTAGGTAGTTGGTATTTTCTTTTTATTTCCTGGATGCTTCAAGAAGCTCACATGAATTCTACGAGCTGTGTTCGGATTGCCTGTCCGCCTACATCTAGGTCCACCTGCTAGTAGGTGATAAACTTCCAAGTTCGTGCTAAAAGGACTATTTTCTTTAAAAAGTACCTAGGTATATATATATATACAAAGATAATAGATGCGACGGTTACTACTAATTATCTCTAGGAGTATACTCCAGAGTACTACTAGTAATAGTAAATGGACCAATCTTCAACTTGAAGCTCAATCATGCCCTCCAGCCCTGGAGGGCTGGAGTGATGGACTTCTGGGCAGTTGAAAGTGGACTCGGAGAATGTAGAATATATCTCCGGAATCGGACCTGGAAAGTTCTCACTGGCTCGACATCAACTCGGATCCTTCAACTTTGAGAAAAACCATGGAATATGTCTCAATTCGTGATATAGAACATCCAATAGCAATTCATTAGCCCATAAATCCCCCGCACAATTAATTATCATATTAAATACGGCTCAACTAAATCGATTCGCATTTACCCCGGGCCTGTACCAGGGATCCCGTGACCATGGGAAGTACGGCTCACGCTAAACCGGAACAGGACCTCAACCATCATCATCGACCTCCACCTCAAGACCTCCTCCTTCCCCGTGGATTGCGACATCGAGCTTTTACTCATCCCAACAGCACGAGGGAATTGCGATTGTGACACGGACCATATCTCACTCATATAATCCTCGAATACCAGCAACCAGCATCGCAGTCGAACCCGCCGGCTCACCCGCCTGCCCGATCACCTAACTATTTGTCAGGCGTCGCTCTCTGCAGGACGGCCTAATCCCTACCATCTTTCTATCTCACACCTTATTTTACTGTCTCAGTCATGTCCGAGCCAGCCGGCGCAAACGCTCCGAAACCGAGCAGCAGCGTGAAGCTAGTTTTGCTGGGTGAGGCTGCCGTCGGCAAGGTACAGTTGTCCTTCCCATGTTCCACGGAGTTTAGTTGCTGATGAACTTTCCTTCTACTTGTAGTCGTCACTCGTTCTTCGATTTGTCAACGATGACTTCCAGGAAAACAAGGAACCCACCATCGGCGGTAAGGAACACCTCCGGACGAGCGCTCTGGCTTGAGGGGATGGCTGCCTACGTCTTCTGCGAAGCCTGTCTTAAAGATGGCGCTCTCTGCATACTAGGATTATGACATTCAGTCCAATTCTCAAGAAAGCCACAGCGCCTCGCCAGTCCTCAAACATGACCTCGGAACATTCCCGGCTAACCTTATCGCTCAGCTGCCTTCCTGACACAGAAATGCTCTCTTCCAACACGCACAATCAAGTTCGAGATCTGGGATACTGCGGGCCAAGAAAGATTCGCTTCCCTCGCTCCGATGTACTACCGCAATGCACAAGCTGCGCTCGTTGTCTACGATGTCACCAAGCCCTCGTCCCTGACGAAAGCGAAGCACTGGGTTGCTGAGCTCCAGCGCCAAGCAAGCCCCGGAATCGTCATCGCTCTTGTCGGTAACAAGCTGGACTTGACCAACGACGGCGGCGATGCTTCTGCTTCGGCGGCCACTGAATCCGAGAGCGAGCCTGTTAGAGATGCCGGAGAGGAGGGTGCGGCCGAGGAAAGCGAACAGCAGGACACGAACTCTGGCGATGCTCGAAAAGTGTCGACCCGTGAAGCAAGCTCATATGCTGATGAGGAGGGTCTCTTGTTCTTTGAGACCAGTGCTAAGACCGGAACTAACGTGGTGGACGTTTTCACTGCCATCGCTAATGCCATTCCCGAGAGCAGCCTGAAAACCGGCCGTGGCGGTGCTGGCACGGGCCAGACTGCGCTGGGAGGCCGGTCGGCAGAGGACTCTCGAGTAAACCTAGGCGACCGAAGTGCGGCGACAGCAAAGGAAGGCTGCGCTTGTTGACCTGCCTTTGTCTTTTTTGAATCACCTTGCAAATTTCCCCATGGGTACAGGCGTCTCCCGTTCTGCTTGTTGGATTGCCTCTAAGCAATGCTCATTGTTTACTTCTATATCCCTTTGCCGATAGCAATATTGAACTCTTGCAACTGTATAATGTCGCCGTGTAGAGCAAGCATCTTCGCATCAGCAAAGTTCAATGCAAGCAATTGCAATTCATACATCAGGACGAAGTAAGGACGTATCCATAATCAATGGTCAGCCAATCAGGGGCCACGCGAGGGCAGAGGAGTCACGGGACCGCCATCCCCTAAGTAGAAAACACGCTAATCCATTTGGGGAATAGTACACCCTAAGCGAAGCGATCCCACAGCATGGGAAATTCCCAACTTGAAGGCGAAGCCGACCGACCTCAACCCTCCGCCGACCTCAACCAGCAAATTCGCAGCACTCCCGTCGCTCGCAATCATGGCTGCCATCAACAAGATTGCCACCAACTCGCCCTCCCGGCAAAACCCCTCCGAGCTGGAGAACGCGATTGCCGGCGCTCTCTTCGACCTCGAGAGCAACACCCAGGACCTGAAGGCCAACCTTCGTCCTCTGCAGTTCACCTCTGCCCGCGAGGTAAGAATCGCATTCGTCACGCCTATCGAACTCTTCCGGAACCACATCGCAAGGGAATTTCGTCGTGCTGGTCTTATCGGAGAAAAGAGATGGATTTATTGTGGGCATTGTGGGATTGCTTCAATTTCGCAATATGAAGGCCCCAATGCAAATGCAGAACGAATTGGATTCTCTTGAGAGATATGGAACCTCCGACACACACATTCCCTTGACGATCGTTCCGGCAGGGCGAGAATTGGATTTTTTTTTCCGCTTCCGCAATCACTGCGTGCGGACACATTGAGGAACAACAACGTACTAACATGCCCTCTTCTACAGGTCGAGGTCGGCCACGGCAAGAAGGCTATCGTTATCTTCGTCCCCGTCCCTCTTCTCCAGGGCTTCCACAAGATCCAGCAGCGGTAAGCCGACACCTCACGACAATCTGGAATTTTTCTTTTTGATCACGGCCTGGAACAATGGGACTAATTTGGATTTTTTTCTTCCGCCAACAGTCTGACCCGCGAGCTCGAGAAGAAGTTCTCTGACCGCCACGTCCTCTTCGTTGCTCAGCGCCGCATCCTGCCCCGCCCCAAGCGCTCCGTCACCTCGCGCTCCAACCAGACCCAGAAGCGCCCCCGTTCGCGCACTCTGACCGCTGTCCACGAGTCCATCCTGTCCGACCTCGTCTACCCCGTCGAGATCGTTGGCAAGCGCACTCGCACTAAGGAGGATGGCTCCAAGACCCTGAAGGTTGTCCTTGACGAGAAGGAGAAGGGTGGTGTTGACCACCGTCTCGATGCCTACGGCGAGGTCTACCGTCGGTTGACCGGCCGCGCTGTTGTTTTCGAGTTCCCCCAGAGCGGTGCTGAGTACTAAGCTGCTCGTTTGCTGTTTGCGGGAGTGAAGGAAATGAGGTGTATTTTGGGTTGCTTGTTTCTAGGTCCGGATTCACTCTAGATTCAAGGAGAGCATGACGGGTGAAAGAACCAAAAAATGCATTACGGGTTTTTCTTTTGAGTTATGTGCCCCCCCATTGACTGGTGCATGGTTTTAAGGCCTCCGTTTCATACTACTGGGCGAGGCGACGGAGAAAAGTTTCCATCCGAGCCGTGTTCCTCTTAATGAGGATGGGATGGGATATGTGATAATATTCCAATCGAACAATTCCGACTTTCAAAACACATGCCCGCGTAGTAGTTGGGAGCAGAGCCCGGGTCGCTTCCATGTTGATTCCACCCAGTAGTGGCCACCGTCAGCATGGCTTTCAGGTGCCTCTTGTCTTTTATATGAGTCCGATGCAACATTGTAGAACAATTTACAGCATTGAGTCAAGTATTTACTAAAACTAAATGCACAGGGGTATGGAAAGAAAGAAAAAAGCATCACCGACCACCACTACCACCACCTCTTCACCTGTCAATTACAACGACGCCGTGATTCTCCCCACACCAAGCACCATCCAGTAGGCCAACTCTCGAGCTACCAAGTCACCTGGCTTAGCTTCCTTTCCAACATTCTGCTGCTCGAGCTGTGCCTCAGCATCCCATTCCATATGCACAAACACGGGGATTTCGAGAACATCCTCATCTTGCTGCGAAGCAGCTGCAAGCTCATCCTCATCGGCCCCTTCCTTTCCACCCTCAGCTTCCGAGCCAGGCAATGTTCCTGGGATCACTTCCAGAACGACTGTAGTCCAATTCCGACCTTTGTCCCAGACCTTACCGGCCTCCGGGACCTTCTCGGCAGCGCGGAGGCGAGGGTCGGTAGTGATAGGCGCCGAAGCACCTTGTAAAGCCTCGTCCCAGACATCGCTATTGGGCCCAATGTCGAATTGAGGGGAAAGCACCGTCACTTTGCTAGCGACGCGACCTGGGGTAACCGACGGAGTGGCGAGGGTAATCCGCACTGGATCAAACATGTGATTCTTCAATGTAAGCAAAACATGGACGGGGCGCAATGGGGCCAGTGCATTCAAATCTGGAGCCTGAGACGGAACCAGGGACGGAGATGGAAGCGTAAGGGGACGTAGTGTTGGGAGTGGGATGTAGCTGAGGGCAATAAGGCGGATACGGAAGCGTGTAGACTGCGGCTTGGTTTCGGGCTTCACGAGGATATGCTTGCAAGACTTGCATCGCTTAGCACGCTTCGTGCGAAGCAGCACCGGTAATGGCATTAGGTCATCGGAGAATCGGACATCGGGAGATTGTTCTGTGCGCTGGCTCAAGGATGCAACGCCATCCCATCCGCAATCCGGGGAAGCAAGTCGCTCTATGACCGAGGTATCGCCATCTTCTGGGGCAATGCGAAGGCCCTCGCTAGCGTTGATTGCTTCGCGCATGACCGGTGGCTTGGGCTTTTGCTTCTTATTTCCACCGTATAGTCCGCTTAGACGCGATGATGACGCATACAGAGACATGAGTCGATTCAGGGCACCGGGCGACGAGAAACCAAACTCCGAACCCATAGGATCATTTGGGGAAGTCGACGTCTCGGAAATCTGTGATCGATAGAAGTTCTTCAGAGTCGCAAATCGGGCCTCTGCGCCTAGATGGGGCGAAACTTCCTGGTCATTTTGCGTGGGCTGCCCTCCGGCACCATCTTGAGTACTAGCCGGCTCTTCAATAGACGCCAGATTGGACAAAGGTGATTTGAGATCACCAAAAGCGCGGGATCCTTGTCTTGACCGAGTATCAAATGCTGGACCAGATAGAGAGTCGGTCATCTTCTGGAGCTGGCTGCGAATATTGGTGGGTTTGTCGAACTTGATACCGATGTCAAGCGTTGTCCAGAGACAATAACCACAGGATAAGACCCAAGGACCTTGCTGGTTTCCATTCCCGGTGACATTCTCAATTGTACTGACAGATAAAGGAGCTGTGCAGACAGGACAATTGAAGCAGTTCCGACCGCACCTGTGATTTCTTGGGTGAATAACCGTCTTTGAACAGGGGCTGTTGCACGTGTACATACCGGTTTGCATCTCCTCTCACCATGCTGCTGGGTGTCTCAAATAAACAGTTCGGGCAGTACCAGCTCACAATCTCCTCTGTTATACATCGTGGGCATTTGATCTGGTGGCAATCTTCGCAGTAAAGGAGCTGTTCGGGTGGATACAGCGAAAAGTTGGACCGAGGTGATCTAGGGTCGAATGTTTGCTCCTCCTCCTCCTCTTCTTCTTCTTCATCTTGCTCATTCTGATTGTGCGGCGGTTTCACTTCCTTTGTGTCCTGACCGCTGCTAGCATTTGTGCGCTCGGGGGTGGATTTCTGCGGCGACTCCCTAGACCTGCGCTTTCTGGCTGGGTCGGGGACAGGTGTATCGGCACAGGGGCACGAAACATAGGTATAAGGAAACGGACAGGCCATTTTTCTGTCTATAGGGCGAGAATCTTGCTAATGAGGAGACGGGTGGTTGATATGAGGGTTTATTGCTCGGTCAAGTCATGCTTCGCGTTGGTGGGGGGGCTGTAACGATGAGAATGACCGAGGTGACCGGGATGACGGGCGTATTGAGTGTGATAAGATTGATGCCCTAAAATTATAGACGATCTATATCGATAGCAGGAGTTAGCGTGTCTTTCTTGCAAGTCCCTAGGCTGCGACTTTGGGCCTCCCTCCTGGCGGGCGCATGTCGTGGGGGTAGAATCTGCGTTTACGGAGGGATAACGAACCGGAGAAAAGATAAAGGCAGTAGGAGCTATTCCGGTTTGACTTTTGGCGACCTGAGAGTGGAGAGCCTCGGAGAAATCGAATTTGTTGAGCCCCAATTGCGGGCGCGACGGAGTGCACGAGCTGTCGCGGAGAGGAGCTGCGGAGGTTCCGCATCAACAATCGACGTCAGACAAAATTTAAGATTCGCCCTTCACTTCACTTCACCTCCCACTCCCACCCCTCCGCGCAAAAGGTCCTGGGATGTCTCTACCCTCAATCTGGATGTGAGCTAACTACAGAATATAGGGATTGTATTATGATACCTCTACACACATTTCGGGGCTTCGTGCCCCGACGGTGCTTCGCTGCACGCGCCAGCATCCGGACATACGCCAGCCAGACCCCCGGCAATCCGATGTTGGAGGTGTTCAACCGGAAGACGAAACACCTCCAAAAGGAACGCGCGGCCCAGAATGTCGAAGAGAGCCGAAAAGTCGATTATTTGAAAGATGAGGTCGCAAGGCGTTTATGCGAGCGCTTACTGGTAAGATCTCGGTGAAACGAGAATTGGTTATGCCGTTGGAGGGCTTAAGCAGATACATTTTGCTGACTTGAGTATTTATCGGATCAATAGGATATCAAGCGCGACTTTCCGAATGTACTCGACCTAGGCGCAAACAGCTGCAATATTGCCCGGGCCCTGACAACACCCGATCTTGACATGGCCGCACCGGAGGGCCAACCGACTCCACCTCTAGCAGAACGTATCTCAAAATTAACATGCGTGGACACGTCGCGAGCGCTTCTGTACCGGGATGAGGAGATGCCCTTCAATAAGGAGATTAATATCCACCGTGAGCTGATTCCGGACTTGGAGACACTACCTTACCAACCCAACACCTTTGATGCGGTGCTCTCATCCTTGTCGATCCACTGGATCAACGACCTTCCTGCTTTACTTAATCAAGTCAACACAATGCTCAAGCCGGATGCTCCATTCATCGCGGCCATGTTTGGTGGTGATACCCTCTACGAACTACGTGGATCGCTCCAGCTGGCAGACATGGAACGACGCGGCGGCGTCAGTCCGCATGTATCACCACTCGCAGATGTGAAGGATGTGGGAAGCTTGCTGACTCGCGCTGGCTTCAAGATGCTTACGGTCGACGTTGAGGATATTGTGGTCGAGTTCCCGGATACATTCGCGCTTATGCAGGACCTACAAGCGATGGGCGAAAGCAATGCTATTCTGCATCGGGAGGCTGGACCTTTATCGCGAGAGGTATTGCTAGCTAACGATGCTATCTACCGATCCCTGCATATGGAAGAGGGCGCGCCTGGAATCCCGGCCACATTCCGACTAATCTATATGATCGGTTGGAAGGAGGATAAGAACCAGCCGCAACCTTTGGAACGTGGAAGTGGAGATCTGAACCTTTCGGAGCTCCTTGGAGGTGGTGACTTTCAGAAACCATAAATATAATTCGCGGGAAGACGGCGCGAAAAAGAAATTGGGAGGCAAGAACAACCTTGGAATGGATGGCCCATGATGGCCCGTCAATAATGTTATAGTAAATCAATTGTAAAACAGCTACGCTGAAAGAGGCAACACAAGAGGAAGACTGTTCAGCAGAAGAAAACTTTATGAAATGCAATCGACCCTCTACCAAGAGTAATAATATAGAAAAGAAAAACACGATATTTGTTCTTTGTTTCACGCTTAAACCGTCCGGCGGTCGGTCATGACTCGAACGATTGAACCAGTGCCTGCAATCTCGACCAGCTTTTCATGCCAGTTCAGTAGCACGCTCATTTGCTGACCGCCACCACCTTCACCCAGGTTGCGACCTTGGATTTGCGAGAAGCCACCGGTGCTTTGCGGGGAAACGGATTTGTTGCGCGGCGACTGGGCTCCACTGCCGGGGGCAGGAGAGGACATACCCTTGTAGCTGGTTCATGTCAGTACAGTTGACTAGGCTTAGATAGAGTACATCGGGTTGGAGAGGTTGATCTCCCGGGGGCACACGTACATGTACTTCATCAAGCAATCCGCGCGCTCTGCACCGCCCTCTCCGGCACAGACACCCTCTAGAACACGGGTCATTTCACCCTGGCGAATACCCTGCAGCACCTCAGTCACAGTAGCAAGGTGCACCTGCTTAGCACCCTCGTCGCCGCCAAGCGGTGCTGTGTCCAGGACGGCCCGGAGCGCACCCTCAGCGTCACCACCGCGCAGCAGTTGTCGCACTTGGGTTGCGACATTGGCCGCATCGCTTGAGGTCCCGGGCTGGGGCAAAGTAGCGGGGAGGAGTGTCTCCATAGGGAAGTTGACCGACGCCTCCGGGTCGAGCTGGTCGATGTTGATGGTACGGTAGTTGATTTGCGACATTGTGACGAGTTTGTGTTGGCTTGTAGAGCGGATGGAGTGGGCAGGAATAGGAATTGGGCTTCAAGAGTAGTCGCGATCGACTACAGCGGTATTGGTGGAGGTGTTGTACCTGGCGGGGGTTGCGGCGAATGTGGCTTTGGTATGTCAACGGAGAGCGGGGGGAGGTCTCGGGGGAAGAGTTGCTGACTTGAAGCGGTGGGGGAGATAGGCAGGTGGGAATGCCGAGACGAGACTGTGTGAAGTCAAAGAAACTAGTGGATTGTCTTTTTCAAACTTGAATTTGAGGAGAAAGGAGGCAGAGAGGGAGAGAGGAATGAGGATCAAAGTGTCCACGAGTGACGGAGCTGCTGGTGGAGGTGATGGGGCTTTGATAGCCTCAGGCAGAAATCATCATCCCGCAAAGCAAAATATTATGATGCCTAACACCTGGGCATATATACTACTAGTATAGTATATCCCATTTCTGGGATTAATTGTTCTCTATAAGCTTGAAACTGTCAATTACCTTTGAGTTAACAGGGAGGCATTTTGTTCTCTTTTCCATCATGATATAGGAGTACTACTAGTAAGCAATGCTCAATTCTCTTCTATTACTAGTAAAGCAACACTCTAGCCAATCAGCGGGCATTTAAAGCCCGTTTTTCTCGACACTGTTTTCATGATAAACCTCCAAACTATATCGAGCAAACTTACTGCGAGCTCGAATTTGCTTGCCGTACTTCGTGAACAGCGGTGGCACCACACAAAACAAAGTAGCCAAAGCCGCGAGAATTGACGAGGCTACATTTGCACCAAGTCCTTGAAACATATCCGCGGCAAAGAGTGGGAAGGCAGCTGACAGCAGCGAGCGAAAAAGCGCCAGAGATGCAAATCCACTGGCAGAGAAACTCAAATAGCTGTCTGCGAGATATCCGCCAAGTACAGTGTCGAACTCATTCAATGCGTACCCGATGAACACCAAGGATATGGCCGATACGATCCAGTGGACATGGTCGACCAGTGGAGGGATAGTCCAGGCAAACCACCAAAGCCCGCCAGCAAGCAAAGGTGCTCCAATTGAGAAGCCAATGAGTTTATGTTCCGGCTCTAGTACGATGCCTTGCTCCTCGGCGTGTGTGATTTTTCGATGATCTTTGATGCGGGTAAGTAGTCCCAGTACTAGACCAATGCATATTGCCATGAATGGAAGAGTAGACGATTCGTTGGAGAAACCCATCGACTGGTAGACCGGAGGCAAGGCTTCTGTGAAAAGATAGACCATGGCGAACGCGATTGCACTGATAGTAGAGACCAAGAAAATAATAGGCTCCGTGAAAAATAGTTGAATTGGACGAAATAGTGCAATGCGGATGAAAGTCTTCACGTCCGGTGTATGATCGGGGTTCAATGCTTGGAGTGTGTCGATGCCGGTTTCACTTCGCACTTTGGCCACTTCTCGTACGAGAACTAGGGAGGGTCGTGACTCACGCATGCCAATGAGCAAAAAACATACCATGCCAGTTACAATTGCTGCAATATGAAACACCCATTGCCTAGATATCGGACGACGTTGAGTATGCATTCCATCGAAATCCAATCAGGGATCGGTTACTTACCATCCCAAGTGCTCAGCGATATGTGTGCTGATGATTGGTCCCATACACATGCCCATATTGGTAATCATAGCCCATAAGAAGATCATCCAGATTCGGTCTTTTGAATTATACAAATCTTCAATACTGCCAGCCACGACAATAGTCGGAATAGCCGACAAGAACCCCGAGAAAAAACGGCCGACTGCGATACCGGCAAGAGAAGGCGAGACACCGACAACTACACAAAAGACACTGTACAAGCCAGTGCTAATGATGTATAGTCTTTTGCGCCCAAAGGCCTCTGAGAACGATGGAAAAATGATTCCCCCAAGGCATTGACCCAGTAGATATCTGAAGCACAACCAAGAATTTAGCGAAATTCAAGGTATAGAAGCATGAAACTGACAGTGAAATGAATAGAAAAAGGGCAAGTTCTTTCCCAATATCATAATCATGTTGAGCGCGATCGGCTGCGGCGCTCTATCAATGCATGGTTAGTAGTTGCGGCTAATCATACGAGCTGCTGAACTACTTACGCCGGCAGTACTAATAGCAGTACTAATAAAATACCTATGTTAACCGAGGAACTTCCTGAAAGGCAATTGAATATAGAACTTGCGTGAAAAAATCAAGAAAGATAATCAAACTGCTGTCGTATATCTTTCGGGGCATGCGCCAGTTGCGCGGATGTTTGGGATTCGAGGCCGACCAGCGGATGAACCTTCCATCTGTAGTAAGCTCTAGTCCATTCTCCTCAAGAATGAAATGTAAATGACCCCTAGGAGATGGTGACAACGAAGGTGCTAGTGACAAGCAATCGGGGCTTTTTGTCGAAGTAGATTCCATAGTACAAGAGACAAGGCGTTGAAGAGGACGGCGAAGGAGTTGTCAAGTAATATGCATACAAATCGAAATGAAGAGAGAACAAGAGAAGAAAAAAAACAGAAGACTGCCCGTGCTATGAGAGAAAAAGACGAGGATTAGAAATGAAATATAGAAAAACTCATGACGTGAATGTATTTGACATGTGCACATACACCCGGTGATTTTACGACCGCGGACGTAATGATTGCCAGTATTATCGTTCGCTCACAAGATTACGCATAGCGACTGCTACACCAAAATAGGTACCGAGAGATGGAATCCCTGTGGATATCCCGCAAGATTCTGGGCCTCAATCACCTCAGCGGCCTAAAAATGGATTCGGGGCACCCGAAAATGGCTAGGTTTGGTCCGGATCCGCGGGCCAAGCTTTCCAGGAACCACCATCGCCAATTAATGGCCTGACACAGACCATGTTTCGAAATCAAAGCTTTTCAATTTATGCAGGGCAAGGCACAAAGTCCCCTATGGGACTTGATTTCGTCTCCGCGGCCCCATATGTTGTCGATCATAGGGTAGGCGCAGATCCAACCGATGATGAAACCGCTCCACCAGGGAGTGACAAGGGAGGAATCGAATAAATCGGGGGATCGACTCAAAAGAGAATGGCACCAGAACGCAAGTTTTATATTTTAATTAAGTAAATCACGAGCTAGGCCCTGTATGTTCTTGTAAATAATAAGTGGAACTGACAACTTTATGATCCCCTTTATTGGAACATCATAACTATGCATCAGGTGCATACGCAATCTTCGACCCATGAGCCATTGAAATGAATTTGATTGATCTACATGACTCAATATTGACGAAACTCATGTGCTATTCGTATGCCTGCGAGCACCAGGTCGTTTTCTTGATGGAAAAGACACCAAAGTCGAAGTCATACAGAGCCGGCGAACTCTGCCTAGTATTCCGGGCTTTAATTTCGAGTGAGATATTTCATGGAAAAAATTAAATCCATTAGTAGCAATGCGGGGTTTTCACGACAATAAGTCACATGCGACTTTTATTGGGTTGATGCTCCATACTTCTTACTCATTCGCAATAACAGAGTATATGGACCCGACCCGACTCATTCATCACCGCGTACTTCAAAAAGCAGGAAAATACTACGAAAGAAATTGTACGACTGAGAATGTTACATATACAAAGGAATGATATTTTAATTTTGATAATAGTTACCCGTATCTTTAGTATGCAAGGCGCGGGGTATAGTATTGTTGATCCAAAGCCACGACCCGAAGACCAGGGATCAAAATGCGCAGTGACCTCAGGAGTATCTGCAACAAGGAGGAACAATTCTTGATGTATATTTCTAAAAAAAATCAGACTGCATGGGATCATGCGATATATTTCGTAGCTCAAATTTCCCGCTCCGGAAAATTCATGGCCTTGTGCTGCTACTAGTAGTACGAAGCTTGATTAAGCCCCGTGTGAGTTCCTCCACTACTATTAGGACCTTTAGGGACCGTCTGGGGTCAGATCCTTTTGAGATCATGCATCGCTCTTGGCCCTCCACAATAAATTGATTGATCAAATTGTCATAAAGATCTTTTATGCTGCCGGGGTCTTCCGATTCAGAAGCACGCTCGTACACCACCCTGTTGAAGTTCTCCCATACCGCTTCGACCCACTCAGAATCTTTAGAAGAAGGTCCAGCTAAGTCCCGAGCTTCCCTTCTCTCTCGCAGTAAGCCAGTAATTTTGATTAGCAGCTCCTTGAAAGCAGTTAAGGCCACAGGAGACTGTTTTGGCTGGCCTCTGAGAAGGTTGACCTGATCATCCACGATATCAATTCCTGTGCCAATAAGATTGATCTCATCGATGTTCAGATCAGAGCCTGAGTCAAGCATGGTCGAAATTATATTGCAAATATGGATGATCTTGGTAGGAACATCATTCATTAAATCCCCAGAAATACCATCATACTGACAGGCGAGAATGTGAACGATCGAACGAAGGCAACCAGTGATATCTGGTACGGCGGTTGAAGATGGGATCGAGCTAATGGAACTCATAGTAACTCGATAATATCTCACAGAAAGAAAGAACAGTAGTATTTGAATTAATAACCAGGTCTAGGGAATTATTTGCGTGGTTTCAATTCTTTATATTGTTAATGCTGGTTACTGGTAAGTGAGCTTTAGGAGTCCTTTGATCTTTGTTCCAAGGTTTTCCGAGACAACCATCAACACAAAAGATGCCCAGGAGAACGAATCGTCAAAAGGAGAAGACTCAAAAAAATGAACTGTTTTTGATCATTTCTAGAAAACCCTATGCGGGGCTTTGTGTTCGAGTCTTTGTTGATAAATTCTGCGCTTTGATTGACAATTTCTCACCTTTCAATAACTAGTGCGTATGGACTCGCTTCGAGGAATTGAAGATTGCGAAACACTGACGAAGTTCTTGAGAGAATGTTATAGACTATTATGGCGAAGTCAAACAAAAGAAATGTGATAATTACAAGGTCTTCTTTGCTCCAATGAACTCCAATCCGTTGAGTGTTCCCCCTTGAGCAAACTTCATGTCATCGAAATAATTATCACGTGGCTGCCACGGTCCCTGATTACCTGCCTTGGGGAAACTATCTTGAGCCTTCAAAACATATGTTGAATTCAAATTCAACAGGTTACGAGGAGTCATCAGTGCTGCAGTTTCTACCGGTACCCTTGGGACAGAAGCTTTGACACCGCGTTCTTCCATCTCTTTCAACAACCGACATATAAATTGCGATGTCGCATCTGCACCGAGGGTCCAAGATGCATTGACATAGCCCAGAAGGAAGGCAAGATTGGGTAGATCCTGCAACATCATGCCGTGCCAAGTGAATTTTTCAGGAATATGTTGAGGCACACCATCGACACAGAGAGAAATGCCACCTGCAGCCTGCAGGCGAAGTCCCGTCGCAGTGACAATGATGTCAGCGTCAAGCGACTCGCCAGAATTTAGCTCTATTGACGACGAAGAGATGTTGCGAATTGTGTCAGTCTTTACATCTGCTCGGCCCGTATGAAGGCTTTTGAAGAAATCACCATCAGGGCACACGCAGAGACGTTGTTCCCAAGGGTTGTAACGAGGTTGAAAGTGCGGGTCCGCAGGGATGTGCTTAGGGAGTTGTCGAGTCATGGATCGACCAAGAAGCCAGCCAGAGAAGCTTGGAAAGGCTTGACAAAATAGGAAGAAATATCGAGATATGTAAAGAAATCGGATTCGCTGAAGTCGGCGGCGGAGCGACGTTGGGAGTATTGAGCCCAGCCAGGAATTGGCTCTGTTTGGCACGGACAAGATGTAGGTCGGGCTGCGCTGTAACATTGTCACATTTGCCTTCTCGGCCAGTTTCGGGAGAAGTGTCACAGCCGTGGCGCCACTTCCAATAATGACGATCTTTTTATTGCTGTAGTCAAGATCCTCTGGCCAGAATTGCGGGTGAATGACTTGTCCTTGGAACTGATCTATCCCCGGTATCTCAGTCTGCAGAGGAGTACTGTAGTCATAATATCCGGTACCGAAAACTAGAAACTTGGCTGAAAGGGATTTAGATTGCTGTTCGTGCTCGATGCTGAGTGACCACTTGTTGTCAACCGATGACCAGTCGGCACCAATAACGCGGTGCTTGAAGAGAATGCTCTCTGTGATGCCATATTTCTCTGAGGCATTTTTGAGATACTTGACAATAGAATGGCCATGAGCGATTGGATTGTCCTGATCCCAAGGGTGCCAGGCGAAGCCGAATGTAAAGAGGTCGGAATCGGACCGAATACCGGGATATTTGAAAAGATCCCAAGTACCTCCGATGTTTTCGCGTGCCTCTATAATGGCATAACGAAGCTTCGGAAACTGAGATTGCAGGCGGTAGGCAGCGTTGATGCCAGAAATGCCGGCGCCAATGATGATTACGTCGTAATCCTCTTCCATGGTGGTGGATGATCTATAGGAAATATTGGAAAAGACAGATAAGAGGCTGGGGTGGCGCATCAAGTCTCTCTTATATTTGGATCTGGTGAACAAAAGGGAATGCCTCGGTTAATTTTCATCTTGAAGAGAAAAAGCAAAGGTTATCGGCCGTAAGTGTAACCTGTTCGGTGAATGATTGCGGGGAAACCGAGGAACTGTGATATCCGAGTGCAGGCCACGCCATTGATGAGAAGCAAGTCCGGAACGGACCCGGGTTTAAGCAACGAAGAGCATACTCGACACGGACAAGTCCCACAGTAAAATCACACAGTGAAATCTCACTATGATGAATGGGGCGTGGTTTGCGAGCCCGAGTCACCGCCTTGTGAACCTCGGGCGCTGAGAAATGAGGATTTTGATTGGCTGACCGAGAGGGATGTGGCAAGGGTCGCAAGACAAATAAACTCATCTCCACAACGAAATCCAGGGTCAAAACAAGCAGCGATCAACAGTCGGCATAACTGAAGCCCCGTCGGAATGGAGATCGTCCGCTAGGGGCTGAAGTTATTCAAAACCAATACTCTGTCTTATAAAGTCACGATAAAGATAGATCTCGATGGCCATATGATTTTCCCCCCTATCTGTTTCTTTTCTGATCAACATGGCTAGCAAGCTTCCGAATATGATGGAGGCCCTGGTAGGGGATCGTTCAACTTTGGCTCGACTTGCAAACTATGGCCTTGGCAAATCATCTGGCAATGGAGTGAAGGTCAAATCGATTCCCATTCCACTTATATCAGAGAACGAAGTCCTGGTCCGGGTAGCCTGCGTCGCACTCAACCCTACGGATTTTAAACATGTCGATATTCTTGCCCGCGAGGAGCTATCATCGGCTGCGATTTTTCGGGGACTGTTGCGAAAGTTGGGTCTCAAGCAGCCAAAAAATGGGCCGTTGGTGACAGGATAGCTGGCATGGTTCATGGTGGATTATATCCCGATCGGGGATCATTTGCCCAATTCCTCAAAACAAATGGTGATTTGGCTTGGAAAATTCCGCCTGGGGTTAGCGATGAAGATGCGACTACATTCGGTGTTTCGGCCATTACCGCCATGCTAGCCCTGAACACGCGATTGGATGTCCCTTGGCTCGCTGAGAATGCAAATCAAGGTCAAGGTCGGAAAGACACACCAATCCTGATATATTCAGGCGCAACTGCAGCCGGAATTTATTCCATTCAGCTTGCTAAGCTAGCGGGCTTGAACGTTGTGGCAACTGCATCGCCACGTTCCTTTGACCTGGTGAAAAGTTATGGCGCAGATGAGGTCTTCGATTATAGAGACCAGGCGGCTGTTGACCAGATCATTCGAGCATATCCCAGCCTCGATCGGGCAATGGACTGCTTCTCTGAAGGTAGTTCGACTGAGTTTTGCGCCAAATGTGTTCGCAAAAACCAAGGAAAGGTGGTGACATTACTTGACAGTGGAAAAACCACCATGGACGGAGCGCAAATCGAATTCATACTTGGATACACTGTGTTTGGGTCAGAATTTCAATGGCTTCCCCCCTTCGGACCAAAATTCCAGAAGATACCCTCTGATAATGAAGCGCTACGTCGCTTCTACTCAACGTTGCCCGATATTGTTACGCAGCTAAGACCGCCGCCTTTGAAAATCATTGACCCAGGGCTAAAAAACTTGGCCACGGGACTAGAAATGCTTCGCCAGGGGCAGGTATCAGGAACCAAGTTAGTGGCGCGTCTGGAATGATAACGTTGTATACTAGATACTATAGATTTGTTTTCAATTATAGCGCAAATGGTGACTAGTAGAATCTTCGAGCGTAACATACTGGGTTTCTATACACACCAGGTGCTATGGATGCGGTGTTACGATAGATGTGGAAGATCAAATCCGTAATTTATTCAGTCTCACATGAATAGATACAATCTACTCAATTTAAGATAATAGGTCTGATTGGCGGTACATACTACGGGTGCTCTTCTAGTAACCAACTAACTAGTCAATACATGCAACATGTGGCAGTCTTATCCGCTGAACTGCGGAAAGGAGAGTGTACTATTCTGTGACACCTGGCAATCTCAGATTTTAATTCCAGAGTTTATCTGTTCTTTATGCAAGAGAGGAGATGCTGCCACGGCAGCTGCGTCAGTCTTTGCCAAATGCGTGGCATATGAACCGAAAAGCATTTGTACGACCCGCTGCGGCTTTGGGTCCCAACAATAAAACCTTCCAGTTGAGCGCATCTTTTGAAGATCAACAACGACGAAAGACTCAACGGGCATGATAGTCTCTGTCCAAAATAACAGATACAATTGATCGCTGAGCTTGAAGGTTCTGCAGAATTCGGTATCGGCCAGACCCTTTTCAGTTCCAGATAGACAATGCCAAGTCAGTGTCCCACTATTCAGGTAGACATGTTCGTACGCATCTTTGGGCGAGTAACGGTACAGAATGTGTCGGCCAACCAGCTCATCTGTATTGGGAAAAGTTGTAGCATAGGGAAAAGTGGCATCATGGCCCTGGAGGAACTCGGTAGTAGTCCGCCATTTTCCTTCCACTTCCTTAAGCTTTGATAATCCCGCTATAATCTGGCCAGTTGAACGATTCCAGACCAAGCTCACATGTTCCTCGAATTCTGGCTTGTAGAAGTCCACGAAGAAGATGCTAGATCGCACCTCGAAGGCCTTGTAATCGTGTTTGCCTTTAGTGTCCTTTTGAGGTCCCGTGGTGATCTCCCAATTCAAAGAGCTCTCGGTAGTGAAATGATGGGAGATAGAGATATCGCCGTCAAAAACGATGTTGATGACCTCATCTGCCAGGGCAGACGAGGCTGGCATTAAATGCTCTACAAAGCCCACTGCAAGCTCTTCGAGAGTGGGCCATTGTGAGACCGGGACAAAATCATTCGATTTGGTCGATGACATTTTAGATGAGATGAAAAGGCAGCAAAGGTTAGAGCTTGTTGAAATGGAAACTTTTCCAAGGAATTGATGAGATATTCAAAACTGCAAGATGCCAGTGGGACATCCTGTCACGACGAGGATTTATAGTGTTGGTTGAGCATACAATTGCTGCGGAACTGTACCGCTGTACCCATTCTAGCCAATCGCACTCTTTGGCCCGAAGGGGTTTAGCATAGGCATAACCGCCACCATCCCCAGCTAGTTCAAGTTATATCGTATCTCACTTCGAACACACTTCTACGCTAGTAGTGGATCACTGTGACTCAGATAATTTTCTGTGCGGCGTACAAAGTTGTATGTGATTTGATCAGAAACCACATTTTCCTTCATACGGCGTACTCCCGAAATTCCGGGAGAGGCACCACTTCTACACCACCTGCGTTAAAATGTCCGGTAGCATTCCCTATAGCGCCATACAACGGGCGAGAAGAAAAGTCAAATCGCGTAGTAAGTAATTAGCTCTTTGAATGAAGAAAATCACTCTGACAATTTCCAATAAGCTGGTTGCGCGCGGTGCAAGGAACGTGTGTGTTCACCTTCGTACTTCTTTATTTTTTTGTTCTTCTTTACCCGTTTGACGACAAGACATACTGATAATTCTGACGTATAAAAGCGAATTAAATGCGACGAGAACGTACCCTGCTGCCTTCAGTGCTCAAAGAGATCGTTTACTTGCCCCGGGTACACGAAGGCTGTAAAGTGGTCAACAAAGCACGAGCTCAAAGCAACTGATTGGCAAGATCCCGAGAACCCCGAGCTTTTCTCGAGCCAAACGTCAAGTCGACAGTGGTTTTCTGATCAAGTGGAGAGGTTCCATGCCGTATTGCAATCTGGCCTCCGTTTGTCGCCTGGAGATACTTCAACCCAAGATGAGACTAGTCAAGTTGTCACCAGCTCCTCGGATCCGGCCAACTCAAACGGAGATTCGCCAAGGATGACAAGTGAATATGCTGCCGATTATTGTTTGCTATGTAAGCTATGCCCAACCGACCGTTAAACCATTTGTTAATAGAGATTTAGCCCGCATCGGACAAAGCCCTCTAGGTACCGTTACGGAGATGCGATCGCCCCTTTGGCAGAGAGATATAGAGCTCTCGCTACCTTCTCTATTAACGGATGATTATACGTCATTAGTTGTATATTATTTCACTTCGGTTTGTCGCATCATATCAGGGTTCGATTCGCCAACGAATCCATTACGAGCGTGTATTGCAGCACTTCTGCCTCACAGCTCTGTAATCCACCATTGTGTGTTATCAATTTCAGCAGCGCACCTTGTACAACAAAGAAAGGCAGTACGCGAGCTGGCTTTGACTCATAACTCAAACGCCCTTTCATGTCTTGCGACCGAGACAGCTCAGATGAGAGAACAGGACTTATCATGTCATGGTGAACTTCCTACACAAGAATCGAGCTCAGTCACCGTATTACTCTTTGGAATAATTATGCTGGGTGTGACTTCAGTACGTGCTCCTTGTTTCAGTTGTGTTTCTGTTTGTTGCTTACCTTGCTTCAATCCAGTCTTGGTATGACTCTGCCTCATTGGGCTTGGAACACCTCATAGGAGCACGCGCCCTGTTTCGGGCACGGATTTCACCCACTGTCGCCATACCATCCTACTATAATTCATCACGTACCATATGCTCTCCGGATTACCGCTTTCTTGCGAGAACCATGGCCTACTGGGAAGCTGTGGGGTCTTTCATTGCGGACCAGGACATTGATACAGCTGACTACCTCCTACCTTTTTGCGGACTAGATGGAAATGGAGGTTCAAGCGTCAACCCTTGGAGCGGAGTCTCGGCTATTCTGTTCCTTTATATGTCCAAAGTCGGATCGATAGCCAGGCAACTCCATCATTTGCGGAAGCTCTCTGCACCACTTTCCCAGATAGTGGACGAGGCCCGCCAAATACTTTTGCAGAAGGCTAGGTATATTGAAGCGTTAGTATGTCGGCATAAGTTACCGGGAACGGAAAGACTTGAAAGCACAGGAGACAAATTTACTCCTGTCGGCCATTTTCAAACCATAGCCAGGGCTTACCGGCTTTCAATCCTTCTGGAGCTCTATCGAATGTTTCCTGAAATGACAATCCAGGAATCATCGCTGTCATTATCGTTATTCTCGGAGGAAGCACAGCGGCATGTAAAATGCCACGGTCAACTGCATGGTTTGGCCATTGACATTATGTCATTGATCGCATCCATCCCTGAGAACTCCGGAACTCGGGCTGTACAAACGCTGGCCCTTATTATCGCCGGCAGTACACTTCATTATAATAGTACCGAGTATGTTGACAACCCACAGGACAAAGACTTTATTGAGTTGCCCTTCGGTACAAAGGAGGTGATTCTATTTTGGCGCTCGTTTGCAACGTCTCGGCTACATAACTTGTCTCAGTATGTAGGGTTGGACACCGTACGCCGCGCTCATATGATTGTTGTGGAAACGTGGGAACGAGAAGAACAGAGAACTTGGCAGTCGATGAAGAACTCGACGAATCTCAGCACCTCAAGTGTACATTGGATTGACGTGATGTCTGATAAAAGATTAGAAACACTGCTAGGATAATAGAAGATTGTCAAGTAGATGAATCTCATATTTTCTGCATTTTATATAGCAAATTTTGAAGTTGCCCGCTAGAAATGATAGGCTAGTGGCACTGGGTCAAAGTTCTTGAAAGCTTTCACCCCCTACGGCGCCTCGACGATAGCCGCCCTCGTGCTGCGACTTGAAGTGCAGCCCAGCCACCCCACCTTCAAACTTGTTGTTAGGGCGCAGTCTTTCTTTCACGGGCCGACCAGTTCCAGAGACTCCGCGGTGAATCCAAATTACTTTCTCAATCTCGCTGCGCTGGCCACCGGGTTTCCTTCTTCGCATACTCTTATCTTCCTGTCCCCTTATCACCATATAGTCCTGGTTCCACAATCACTCCTTCCCTCGACTTCTTATGTGTCACTCGCGACTCCGCCTCCACGAGGGCGGACGATAGCCGTAACCCCCCTACGCCAGGTTCTCTAAAATTAGACTTTGAGAAATTTTTTGGGACCAAAAATGGACTAGAATGTGAACAGCATAGAGGCCACTGAGATGTTTTGCTCCGGCAAATCCATTTTAATACAAATGCCTTCTGACATAGAGCCTGGAAGGATTTGTGATTGGTTCGTACAAAATGAACTTATTAGGCTTAGCGTGGTTTAATACCGCATGAGAATGTAACTTTCTTTCACGTCGACGATTCCTATCGCAGTATTTCTAGTGCAGTACTCATCTGCGGCGTTATGTATAACTAGTGGAACGATGACTTTCGGGTATATTCGGTAAGACATGCCCCACGGCGGAAATCAATCAAAACCTATATAGAGAACAGTCGAGCCTCACAGGTCAGCACCATGACATGTTCCAAACATCTCGCTCTTGTGAATTGTTTACTAAGCTAAACAGGAAATTAACGTATGGAGGGGGAGAGGCAACTGAAAATGGCCACCCAGGCCTGTCCTGGTTTTCTCGAAATGATTATCAAGACCCAGAATACCGATTCCGGTATAAGAATTAGAAGAGAGACAAAGGTGAACAAGTAGTCTGATAGTAGGTATAAAAAGTTTGAGATAGAATATTAGTACTACTAGTAGTATTAGCTAGTACCTAGGTAGTTTTGTCAGTATCTACCTAGGTAAGCTACTGTCGTAGATATAGGTATTCAACTAGTAGCCTGGCATTCCAAGTTGTTTAGGTTAGATTACTAGTAGGAGTACTAGTACTAGTATGCTTTGGTCCTTTATATTAGCTAGTGTAAACCCATGCGTTTTGCACAATTCTATTGAGTACCTATCAGGTGATGATCACCGATGCACAGATATACCCAGTGAGCAAAAGTGGCGTTCACTAAGCACTCAAATGGCAACTTGAAGGGAAAGTCAAGATCTTGCTGCGGAAATTCGGTATGTAGGTAATGACGAAACTATGTTTTTCTTTTACTAAAAAGCCTTTGATTTTGTATTAAAACATGAAGACTCCCTTCAAATTGTCTTATTTTGGACTCAAGTTCCTAGGTAGACAATGGATTAACTTACATTCGAAACCAGTAGAGAAAACAAAGAGTCTTCTATTCAAGTTGCCTTCACCCATTCTTAGAAGAAGCGACATTGTCTTGGTCATTCTCTCTACCATTCATTGTTCTCTAAACTGCTTTATGAGTGATTAACATATGATAAGATATGAACAGGAGACTTATTTAAGACTCCGAGCTTGTCCGCAGTGAATGGAGTAGACAAGCCACCACAACCACAACAATATTTGCTCACTTCAGCTCACTTTACTGACTTCACCCCAGGCTCCCCCAAAGCTCCCCCGTCTACTTCTCTACCATTCAATTCCACTAACGCCTCGCACAGGTCCTAACCATGACACTCAGCAACTTCTCCGCCAACCTCGAGGGTTTCCTTACCCGGGTCGAATCAGTCAACAGCGTGCTCATTGACATCAGTCGCACCAAGCTCTACAACGAGGCAGTCGCCATGCTCCACAGCATCGCCGACGACATTCAGCATTCCCGGTTCAGCAACTCTCCATCGCGTGCCCCCATTACACCCGCTGAGATTGGAATGGCCAACAACATGGTTTCCACACTTCGGTCCCAGGCCCGTATCCTCTCATCGCATGCCGACGATGGATATGGCGTTACTGCATCGCTTCATGGCCTCGTTACTGGAGTCCGATCAAACCCTACATTTGGTACTACTGACCCTGATATCACCCCTAATCCGACCCCCGGAAGGACCCCTATTGACTGAATTCGAATACTGACGTGAACAGGAGAACCGTCCGGCATCTGTTTTCATCCGAATAGGCGCTCCTGACACGCCTCTTTTTCTTTGTGATATCCATTTATGACTGTGCGTTTGATATTCGCATTTTGGGAGCAGATATACTGATTATCTCTGTTAGCATGACAGCAAGCCTCAAAAATTGATATCATCTTTTACTTGACATTTTTCACTCTGAACTTTGTAGAATCAGAGGTAAACACGACGAAGGCCACTGGCAGTAGCCATATTGACGATCAGAGGGCAGAAAATGAAAATACAGTAAAATTAACTTGGAGCATAGATGATTGTTGTTGTAGATGACTGGTCTTTAGAATTACATACCCAAGTACATATCCGAGGGTAAACCATTCGTATATCTATGGTATAATGGAGTCAACGCTAATAGCCACCCAATGACACCCTCTCTATGACAGAATCCAGAACTAGAAGCATATATACAAAGCAAGATAATAGAAAGAAAAAAAAACATCAAGGCGAGATCGTAACCGTAATGGGAGGCACAGCAATCGCCGGTGGCGTTCGCGGACGTTCAGGACTTTCCTGCCGAGCCAGTTTCGCCGGGGCAGGAGCAGGGGCCTCTTCATCGATGACATGAGCGTTTTTGCTGGCAGGGTTATTTGACAACTCTTCTCCATTGTCGTCAGCCTTCTTTTCAGATCGGGAAAACACGCGACGAGTCGTACGCGCTAGAGGTCGGAAAGCAGCCTTTGTGCCGCGGGCGAAAGCATTGAATCCTTTGACAATAGGTCGCAGGACAAATGACATCGCACGGACGACGGCATTGAAAACAATGCCAAAGTGTCGATCGGGTAGTAGGCGCAAAGCGACGGCCCACGGCAAGCAACCCAGTGCGCAGATGATACAGACTGCCCAAAGAATACCACTCAGTCGGGTGACGCCAAATGCTGCGCCGCCAACGTAGATGATCATGACTTGCCCGCCGACCATTACGGCGTTGATACCCAGGAACCAGTAGTTCTTTAGCATTCCCTCGAAAATATTGAACTTGTTATCAAGGCGACGGTTGTTGAATTCATTGAAGATTTGCATCCAGACGAATGTATTGAAAACGACTGTGGAGAGCTGCTTCGAGCGGTGTTCTAGATCAACGCTGTCCAAGTGAGCCCCGAGAAGCTTGTCACCAGCAAAGTAGAGCATGAAGGTGATGGCGAGTTGGTAGACTGCCTGACCAAGGATCATTTTCCACATTGTCAAGGTGAAGAGTGAAGCACTTTTGGGTACGGGTTTACGGTCAAGGATCTTCTCTGTTGGAGCATCGGTTGCCCTATTGCCGGTTAGAAAGGGAAGGGAAAGAACAAGAAAGTTAGAGAAATACTCACAAAGCCAGGGCAGCAAATGTGTCCATGATCAAATTCACCCAAAGAAGCTGTACAGCACTGAGCACACTGCTGTTCGAACTGCTGTAGACGGAAGAGACGAATGTCAACACGACAGCCGTGATATTGACGGTAATTTGGAATTGCAGGAATTTGGCGACCGCGTCGTTGACAGCTCGGCCCCAGGAGATAGCAGTCACAATAGAGCGGAAGTTGTCATCAAGTAAAATGATTGAGCTGGCTTCCTTCGCGACCTCAGTACCGGCAATTCCCATCGAAAAGCCGACATCCGCGGTGCGAAGAGCAGGGCCGTCATTAGTACCATCACCAGTGACAGCGACAGTCTCTCCAAGAGCCTTGAGGCGCTCGACCAAGATGCGCTTGTCGTCTGGTGAAGAACGCGCCAAGACCTGTAGACGTGGGACCACACGATCCATCTCCTCATTCGAAAGTTTTCGGAACTGGGGACCTTCCATGACCAGTCCACCTTCAGTCTTGATACCGCAGGAAGATGCAATCGCAGTGGCAGTTGCAATATTATCACCGGTGACCATCTTCACCTGCACACCAGCAGAATGACACTTGCGAATTGCCTGGGGAACCTCGGGACGAAGGGGATCTTGGATGCCCACAACTCCAACCCAAGTCATGCCCCGGAAGACATCGTCAAAGTCGGCCGCAGATTTATTATCTTCAAGGAGTTTAGCCTCCTTTGGCGGCCATGAGGCAAAGTCTTTGTACACAATACCGATCGTACGAAGAGACCTCTTGGCGTACTGGTCAATGGTTTCCAGAATCACTTGTCTCTCTTTCTCGGACAGGGACACTGCACGTGTATTTTTTCCAGCCGTGTCAATGTCTGTGATCTGTGTATTGCAAGCGTCGACCATTATCTCCGATGCACCCTTAACAAGAAGTCTGTAGCCAGAGCCATGCTGACGGTATACCACGCCCATACACTTGCGAGCAGAATCGAAAGGAATAAGCTGGATAATCTCGGCAGACCCCCGCTCGGAAGCGAGGTCCATACCCAAGTAATCCTGGGCCATTTGGAGAAGTGCAACTTCAGTCTTGCTGCCGACAAACTGTCTCCGGCCTTCTCGTTCTTCCTCAAAGGCGGTTGAGTTCAAAGCAACGCTTTTGGTAATGAGATCCCGTGTAGAGACTGAGCACCCTTTGAAAAACTCAGCGGTCGATTTGGCAGAGGTATCGACCTGATCCTCTGCCGGAGATTGGAAACTCTGTGAAGTACTCAAGGTACCGGCGACAACAGTCATTTTGTTCTGTGTCAGAGTACCCGTCTTATCTGAGCAGATCACAGTGGCATTTCCCATGGTCTCACAGGCGCGAAGGACACGGACGAGGTTGTTCTCCTTGACCATGCGAGTAGTAGCAAAGGCAAGGGCAAGAGTGACCGCCAGTGGAAGACCCTCTGCAAAGAAAGATTAGCATAAGATGCAATAGACTAGAGAAAGGACTACATACCAGGAATAGCCACCACGATAACGGTAACAGCAACAATCAAGATGTCAACGAACTCCTTGCCCTTCTCTGCGGGGCCTATGTCGGGGTGATTTGGGAGGTCAGCCACAAATCGGAACAAGAGGACCAGGAACAAAACAAGAGCGGCGCTAGAATTATAGTCAGTTACTCCTCTCAATATTGAGTATTCCAGTAATAAAACTTACGCCGAGCCTAGATAGCCAATCCAGTTTGCGAGACGACCCAATTTCACCTGAAGCGGGGTAGGATCATTGGTAGTCTGCAGCGACATCATAATTCGACCATGAGAAGAGTAAGGCCCAACGCTAGTGACAACGTAAGTACCGACGCCCTCGAGGACATTACTTCCAGAAATCATGAATGGATCAAGCTTTTTGGTCGCAGAGCCCTCAACAATTTGCTGCCAGACCTCATGGCCATCTAGCTTTTTCATCTGATCAGATTCGCCTGTTGCCGATGACTCGTCGCATTTCACGCCATGGCCCGATATAAGAACGCCGTCGGCAGGAATAGAGTCACCGGGTTCGAGATGGAGCACGTCGCCAACCATTACATCGTAGATAGATAGCTTCATAGACTTGCCAGACCGAATAAGCTTCACGTAACGGTCATCATTCTGTGAATGTTTAGTTAAAGTTAGCCGAGCAGCTGGTTGATCATCACGTACCTTCTTATTGAGTTTGGAAAATTGTCTTTCCTTTTGCCAATCATTGACAGCCGTGACGACAGTGACAATGAGAATTGCCACGCAGATAGCCACACCTTCTACCCAGTTCACACCACTTCCTGCATCCACAGTCTCATAAATACCCAAAGATAATGAGACTACCGCAGCGATAGTCAAAAGTATAATAATCTTATCATTATATGCAATCCAAAAGAGCTTCAAGAAGCCAGTGGACTTTCGAGCGGGTACTCGGTTTTCACTGAAAACACGAATGCGATCCTCGAACGGCGATCCTTCGCCAGCGGATACTGGCGCCGATGTAGGGTTATTCTCGTCAATGGGCCGTTTGCTTATGGAAAGTCGTTTATTATATAAAGGAGGCGTCACTTGTTGGAAGTCGACTGTGCCTTCCAATCGAACTTCATCATTTGAGAGACCTGCACTGAGATCTGTCCGCAAGCCGCGCTCTAATCCTTGCAAGCCACCAAGTGCGTGGAAGGCGGCAAGAGACTTGGGGTTTTGCATCTTATTCAGCTGACCAGGTGAGAAGGCGAAGCGATTATTCTCGATAAGGAAATCAGCCTCGTTCCGGGGGTCTGGTGTCAGTGCCTCTGACAAGGGCACGTCGTCGTAAACGGCTTTGCTAGTATGTGAAGGATCGACATCTGAATTGGTTCTAGACCGGCTAGTACCCATTGTAGGTGCAGTTGATGCAAAAGACTCTGATCGTGGGCGTAATGTCTCCCCGTCTATTGAAGATGAAGGCCGATGAAAGCCATTATGGACCATCAGGCGTGCCGGGTCCGGATGGGCAGGATTCCACGCCATATCTGGAGAAAGTGAAGTTGCGGGTGATGCAGGGGATATAGGGGACGTGGGAGATGTAGGAGAGTGAGTTTGATCTGTCGGGCCATATGCAGAAGCAGCAGTAGGTGTGATAGATAAGGAACGCTGTATTAATCAGTACGAGTTTGCCGCCCAAGATAGGTATGAGGGCAACTTACCTCCCTGCCCGAGGGATCTGTTTCAATCGTAGGAGTCAAGAATGAGCCCTGTTGAGGCATATTGGTGTTTGATGATGGAGCCATTTGGTGTGGATTGTACCGATGTGGTGGCCGGTATGAAATTAATGCGAAAGTGATATGCCCTCGTCAGGAAGCCCGTTTCGAAATTGGGGTGCAGGTCCTGTTATCCCCTCTCGAGGGGGCTGTGTTATGCCCAGAGCCGCCGAGGAAATGGTTTATTGAACAGGTCTTTCAATCCACTATGAAATTAAGAAGATGCCAAGTGAGGAATTTGTTTTATCCACACGCTGGATCCGGATAGAGGGGCAACGATGCGTATTATGTGCTGATCAATTCCCAACCCTTCTGACACAACGGTGAAGAAATCATTGAGGCTGTGCTCAACTATCAAAAGCCTCGGGTGACTGTACCACGAACTACAACGTACGTGAGGATGTGAATGGAAGATGTGGCGAGTGCAAATTCAACCCCAGCCGAAGATGTTTCAAACCCGGGGCGAAGTAGAAACGACCTGACACCCACAACATGGTGACGGCTTTAGCGCTGTGATCGAATCTAGATTCAATTGAGCGAGACGCTGCCTTTCATCACGACTCCCCAGAAACCTCTAGTTTCAAGACCCGCAAGTCGAAGCGGTCCAATAAAGTGCGAGTGATGAGGTTGGGCTTGCCGCCGCGACCCAGAGTGGAGTGGCTGCGCCCCCTTGTAACATCATTCAAGTACACGGTAGATCCAATAACATTGCATTCCGCATAATATTGCTAAACCTTCTCAGATCAGGTGGTGTATAGCATTGTCGAAGGTACTTTGGACATCTAGGCTTTGGACCCCGGACTCCGTGCGGGCACTTCAGCAAGGAGGCATAAATGTCTTGAGTTGCGTCATCTGGCTTTGTTTCGGGCTGTGAAGTCACAAAGGGTGAGGGCCAGGGCTCCAAAAACCAAAGCCTTTTGCGTCAGAAAACAGGTATAATTGATTAGAGTTGGCAATAGTAAGCGTCAGTGGATCAATTCAGACTGTCATGGGTGAAAGACTCGCTCAATCAAGTAAAGCTGCAGCGAGGCGATCTTGATGTTCTGGGACACTTGCCACATCTGAGCCACAGTTTGGTGTGGCGAAGGTGGCGGTGCGCATGGTTTCTGGTCACGTGATGTCAATAAGCTCGGGATCGTGTGCCCCAGAGTGGCTGAGGTATCATCCCATCCCGTAGGCAGCAGATCAGACAAGCTGTTGGCAACCTAATTTACAGCCTCAAAAACACTATTCTTGGTAAAAGCGTCGTACATATTCACTGCCACCTTTAGGCTCCCACCACAGGAGATCAATATTCGATATCTTTTGTTCATTCCAGGCTTCAATTAAGAATTAACTTAGACAATAAGGATTGGAGCCCAAAGTGGCTCATAATCATATCAACACTCGCTCCTCTGAGCGATAAATGAACAGATCAACATATTTGCGGGAAATGAGGGGGGAAACAAGGGGTATCTATCAGACGAGGAGAGGAAATTGGAAAAGTGACAAATGAGAGCACTTTTCAAAGGACAGACACGCCAATCCCAAAAATTCGTACAGTGCGACTTTTGCGGGTGGTAGGCGAGAGGTGGAGAGATGGCTGAAAAACAGCAGCAAAAAACAAAAGCTAAAATAACAAAGCAAAATAAGCAACAAAATGATCCGTCGTCCGAATCATAGCGTGCAGGAGAAAATATCGAAACATGTTGGCTAAATCAAAGCATTCGAGAGATTCTCTGTCCCATAGAAACGTCGGCTTTTTCGTATCACGTATTCCCATACAATGCACTCCAGCTCAGCTCACAGATCCAAGCTTTCTGTGAAACGGCTGCCGCGACTGTCGCGACTCCCGTCGAAGCTTGGAAGGCTGCGTCCCAGTGGATCCTTTCGAGGAGCCACTGGTATGGCACTCTGGGGTTGGGGAATTGGATGAGAAGGGGTGATAGTTGTCGGAGAACCAAAATTGACAGAGCTTGAGACTGGGATGTGGGCTTGTCGCGGTCGTGTTGGGGTGATGTTCTCTTCCCCGGTTTCGCGTGTGACGTTGGTGTCAAGTGGCATGCCAAACGGTGTTGCTGTTGGTGGTGCGTGTGAAGGCGAGGAAAGAGGGCCTCCGGGAGACGAGGGAGAGAGCCCGATGAGGGAGTCTGGGATGGTTGGGGAGCCACTCGTTGATGCACCACCGAAACCATCACCTCCATGGGTGAGAACGGGAGCGATTTTGCGTCCAGATATCTTTTGAAAGCCCCGCTCACTTGGAGTGGAGGAGACGGTACTCTCCGTTTTGGTACTCATTGTGGACTGGCGCCAGCGCTTCACGAAGGCGGGTGCAAGATATGACGCGCCAAAGAGAGGGTCTTTGCTTGTTCGTCGTTCAGCTACTTCCCGTACACCAGAATCTGATGATGGCAGGGCCTGCGTGCCCTTTTGTTGGAGGCTCCGTCGGCGGAACAGGAAAAGAATAAGCAACAGAAGTAGAGCAACACCGGCAACACTGCCAACAACACCGCCAATAATTTTTCCTGTTGTCGTGTCAGAGCCTGTGTCTGACCCTGACGAAGATTCTGAGTTGGTGCTTGTTGGTGATGACCCGCTACTGGTGCCACCAACAGTCTGACCATAGCCTCCGTACCAAGTAGATGAAGTTGACGACGTGCTCGAGCTGCTGGAAGATGTTGTGGAGGAAACGGCGGATGACGTAGAGTAAATGCTCTCACCATGGGCGAATGCAGTAGACGAAGATGTAGAATTGGATGATGTCGAAACGAGAGGTATTGAGGATGTTGGCGTAGAGCTGATAGCGGAAGAAGTCTTTGGCGAAGAAACAGCCACAGTCGGCCTGCTTGTATGTGGTACAGTCTCGGACGCTGGGGTCGTTGAATTTGTTTGTTGAGCGATGGGCAGAGCTGTTGGTGATGTAACGAGCAACGCAGCCTCCGATGCAAATGCAGTTTCACCGGCTGAGAGGGTGACGGCACCAAAGGCAGAGTCCGAAAGCGTCAATGGGAAATCAACCCCGGCGGATTGCCAGAGAGTATGAGAGTTTGTGTCCACCACTTGCAAAACCGTTTCTACGACCACACTCTGGGTCTGGGTGGCTTCTTGTCGTTTCAACAGACTTGTTTCCTCGGGATATTCGGGGAGAATGATATCCTCCGGGGACGCCAAAGGCTCATTTTCAATTTCTCCCCCACTTATTAAAATACTCGATGGGCCATTGTCGTCTTTCGCAGCTTCCTCCAGCACTTCTAAGCGGCGCTTCGCTCTAAGTAGCCTGCTGGTCCGAGAGTCGCGCCAATGGCCATGATGAGCCATTGCGCCACGGTTTGATCGAAATGGGGTTGGGTGTAGGTAGGTTCAATGTTCAATTAACCGATAATCGTGAATCCTCACAGAGTTTCAAGCCGGATCGACCAGCTAAAACACGAAAATCAATCAAAGTAGAGGCTTTTCTCTCCTTTTCCTTGGTGTCGATCGGATGTCGAACACGCAGCGAAGAAAGGAAGCGAAAAAAGAAGCAGGGACTTGCCCGCGATGGTTGGCCGATTGGATAAATTTGACCAATAGTCGAAAGGATTGTGGCGATCAATTCAATCGCAATGGTAAAGAGTGGAAGTCCGCGAATTCAGTTGCCGACAAGAAAAAAAAGAGAGACAGTAAAGAATGAATGGTGTGTAAAGGTCGCAGGAGACGTTTCGAAATGTCTGAGGGCATCGGGTCGGTTTAGCGATGTGTTTCAAGCAAGCGATAGTGCCGCGCGGGCTCCCATGTGATGCCTTGCTATATCGCTCTAGCAGAGAGGAAATTCTGGAACAAACATACCAGATGAAAAGAGTGTCGGGAAGAAAGGTGATGACAAATGTTGGAGGCCTAATCCATAGTGTCGTTGCAGGAAAGTCACCAAACATACACAGTTGAAGCGAAGCGATATCAAGTACCCGAGCAGCCAGCGGGTCCGATGGTAACGTCAGGCGTTCGTTGTTCTCCGGGACAAGATGCAGACGAAGCAGCTCTAGACGAACCGGTCCGACTTTCAAACTCTTGATAGAGGGGAGGAGGGGCGGGGGAGAGAGAGAGAGAGAGAGAGAAGTCGGGGGCACAGAGTGAGGAAAAAGCGAAACGGTTCTGGGTGGAACAGTGGAACGAGCCAGACCGGACCCAAGCGTCTCCCCTATTAAAAGCCAAGTCTAGGCGACCCGCGCAGGTGACGAACTAGCCCGGGGGCCGAGATGCTCTTTTTTCGGGTTCAACCCACTACTTCACGTTTCTAATAGCCGTGGTGGAATGTAAGAGGTGGAGGGGGGGTGTGAGTCTAGAAGATAGACCGACAATGTGATCTGTTTCTCTGTTTATTTTGAACGATACCCATGAGGGAGAGCAACGTCCAGAAAGCAGAAAGGTTTCTCGCTGCAGGTACAGGAGCGGGTATGACAGATGATTGGTTGGCTGTCAGGTGGAGCCCGAGGGTGTTCAGCATCACTAGTCCTGATTGGGCTAGACTCGGTGCAGGTTTAATGAGGTCTTACTTTGAGAACATCCCATCTCCGTTATGTTAAGTGCCCATTTACGGAGTACATTACACCTATTTATATTCCGGAGAATATACAGAAATAGTCACTAGTAGTACAGTATTGTGCCATTGAATCGCCCCCGAGTATATCTATTCAATCTCTCTCTGCTCCGTATTCCGTCCAAGGCATCCCATCCCATCTACGGTAAGATTACCTCCCATGTGGATCTACGCAAGGACGCCGCACTATAGCCGGCCCGCAGCCAATAACTGCAGTATGTATGTATTACATTGTACAATTAGGTACGGAGCATGGCCTCCGTTCCAGGAACACATGACTTGTGAACTCGGGTCCTTGCTTATGTAGTCTGACGTACTCGCTTCGGATCGCGTCACTTAGGGCAAAATGCGCGTTATTCACTATCTACGGTCTCGTGAAACACAAGTCGCGGGGGGGGTATAGTAATGGGACTCGTTTGCTCTCTCCCTGGCCCGACCGCTTAGAAGGTCTCCAGCTCATCAGCCGCACCCTCTTCCGCCTCCGGGATCTCGAATCCATCCTGCAGGGTTCATCCGTTAGCTTAATTCCCAACACCTCAACTTCTTCCTCTTCCTCGTCCTCGTCAACTTACCTCGGTCGAATACAGAATGCCCTGGATGTGTTTCACCAACGTATCCTCCTCTTTCTCCAGCTCCGGGTCGGCCTCAATAGCGTTCTGAAGCAGTAGCTCAATATCGCGCAGCTTGGCAAAGTAAAAGTCCCGCTCCTTCTCGAGGCCACCAATGGCTTCCTTCTGCGTCGCGAGTTCCTGCTGCAGCGCAGCGGTGGCAGCACCGGCACCGGCACTGGCAACGCGAGGACCACGAACGGCAGCAGAGGTCGGGGTAGCTCCGCGGCGTGAGCCAGCTGAGGGGGCACGAGCGGCGGCAATGGGCGCACCACCGGGGGCACCAGAAGCCTTGCGACGGCCAACGGCATCATAATCGCCACCGGGGTAGTGCTGGTCCCAGTATCGCTTGACCCACTGGAGGAATTCCAGGTTATCCTGCATGCGGCACCTGGTGAGGGATTGGACCGGGATGGGCTTTTCGACCGCGTGGCGGGTGAAAATGTCTAGAGGAATGAGCGGATAGGTTAACAAGGTTTTGTCATGGGGTCGACCGTTACACGGCCCGATGGCGGGGAAACGTACTTTGCAGAACCTTGAAGTTTTGAAGGTAGGCGTATTCGGTGTTGACGTTGAACTTAACCCGAGACATCGGCACGTCCACTGCAAAGAGAAAACCATTGTATCAGTATAGCCGCCTCCAAGTATATTTTCCAGACGGCTTGACCGCTTCTTAACAGTGTTCGCCAGGTCGCACTCACTAAATATCGAATCGAAGATCTGGCATAGTGCAGCACTGTGTGTATCCACCAAAATCCGATGTCAGTTGGGTTCTCTTTCGTGCTCTTCAAGCGCGCAGACTCTCCGGTAAGAGGGGGGCGAGGGGTCTTTGGCCGATCATACCCGGTTCCACACTGCTCGATCTTGGTGATGTTGAGCTGCAGCAGGTTGTTCAACCAAGCCAGCAATTCTTGTCTATGAGATATCTTCCATCAGCGAACCACTCCGCGTTGTGCCTCGTCGAAGGGCGATGTGTCGATAAGGGGAAAAAGCCGAACCTGGATTCACCCATGGTGGGGTAGTGATAGCCGCAATCGAAATTTCGGGGGGTAGGGTGGAGGAGAGTGGAGGACGGAGGGTCAAGTGCGTGTCAATGAAGGACAAGGAGCACGATCAGGGCCTCTACTGGGAGTCTGCCTGTCTGTGTTGATGGGAAAACACCCGATGGGATTGTTTTGATGCCAAAACCCACGGATCACACTGGCGCTAGCCATTGCACTAACCAATCATGTGTGCTTATGTAATATCTTGCCTGAGGCAGACAGACAGTTGCTTCTTTTAGTTACCATTTATGATGAACCATTTCGCATGCTACACATGTATATACGAGAGCTGAAATGATAGAAACTTGATCAAATGATTGTGTATATCCTTGTGCGCCATGTATAGATCTAGCTATATAAAAAGAATGAAACTTCTATGCCCGTGCCAGTCTCTGTTTCCAGTTCCGGTAGCCATTCCCCGAGGTCTAACACCGTGATCCAATGCCAGCCAGATATCCCAAAAACAGCGCTAAATAAAGAATGAGAATTATGAAAGATATTATAGGCAGTATTCAGGAATGATCATTCCTCCAACAAGTCGATCCCATCCAGTCCGTAGCCGAAATCCATGATAACGGCCCGGGAGTCCTGGCTAGTTGCGACGATTCGTCGGTAGTCTGACTGGACATTGAGCATCCAGCTAGTCGTCCAGCCAGGCAGATCGACAGACAATTGACCTGACTCGGTATCAAATACCTTGACACTCATATCGTAACTACCGCTAACAATACGCTTGTTCATGCTGTCCAGGTGAAGGGACCGAATCAAGCCAGTGTGACCTCGGAGTTCCTTGACCAGCTCGCCAGTGTTGGCATCGAACTGATAGATAGTCCTATCATTTCCACCGGTCAAGATGGTACGGCCATCTTCGCTAAACTCAACACAGGCGAGACCGCGATCCTTGCTGGGGAACTCTTTAACACAGGCACCAGTGGTAACATTCCACAACTTAGCAATGCCGTCGCCGCTTGCCGAGACCACGAGATCGCCGCGCAGCTGTACAGCGTTCACGGGACCGTGGTGTCCAATAAGCTGCTTCAGTAGATCGCCTGTCTTGCGGTCCCAGACGCAGATAGTACTGTCCTTGGAGCACGACACAATGTACCGGTCATCAAAACAAACATCCAAAACGCCAGCGCGGTGGCCCACAAGCTGGCGGATGGGACGGTAGTCATCCTTGATATCCCAGACAATACATGTGTAATCCGAGGAACCAGTCACCATGATCTCCTCATCGAAACGAAGGCAAAGGATTGAGGCACTGTGGTAGTTGGCTGGGTGCTCCATCGGGGTGACAATACCAGCGGAGGGTGTTGATGGTGGGCAAATAGTCACGAAAGGAGACTTTCCGGTGGCCTGCTGGGCTGGATTGTTTACGGGCCCAGAGCCAGAGACATCGCCAGGAGGCGGGCCAATGATCTTGAGGCAAGACCAGGGGTAATGAGCATCCCACACGCGAATGGTACGGTCACGAGATCCGGTGATAATTTTATTTCTAAGAGTGAATGGTTAGTTAAGGTTCAGCAGAGCGGGAAGTTTTATGCCAAACTCACTCATCAAATTGCGCACAGTATACGCTGTCTTTGTGTCCGTGGAGATAGATTGCCGCAGCTTTGCCCTGTTTCCAGCGTTGATCGAGAGCCCGGCGAACTAGGAACATGCGCTTCCAGTCCTGGTGAGGAACAGCCTTCCCCAATCCGAGCTGCTGTCTTTTCTTGGTTGCTGTAGAGCTGATCGGTCGACGGGTATATACGCTGCGGAAAACGTATTTCCAAACATGGGGGGAGTTTGCCTGCCCGTTCCAGGTGTGAGAAACCAGCTCCGCCTGCATGAGAGAGACTGGATCCAGGTATGAAAGCACCTGGGCCATGATCTCTGATGGCAAGTATGAAACCGGATCAATGCGGAGGAGGTCTAGCTCAGTATCCGAGGCATCGGAGCGATCGCGAAGATCGATACCGATGCCGCTCTCCGAGTCAAGTCTGACGTCAGATGCCCTGGGAAGAAGTTCATGCTCCAATTTGCCCATTTCCAGCTTGGCCATTTCCAATTTGACCATCTCCATGCGTTCATTCTGAGCAGCGGCAGCGGCGCGGGCCGCTGACCCAGCAAACTTGTCATTGGGAAGAATTGGGGGCTCCAATCCATGTCCAGGGATGGGGGCTGGAACCGATGCGGTCGGGGCATAGAAGCCATGCAGAGCAGTCACGCTGTTAAGAGAAGGGCGTCTATTGATGCTGTAGCTGTTGGACCAAGCACGCGACCGTTTGTCCCAACTTTGCGAGGCAACATTGCGCTTGTGGCTGGAGTGGCCTGCAACTTCGTAGTGGCGAGAGTCATCTTCGGCCTCTCCGGGAACCTGAAGATTGTTCTTAGAGGACTTGTGACGTAGAGTGACAGATAGCCGGCGACCCAGCGCCACTAAGCCGTCCATCGGGTGTCGCAGGTTTGAAAAGCTCTTGGCTGATCGCCTGCGAGGCACTGCCTCTGGAAAGGGCTCCATCTCTTCAACCGCCGATCCCTCGGAGTCGCGGCATAGTTCTGTACGGGGGGTCTCTCGCCACTGATCGAAAGCATACTCCTTAGAGTGGGTAATTGGATGCGCCGCAGTCCGGGGGCGTGGGCGAAGTGATAGCGAGGGGCGTCGCCGAGTAGAGGTCTCTCGTGGCGACATGGCGTTCTGTATAGGGATTGCGCAAAGGAAGGGAGGTAATCAACGATCTGGGTTTTTGGAAGTCGAAGTCTTCGATAGGACCTCTACAAAAATGGTAAAAACGACAGAACTGTTCTCGGTCCTGGTGTATTGTATAATGTCGATGATGAATTCAATGCGAAGTTCTTTCGGTAGTCGCCAGGGGAGGGTGGGCGATAGTCGACGAGTCTAGTAGATGGAAGGATTGGATAAGACAAAAACACCGAGGAACAGAGAAGAAAGAGAGAATGTAATGAATGAGTGATAAATAAGAGAAAAACAAAAAGAAAGCGCAAGGAGAGAATAAAAATAGGGAGTAGAATTTCCAAAGAATGAATCGGCCGCGGTCTGAGAGTCGGGCGGTGAATTGCGGTGGAGTGATTGGCCGCCGGCAAAGATACCGATCGGTATTCAGTACTTTTATTATCTCCTAATTTATGTGGCAAGTGAAGTATTCGGTACTTGGGCCACTACGCATCTTGCAGGGATTAGATTTTTCTAGCGTCTGGGGGGCAAATCATGGGGGATTTGCATTTTTCTGACAGGGATGGGACCGTACTGTGGAGTATTGACTACCTTGCAATCCGGGGCAATTTGCCTGCCCCAGGGTGGCGCCTCATGTATTCTGTACTTTACTCAAAGTACTGCAGGACCAAACCGTCAGCCCCGAGTGGCGGTTTTAGGCCCTCCTGATCCAGGGTTCCGCCCAACTTTGACGGTAATCGGGAAGGTTAGGGATTTCTAGCAGGCCGCATTTGACAAGCAAACTAAAGTTTTTGGGGCTTTTGTTTTACATTTACTCCGTACAAAAAAAATGTAAATGGAGGAAAGAGCCACGTAGTAGCCGTCTGTGTCGATCCCGTTCGTATACTCCAGAGAACAGCCTTGTGGAGTGATCCACTCTATTTGCCAATGCCACCCAAGTGAAGAATAAAGAATCTTGGAAGTAGCCCTCGAATAATTTGTTTGTGTGTATTCCGCTCGTACTGGCTCGGTTTGAAATATGGATAACCTGACTTGAGTCATACCTGCTACCTAGTACTAGGTACTATAACTACTAGTAGTGCCTACTAGTAGTAGTACTAATATATACACACGGGCAAATTCAAGTTGGAACATCGTGTTAGACCATCCATTCCAGGTTGGTACTTAGGTAACAATATTAATCTTGAATCATTTATTTTTAACTGCTCGTTATCGATCTATACATAATCAAATAGCACACCACCCTAGAAACAACCGCACCGCATCTCGCCAAAAACCCCATCCTTCAGAGCTTAAATACACCCAGTAGTACAGCCAGTGGTATCAACATCCTCTTAACCGAAAATCTTTTCATATCCAGTCAGGGTGAACCGGTAGTGAACATCACCCTTCTTCATACGAAGCATAGCCTCCTTTAGGCCCTCCTCACTGATTGCGATCTCCTCAACCCAACCCTTAAGTCCCTTGTCCGCAGCCAGCTGCAGCATTTCAAGCATCTCCCGACGGCTGCCCAGGTGACTAGCACCGATAAGCACACCGTTAGAAATCAAGTTCTGAGCCTTGATAACCTGACCTTCCTCCTCAGGCAGACCAACACTAATCCAGCGCCCATGCACATCCATCATAGACAAATAGCGCGCCAAATCGAAGCCCTCGGAAGAATTGGCACAGTTAACAATCAAATCAAACGAGAACTTGTGCGGCTCCTCCCAGCCCTCCTCCGCAGTAGCAATGTATCCATCAGCACCCAGCTTCAAAGCATCCGCCTCCTTGGCACGAGACCGCGAAATCGCCCAAACCTCCGCCCCAAGCGCCTTCGCAAACATAACGCCAAAGTGACCAATGCCGCCGAGACCAACGATGCCAACCTTCTTGCCGGGTCCGGCGCCGTTGCGCACCAGCGGCGAGTACGCCGTCAGACCGGCGCACAGCATCGGCGCAACGGTGACCGAGTCAAGCGCATCGGGGATCGGGAAAACCCAGTGCTCGTGCGTGCGCACGTGCGAGGAGTATCCGCCCTGGCTGACGATGCCGGTCTCGGGCCACTCGGCGCCGTATGTGTCCATGATCTGGACGGGGCAGTAGGTTTCATTGTCGTTCTTGCACTGCTTGCACTCGCCGCAGGAGTAGGACTGGGCGCCGACGCCGACGCGCGAGCCTTCCTTGATGAGGGTCACTTTGGGACCGACGCGGATGGCGGTACCGACGATTTCTGGGCTGTGTGTTAGATTTGGAACTGGGAGTTTTGTTGAGGGATTGTGCGTGGGGACGAACCGTGGCCTACGCAGAGGGGGAATTTTTGGGATCCCCATCCTCCGCTGATAGTGTGCACGTCACTGCCGCAAATGCCGCATGCTTCGATCTTGACGTCGACGTCTGTTGTTTGCAAAGTTTGGTTAGAGGTTGTTCATGACAGAGTTCGATTGGTTGGGGCTCACCATAATCACCGAATGGCTTCAGCTGGAACTGTAAATCCACAAATAAGTGCGTGTTAGAATAGATTCTCCAGGCAAAGGACGGAGGAGAGTAGCTGACTTACGAAGCGCTTATGGAATTGGGTGTAAGAGTTAGGTCCATCGACCTGGAATCCCTCAGCTTCATCAGGGTAGGGCATTGTGATGGGTATATGTATATGGGGATTGAAAAGAAGAAGGGAATTGTATGAAGATTCTCCAGAAAGAGTGGGATGTTGAGGGAATAAGAAGGAAGAAAAAGGTAAAGAGAGAGAGAGAGAGAGTGGGGGGGGGGGAAGGGAGGGGTATATCAAAGCTGCTCAAAAAAAATTTAAATTTAAATTCAAATTCTAGCAGGTCCTAACTCGGCCGGTAGATGATAGTCCTGAATGGCGTGGGATAACCTCGTGAGGCCCCCATGACGCGGGGCGCCTCGCATACTACACTTCTCGGGATATTGATATCGCATGCTTCGAGGATTGTCTCCACTAGATAACAAAGCGGGTCATTTCCCGGAACAGTAATGCACCGAGCTATCTATCCAGAATGAAATATCTATATAATTCTCTTTGTAGTAGATACACGAGCAAAAAAAAGTGAGAAGAAAACCATGCGTGGGGGGGATCTTGAGTCTCATCATTTTCTTATGTGGGGTATATAGTCCTTGCAGTGCATTTTTGCTCTTGATCAGTTGGAACTAGTATTCAATGGGCGGTAGTAGACGGGCGAGGGCGGCCTGGGGTCGCAACAACTCCGAAGTTGGAGTTTTTCCGCCTATCAGCGTCGCGGAACAAGCATTGAAGTCACGATGGACCGTCATTGTGAGAGATATTGGATTTTATTTATACGGATCACAGCAGGGTTGTTTGAATGCTAGTACTATGCTCTGACACCGCACATCTGCACCCATTGGACCAATGAATTAGACTTGGGGACCCTCAGGGAATCAGCTCCATTTATCGGGTACTTTCCTAATCGGGATCTAGCGATCGGGTATTCAAGTTGATTTTCAGTCATAAATATGTATTGCATTCATAATACTATGTATATTATGTGATTCATGTACAGCGTTGATAATCCTATGTGTGTCTTAATTTACTTTGAACTTTTCTCCCCGCGTCATTATGCGACATCCTTCAGGGAGAGCTCCACATCCAGAGCGCCCTTGATCTTGCCCGCGAGATCCTTGGCCTGGTCATCATTGAGACGGCCAAGCGGGCGTCGAGGGTATCCACCATATCCGTAGTAAGACTGGATGGCAGACTTGGTGCCGGGAATAGCGGCCTTGGTCAGAACCCAGTCCGCAGCGCTGAGTTGCTGCTGAGCCTCAATGGCCTCGGCCAGACGACCCTCGGACCAGAGAGTGAAGATACGCACGCAGAGACGGGGATGACATTGGCACCGCCGGCCAGAATGGCAGTTCCACCAGAGACAAGGGTCTGCAGAGTGAAGTCGGCGATACCACCGAAGGCAATGTAGGGGTGCTTCGCATCAGGCTTGGAGACAGTTGGTGCGGGGCGGTTGGCATTGGCCAGTGGAGATGCGGGGGTGACTGCGCCCAGGGCATTGGCGACGCGGGTGAGCTTGCCAGTGTTGGCACAGGTGAACTTGGTACCAACAATGTTGGGGTGCTCAGAGATGCGAATGATGAGGTCGGAGTCCATGTCAATACCGGCGACGGCGCCAGGGTAGTTGTACAGGATCAGAGGAATAGGTGAGCCGTCGGCCACGGATGTGAAGTACTCATAAATAGTCTCGTCGTTGCCAACAGCAGCGCGGTAATAGCTAGGAGGCACAATGAGAGCGTACTCGCCACCAGCAGCAGCGACCTCCTTGCAAAGGTCAATGGTACCGCGAATACTGTTTTCGCTGGCACCGGCAATGACGGGCACGTTTTGGAATCCGGCCTCGTCGAGAGCAGAGCGAGTCTCGCGAGTCACGGTGGCACGCTCCTCGCGGGTCAGATGCACGGCTTCACCGTTCGAGCCCATGGTCACCAGGCCGACAAGCCCCGCCTTGGCCAAGCGCACGGCGTGGCGGCGGATTGTAGGGACATCAAGGTCTTCGCTGTTGGGGTCGAAGAAGGTCATGGTTGGCGCATAAACGCCGGGGCGGAGTGGAGTAGGCGACATGATGATAGTGATGCTATAGTACGGTTAGTTACTTGAAATCGAATGTTGAATACGTATGTACTTACGTATGAAGATCTTGGGGGTATATTGAAGAATGGAAATATCAAAAGAGGAGAAAGAAAAAGTCAAGAGCCTTCGCTCTTAAGGAAGCGCAATCCGATGTTGCACCATAAACAGTCCTCCAAGGTATTCCCCCACGTCGGGGAATCCTCCGAGAGCTTCTGAGTGGCGGAGGAATAAAACCCACCAATAGCCGATATGGACAGAATGTGGGGGTGGTGCATTTGCAGTGTGGAGGCGCCCTGGCGATGGAGGGGCAGCCGATGCGCGACTCGGGGTTCATTACTGCGTGGCCGAGTGATTTCAATAGGAGAGATTCAATCAACATTTGATTTACATTCTCTACATATAATACACATACTACAGCTACTATATACTACAGCAACAACTACAGGATGCTTAATACTATCTTCGTATGTATATAGCATGTCCAAATTACCCCACTGCCCCGCGATAGATCGGCTATTGACCAGCGTGACGTCTGGGCTTTCAAACGCCGGAAGAATTACGTCCAGCAACGAAAGTCCCCCATTGCCCCCCAGATTTCTTCTTTTTATTCTTCTCTCCTCCCAGTTTTCTCTTGTCTCTCAAGTCTATTAACTTAATTGACAAATATTCATCATGGCTCCTCCAAGTGTATTGATGGTAAGCCCGGTTACATCCATCCTTGCGCTATACAGCATCAGCTCACAGAATTCCCCTAGGTCGGCACTGGCGAGTACACCACCGGCTTCGTCGGCGGTGGTGCCTCGGGCTCAGACAAGAAGGTTGGTGTCGTGGGCCTCACTTTGTTCGACTTGCGCCGCCGCGGCAAGGTCGGCGACTTGAGCATGGTTGGCGTGTCGGGCAAAAAGTTCCCGGGCATCCGTAAGTCAACCAGAACAGAGGAAACGAGGAGTATAGATATGCGAAGCTAATGAGATAAATCTAGGCGATCACTTGCACCGCAACATCTCTCAAGTATACAATGGTCTCGACACTTCCTTCGCCTCTTTCCCTGCCGACGACCAGACCGATCCCGACGCCTACAAGTCGGCAATTGACGCCCTGCCCAAGGGCTCAGCCATCACAATCTTCACCCCAGACTCGACACACTACCCAATTGCCCTATACGCTATCGAGCGCGGACACCACGTCCTCATCACCAAGCCCGCGACCCAGCGTCTGGGTGACCACCTGGCGCTGGTCGAAGCCGCGCACAAGCACGGGGTCTTTGTCTTCATCGAGCACCACAAGCGCTTCGACCCAGCCTACTCTGATGCTCGTGCCAAGGCGAAGAACCTGGGCGACTTCAACTACTTCTACAGCTACATGAGCCAGCCGAAGAGTCAGCTGGAGACCTTCAAGGCCTGGGCTGGTCGGGACTCGGATATCTCGTACTATCTCAACTCGCACCACATTGACATCAACGAGAGCATGGTACCTGACTATAAGCCCGTTCGTGTCACAGCCACTGCCTCTCAGGGTACTGCTGCTGCCCTAGGCTGTGTTCCTGAGACAGAGGATACGATCACCCTTTTGGTAGAGTGGCGGCGCAAGGATGACCCTGCTAAGATTGCGACGGGTGTGTACACAGCCAGCTGGACGGCGCCGCAGAATGCGGGTGTGCACTCCAACCAGTACTTCCACTGTACGTAGTTCCTACTCCTTGTCAAATCTGGGCCCGATACTAATCCTGTGAAATAGATATGGCGGCCAATGGTGAAATTCGCGTCAACCAGGCTAAGCGTGGCTACGATGTGACTGGCGATGACCAAGGTTTGATCTGGGTGAACCCGTAAGTGTTACGAACTGAAACCCATTCTGGATAAGACACCTTGCTAACTATCGAAACTAGCTTCTACATGAAGTATGCCCCCGATGAGGAAGGTAACTTCGGTGGCCAGACTGGCTATGGCTACATTAGCTTTGAGAAGTTCATTGATGCTGTGACCGCTGTCAATGAGGGTCGTTTGACGCTCGACCAGCTAGATGCTCGCCCTCTGCCTACCCTGAAGAACACCATTGCTACTACAGCTATCTTGGATGCTGGTCGCAAGTCGCTGGACGAGAGACGGCCGGTAGAGATCGTGTCGGAGGGCGACAAGTGGGAATTGAAGTAAATGATGCCAAGTATTATTGTATAGCTGTACAGAATGTGAAACGAACCAAATCTTGAGCGAAAAGAAAAGAAAATATAATAACTCCTATGAATAAGAGATACGTGTAGAGCTAAGAGTAACATGGGGGAATCATCGAAATATTACAGATGTCAGATTCGCTGGCAAATAAAAAAAAGGCTCGATTGTTCCCCTTGCTGTGAAAACGCCGAAACCGACAAACTCCATACCTACTGACAGACCGAATTCCAATAAGCGCTGAAAATCTCCCGTGGTATCATGCAAGTACTTCTATCACTATTCTTCCATTCATCGTCTTCCGCCTTTGACGATGCCATCCGGACCCTTATGAAATCTCACCCGGCACTCGGGACAGTACCACTTCGCGGTACGGGAGGGGACCTCCGAAAGGCCGACACAGTCGAGATGGAACCATTCGCGATCGCACTGCATATAAAATCAGTATCATGAAAGGGGGAAAAAGAAGCGGAGAAGGGGATTAAACATACATCTTGGTTTTCGCAACAGATCATAGTACCAAAGCTGACATCGCCGCATAGACAATAACGTGGCTCATTGGAGTCTATTTCTTCTAGAACACCATCTTCATCGACACGAGTTTCTTGGGATTTCCCAGTACTGATACGTTTCTTGCCTGGCTTGGCCTTGCGACGACCGTAACTAACAGCTGCACCGCCATCTTGACCGGTGGAAACAGGGCCAGGTGCCGGACGCTTGCGCCGTCGGACGGGGGCAGGAACACTTGGTGCATGGGACGGTTCTCGAACGGGTGTTTTTCGGGCGGGGGTGGCACTCTTAATGCGAAAATCTCGCCCACCGACTGTAGCACTAGCAGATATTCCTCCCAGAGCTCCTAGTTCGATTGAAGCGGCGGCTGATCGTCTCGACGAGGGTCGTGTGACGGGAGGAGTTGGGGTACCAGCAGGCTGTACGATCGACCGTATTGATCGTCGCGAGCCAGTTGGAGATGGTGGAGGAGGTGGAGATGCCTTTTCTTCAACCGCGGGGGATTCTCGGGTCAAAACCGGGGCGATGGGAGCACTAGTTCCATCTGTCGATCCACCGGTAGCGGCTCCCCGACTGGATCGGCGGCGTGACGAGCTAGACTTTGATGGCACCTTCACCGGCAAGGGCACGGGCGTAGGATCTATGGCGACTTCTTCCTTTCGGTCTTCAATGACCTCCTCAGCTGCAATCTCCTCTCGTTTTCTCTTCCGCGAGGACCGACTTGCTGGGGTTGGTTGGGCGGGAATAGGAACAGGTTTAACTGGTGTCTCTCCATTGAGCAAGGCCTCGGCCTCTCGTGCCATTAACTCGCGCTTCAATTTCTTGGCTTCGTTCAGCTTCATACCACGGTTGCTGAGCTTTGTCTCCTCGGCGTCCTTCACCATCTCATCATGGCGAGTTTCCTCCAGGTTATCGCAGTCGATGAATTCAGATCCTGACTCCATTGCGGCAGTCTTAGCCACACGATAGGCTTCCCATCCTCGACCCGAAAGGGCAAGCTCGCGATGAATCATCACCTCGCTGGGTTGCCACACGGCATTCTTCTTCATCTTCTTCCTCAACTTGGTCATCTCCCATTCCGTCAGGCGCAGCCATGGCAAATCCTCGCTGCCAACCTTGGCATCTGCTGGGGGTGGCTTGAGAAGTGAAAGAGCATTACTATTAGAAAATCCATTGCCGGAACTAGGTCGTCGTGCCTTCTCCCTCTCCTTCTTCGGAGGCTTGGCGGGCTTGCGTGGAGGTTGCGGTTCAGCTTCAGCTTCAGCTTCAGCATCAGAATGTTCGGTACTATCGATGGGGGAATCCGGATTGAAGTTGGCCAAATGTTCGGCTGTAAGTCCTGGGCGACGCGATCTTGACTTCTGATTGCTACTGCGCTTGCGGTTGTCTAATCGGAGGGTTATTCGTGTAGTAGACGTGTTTTCCTTCTTGCGGGAACGTTTAGGTGTAGGCTCCGGAGGAGGAGGAGGAGTCGGTTCTTCAGAGGGAGGTCTAGGGAGCGCATCTAGCTTCTGACGGATGCAGCTTAAGCGGTCGAAGTGGCGATCAACGACATCGTAAAGACGGCAAGATTCAGCATAGGAAGATTCGCGAGCATTGATGGCACGGTCCAGTTGTAAAGAAATAGCCTTGCGCATTTCAATGGCGCTTGGACGCTCGTCAGACGCGACATCAGGGAGGTGGCCGTAGCTCTTGCTCAGGTCGTGTACGGATTGCGCCGATTCGAGGTAGCGATCATCCAAGCCGCGGATGAGGGTGAGGGAACGGATGATGTCGGCGGGAAGGTATTCGGTATAGTCAATGTAATCAGTGACAGTGGCTTGGGCATCTGGATCAAAAGGTCCATCTAAGATAACCCCGCCACTGTGGTCTGTCTCGTCGGTCATGGGCATCTTGCGGGTCAGGGGACGCGTCTACCAAAGCCCGCGCAGATACGCCAGGGAAATGACGGAAGGCTTGAAAGAGCGTGAACTGGATGAGAACACACCCTTTATGCCACAGTCATGGAACGAAAAACAAAGACAAAGGCGGCGATGCGACAGCGGCCGCAACTCCAGCTGTACGTGCCAGTGCCAAACATGCGGGTGATCATTGTTCCGCAGTAACGTCACGTGTGTCCCAAAGAGGTAATCTGCTTGGACTTGATTTCTACAGCATGTAGATCATCCATTATTTATGATTGCTCAAAATGTAAACTTCTACATGTTTGAAAGACCTTCATTTAAATCCGTACTGCGTACATATTTATACTATATTCTATTCTTCTCAGGGGAGGGAGAGGGAGGTATATCCACCTCACTCAAGAGTCGGCCAAAACCGCTCCTCCAACCAGACCACCTGTTTCCACCACTCCAAACACCTACGGCGCATCCCCTCCGCCTCCTCAACGCCCTTCGTCTGCTCAGCCATGTTATCCAGCACATCACCAATGCGATCAACAAAGCCTTCAAACTCCTTACTTGACCAATTAGGAATAAACTTATCCCTCAACGATCCCCCATCCGCATCATCCTCCGCAGGACCCTCCCTCCCCTGCAAAAATGTCGCCGCATACTTCCAAGACCGAAGATAACAAACCTCAGTCGCCCACAAAACAGCCATGCCCTCCAAAACCGACACCCCGGAGCTCGCCGAAGACATAAACATATCAATATAAGCACGCGTAATCGTCGTCGGCCCAAAGTGAACCGTCCCACCACGCTCCACCTGCGCCACAGAAGAAGAGTTTCCACGAGTAGGCTGCGGACCAGACTCGCACTGCGCAGATGTCGGCGACAGAGGCGCCGCCCGCATATCCTCCTTCGAGGGCTGCTGAGCAAGCGGGTAACACGTCTGACTCCAATCCTGCATCTGGCACTCGCCCTGCTCATTGCATAGGCGATGTAGATCCGGCCCCCGAGTCGTCGTCCGACCCGGCAGCTGAATATCGTCTTCGAATTCGCCGCTCTGCACCGCGGCCGCAGAGTACCCTTTACCCTGGCACGCGGACCCCGTGAACCCGGGACACGAGCCCGAGCCCATGGTCGAAATGCCTGCGGACGTCGCGATGCTGCCGCTCTTCGTGAGGCCCGCGCCGGATTCTTCTGAGGCAATTGCCGTCAGGTCGAGGTTGTATTCTGCGGCGGTGGCTTCGAAGAATTGGAGTTCTGTGCGGATATTGACGAGGGCGTCGATGAGGACGTTGATGGCTTGGGCGTCTGTTGATTGCGGGAGGTTGGGGTTCGGATTGTAGGCTTGGGCGGGCAGTCGGATTTTCGCGAGCAGGAAGCCGATGAAGCGGATGTAGGATTGGGCGTAGAGTCTATCCTGTGAGAGCCATTGGGAGAGAGTGCTTTTTGGGAGGGTGCCTTGGCCTGCGGAGGCGAGGAATGGGTGTGTTGTGGCGCGCTTGAAGGATTGCGGGGTGCTGGCGAGAAGCCAGGAGGTGAGCGGGCCTTGACTGGTCATTTTGTGAATGGGAGCTTGGTCAATTGGTGTCAGGCAATTGATTGCTTTGCAGGGGTGGGGGATTTTCTTTTTGAAGGGGTCAAAAGAAAGATACGAGAAGCTGAGGTGGGGGCGCGGGGTGCACCCCGTCAAATCGATGTGCTTATGGCGTCAGTCCCAAGGTTGTTGCGGACAACTCAGCCCTAAATGTTTCTTGACTTTTCCCGCCACAGAAACACTATGCTCCGGTTCTAGTAGTTGTCATCGTTCACGTCTACCCAAAATACAAAAAGGATAGTTAAAGAGAAAAGAACAAAAAGCCATGACTTAAAGGCCCATTCCTCACATAACACTCATACATCGTGATGGATTCAATGAAACATCACTACTAGCAGTCTTGTTTCTATAGTAGAATCATTGCTATCATTGCCCAATTCAAATTGTCCTTCAAATTCTCTCTCTACCTTTGTCTCGCCTAGTTGACAGACACTATCTTCAAGCATCTGACTGTTCTCTTCAAAAATGGCAAGTATCATTATAGCAAACCGGAGGATAGATTGAAATAGTTGACTAATAAGTAATCTACATATTCCATGAAATACTTAGAGGCGGTTATGGGGAGAAAAATATAAAGTAGTAATGATAGCAAACTTTCCGTCAAGACTCCGATTGAATGTAGCTCCATGCCTGTTCCACGACACCAGTTCTCCCGCGCCCTGACCTGATTCAGATGTTTGAACCCGGGGGTAACTCCTTGGCCACGGCAGCTTCATGTTCTCCTGCTGCTTCTAAAGCCATAGCGATCAATGCCATCATCGCATAATGGGCATCGTTTCCACCATTGTGCAATTTGCGTGTCCAGATACTCAGACTAGCCATCATATTCTCTAATGAGACGGGATTGGAGGTGTTTCGCAAGCCCTGGTGGAGTCGGGCAGTATCGAGAACCTCTTCGAAGATGGCCTCGGCCCCGTTAAACAAGATCTTCCTGAAGATCTCACTTCCGACGGCGGCGAGTTGTTCAAGGTCTTGTTGGGTATTGTGGCCTAGGTAAATCAGGTTGCGCTTCTTCGCTTCCGGAGACCTGTCGGCTGGACTGCCATCGTATGGCGGCCAGAAGAAATCATCTATTCTCTTCCCGAGATTCGCGGAACCAACGAACTCACTGGCCCCGTAGTTGAAATCGTTCGGACAACCTCCACAGAACTCCTTGTTGACGTGCAGCCGGTACTCTGACACACGCAAATGATGTGATCGAATCTTGCTCACCCACTTTGTACCATGGAGTCCAGGATGAACACCCCTTAGCTCCTGCGTGTCGAGAATCGAGATGCCGATTTCCGTCACCTGAGTTGCATTTCTTTCTTTCCACTCGACATCCACGCTGAAAAAGATCGGTCCATCTGGATACTGCCATGGGGAAGGCTTGTCCACATTGACCGGTGAGATTTTGATCACGATACCTGCACCTGCGGGTCGTAGTCCGAAATACTGCTGGACCCGATCCATGCATTCAGCCCACGCACGTGCGTGATCCAGAACGTTGAGTCGTTTCATCTTCCCTTTCTTCCCCTTGCGTCCCAGATTCTTCTCTGCGTAAAGGGCATTACCGATCTTCAATTCAAGGTCTCTCAGTACACCCGGTTTGTGACTGCACATCCAGTCCGCCCAAGAGCCCGTGATCCGGGAAGTCTTGTCGCTTACAAGCGCATCCCTTGTCTGAAGTGAGGTTGAAATCCCTAGTAAGGTAGGCCTGGGGCAATCTGAGTCGTCAAATCGAAGAAAGAAGCCCTCGGCTTTGTCTTCCGTGAGAGCCACATCGCATGACAAGGCTGTGTTGACCTCGTGGAGGAAGTCATGGGCCTCTTTCAGTGGCACCAAAAGAAGCAGCCTTCTGCCGCGACATCCTGGTGGAAGTGGAAGATAATAGCTAGTGAATTCTGTGTTTAGAACCAGGTTGAATGTTTGGATATGTACTGGGCCTGCATCGACTTACAGCGTCCAGGTTCTGCCAAAGAGCGCTTTTGGTTCAAAGAACTTGGAGAGAGCTCTGTTGAGGGCTTCATCGTCGAAAAACTTGTGGGTAAAGTTTCTCAACGCAAGTACCGGACAATAAGATGAGGCGAGATCGATTTCCTTTGGAAATATTCCTGGGGCGGGAGCTGGAGGAGAGCACCATGGCGTAATGCTATCCGGTGAGCTTGCGATTGCCTCGTCCTGTGTCCATTCAATCCATTGGTTAGCTCTCATATTTTGGCCCTTGGGAATATTCCGGACCTGGGAAGCATTGCCAGTTAACTCATGTACCCCTTGCTCAATTGAGATGCAGTGAGGGTGGGCTCGAGAGTACTCACCTTAGTTTCTTCGTCGTTGAGACCCGGCGTGGAAACTTTCTTTCTGGCGTTCAATCTGGTGCTCATTTGAGTGTTAAGATGCTGAAGGCTCTCATCGCCCTGAAGTAAGAGATTCAATCGATTGAACTTCTCGTTGATAGCCGCTTTATCCATGATGGGAAAGTGAAAGGAAGAAACGAGTTGGGATGGGTTGAAGATGGAGAGAGGAAGAGAGGAAGCGGGCTGCAGAAGTGAGCATCAAAAGAGTGAATCTCGTTAATCGACATTGGGAAAGTGTGCTTTCCCTTTTTTTCGGATCGATAGTTCCTTCCCTGTTACACATGTGATCAATGTGGCAGGACGGAAGGCACGACTCTCTGTAGGTACCGAGTATTCGGAAGGAGGTGAAGAGAAAGGAAGGTCCTTCTGAAGTATGGAGTCTTCCCGATTGGTGAATCTAATTTCAACCAGGATACTAGTGAGACCAGAATACCTTAAGGCAGGAGTACTCTTAAGTAGTTCCAGTCCCTGATCCTATCAGGCCCCCGTGTTTATGGGACCCACTGGGTCCTGGCGATCATATCCGATCCAACTATCCTCGGCATACATACCTAGTTCAAGTTACTTTACCTGGTATAATAATAATAAAATGCTACGATATTGCTAGTGGAGAGAATTTGTCTTTTTACAAGCGAATTGCATTGTATGGATGTATCATACATTGATGGCGTTGACCCATGAATACAGAGCCATCGAGTCCAGGATGGCATACCTATAAAAACTAAATGACAAGCAAACCGAGATAATAAGAATCCAAACAAATTAACAAATGCCCATACCTCAAAATCGGAACTCCTTTCTTTGCTCCGGGTCGTTGAACAAAAAATGAAATAAAAGGGGGAAGGAAAAAAAAACCTCAAGAGATAACAATACCAATAAGATAAAAGCCAGCCAACACCTGTGAATGCGGAGCGCAACAACAAGAAATACAATCTGTTTCAAACATGTTGTATATCATCAGTGGTAAAAATGACATGTCCTAAGTAGCAGTGGCCCTGGCAGCGTTGCTCAGCTGTCGATGATAAGAGCCAATGGGTTGGAAGCCCCTGGACATATAGTTAGCCACTGTTCAATCATTTCAAAAGGAGACCTAGGTCGCGAGGAAAGATTCATACCGAGCAAGATCGAAGCCACCTGTGTCCTCTTCTTCCTCCTCTTCCAAACGATCCTCCTTGTGTGCCCCATTGGGGCCCATGTCTGGTCCATCTGACTGCAGCGGGGGTAGTGTGCGGCTAGATCCGAGACCGTTGGATGTTCCCGGCTTGCTTGGGCTAACCAGGTTAGGCGGGGGTGGGCTGCTGCTCGGAAAGCCCCCAATGATGCGATCCTCGGTTTCACCCTTCAGAGGACTCATGTCCGGAACAGGGCGTGCCGGTGTGCTGCCAATGTCGGCGAATTTCCAAAATTGAGCCGGCGAGCTCATTGGCATAAACTTTGACGGAATCTGCGCCGTACTTGGGGGTGGCAAGCGGGGCTGCTGGCGCTGTGGAGCAGGCGTGATCATAGATGAAGGGCCGTCATCATAATATGATGAGGACAGGACTGGAGGGGAGCCAGCTGCATTATCCGACAGCCCGTAGGCACGGCTCAGGTTATTACTGCTATTCTGCGCTTGGCTAGAGTTGACGGTGCTGCGATTGCGAGCTGGCAAGGGGGACGGTTCGTCGTAATCCCGCGGGTTCATATGGCGCAATGGATGGTCCGAACCGACTCCACGACCAGCCCGAGAGCCACGTTCTGGAGTGTAAGCTTCCACCGGAGCTACCGGGAATGAACTGAAGCCGGGCGAGGAGACAGGCGGTGATTTCTTGACCGTGGCCGAAAACGATGTATCTAGTTTAGAGATATGGGTGCCGCGTGCGGAAGATGGAGGCTCTTTCGTCGCGGGAGACGATGGCGCAGAGGACTGGGGGCCGCCCTTGCGCATCTGCTTTTTGCGGTACTCTTCGCGGTGCTCCGCGGCAATCTGCCACTTCATGCCTTTGCCTGGCTCATCCGTTCGACGGGGTACCTTCTGGAATGCCTTATTGAGTGACAGGTTGTGGCGAATGGAGTTTTGCCAACCGCTCTGGGAGTGACGATAGAAAGCGTATTTGTCCATGATCCAGTTGTAAATACTGTTCAAGGTGAGCTTCTCCTCTTCACTAGAGAAGATAGCCTGCGCGATAAGTGTAGCATAGCTATACGGCGGCTTTAGATCCTTCGCCGCATCCTTGCTATAGTCGATCTCTTCAGTGCTCTCCATCATCATGCCTCGGTTGTAAAGCGGGGATTGCTTGGTCGTGCGCTGGCCATCAGTTCCAGGCGAACGCGGAGGGGGTGTCACCTGGCGCTGGCGGAGATTGGGAGCAGGGGCCAATGAAGGACCGCCAGAGGATGATGGCCGCGCGGGCTCGGTGGCCTGCGAGACCGAGGCCTGTGGGTGAGCGTGCTGCGAAGCGTCCCATGCGACGGAAGCAGGGTCCGGTTCCTGGCCACTGGCGATGCGCTGGGCGCGCTCAATGAAGCTGGGGTGAACGTTGGGGTCGTCGCCGGGAGTAACAAACATCATCTGACAGTTGGCGACTTCGATAATATCACCACAGTGCAGAACGGCGTCGGCGCCACGTTTGAGGATCCCATTGTTTAGTCGGACACCATTGCGGCCATTGACCCGGATATGCCAGGCGGGCGCCTGCTCCCCATCATAAAAGATCTCAGCATGCAGGCGCGAAACAAACTTGCTTGGGCCAAGGTCGACATGTACATCGGGGAGCGCACGAGCGGCAATCGTAACCGGACTGGACTGCTCTGTAGACTTCTGTTCACGATCGGGTTCGCGGCCAATATTGACATGTAGGGTTTTGACGTAGTATGTCCAGTTGCGGCCGGCTATTTTCGCATAAGCCTCGATGCTTTGTTTGTTCTCGGTTTTCTGGTTGGAGTGGTCGCGCGAGACGCGGATTTCTTGTGGTGGGGTGTTCAAGTAAGAGATCACTAGGTCGGTCACATCCTGGTGCGTGGACTGGTCATGGTCACCAACTGAGTCTTCGGCTTCGTCGCCGGACTCCGCCTTGACGGCGCTTCGAGGCGGGGAGGTACGACGATCAACCTGTAAACAATGGGATTTTCTTTTAGCCTTCTGATTCACGCGCACGGGACGATTCGGTCTCGGACTAAACAACCGCAGTGGAATTTGGAACTAACCTTGCGCTTCTTTGCGGACGGGCGAGTGGGCGAAGAGTCTGGTGCCTCCACATCGGACGTTTCCTGCAGTTGGATTTCCTTGCGCCGCGCGCGACGGCGATTTGAGAGAGGCATTTGGGTTGTCGGTCCAGCGGATCGGGTATTATTAGGAGTATCAACAGATCGGCGCAAGGATGGGCGCAGAAATCGAATTTTCTTTGCGAAAGTGGGCAATCAAGCCGAGGCGTCGAGGAGATGCGTAGACACTAGTGAGGAGAGACGCGGGGGGTGGGGGAACTGAGGAAAGATCGAGAGAGAGAGAGAGAGAGAGTCCACAATCAATGAACCCAGGGAGTGAGTAAAGAGGCGGCAAAGGCGAAAGAAAAACACAACAAGAGGGATCAACTTTGGATCCGGATTTCAACGGTCCAGTCTCGGAGGCACTCTCAGAGGCAGAACCAGAGAACGACGGCGTCAGACCCAAATAGACGGATTTGCCACCGGGACAAGAAAGCGGGAATGTGGGAGGGAAGGAAAAAAAGAGTAAAGACAAATGGCCAAAAATCGAGGGCAAAGCCAGACGAAAGAGACAAACAAGCCGATTCAAGACAAAGGCGATGACGCCGAAGTCGCAAAGTTGTGTGGCTGGATGTTGATTATCGATAATCCCTACGATCGACACACGCGATGGCGTCTGTTTGGCCTGACCGCCTTGTCGCGTGGGGAGGTGTTCCTTTTTCTTTTCTTTTTTTCTGCTTTGATTTGCCCAGGAACATTAAGTACAAGAGACAAAATATTGGAGAGGGAAGGGACCAAAAAAAAAGAAGAAAACGAAAAGCTGAAGAGAGAAGTGGAAAAAGAGGAACCAGGAATAATAAAGAAGCCGAAGAATCAAAAGTGAAGAGTGCGCCCGGTTTGACCGTAAACAGTTGTGGAGTTCAGTCACAAGATGTATAATACAGTACGAGGATGGGTGAAGAGTACGAGAAATGGGTGGTGGTGGATGGGTATTACAATTACACATCATTACGTGCTCAACGTGGGATTGAAGATGCTTCCGAGTGCAGAGTTGGCGGATCGGTCCATTTCACATCCTACGCTGGAGGAGGGGCCGATGGGATCCAAGGGAGCCATTCTGCAATCGATGACCATCCTAGGTAGTACCTGAGTGTCTTGGATCTCCTTAGGTAGTGGTTCGCCCTTGATTTACCCTATACGAACTATATGGGAGCTGCCTACTATCCATATCCCCCCCCCATCTTCCCCATGATCTTATAGATCCATTCCACTTCGCCCCTCTTCCCTCATACCTGGAAGTTTCACCTGACAAGCAATTCTCACATACCAGGGCCCCTCCATCTCAGATCTACACTCCGAGACTGCCCCATCTCCCGTCTGGGGTCGTTTGCGTCAGAGGGGCCCGGATGCAGTTTAGCTTCGCCCGTTGGAATGTCGCGTTGCCTTATTGGGGCTTGACATGTCGATCAACTATCGATACCCTCGCCAACTCCGGCGATGCTAAATCGTGAAAATCAAGATTGAATCGAGATCGAGATCGAGATCCATGTAACCTTACAACTCTACATAAGCTTAGGTGGATTTAACTCTGGAACAAGTGGAGAGTGGACGCAAACATTACTGTAAATAAACAGCGTGTAGACGCAGTCCTATTCATACAGATGGGAAAAAAATGTTCTCGAAAAGGGGAGAGATCTCACATGTATCCTACCTTAATGGTAGAAGAGAGAATAAGAGAGAAAATAGTCAATAGAAAAATCACAAAGATGTTCTCCAGGTACATAGTGTGGGAACCGTCAAAGTATAGATAGAAAGAAAGAGAATGGCCAACAAAAGAAACTAGAGGAATAACGGGAGAGATGTTCCCACCAGAGGATGGATTTCAAGAACCGAGTAGAAAAACGATAAATTGTCGTGACGGCGTTATAAATTGGAAGAGGCGAAAGAAGCACGGAACCTATGCCTCGGTGGGCATTTTTGCGTCTCCGTCCTCGTCCAGCCCGCGCAGAGTCGGGTAGGAGACCGGCTCGGCTTCCGACTTGGTCGGCTCCTCTTTGGCAACTACAGGAGAAGCCCGCGTGCTGGCAGTCTCAATACCCTCCATAGCGCTGGGTGCGGGAGAGCCCGAGCTGCTGCGGGTCAAAGCCTCTGGGTCAAACTGACCCTCTTCCAACAATTCGGAAACCAGGCGACGGAGGTTCTCCAGGAGACGAACCTTTTCTACCCAGGCGACGTTGACATCTCGTTCAGCCACCTCGGTGGCTGCGCGGGCTGTGCGCTGGGCGGCCTCTTGGTCGGGGTCTGGGGAGCCGCTGGACAGAGCAGGGTCAATCAAGCTCTCGGCGAGCTGAGGGCTCTTCTTGGTAGGAGTACGGTCGCCATCCTGGGGCTTGCTATCTTGCTCAGTGTCCATGCGATCCATGCTCAGTGCGCGCTCTGCGGGTCGCGCGCGCTGCAAGGTGCCTCCGGTGTAGCGGCGACGGTCATCGTGCTCAAAGGCTCCGCTGAGTGTAGATGGGGGTGCGGCACTGGTAGCAGTTGCGTAGCCGGCAGCCATATTATCCGCCATCGTCGCCGAGGGAAGACGGGGGTACATGCCCGCGCCGCTCTCGTGGGGCGGAGAGACGCGGTGGGTCTGAGGCAGGGAGACCGGTGAGCGCTGCGATGTGTAAGATTGGGCGCTGGATGGTGGTGTCAGGGCGGGGGTTCCGGTCGAAGGAGAGTGGGCAGTGGCCATCATTGGAGCGGAAGTGGCCGCGGTGACATGGTGAGGGGGAAGCTGGCTTGGGGGCGAGTTGGTGGTGCGGTAGCTCATGCCACCCTGGACGTAGTGGGCTCCGGGCTGAGCGACACCAGCAGCAGCTACATTCTCATCACTTTCATAGATGGTGTTTTGCATCTGCTCTAGGAATTGATCGATGTTGATCAAGTCACTCTTGGTCCGAACATTCGACATGGGAGGCAGGTGGTATCCAGGGGGATGTCCGCCACCGGGGCTGTAGCCACCACCACCGCCAGCAACAGGGACCGCAGCGGGCATGGGCTGGTACTCAGGTACGGGGCCATTGAGAATGGGAAGCTGTAGGGCTTGAAGACCAAGCAAGCGTTGGCCCACGGCGGCATACGAGTTAGGATCGAATTGGCGACGCTTCAAGTCACCAAAGAACTCGTTGAGGGCGTCGTATCCCCGCTTGCGATCGTATGATTGACCACCCTCATGACCTTGACTCAGGGCGTAGTAGACATTGCCATATGAGTGAGGGTTGGGAGCAGGGGGCGGAGCGTGAGCCGCTTGGTAGTACTGGGGGGGCTCCGTGGGCGTATCCACCGCCTGAGACAGCGTGAATTGGGCTATCAAAATAAGGAGCCGCAGCAGCGTATCCTAAAAAGATGTGGTATCAGATTAGCCTAAGCCCAAGGTGATATATAGGTCGGAAGAGCCATTGACTCGTAAACAAGTGGCAAGATGGGACGGGATGGGACAAGAGATCCGGGAAGAAACCAACCTTTGGGGTTCTGATTGAACATCATATCGTGATGATGCTTCAGACCAGGCTCAGGAGAGCGAATCTCCGAGTCGTCGGCATGAGTCTTGACATGCTTCTTCAGATCCTGGGGACGCTTGAAAGCCTTGCCACAGAAATCACACTTGTGCGGCTTGAGAGGCACATGCACACGAATGTGGGAAGTGATGTGGTCGCGCTTGACAGTGGTGGTGTTGCAGGTTCCCCATTGACAAGTCAAGTTCAAGTTGTTGGTGCTCTTGCGACCGACATGGCGTTCGCAAACGTGTTCCTGTTGCGGGGCAATGGTTAGTTTTGATCTGTCTCGGTCTACGTCGCCATGATCATCACGCGACACCTCCAGGTTATTTTTCTTACATATAGTGACTCGGCAGTCGGGGACTTCTCGTTACATCCCACCCACTGACAGGGCAGTTGCTCGCCCGCGCCGTTGAGCGAGTTGTTGACGGCAGCGGTGGCGGCGGCGGCGGTCGCAGTGACTGAGGCGGTCGATGGGGTGGTCACTTGCGGAACGTGAGCAGCATCAGTAACGACAGGCGCCGGTGCTGCCGCAGTTTGGGGCGATGATGTTTGAGGAAGGGTGTTGTCGGCCATGATGCCAAGAAATGGATCTTGTCGAGCGGGATGCCCAGGCACGACTGTCTGTTAGGGGAGAAGTAGAGAACAGAGAGAAACCCAGTTAAGTTGGATGTTCCCCAGCACAAATATGATATGCGAGAGATTGTGTTCCGGCGACAAGAAAAGAAAAAAAGGATCCTTTTCTTTCTTATTTTCTTAAATCAAGAATTTAAGCCAAAGACAAGGGAGATGGGAAAGATTGAAGGTAGAATAGGAAGAGAGAGAAGAAAACTGGGGGAGACTCCGGGGGGGGGGGAATCACAAGGGAGGAAATAAAGAGCCGAGCCTTTGCCCAGAAAAAACCGCTTGACTGGACCGGGCGGAGGCATGGCAAAGGGGAGAAGGACAAGACAAGACGACAAGACCGGGCCAAGACTCGCCTGCGGGCCCAGAAACTCCGATGGCGTTGGGCTTTGCTTTCTGACTGGCTACCCCTACGAAGTGAACGAGGGGCTGTGGGCTGTGCATTCCACGCTGCTTGGCCCCCCCTGCAAAGTCAATACGAGGTTGTTCTGTACTCTGTACGGAGTAAAGTATGGAGTATTCTACACTTTGTACCCTATAGGAGGAATATTAAGATAGGACCGCCTAGCTATTAGTAGGAAGTATGCAGAACCCCAATCGCTTATCCCTCCAAAACTGGTAGTAAATCCGGTATACCCTGGATCTCTCTGACTATGATGGTAATTTAATTTCACCCTAAGTTCCTCCAGGCATCCATCGCCGATTGGATGGACCTATGAGGAGCCATAACCTGAGGGCTCCGTACCATTCCGGCCGATGGGAACCCCCCCTAATTCATTCGTCGACAGAGTGAGATGGGTGAAAGAGTGGCGATGCTCCAATCTGCCAAGAATCCTTCCATGGCGATGATTCTTGGCAGCCAAGGCTTTCCTCTTTGCCAATTCCCGCTCCGAGGCCCAAGAATTGAGGGGTCTTGGTATCTTGGGCTCTCTCGGCGTTACCTTGACCCTTGGCACTGGACTGAGCACATTTTCTTTCATACAGTGTCTGGTCTTTATTTAGTTGCCTGGATTCAAAGTGTATCATCCCTGCTTGGCTGTTTGTCCGAGTGGCAGGTGAGAGAGATGGGGGGAGATGAGGGGACACAAAGGCGGCTAGCGAAGCAACCAGTCACCCTTCACCATCTTCCATATCCCCCCCCCCTAGTCATGCATTTATTTTCGTTGATTGCTATATACTTCTATTTGATTTTACAGTCTATTCTATTTTAAAAGATCGAGTCAGCAGTGTGACCAAAACACCTATGTGGTGCACGGTGACACCGAACAACCCGAGGAAGATGGGATGTCTTGGCCGCGATAGTCCCCCAACCCCAACCTTTAGGAACCCCAACTCGACCCAAGCCTTCCAATCTAATCAGCCCAGACTCCTCCGCCGAGTCCGCCGAATCTCTCACCCCAGTTTCCTCCTCGGGGGCTGATACCAACTCCAGATATTCAACCCAACCTTGGTCCCAGACGTAACGGGGTACGCAGCGTGCCAGGTTTCGGTATACCCAGTCCCATCGGCCCGAAGATTCTCCCAAAAGACCGCATTCCCCTTGATCGGCTTGAACGTGATCCCATCCTTCTTCAACCGCGCCAAGCGGCCCTCTCCTCCCGTCCCTGTCCCGGCCCCTGAGTCTGCCCCCGACCCCGACCCTAACCCTGACTCTGACCCCCCCTTCATCCGTGGCCTCATCCTCGCATTCCAAAAACCGGCACCACTGCTTCCCGACCGGCATCTGCAGGCGCGGGAAATTCGTTCCCCCGCCCTCGCAGTCTGCGCCGAGGTAGACCATAAATGTACTGAGGCGGTCGCCGCCGCGCGCCAACGACCCGGTCCAGTCATAGTGGTGCCGGTAGTGGCCGGAAGCATTATAGCGCTGCGCCCACATGCGCTCGATATAGAGATTTGGGCGCCAGCCCTGGAATGCGCGGGCGCGCTCTTCGAGGCAGCGGACTGTGTCGTCGCGGTCGAGGAGGGCTCGGTCGGAGAGGCGCTTTGTTGGATCGACTCGTTCGGTTTTACCGTCGTAGACGATGGAGGGGGTGTATTTGTTCAGGCTGAATTTTCGCTGTTAGCTCGGCGATTCCTTCTCGTGGCCTGGATTGAGCCCGGGCGGGTAGGTAATGTGTTGTCTTGCCTTGTGTCGACTAGATGGTCTGCTTCTGAGGCGCCGAGGAAGTTCTCGATGTATAGGATGAGTGGTGCCCGCGAGAGCAGATGCACCCGGTACCCCTCCGGCTCGCCGGCGCAATTGAACGGGACGCCATCCTCTGGGCTGATGAAGCTGTCGTCTGTGACGTTGATTCCTGGGGCTGTGTCGTCCCAGGATCCAAATGCGTCGCTGGTGTCCCAGGGGGTGAAGGAGCTTGGGAGGAATTGTTGTAGGAGCGGGTTCAGGACGAAGAGGTACACGGGCACGAGGTATATCAGCCACGAAATGACGGTTGACAATTTCGGCATTGACGACATTTGGATCGGCGTGTTGGGCTGCCCTCTTGCTGTAGTATCCTGGTGATAAATAAATAAAGTATAGTATGGATTGGAGAGCTAGTGATCCATGCGACCGCGGTGCAATAATGCGCGCGAGGTCGGACGAGTCGATGGCAGCCCTCTGTCGCTGCTTTTTCTTGTTACCGTAGGTGCTGCGAATTGGAGTGCCCAGCAGAAAGCTTGTCTGACTGGGCCATGTCGTTCTTACAGAGTGTCAAGAGTCAAGAGTGTCGGCGCACTCGGGACCAGAAGTCTCTAAGTGGGTCTCTTGTCTGATCTAAACCGATCATGGTAGCCCGGGAAAAGGTGATCGTCGAGAATTCTGCGGAGTCTACGCTGGGGATAATCTGATCTATTTTATGCCATTCCAAACGCTAGAAGGTAAGGTTGTGATTCTGAGCATATCAAGGTGATATTGAAGCCATCTACAGCGATCAACGAATCGCATACTCGTTATTTCACAAAGATCATACGAAGAATAAAAATTATGAAAAAGCCTCACTCAAGTTGCAAGAAAAGAACGCCAGCCAGGTATAAACATCCACTTTCTTTTTTTTAAAAAAATTTCAACTTCCATCGTTAGTGCATGTCATCATGAGGGCAAAGACTAGCTCAGGTGCCTGCATTCATCCACTGAGTCCAGTCATCATTAGAGGCCATGTTGCCTGGGTTATAGGCAGCATTATTCCCGAAGAGATCGTCGAAGGATATTCCCTCCATTTTCAAGCCCATGGCATTCTCGTCTAGGCCCATATTAAAATCTAGAATGCCGTTGCCGTTGCCGTTATCGTTGCCATTGGGGGCCGGGTTTTCTGGTGCTTGTGAAGTTGTAGGCTGGGGTGCGATATTGCTCGGTTGGAAATTGTAGCCTTGCCAAACAAAGTTCTGATTCGGAATGGAAACCAAGTCAGGGCTGCTGAGAGCTTCGATGGGCGACTGCGCTTGCGAGATGGGCGAGTTCAGTCGCGAGGAATTCATGGATTGAGTGTTGCTAGCCTGCAGTCGGCTAGGTACCGACGATTTGATGCCACCGTGTGTTCCGACAGAGAAGCCAGGGAGGTTGCTGAAGCTATCAAAACTGGGTGACGGCATATTCGGATCGCTTGGAGTACTAGGAGGTCTCCCCGCAGACTGCTCGAAAGGGAAAGAAGATTGAGGGACGCCTGCTCGATCATGTCGGAAGTGATCGTCTTCTAATGTTGACATGGGCTGCGTGGGATAAGCAAAGGGATCGTCGGACGGAAACATCATGGGCATGAGATCGGGAAGGTTGTTCGGGTTACTAAATTGCTGGGCCCATGCCAGGCTTGACTGGTCTTGATTGGAGAAGGAGGAGGCGAGAGAGGTCGCGGAAACAGGCTCGGGCGTGGACATGGCTTCCGTCAACAATTCTGGCGAAGCAGCCATCCAGGCCGACTGAGTACCGCTTTCGGTGGGCCGGTTGTTGAATTGAGTAGTAGTGTCCATACTCTTCTGTCGACGGCTTGTCGGATTGAGTTTAGGGTTGCTTGAAATCATGTGTGCCGGGAAAGTACTCGAGCGATGAGGCAAAGTCATCTGCTCCGCTTGCGTTTGGGCGGGCTCTGCCTCGACAGCAACACTCGAGGGAGCCGATCGCTTGAGGTTAACAGGGGCCTTAGAGCTCTGGCGGTTCTTCAGCATCTCTGGTAAGGTCTTGAAGAGGCACTGTAAATCCATAGTCAGTTTGGTGCAATAGATGCGCCGGGCAGAGGGAGTACATACGTTCAGACTCTGTGAGCACCTGTCTGCTGCCATGCTCTTCTTAGCTAGTCCAGCCAGCGTATTCTTGCCTTCCATGGCATCTTTAAGGACACCGTCCTTTGCCGTGGGCGAGTCAGGGTTCTCAAGAACGAAAAATATCAATGAGAGAATGGCAAAGTATGTCGTATACATCGTAAACCAGAATGAGCCATTCAGTAAGCCCCTTTTGTGCATTCCGGTCGTGATGTGAACGATGTTTCGGGATACACTGACACACGCTGCTGCACAGGCATATGATCGCTTGTCGACGCCACGCGCCTGTGACCCTCCAGAGACGTAGTGTAGGAATGGGCGATACATGACCATCTGCACATGCGCATAGCTGATTCGGAGCAGTTGGCGAATTCTGGGATAGGAATTAATTATGCTTTCTTGAAATTGGGGGATTGAGATTGGAAAACTGACCGTTCCAGTTGTGGTGACACCTCAGTGCCAGGTCGCAAAGCTGCTGGTAACTCTTCCATCCAAGTCTGAAGATCACGCTCGATTTCACGGATCTTAGAATGGCTAACCATGTACCGATGATTGGACTTTGAGCGATGGCGAGCATTCTTCACGGGTAGATGTACTTGACTACCTTCAGAATGACATTGCATAGGCGTGTGTGCGCATTGCATCCTGCCATTAATGGAGTGTAATCGGAAGGCATTTGAAGGATACCCTGGCTAGTGATGAACTCGCCATCGACTTCCAAAGGATATTCCTGGTCAATGTCGTCTTCGCTCAGCATCTGAGGGAGTCCTAGAAGGGTGCTGACGTAGACATCCATCTTGCGAACGACCCAAAATATACGCTTTCGCAGGTCTCGCTCGATGGGGTTGAAATCGGCAGTGACCGCACGGTGTAGACCCAAGCGTAGGGCTGAACGGAGGGCAATTCCGACGTAAGAATAGCAAGTGCTCAGCTTGGCAGAAGATTGTAGGAAAAGAATCATGAAGCAAATGGCCTGTAGTGAGGTCAAATCACGGCAGTCAGTGACTTCAAGCAACTGTCGGCCTGCTTTGAAGAATACAAAACTGCAGAATGGTTAGCTAACTAGATCGGAATGCTTTTCTTCAGGGTTATGAAGGAATATTACATACCCTTGACCAATGGCCCCTTCGTATCCATCAAAATCCAGGGTGCCAGCCCCATCATCAGAGAACAGACACCCAACAGCCATGACAATGTACAGAAGTGGTAAGAACGAATTTTCTTCGTTGGTGTATTGTTCCGGGGGCGTCTCGTAGATGCGATCTAGGTTGGCGAAGAAAGAAGGCTCGTGCACCAACCGCATCAATGAGCATGCATGATCGATCGCATTGTGGCACAGGCGACGAGTGACTTCACGATCTGGAAGATCGTTGGTGGGTATAAAAGCTGCATCCTGGGGTGACCCTGTTACGGATTTAGGACTCTCGAGTATTTGGGACATGCCGCGGGACCGAGTAATAGGGATATCGGCGCCGAGTTGTTTGCGCAGGCGTCGCGCGAAGATAATGCCGGAGGTGTGTCCATGGTAATCCCAGTGTCCTTGATCGTCGCGGTCAAGGTACCCCTGAGTTATCCACCATTGTCTCCAATAGCGATTCTTCCCCTCCTTCTGGGCCAGTCTCTGGCGGGGCGGTTGAAGCCGCAGGGGGGCTTGGGTAGAGGAACCGACGATGATTGTTTCTCTTTCTGGGCATTCTTCAATCGCTGCTCTGTCGCATGCATGTCCAGTTGTGGGTCATCGAGGTTGATATCGGGAATCACACTTCGGAGAAGAGCTTCGGCCTTGTGCATGCGAGCCTCGAGAGCTTCGACATATTGAGGGGCGGGGTTACGGCGGCGATTAGAGGGTTGGTCATAGGTGCAATCTGAGGAAGGAATGGAATGTTAGCCACGTGCGATGCTAGTAGTACGTAGCGGGGAAATGCAAGAGAAGGGAATATCCCACCATAGCTGTAAACTGTACAGTGGGTACAGGGCTGTTTGCCATCGCATTTGATCTTCTTTCGACGACACTCATCACAAGCGCGACCTACCCGTCTGCGCTTCTGCATCGGCAAGGACTGAGAGCCAAGCTTGGAATCCGAGGGGGACTCCTCATGCATGGAGCCATGAGACGGATAGTCATCATTCAGATAGTCGTTCAGAGCGGGATCATCGTCCTCACTGTGAACGCCCGAGGTGGTGGCCATGGCGATGAGGGGATGGGATTCATGTACAGAGTAAGGAGAACGGGGCTTGGCGGGCGATCCGATGTCTAGTGTGATCTGATCGATCGCCCTCCTTGCGGGAACATTAGAGAAGAAAATATACAGTCCAAAAAAAAAAAAGACTAAGGTAATAGTGAGTAATACGACGAATAAAAGGCGGAGTAAATGGTCGAGTTCACGGGCCTTTTTTCGATGATGAAATTATTGCGGCCGAAAGCGGTGGAGGAGGAAGACAGAGAGAGGGGGGGGAAGAAGTAGTAGAGGGAGAGGTTGATCGTAAGAAAAAAATGAGACAGTTTTCTAGAAGGCTTCTTTTCTTTCCATCGAAGGTACGAACTTACGCCCTGCTACGTAACTGGGGCACTGGAGACACTAGTCTAGTAGTCGGACGTTCGTTGTGTGCGAGTCCGAGTTCTGCGCACGTTCAACGAGGCATTTTTCAATCACCTCGGCTCTAAGTCCGATGTAGAATTTTCCCGGGTCGGTCCCCACAGGGGTTTAACTGCAAATTGATTCGAATCAACTCCGTACCAGTTCGGCGGCAGCTACTCAAAATGCCGAGGGGAGTTGATGAGGCGATCTGCCGAGTGATCTTCAGGCCGAGTAGGCGCGAGTGGTGCTTCCAAGGTTAGTGGTTGTTATACTGATGATGTGCCCAGGTGGTGAGTTCTATACTTGAAACTTGAACCACACATACTAGTAGTACCTAGGTATCTCTACTGTAGATATGTACCAACCCTTGATAGTACTTTCCACGGAGTCTTCGCCGGGATTTAAATCCTAACGGTCGCGTGTGATGTAGGTGCTGCCCTAATACCTGCATGCATCGGCGATGCGTTCTGGTTCGCCGAATGCCCTTTGGTGATTATTAATAGCCATGTCGGTGTTCGAATAGCCTTTCGGTGTTGACGTGGTGACTGCAATACGAAGTTGCGGAGGAGTATGCCAATCAAAGTGAGAGATCCACTGTCAAGGGTCATAAATCCCCGAACGTGTTTGTATACCAGGCATCATGTACTATGGGTAGTTCTCGAGATGAACACCTCACCGGTCGGGTACTACCTGGGTAGGAATGCTGGTGGCAACCGTCAAGAGATTATGTATCCCTTATGTGATACCGAAATTTGAACATACTGAAAATTCTGGAAGATCAGAGTTCAATATTCCAGATCAGATGAGATCCAGGTGGTGTGTCATATTCACCATGCAGAAATTGGCCCCAGGGAGATGTTTGATCTTCCGGGCCTTCTATTGGGCGTAGTACTTCAAGAAGTTCCTTTCAGGTATTCGTTAGTTATAGGGTAGTATTGTGTACTATTAAGTACTAGTAATTATCCCTCGCACGCCATGGATTATGGATTCTATTCCAATACCTAGGTACTGTCACCCTCACGAGGAAGGTTCTGGCCGACACTACCCTTTGAAGCTCGTTTCATGTCACCATCAAGGTTCTTCTTCTTTCTCCGCTCCTGTCGCTGACGCTGACGCTGACACCTCCGATCATCACTCGAGCAGGACAGTGCAGATCTCCCAAGCACTAGTGCTCCTACTAGTATTCCGTAGTGGTCCATGATGACTGAAGGCTAGACACAACTTGCATAGCCCACATGTATACGGAGTTCATACACTACCTACACGCCGGACAAACTGCCAAGGTGAATTATTCGGATCTGTAACTCCTCTCTTCTCCTTTTCTGCAATGTTTTCCCTACCTGCATAAAAGGAGCGTCGTCATGAAGGGATTCGACATGCACCTAGGAGCTGAATCTAGCATATCCGCCCTGTGACGCGACCAGGAATGTCAGTCGTGAAACCACTGGCACGTAGCTGGTCCCCTGTACCCAATAATCCGAAACGATTCCAGACTCAGCTGCCTTTTCAAGGCTAGCCTGCCAAAATGATCTCAGCCGGACCCAGAAAATAGATTTGGCCCCCAAGTGGGCTTGGTCTCGGCATTGGTAGATCGGAGGATGACTGGGTCCACGACAGAAAGAGTTCCCGTCTGCGAGGGGAGAGATTAAGCTCATCGTCAGCCCTGCATATTGGTCCGTCAGCCCTGATTTTGAGCTCGAAGGGTCTCCTTTTCGCCTTCATTCCGTATGATTCGCTTCTTCCCTTGTCGACCAGCGGGTCCCTCACTTCCCATGGTCTTTTCTTTCGAATTTTTTGTAAATTTCGCGGGATCGCTTATGTACCCCCCCCCCTCCCCCTTTGGCACGTCCCACTTCTTTCCCCATGACAAGGACACTAGGGTGGATCGCCACATTCTATCGACGCGCTTGTCAATAAGCGTTAGCCTTATATGGATCTTTTCGCTGTCTGTTCCGAACAATCTTCCTCTCTTCAGTCTCAGTCTTTGCCTCTGTCTTAGCCTACTTTGTTTCAGCAATGCAGCTGTGCTGCAATGAATCATGGCTTTCATTCTTGTCACGCTCTGCTGCGTCTTCGCAGCCATTGGCTCATTCTTGTTCGGCTATGATTCTGGTGTGATCTCCTCCAGTATCGAGCAAGATGCTTTTCTGGATCGATTTGGATCTCCTGGTTTATCAGATGCCGCTAGTGGCGGCATCATCTCTTCATACACTGGTATGGCTCTGCTTCGGTTGAAAATTTGCAATCTTCTCAAAATAAGAGTGGCTAACGTTGCTCTCTAGGCGGTGCAATCGTGGGGTCATTGCTTGCATCTTATATATCCGATTCTTGGGGCCGCAGGATGGTCATTTTTATCGGTGGCCTACTCGCCACCTTCGGGGCCGCCCTTCAGGGAGGAGCCATCACCATCGCGATGCTCATCGCTGGCCGATTCATTGCCGGTTTTGCCATCGGTCTCATGTCAGCAACTATCCCCGTATACTGCAGCGAAATTGCACCGCCTCATATCCGTGCTTCGCTCGCTAGTATGCAGCAGTGGATGATCGGTCTTGGGATCATGGTCGCTCAATGGGTTGGATACGGCTGCTCTCTCCATACGGGTGCCTTCTCCTGGCGATTCCCTCTTTCATTGCAGACGGCACCGGCTATTATATTGACATGCGGTGTCTGGTTTATTCCGGAATCTCCTCGCTGGCTCATCGAAACAGGCAAGGAGGAGGCGGGTCGCTCCGTATTGGCCCGTTTACATTTGAACCATGACGCGACAAACAGTCAACTTGTTGAGCACGAACTGGCCCAGATACACGAGAGCGTTGCTTATGAGCATCAGTCCGTCGTCCGATCTTGGCGTAATATTCTGTTCTCTAAGCAATGGCGCTGTCGGATCCTTCTCGCCTGCGGGTTGCAAGCATTCACTCAAACGTCTGGAACAAACGTGATTCAAAATTATGGACCCAGGATTTACAAATCGCTCGGCTTGTCGACATCAACCTCTCTGATGATCATCGGTGTCTGGGGCGCGCTGGCGCTGTTCTGGAATACTGTGTTCATGTTTTTCGTCGACAAGGTCGGTCGGCGCAAGCTACTCATCCCATCGCTAGTGGGCATGGGCGCAGTGATGTGCGTGGAAGCTACACTCGCCCGTTATATTGACTTCAACGACTCCAATGCCAATGAGGATGCACTCCGTGCTGCAATTGCCATGTTCTTCGCCTTCTCATTGTTCTTCACGTCCCTTGGTATACTATCGTGGGTCTACCAATCCGAGATCTTCCCCACCTCCATCCGATCCCGAGGCTCATCAATCGCAACCGCCACAAATTGGAGCTTGAATTTGATTTTTGCCCAGTGCTCGCCAATCGCGCTGACGAATCTGGGCTCCAATTATTTCTACGTTTTTGTAGGCTTCAATTGGGCCGCAGCAGTTGTCGTTTTCTTCTTCTACCCAGAAACAGTTGGGTATTCACTTGAAGAGGTCGACGAGGCATTTTCTCGTCGGTATCAGGCTGAGCAAGCAGAGGTCACTCTTACAACTTCTGCTAGTCCTGAGACTGTGGAATCGCGTTCTAGGGTTAGACATAAGGGGATGCATCCTCTATCTATGCACCCGACCCACAGTGGCAGCTGGAGTAGCATTGTTGGTTCATCTCCTAAGCTGTGGAGTAAAAAGATGGCCGATGTATAGTTCATCTACTATTAAATTTTGAATTGCATAAAGCTTTATTCTTCATTGTTCCAGATCTTTATATACATCTTCATTAAGCTAATATTATCTCATAGCCTTAATCGACAGCTCTCCATTTATCAGGCGCAACCCGGCTGCATCAGCATTGTTGTACTTCACATTGAGTTTATTGCAAAACATCCCGCATGAGATCACCGATAGCCTCGGCACCACCGCCGCCACCCAACAGTTTTTCATTCGTTGTTTGAATGATGACTCGGCGATAACTGATGAGAGCCGGAGACCCATTATCCTTCACCTCGAGGATAAGATGTAGCACTTGGCCTTTGGGAATGGCTGCCCGACTGATCAACTCCACACAGCACTTCTCCGGAGCAGGAATTTTAACCTCAACCTTGCTACTGGCTTCATTGAGTGGCTTGATATCCAGCCGGCCTACCTCATGGTGAACAGACCATTGTGACGCACTTGGGTCCTGGTACTGGTACCACGTGAAAGTGAGAGTATCGTTCGGGTCGGGATCATATGATGCAGAAGCATCGAGTTGGAAAGTGGCGCCGGCCTCCAACTCGAAATAAAGCGGCTGCAGGCCCTTATTACCATTGATATCAACGACTGGATGATGGTTTGCGCTGCTCGGATCTGGCGAGATAGACCACTGCATTCGAGCGGCGAAGTCTGTCTGGAAAGCATCGCGCCAGCGCCAAATCGTTGCATGGTTGGATTTGTGTTTCCGACCATCAAGGCCCACGACCTCGTCCACTGTGTCACTAAAATGGCCATTGGAAACACCCTTCCCGCTGATATCCGTGGGAATGTATCGCCCGCCCCAGGATCCGTATTCTGGCCGCTCTGGCACACCGAGACCATTCTGAATAATATACAAAAAAGTCGGGGTGTCGCCCTCGGGAATGAACATGTAATCCGGGTACGTAGATCCAAGTGGACCGATCTGGATATTCTCTTTGATCCACTGCTTGCTGATCTTGGATGGGTCCGGCCCACCCTTGTCGAAGCCATACCAGCCATCGCCGGAGATGCCGCACCAAGCGGCCATACCGTACTGGTTCCAGCCGTGAACGGAGCAAATGTAAAAGATGTCAGGGAAGTTGTAGCGGATCCAAGCGCCCGTGTCGTCTTGGTCTGAGATGGTGTAGACGCGCAGTTTTGAGCGCATTTTGGCGGCATCGGCGGCAGAATGGGTGTTTCGGATCTTGAGGAGGACAGAGGCGAGTACGTTGGTTCCACCCCAGCAGAGTACCCAGAGAGGATCCTCCGAGGGTGCTTCGATGCGCTCCAGAAGTAGCTGGCCGCCTTCGCTGAGGGAGATGTCGTCGCCCACTGCGGTCATGCCATACGTCTGGGATATAAAGTTAGGAGGTTCTGCTGATTATGATCCGTTGGAAGTATTTACCTCTGCGCCCTTCTTAATTAACGACCTCATATACTGGGCAGTCGGATATGGGTCATTGGGATGTGCGTGGGCGTTGAGATTGTCGACTACTTTCTCATAGCCATCGACAATCTTGTGCATATCCTGTGGACAGACCTTGTTCTTCATCCAGGTCGAGGTGCACGCAACCAGCCCCTCCGTTCGGAACTGGTTGGAGTAGAGAAGGTAGCGCACCAGAGACTCAGCATCATCAGGCTCATTGGAGATGTCACTGAGAATGAAGACACGCGGTTTAGTTTCAAAGGTCTGGAGCTGTGTTGGAGAGGCCATGATGAACGAAAATGGAGAGAATGAACATGACTGCTGTGGTGATTATGGCCATATTTGAAATACCCCTCCTCATCAGGCTGTGACAGAAAACGCAACTCGAGCCACGCAGTCCCCAAAGTAGACGAGTGGAGAGATGCGGGGGAAGGGTGGAGGCTAGAATTGCCGCCGACGTTTAACCGGCCCCCTTCGGCACTTCCCAAGGCAATTGCAACCACCAGGCACTTCATTAGCTTTTGCACCATCCAAGCCTTTCTCCACATCTTAGCTCTCATCGAGTGGCACACGCTAAGAAAGTTATCCGGAGCGACGCGTTGCCCCTAGCCATCGAGCCATATGGGTTTCCTGTGCTTCCATTGCGGGGCCCCGGGGTTTGGGAAGCTGCCTTCCCCAGTCTCAGCCCCGAGAATGAGGCATTTGCAAACGCCAAGTACTGTTTATATAAGTCGTATTCCCGGGGCCGAGAGATTAGGATAGCACTCATGCCTGGACTTGGTGTGATTGGCCTTTTTAATTTCCAAGATGTTCGATTCAATCAAGCAGTCGGTGCTGTACCAGGAGCTGAGCCTTCGCCTGGTCTTCATTGGGTGCTTTGTCTCCCTGGGGGCCATGGGATTTGGATTTGACAATTCCTGGTGGGGAGGTGCTCTGGGTTTGTCGCCGTTTGGCAAGAAATATGGCGAATGGGATGAGGCCCAGAATGATTGGGCCATCCCCGCAGAGAAACAGTCTGCTGGTACAGGTACAGGCTCTGCAGGTATCATCATCGGCTGTCTCGTTGCCCCATGGCTATGCTCCAATTTGGGTCGTCGACCAACTTTACTGGTTATGGCGAGCTTTTTGGTTGTAGGTATCATACTTGAGGCCACAGCTATAACTTCCTTCTGGCAGTTGGTTGTAGGTCGTGTCGTCGTCTATTCCGGGATTGGCCTGGCATCGAATGTTGTACCCATGTATCAATCTGAATGTGCACCGGCCAAAATTCGAGGTTCGTTGCCATTATTTTTTAGAATCCTATGGCTGGATTGAAATTGACATAGTATACTAGGCGCTTTCTTGACTGCATACTCATTTTGGAACACTTTTGGTGCTTTCCTAGGCACGCTGGTCGTATACCTATGCCAAAGCATGACAAGTCAATGGGCTTATCTGTAAGCAATATAGTCTTGTTGCGTTATTACTTTTCCATTCTCGATTCTAACCTAATTTTAGCACTGTGATTCTTTGTCAACTTCTTGTCCCTGTCGGCATTATCTGCTCTTACCCCTTCCTCCCCGAAACACCACGATTTCTAGTCTACCGTGGACGGTTCGCGGAAGCCGAGCTTGCAATCAAAGATTTATATGGTCCGAACTATAACGCCGCAGAGGAAGTGCAACTTTTGCAGCTTCAAGTCGAGGAGCAGCGCGAGCTTCATAAGGCGACTAGCGTTATGGACTGCTTCAAAGGCACCAACCTGCGGCGAACAATTATCGCCATGGGTGTTCAGATCTTACAGCAGGCTCAAGGAGTCTCCTTCATCAATAACTTCATTGTGACCTTCATGAAGCAGCTTGGATTTTCTGACCCCCCTAAAGTATAACGTTATTGTCATTGCTTGTGGCTTAGTCGCCAATGTGATCTCGTTTTACACTTTTGACAAAATTGGACGGCGCTCCAATATGTTCTGGGGTGCCTTCGTTATGGCTGCAATGATGATTGGCGTTGGAGGCACGACGGCAAATGGCTACGAAGTTCTTTCTCCAATGACACAAAACGGCTGTGTGGCCATGTTGGTTCTTTGGTACGTCTTCTACGGTCTCTCTTGGGGACCAGGTGTTTGGATTTTGGGCGGGGAGATCGGCACCGGTCAATTGCGCGAGCACACTCTGCTTCTGTCATCCCTTGGAAGTTTCGTAACTTCAGTCCCCATCAATTTTGTCAATCCTTATGTCCAGGCTGACATTGGTGGTCGAACTGCCATTATCTATGGTAGTTTCTCCGTTGCCGCTATGGTGTTTGTGTACTTCTTACTTCCGGAGACGAAGGACCGATCCCTAGAGGAGCTGGATGAGATGTTCCAGCAGAAGGTTTCCACGCGACAGTTCAAGGGCTATGTGTGCACTGGATTGGGTGCTCAGATCACACAACTGGAAAACAAGGAAGATGTCAGCGAAAAGAAGACCAGAGAGATTGAACATGTCGAAGCTGCCATTTAACACCTAGGTATAGATAGAAGCATAACAACACTAGGACTTCGAGGTTGTTAAATTCTATGTTTTGTGGGGATTACTAGCTTGATTTAACAAACTAATCTTGGAACCGTGTATTCATTTGGATTCCGTAGGGTATAAAATTCAACCTGAAGAATGGGCAACATTGAGTAGGAGTCAACATAATTGATTTTTCACGTATCATATTACTAGTAAGGTGTTCAACCACAAAACCATGCTTTTCAAAAACATTTGCAGTGGCTTCGCGGCCACTTTTGGGCTGCCAAATCCAGAGAACTAGCGCCATTTTTGGACCTTCGTTTAGCATCAGCACAAAATTCCAACAAGAATTTAACGACCTTCGAGCGATTGTATTGTACAGCATGGTGTAGCGCTGTATATCCACTGGAGTCAGTGGCGTGTATGTCCGCTCCCACTGACCAAAGGGAGCGAATAGCCCCACGAACAGCCCCCTCATTACCAAGAAAGGAGGCTTTATGCAGTGGCTTCAAGCCTGATTCCGAGATGTTGGCATTTTTGAATCCTTGCGCCCATCTGACAACAAAAGGTCAACTATTTACGTGGGGCCCTTGTAGATAGAAACATTCAAAGTGGCCATGTTATACGTCGTATCATGAGCTCCAGCGTCCAGTAGAAGTTGGACCATTTCGACATGTCTTCCATCAGCAGCATGATAAAGAGGGGAAGAGCTGTACTCTGATCAGAATTCGTTTGGATCTGCCCCCTTCTTGAGCAGATGATTTAATCCACCTGGGTGGCCCGAGAGAGCGGCCATCTGCAATGGCGTTTCCTTTTCCAAGTTCAATGGGTCCTATTTGGCTCCTGTATATAGAAGTAAGTCAATCATTTCAACGTGGCCCTGGGCCGCCGCATCGTGCAGTGGAATTACCGACGGAACAGAAGCGACATTTATATCAGAAAACCAGACTCATTCACGTTCTGAGCATCATGAGAAAATTAGATCAAAACTTTGACAGGCTCCCTTCGCTCATTGTCTCGCAGTCCTCCGACAATAGATGGATTCACAAGTAAACATTTTGCTTCAGCGGCAAGACCTGGATATCCCTTGAAAAACTCCCATGCTGTATATAGAAGATTCCGAAAGCCTCCTTGAGAAGCGATCGTACGCTCATACGCATCCTGTAAGCGACTGAAAGTAACCCATTCGACCCCAGCACCCTCATGAATATGTCCGAATATATGTAGCCTTGGGCGAACCCTCCACAGCGTCTGTAGTAGATGAGGACATCCAGATTTCAGCAGGTCGAGGTGGGCAAGTGGCGGTCCATGGGTGATGAGAATATCGACTCCTTCCGGCACCGAGTCTGCCCATACATCTTCGCTTTGGGGGTATTGAAATGCCCAGTTTCCGTGACGCGGGGAATAAGGGCTTCCGTAAACCCTGAGTTGTTGACCATTTGGGCAGCAGATTGTCACCTCGTTATTTTCCAAGTAGATTATGTCACCCCAATCTAAATCTTCCCGATCTGAAGATGTTTGGATAGATTTGTCACTCAAATTGGCATCAAGTAATAGTTCGTGGTTACCGGCAATGACGACTTTGATGGGGTGAGGCTGGGCACGTATCCAGTTGAGTGCTTCTTGGAGTTCCTTTAGAGATCCAGATTGTGTCAAGTCACCAGCATGTATCAGGATGTCACCATCCGGGACTTGAACGCTAGCATGAGCGTTGTGGGTATCGGAGAGGCAAACAATCTGGACGGGGTTTGTAAGAGGGATGGCTGGAATGGGCTCGCGCCAACAATAAAGCTTTCGGGCCAGAAAAACGCAAGGGCGGGCCCAAAAATTTTGCCAATGGCTAGGTCTCTGTCGGTTGAGAAGTTCATCGAGGCTGGACATAGCTGGCAGCTTTAAATGGTGAGAAATGGCTTGTTAGGACTTGAAGGAGGTGTAAATAGCTTACTTTGATCCGACTTGGGGAGACAGTCAGCGGAACCAACCCCGATTAGGTACTCTCGTTGGCACGAATATGTCATAGCAGGTCAGGTGACTATGTATCTCTAATACAACAATCAACTTGGACTTGCTAACTAGTAAAGCGGGGGATGCTCGTTGGCGTCGTACTTACTGACGCAAAGGTCAATTCAGCTAAGGATATAACTTGAATAAAGCACAAAGGGGATATCAAAGAGCCATAAGCTTGAATTTTGAGAAGCTATTACTATAGTAAATTATATGTGTGTAGCTATATGAATTAAAGATTTGAACCTTCCATCTCTTCTATAATAACTATTCTAGTTTAGTCATCACCACTAGAGACATAGGGGAGACCAGTGTTACGGGACTCAGGTCAAAGAGGGTGAAGGAGAGGAAGCGTAGCTTCCATCACAACTCTCCTATATAAGGGCGGCCTAGGTATGTGTAAGATAAGTCACATGCTCAGGTAGAAAGGCAGCAAAGTAACTCCGGCTCATCACACCACCTCTCTTTAGCCTGATTACCACAATCAGCAAAAAAAGCTTTCTGGCCCATACTCTGATATCTCTGTATTTTATTATTGATATAGACACAAATTTAGGCAGGATCAGGCTGTAGCAAGGACAAATAAATAGAGGGTGTATAATAAATAGAATACTAAAGGGTCTACCTTTTATGTTTAGAGTTTACCAAATCAGCCCAAGACATAGTGGAGGAGTAGCTTTTGACCACATCACGAAAGAGCTGGTCCAGTTCTACCCCTTGATTCATTATGTTCCTGGATACCCCGGGGCCTAGGTATACCTAGCTGACGACTATCTACTTCAGATTTTGTATGAAATTGAGAAGATTCGTGTCTGAGCGGATTGTGGTGCCGAAGTCACTATTTGCTTTTCCAAGGTTAGGACGTTTATTATGATGATGATGCAATCTATGAAACTCCATAGACTTCCTTCCATAGCTCTGAATACCACTGCTTTCATTTATTCTGAGTAGGTTATGAGTCCTCTTTTTGAAGCTATTCGCGTTGTTGTTGGGGGTAGGCACCGTTACGAGGTAGCGTCTGCGCGTATCTCTCACTTCGGGCAACCACGCCCACTTTCATCTCAACTTGAACCTTCCATCCATACAACAACGTCCTCTATCGCCATCTCGTCAATCTCGACCTCTTTCTCAAGGAGTTCCCTCTCCTGATTTCTATCAAGGTCACTGAACACCTCTGACTTTACCAAATACGCCTTGCTTCCACCATCGCCGTCGCCATGTCCAGTTTCAATGAGCCTAAGCTCAATGATCTCATTCCCACCCTCACCGGTGCTGAAACTTCGTCTCCTGGAACAACTCTCTTCGCTGGGCTCTCGACGTACGCGATAAGCAACTTTACGAGCTTCTTATTGGTAAATATCCGAAGCCAGTTCCTACTATCATCCCTGCAGCCCCCGCAACTGCAACCACTCCTGCGATCCAAGCAGCCACAACTGGACCTGATCCAGCCGAACTGGAGGAATGGGAGACTAAGTCACGCTTTATTATTCCCTGGATCAACGCAAAGATCTTTGATAATCTCAAGTGTTACATTGACACCGCTGAGAACGCTTTTGTTGCCTACAATAATCTTCGTCAAGCCTCCACCTCACTGATCTTAACTGGATTCGTTCGTTATGTGAAATGCACTAGTTTATTCTACCATGGAACCAAGCAGGATCCCCAGGACTTCATCAATCGCTGGCGAGCCGCTCTAGAAGAGGCTTCTCGGTTTTGTGGTCCTTTCCCTAGCCGGCACATCTACTATCAACTTCTAATCGCGATCGGATACACCAAGGATATACGCCAGTGGCTGGAATTACTCGAGCAAGACCCCTTGGCCACTTGCGAATCGATTTTAAAGCAGACATACGCGGACTTTGTGACCTCTGAGCATAGTCGCCTCCCCCCCTGGCAATACCAATCTGTTCATATGTCCGCTCTTGATACTAATTCTGCTTCCTCTCCCTCCAAGCATGGTCGCGTGTCACAATACTGCGAGTTTCACAAGAGCAGGGCTCTACACTCCACTGATGACTGCTATCTCAATCCTACCACCTGCAACAACCTTCATAACGACGGTATGGAATGGGGGGGTCCCCTTTTGCTACATCTTCATTTCTTCTGCATTAGGCATCAACGGTATGGTCAAATTGCTCTCTCTCATGTCGGTTCGTGAGGGAGTGCTCGGCAACCATCTCTAGCTTCTTCCCTCACCTCCATCTTCTTCCTTCCTAACCCTGAATATCATTGCATTTTTTTTAATTCCGAGTAGAACATTTTTGGCAATGTGCGCAGGAGCTTCACGTTGGGACCTACCTACTGGTAGTAGTGGCTTTAAAACACTGGTAGCTGAATACTGGGTCGATTGTGGTTATGGAGCTCCGTGGATACACGATGGTCTGAAGTTACTTCGTGATCCACCATGACCCGATCAAAAAGCATTAGAGAAAGTGAATAAAATATAAATTACTAAGTCCTAGTGAATAGAGAATGAACCAATGCATTTGAATCTCTCAGCCCACCAAATCACCACTAGAAACTATTACACTACATAATTGGAGGTATACACAGGAATATGAGATCGGCTCAACGGAGCCCTTCAGGTTCACTCAAGTAGTGAGGGCATGATATAACTGGTCAGCGGCGCTTCCAAGATCTCACGACGTAGCTTAGGCTCCCAGGAATGAACAATATAGTCAGAAACCTGTAATGTCAAACAAGAGAAGAGGAGATCACTGATTTGATGCCATGAATCCGCTCCTAAGCGTTTCGCAATTTTCAACATCCGACCCGCGAACCATGGCCGCGCAGATGGAGAAGCTGCTGTTGAGGAGTACTGGGAGAAATCAGGTAATTCCTCTGACAGAGAAGACGATATGATGTCGTCTACGCTCGCGTAACCGTCGTTGCATGTAAGGAGAATTTGCAGGATAGCCTCGACTGAGCCGCTCATGCTGACTTCACTATCGATCATGGAATGTTCGAGGGTCTTGAGGAAAGTGCCCGCGTGTATGGGTGAATAACGGTAATCCCAGAGGGCTGCGTTCAATATCATCAGCGCAGTGAAACGGGCGACCATCTGTTTGCGGTCTCCTGACGCCGTAAAACGGGCCCCTGGTGGCGCGGCTAGAATTTGAAACAGGAGAGATGATTCTTGAACGGATGCATGGCGGGATAGGTCGCATGACTCTGGATTGGCTTTTTGGTATAAAGCAAGCTGCTCACAGCGACGGAGAAAGTCGAGGAATTCTTCGCACTGGAGCCGAATTTCATCCATTGGTGACAACTGCATGAGGCTATTAATTGTGGTGGAAGGCGGCTCGGAACAGGGCGTATTATCTGACAAGGAGGAGGTGGAGTATGGCGGAGAGGGCATGGAGTGAGGAGGTTGGGAGGGTATTGAGGGAGAGATTTGTGAGGGGTGGGTGAGAGGTTCGGTTGGGACATTTTGGATGGAAGGGGGTGTTGGTTCAAACGAGAAGCTGAGGCCGCGCGTTTCGTAGCCAGACAGTATATAGTCTTGCCAATTAATCAACATGCCCAGTCGAGTGTTTGCAAAGGCAGCAGGGCCACCACGTGCGCGGATCATATCACGAGCTGCACGCATATGCATCCAACTAAATTCCTTGCGGCCAGGGCGGGGATCAAAATCTTCAAGAGCGGCTGCACTTAAACATGATATGATTGCAACATCCGAGGTATCGCCGGGGTTTTTGTGTATATGTTCACGAAGCATCCTGATGGCACGATCTCGATGCAAGAGGCCATCGGCCGTTTCTCCCTCATTCCGGACCCAAGCCCAAGTATTTGCAGCATGAACAAGGATAGTATTTTGAAACGCGACAGCGCCTTTCATTGCCTCGGGAACAAAAACTGCTGTATACCAATTATGGGCCTTGAGCGATCGAAAATGTGTGCCATAAGAGCAGGCTGGCATATCATTAACATAGAAATCGAAGAGCCTCTGGCCATCGAGATCCAGCTCGATGGGGAGGGTATTGAATGGATCTGTTCTTGCGGCGCTCATAATGGATCTTGGCGATTGTGTAAACTCAAGAGGGGTCGTCGGCGCGGATGACCAGGAAGCTATACTGCTCCAGTCTGTCGGATGACTATGGGTTTGTGGAGATATATTCATAAGACGTTGTGGCTCAAAGGGATTGTAGGGCTGAATGGAGGAGGTTCGATAAGGCAAGTGGGTGGTGCTTTGAGCCTGGACTCGCAGCATAGATGCGCTGGAAGATGTAGTGACAGCCACAATCCGGTCCTGGCCAATATCTTCAATATCTGCAGAAGCATCATGTTCGGATACTGGTGGGGGTTGCTTTGTAGCATTTGTGGAGAGAGGATCTTGCGGGGTGGGGTGAATCGTATCCTGAACAGCTTTTCTGGTCGACTTGCGCTTGGCTGCACGAGTCGACTTTGGCCGGCCACGCTTCGCCGGGCGAATCGGTTCGGCCTCTTCTTCTTCTTCACCCTCGCCTGGCTGTAAATCGCCCTTTTTCTGGCGCATATACTCCTGCATAACATGCCGCTTAACCTGGGTCAGGTTGCTTCGGCTGTTATTCGAAGAGTCGATAAATTGCCACCGCACGTTGGACGCTTGGGGTTTATCGCTGGAGCTGGCGGGGCCTGAATCTGACATGGCTAACACGGGGGAGTTGAGAATAACACGCATACGTATCTCAGCCGCTCGCCCGTAGTTGTCCTCGATTTGTTAGAGGGAGCGCTGGAGAGTTGGATGGAGGAGATTGAATGGACTTGGAACTTGGGGATTGACCGATCGATGAGCTGTGTCTAACGGCTTTGCCTGCCTGTGGGGCGGAAGGGTTGGATTTGAAGAGGATGGTGAGCAATCCAATGATGACGCTTGAAGACGCACGAATAATTTAAAAAAAGAGTAGGCGGGACAAGAATAGGAACAAGCTACTCCGATGACGGTCAGCGTGAGTAGTGCATCAGCGCAGATCCACTGGGCGCTCGTGCATTGGACCCGATGAGGCCAACTGAGACCCCACTTGGCAAGGCTATCTGATTTCGACAGAGAATGGGGATGGGGTGTCAGCGAATGAGTAGAACAACCCCCTCGACACAAGTGGGCCAGCGGTGACCCCTGGGATTAGAGATGATCCTTCTGGCCAAGCATGTGGTGTTCCACCATACAGGGTTGGGAATGGGGGCGAAAGGAGAATGAAGAACGACGAACGGCGAGGGGACTGGAGAGGATCCACTGTGCGATCAGTACTTGATCAGGACAGAGAGTAGAGTAGATCAGATCAGTGGGCTGTTGAAAAGTTTGGATGAGCTCGCAGAGGTCGCACTGTTTTTGGTTAGCCGCTGCGATGTGCTGCAGACCCAGCGAATTAGTCTGCTTAAGCGTGGAGAAGAGGGTCCATTAGGGCAACTCGGGTGTATTCCGAGGCTTTGATAGGATAGAGGAGAGAGCAGGGTAGATGGAACTGGAGAAAATCAGGAATTGGGAATATTAGTAGGAAGAGTGTAGGCTAGAGTAGAAGTGGTGGATGGAGATGGAGATGGAGATGGTAGGTAAGCAGTCACGGTACTCCGTACTACTACTCTACCAGTTTCAGACTATATTACATTATTCAACTTCCTTCGAAACAGCCCCCTCTCGGCAATGCTTTTTTTATGCAAACTTCGGCTCATCCTGCACTTTAATTGTCGATCCACCGTTCCTGCAAATGAGCTTGGATCTCGTACGGAGTACGGAGAAGTGCATTCTCTCCGGTCCCCCGCCCAGCCTTATCTAGGTAATGGGCAAACTTCAATTGCGACTTTGGAATTATGGGAGCAAGAACATATTCAATTAGAGATTAATGGGGATTTAAGTTAGCAATCTACTCTGTACTCCGTACGGGGTCTCTCTCTGCCCTACCCACTCCATCTCACGGTGGAGTCTCCACAGCTTGTCAGCGACATACCATCTTCGGCATAGTCTTAGTTGATCACTGTTAGGGACATGTCCGTTTTGGAGAACCCCTTAATTTAAATTAATTGAAATGCACATCGGGCGTCAGATTCCTATTTCCTGGGGGCCGAAAGGCGTCGAAGATAGCCATACTGTCTGTACCTGGAGAACTCGGAGAATGAGAATCGCACAGGCCCCTTGGTTCAAACAGTAGACAAATACTCCGTAACTCTGTACTCCGTACGGAGTACTCCATCCAGAAATCTCACAGACAGACCCCGGACGGTCGGGAGATAATTACCCTCCGACAACGGCGAACCCGACACCAGGGGTCCATCGATGATCGCCAACGGCTAGCTTAATCTTACCCCGTGCGTATGTACTTCTTGAAGACATAGCCCCACGGAACGTGCAGGTGTATAGTGCATCTCGTGGTCCTCCTGCCTTGTTTCACAATACCTGACGACTCATGGTAGACATTGTTTCGCTGCAGCTAAATGGTGGTTGCATTGCCATGATGTATCTGCATATTCTCTTATTGGGATGATTCACTGGCGTCGAAATCCTTTAATTTGACGGCACGTTCTGACCACTAGGACTGGCCGTAGGTGAGGAATGCTCGGCAAGATGGATGATCAAAATGACATCTTTCGTCTGCATCGTCATCATCCAATATGTAAGCCCCTGAGATGTTCCACTCAAGATACTCTGCATAAATGGGTTTGGGGGCCATAAGCGCAACAATGCAACATACACCTTCCCAACCCGGAGCAAGTGGCGACTGGGTGTATAGGTCAACTATTGGGGAGCGGGTTGTCTGAAATGAGATGACAAGATGAATCTTCGACTTGGCGGGAATCCTGGGACATAATGAATGGTGCGTATTTTCAGAGGTGGATCGCTGTAGGATTGGGCATCGTAGTGTTTTCGCGCATCCTAGCCTAGGAATTGCGGAAGGATAAGAGCTAGTCGTGTCTTACAGCCCACTGAGGTGCAATGGGACTGTATTTGCATTTGCATTTGTCGTTCGTCGATATCCAGGCGATCTAGGATTGCGAGAAATAGTGACTTATCAGCGTTGTCTCTAGTCCAGTCTAGTTAGCACAACACAGAATGATTAGTAATCTTTATTATCTTGCACAAAATGACCAAGGCAGTGTTGTGTGTTCGATGATGGAAGTGCAAGCAGGTGCAAGAGGCCCCCGGCTACAGCGCGGCGTGGCGTGAGATCGCCTTGAATATCTTCACCGCCTTCCTAGCTTGAGTGATCGCAGACCAAACCGCGGAGCTTTGGCACAAAGCGAAGACAATCAAGGGACGCCGACACGCTGAATATTGGGGGTTTGCATGATCTTAACTTGCTCTTGGATTTATCCTACCTCTTTCACCACTTCCAACTACCCCCCGATCACCCATTGGACGAGCGCCGCCGCCTGGTGTCAGCTCTGGAGAACCCGCGCGAACCTCCGTGAGAAATCCGCCCAGTCGACAGGAACCCCCTCGACCGGCCCCTGAGGTGTGTATCGCTCGTCGCGTGGGCATAAGGGATCTCCGACTGGGAGCTTGGAGCATTAAATAGGTTCATGCGAGACCCATTATGCCGCAAACATTCACGTTCGGACTCTGCATTTAGCCCAGCCCTCCCACCCTTCGATCGATACGCTGTGAACTTGCCTCGTCTGACCAGGCGCAAACTCTCCTAGTCTGCGCAAATATTCGGGGCATACAGAGAACGCCATTCCCACATTTATCAGTGCCTCAAATACATTGTCTGTCGTCATGGCGCCGGACATGGAGGCCGGCGCGATTCATGTAAACGGGTTTGCGGAAGGGGCAGAGGCCTCCGATTCAACCAACAACCCTTACGAAACAAACCCAGCAAGAATCCCGCGCGATGACCCGTTTCTCGCCCAGAGCGTTGAATATGGCCGTTACGCCCCGCATCCCACTGATTTCACCCCGCGCTACCAGAACTGGTATCAGTCTGATCCCGAGACGAACACTTTTTGGCAAGAGGTGGCGCAGAGATTCTGCACTCCGGGACATTCACTCAGGATATCGGCACCGAGGGAGACATTCGCTGCTGGCAGTGTGATCATCCGAGTCGACCATGGCCCCGTCGTCAGCGGAGTTGCGGAGCGAAACTCGTGCGCCAATGCGAATGAGCTTTCCGCGGCCCGGAAAGTCGAGGAATCGCTGCGTGAAATCGGCGTCACAGTTCCGGTTATACATTTCTGCGGCACAATTGAGGGTAAGAATGTGACGGTGGAATCGCGAGTACCGGGTGTGTCTCTGGATGTGGCATGGCGATATCTAAGCACCGAGCAAGTGGCTACCTTCAAAAACCAGTGCCGTCAACTCTTACAACATATTTCAATCATCGACCCCCCTCCCACCGAACCTTCCTACGTTTGCCGCGGGCTCAATACACAAACACCACCTCCCGGGCGCGAGACGGAGCAGTCAATACTTCTTGCTGAAAAGGGCGCCGATGAGAATCTTTCCTTCACACACAATGATTTGATCCCAGCAAATATCATCGTCAAAGACGATCGGATCGTGGGTATCACTGGATGGCGGGAAAGTGGATATTTTGGCATTGCTCGAGCTCAAAAAGTGCACAAGTCATTGAAGGATCTCCAGCTTGGCCCACAAATAAGCGGAAATGATACATGGCTTGATCTTTATGATGAGGACTATGATTCTCGCAGAAGTGCGCCATTGGTTGCAAGCAAAGACATTGCTCTGCCATCCGTCAAAACGGAACCTTCAAGTTCAACTCTGGAAAAATTCCCTATCAGCGACGACTTGGATACCAAATCGCTAGGACTCGACGGAGCCAGCGATTATCCGACATCGAAGCAGCTTGCCAACTTGAAGAACGGAACAACCTCTCGCGCCTCGTCCTCCGACCGGTCATCACCCGCGACATCGGTCAAGCCTGCATCAAATAAAAAAGCGGGATCTGCTGCTACGAAGAAAGGCACGGCAAAGAAACCGGTTGCTAAGAAGCGCAAGGCGAATGATGTGGATGCAGACAGTGCCGACGGACGTCGATCAAATACACCCGCATCTCGCGCCAGCAAAGGTCCAGGCAAGAAGCAAGACTCTGTCTCCATTGCGGGGTCCCCAGCACCCGAGGACAAGAAAAAGAAAAAGAAAGGGGCGAGGAGACGTTTGGTAGATGAAGATGATGAGGATGTCGAAGATCCAAACGAGCTCTTTTGCATCTGCAGACGACCCGATAATCACACATGGATGATTGGGTGCGACGGTGACTGCGAAGACTGGTACCATGGAAAATGTGTCAACATCGATGCTAGAGATGAAGAGTTGATCGAGAGATACCTCTGTAAGTTCCTATTCATGTTTTTTCCCCCTTGGCTCTGAATCCGATCTGACCAGAAAAACGACAGGTCCAAACTGTGAAGAGAGAGGACAAGGTCGCACAACATGGAAACCAATGTGCCGATTACCTGAATGTCGTAAACCGGCACGCGCCACTCCCAAGAACCCTAGCAAGTACTGCTCCGACGACCATGGCCTGGAATTCATGCGACAGCAAACTAGCCAATTCAAGCTTGGAAAGGCCCGAAAGGGATTCGCAGATCTAGGTAGCATGGGCGGTATTCTCACGGCCGGCGATCTCAAAGCTGCTATACTCGGCGTCAGTTCGGTCGAAGACTTTCGCAGACTAGGTGATGGAATCATCTCCCCGCCAGCTTCTACAAAGGAGAACACGCCGAATTCCGAGGTGAAGAGCGAAACAGTGCTGCAGGCCGGTAATGGATTTGACATCAACCCCAAAGGCGTGGAGTATACCCCCGAGGAAGCCGCCCAAATGGCGAGGTTGCGCAAACTGCGCGACGACCTCCTCCACCGTAAAGAGATGCTTGCCGCACGCTCGAAGTTTGTGGGACTTTTGCGGCCGCGGGCCAAGGGCTTGGTCGAAAAGCTCAAGCAGAAGGAGCCGAAAGGCGGATGGAAGGATATCTGCGGGTTCGACTCACGGGTTTCGTGGTCGGATGAGGAATTTGATGAGTGGCGCTTATCAGAGGCCGGGAAAAGGGCGCTTTCAGAGGGCACGGTCGAGGCTATGGCTGCTAGCTTGCCCGGGAACACGGATGCAGATGGCGATACAGCGATGGATGGAGAGGGTGAGGATGAATTGGCCTCCTTAGCTCGTGGTGTCTGCACGAAGAAACGATGTGAGCGACACAAGCAATGGGTCAAAGTACAACAGCAAGATATCTCGTTTGAGGAGACCACCGCAGACGAGGATCTTGCCAAATATGAGGAAGAGGCACGGAATGTCGCCGAAAGTGCCGTTCTAAGAAGATGGGCCGAGAAAGAGAATATTCCTTCTGGGTCCAGGTAGACCTCGCTGATCTATCTTTTCTCTCCCTTTCTCCTCTGGCATCGTGGCTATGTGTTTAGTGAATGGTGACAAAGAAAACAAAAGCTTGATACCCCTTTCTTTTAACTGAGATGAAAAGCATGGCTCATGGGTTGGAGTTGGTATTTTGTAAGAGGTAGCTCTGAGGAGAAAGCTTGGAATATTGAATACAGGACGATCGGAAAACTTCTCCCAGTTTGCATTGGCATCGGTATGGCGCTTTGCGAGGGTGGATCTAGTGTCGCGATTATTGAATGGCGAATCATTTTTGTACGAGTAGCATCAATTGCATCGAATTAGAAGCCATCGATATTTATATTTGTTTTAGCCTAGGGTGGTAACGGACGTCATGGGATTGCTAGTAATATTGTTCACGTACTAGGGGCCCATACGCTCCATTTTCCGAGTCCAGGTCCAATTCGGGATTTGATCACCTCGGCAACTTGAGAGGTCTTGACGTCAGATAATAGTATATGAGTATCGATTCCTTGGTCAAGCGTTTTCATGAGAAGGGTAGTGAGAAGCGACGATCCTGGTGTTTGGAAGATTGAGTGAACGCCATCATCCCACGATGGACGAGTTTCTTCCTCCTGAGGCTTCGTCCGGTTTGCACCCTGTTGATGAGTTGATTCAAAAGCTGCAGGGCCAAGTCCATTGGTGTTGACGAGGATAGTTGAGAGGTAGGGGGCGTGGGTTCGGGACATGCGGTTTAAATTACGGAGAGTAGCTGACAATAAGGCCGTTCCTCTGACTGGGTTTGATGCTCGAATGACGCCGTCAGCGAGGGTGTCGAGTCCAACCACGATCAAAATCACGGGCTGATTGTTTCGCGCATTATATGCCTGCTGCTGCCTTGTCTTTTCGATTTGTTGAAGTGACCCCGAGACTTGACCAATGGCCTGGGCTGCATTTGGAAAATTATGCACCGGTAGTAATTGCACGGTGTCGAGTCTTTTGATTGCTTCTTCCTGGGAGAGCTTTGGCTCAATTGAGCTCGATCGCAGAGCACTGAGTAGAGTTCTTGGAGCAAAAGCTTCGAAACCACGCGGAAATATGATAAAAACGCGTGGCTCAGATGAAGCAGGGTTCTCAGATAAACTCTTTATGAGCAGATGTCGGGGAATCTGAGATGTCTGAGTGAGATAATGTGCATACAAATGGGAGCAGCAGTATATACCTGAGCGATATAATCGTCGTTGTCTTTATCCCTCGACCTTAGTCTGGAGAATCCAATGATAGTGCCGCATGTGAATATCGTTGATTGAGAGGCTTGAATGCCTTCGTCCCAGTGTCTTTTGAGGTTCCAATCATTCAAGTTGCTGTCTGCGGTGCCATTCCAAGGCCCGCCGGGGGTTGCTGGACTGCATGGCTGGGGGAGAAGGGAATTGGCTAGGATTGGGAAAGCTGGCTCGGCAGAATAAACATTTGATGCCAAAGCCATTACTGACCATGGTTTAGTCAACCCTGTGAATCGAGCCTTGGAGAGTTCATGGTAGGAGAAAGCGGTGGGTGGCGGGTGTTTGAGTAAATTATCGTATTACCGTTTCATGTGACTTCAATTATCGTCGTTGGTCCTCAACTCACAGGCACCATAAGAGTAAAACATCATATAAGGGGGGGGATTTATATATCATTAACTCGTGATTGATCAATTTTAAAGTGTTGATTTCATCATGACGACCGGCTGCGAATCGCAAGCGGTTTTGGTTATGTAATGCGTCCAAGCCGTAAGATGATCCCTCCGACTCAAGGGATCCAGTTGCGCTTATACTATACTACTAATTAATGAAACTTCGCCAATTCAATGAACAGGTGATAGATTCCGTCTCCATATCCCACTCTCATCATGGGTCCAGTTGCTTCCCATGTTATCTTGCAAGACCCTGATCAAGTCTTCGCGTACTGCCTCAACATGGAGATCTCGACTGCAGAATTCGACGATAGAGGGATGTTGATCAATATGCCATCCTATGATGGAATATGCACTCTCCAGCTCCATCCAAGGGTCATTTGGATCGAGTGAACCACGTTGCTCCAGTTCAGTAGCGTGGTTATTGACATTGGGGGCCAATTGAATAGTCAGTTGGTGCAGATTGGCCATTTTGGATATGGTATTTAATATGAGCTCCATATGGTTGAAGAATGGGAAAACAGCGATATAGGAGAACGACACAAAGTTCTCTAATATCGTCGTCAATTCTGGGAGAACCGGGGGTTTTGCCTCGACATCCGGTGAGTGTGCCTGTGGCTGGAGATGAAAACCCCATTCGCCAACAAACGAGGGAACGCGACCCAGGAAATATTCGTAATGGTGATATGCCTTTAGAGAAGAGGATTCATTGAAGGCCATTGAAGTCCATGGACGAGCCGTGAGCAGGTTAGTGCAATATTCTAAGTTTTGCAACGAGGATAGATCACGAGGGGGGCGGGGATCTCGTTCCAATTGCAAGATCTGAAGGTCAATTTCAAATGCCCAATTGAAACCGCCTTGAACCGGTGCACTCAGCGTTTCTCCTATGAAGACTGGTGGAGCTAGAAGGGTGATGCGATCTGGATCTAGATAGCGGAGGACTCTGCGCCACCATGATGGATCATCCGCATATACCGCGGTTGGTGGAGAAATGGCCACGAGAGAAGTGACATATTGGTTCAGGTTCGAGCGAACCAGAAAGGTACGGAATTCAGGCTCATCCTTCAACTCTAGACAAGCATGTGAGAAGAGTATTGGCCTGACTAGATCTAGAAGTTGGCTTGAGGTGAGAGCAAGGTGCTTGAGATTTTTGTCTTGAGGCCCCGATCGAACGAGATGAAGATTGGGGGACAGATAGAGCTGAGCCCGGGACGGTGGCTCGGTGGCCAATATGGTGAAGATGTGATGCAACAACTCATTCGGAAGTCTTAGCAGGGGACACGGCATGGTAGTAGGTCGTCTCACAAGGGAGGGGAGCTCGGGAAGGAGAAGCAGGTCGAAGTGCCGGAGGGTCTCCACCTGACCGCCGCTGCAGCCCACTTGGCTTGTTGGTCAGCGGTGACTCAGCTGGATCCAATAAGAGTATCTGAAATACTCATTCTATTAACTATCTATTGAATACATGACACGGAGTATACGGATTCAAATTCAGAAGAGATGATGAAATAGACAGATACAGAGTTGACATTATCAAGCCCAACCTGGGACAAGCGTCGATTGTATGTTTAATTTTAGATCGAACCCCAGCCGGGAATCCCCCGTTGAAGGTGGAGTGCATCACTACTGCAGCCAAATCTTCAGGTTCAATCAGACTACAAAGTAGTACCCTGATGCATTGGTAATTTAGGGAGCACGGGGTACTCCCACCCTCATATCATATTATACCCTATCCAAAGTATCCCATCATACCATCTAGACTTTGTACTAGTAATATAAATCCATACTAATACTAGTACTGTAGTATTACCTAGGTACCCCAACCTCACCAACGTAAGCGCCAAGAAACGCCCCGCAATCGGCTCTTTCATTTATACTTCAGCTTCAATTTCAGACCTGGAGAGCCTCCTTTGGAAATCTCATCTGCTGGCCTTCTTCTTGATACTCAATAGTTGAGTCTCAACTGTTAAGTTCATTGCAAAACATGAGTCTTATAACTCAAATCTGAGCGCTGATCGGCAACTGAGCAATTCCTTGGTTCCGATAGGCGTGTAGATTGTGGAGATGTCCATCTTTTTTGCCTGGTGGGGCAGCATCGCATCCGGACTGGACTGAACTGACCTGAACGGCAATCCAGTGTGTGCGCGATGGCGATGTGTTGGTTCTGCCCCTCTTTCCGTCTCCCCGATTTTTCCTTTTCTCCCCTCTTCTCCAGCTCCAACTTTGTGTTTCGAATATCTCTCCCTGCTGTAAGTCCGGGAACTCTCTCCGCAGCATCCTCCTCCAGTACTCATCTCATTCCGATTAGCATTTCTTCCATGATGGCTCCTCAACTTCACCAAAGACCCCCCTTCCGTGCGGAGCACTTGGGCTCCCTGCTCCGTCCCCAGGAGCTCCTGGATGTTAAGATTGCCTCAGAGAAGGGCGAGGTTCCCGAGTCTCAGCTCATTCCCGTCGAAGACAAGGCCATCAACGATATTGTCGATACCCAGAAGAAGCTTGGCTACTCGGGCATCTCGGATGGCGAGTATCGCCGCCACAGTAAGTCTCCCCCAAACGGGTTAGTTATGTCGAGGTCATTGTAGCGCTATGCTGACAACGACGTAGTGTTCTGGGGTACCTTTTTCCCCGGCCTTGACGGCTTCGACGAAGTCACCGACTTTGAGACCGACATCTTCCGCCCTTACGCCCCCGATATCGCCGCTTTCCTTGAGGCTGGCCACAAGCCCGGCGAGACCGTTCTCTGCACCGGAAAGATCAAGCACGTTGGAAGCACCTATGTTGACCAGTTCAAGTACCTGGCTAGCCGTGTGTCCAAGGACGAAGTCAAGAACCTGAAGATCACTCTGGCTGCTCCTAACTGGTACCACCTGCGTTACCGTGAGGGTAAGGCCTACCCCAAGGATGTGTATAGCTCCGACGAGGAGTACTTCGGTGATATCGCCAAGGCCTACCAGGCCGAGCTGAAGATTCTGTACGATGCTGGATGCCGTAACGTGCAGTACGATGACCCTAACCTGGCCTGTAAGTTACCCCTCAATCATATCTCATTGGGGACATGAAGCTCACATTAAATGACAGATTTCTGCTCCGAGAAGTTCCTGGACGGCTTCAAGGCCGACAAGGGCAACGTTTACACCGCGGATGATATGTTCGAGAAGTACATCAAGCTGTACAACGACAGCTTCATCGGCCTGCCTGAGGACATGCACGTCGGTGTTCACCTGTGCCGCGGTAACTTCGTTGGAAGCCGTCACTTCTCTGAGGGTGGCTATGACCGTATTGCCATCAAGCTGTTCCAGGAGCTGAACGTGCACACCTACTACCTGGAGTACGACACCGAGCGTTCCGGTGGCTTCGAGCCCCTCAAGCACCTGCCCACTCACAAGAATGTCATTCTTGGCGTTGTGACCAGCAAGTTCGCCACCATGGAGGACAAGGAGGAGATGAAGCAGCGCGTCATCAACGCCGCCAAGATCATCGCCGAGGGCAACAACATCACTGTCGAGGCTGCTCTGAACCAGGTCGGCGTCAGCCCCCAGTGTGGCTTCGCTTCCCACCGCGAGGGCAACGCTATTGACTGGGATGGCATGATCAACAAGCTTCAGCTTGTCCGTGACATTGCCAACGACATCTGGCCCAACCAGGCTTAAAAGTCCTGCTCTGTGAGCCGGGACATGTATTGCATGACCTCAACAAATACCCATCTTGTACATTTGCCATCTGCCACGTCCATTCTCTGTTCGCCTTCTCAACAATGCGATCGGGTCTGGGTTTTCCTTAATTTTGTGTATAGCTCGTTGGCGGTGGTGTCTGGAATACCAACTCAACGTATGATTCTTGAAAATAGTCAATATACTCGTGTTCATGATAAATCTGATCCCAAAATATCAACAAACCGGAAGAAATATGGTAAAGCTGAGAGCAGGAATGAACGTGGAATCCCCCTCGTTTTATGGCCACCAAGGTTGCCCTGCAAGGTCCTCCCGTCAGGCGAGGTGGTCCAGATCAGTCCCCACATGAGTCGGGGACTCAGATCTCTAATAAAATGCCCGGCACGGAGTATTGCAAGAGCAATTCTCACCCAGTGGCTCGATAGCTTCGTAAAAACCGAGCTAGCCATTTTCGACAATGCCCCGCACCTCATGCTGACCGGGGACATGTCAAATATCAAAGTTATCCGAACAGCAAAATTATCTATTAATGGCCTTTACAGCTGAGAATTAGTTGTATGTAAGGGTCATAATGATGTTTGTATCCAAGTGTACCTGACAGACACATCAAAATGTCAGGTCTCGAAGTGATCGGTGTCATCGCAAGCATAGCCCAGATCGCCAATCTTGGCATCAAACTCTCAGTCAAGCTATGCACCTTCTATCGCCGAGTCAAAGATGCAAACCAGTCCATTCAGAGCCTTTCTAGTGAAGTATCCCTTACATGCACGATACTTCAAGAGCTGGGGGCGGCCCTTTGTCGGGACGAGCAGGCCAAAGTTTGCTCCGAGAAAGCATTCAAGACAACACAAGAAGTGCTAGGCGAGTGCATAATTGTATTCAACCGGATCGATGAAGCAACCGAGGAGGAAAATACCCGAGCTGGGAAAGGTCGCTTCCAACTCCGGGCTCAAAAGTTCACTATTGCCTTTATGAGTTCAGATATAGATCTGCTGAGGAGCAATCTGGAAAGATTGAAGTCGACAATGCTACTCATGCTCAATGTGATCATGTATGCCGGCAGCTTCGCAGGTACAACTTATCTTGACTTCGAAGTTGCTATGGCTGATTAGATTTAACAGGGCCAATTAAGTTTCTGTGCTGTCAGGCCAACGTGAGATAGTTCAATCACTTCTCAAAGACAAAGACAAGCAAGAAAGTGAATCAAAACACCATGACCTTGCCAGATCAATTCAGATGGTCCACATCCACGACAACGCAGGTTCAGAAGATAGTAGAGGCGTGGCTGCAATGGCCACAGCGACATCTTCGACAGACGTGCCAACGTTCAAAACCAAAGCAACATCACCGAGGATGTCCCAAGCCGAGCGAGTAGCCATGCAAAAAGATTCTAAGTCACGAGGTTGCTCAGGCACAGGCACAGGAGTATGATTTCAGACTATGTACCTCAACTTAGTATATCAAAATTTCGGCATTAGCCGGCTTGGTGCACACTCTCATTCAGCGGGCCCAATAATGTTTTTCTCTTTAACGGCGGATCTCTTGTGCGTGTTCACGTTCTCGACCTGCGCCAAGCCATGAGAATTGAATCCAGGAGCATTGAGAATCAGATCCCAGCATTGGCTTCCGTGTCAGACGTACCTCGTAGCACGGCTCTGCTTCCGATGCCTCCACGATGCGGCCGGTCAAACTAGACTTCGAGGTGCAGACATTGTGGATCACGCCGATACTCTTATTGGTATTAGAGTTTGGGCCTATTTGCGTAAAGGATACCATCAGCTAGTGTAAAAACATAGTTTTAAGTCCTCATAGAAGCCATACCGCCAACGGGTTTGTAGTTGACTCGCTGTCCTTCTCTGAAGTGGGGCATTTTCTTCGATAGAGGTTTCTGACTTTTCGATAAAGTCACGTAACAAAGGATACTTTTAGACTATCAAATAAAATATTGTCAAAGGACAGAATACTGTGGAAGGAATCAATTGGTGGCAGAACGATGTTCTATCAAGAATTTACTTCTCGGTTTATACTTGTTAAGTGGCAAGTATTTAGGAGTTTGATCTCCGGAATTCCTCGTCACATTGACATGCTACGTAATAGGGAACCAATGGCAATGAATGGGTTCTACTGTTTTAGGTAAGACGGAAACGCCTTCAAAAGATCTGGTAGACATTCGGGATAGACATCATCACGTAACAATGAGAACAGAACGTGACCCGTGAGATTTGGGATACCGAATTCGCCCCACACCGGAGGTCAATTCCGCGGAATGAACTGAAGATCAAGCAAGTTGGCCAATTGAGTAGAGCACTGTCACATTCAGTCAGATGTATGTCATTTTAGTCCAAGTTGATTCTCTATCTCAGCTCCAAAAGTCAACTCCCCTCCGCCTCTTGAAAACCAGTCAATTCTATACACATCGGCAATCCACAATAATGACAAGGGAATCGAACACTGGAAACGCTGATGATATAAACCACTTGTGGAGAATTAAATAATTAAGGCGGAGCTCCGGTGAGTCCGTGTAGCAACAGAGGGGATATCATAGAAGGAAAATGGGACCATAGGGGGGTAAAGAAGATAAAAGATAGAAGCGGCCGCGCACAAAGGAGATGAAAGCAAAAGCATAAAGGAAGTAGAAAACCCAAATGCTGCGTCGTATTGTCATCAAACACGGGACATGAGTCGAAAAGCGAAATTGCTTCACGGACGGTGCAAGGTGTTATACACAAGGCTGGGGAGGGGAGCCTCTCGATATCGCAGCGGGGCGGGTTTATTTTTGCGGCTGGGTCTTGACATTGTTGGAGAGCCATGCCTGGAAGTGGAGACGTGCGGGTCAGCTATTGTTTTGGTCCCGGTCAAGCAAGACAGGGAAGGAAACTTACCAGGCCTTCAAAAATACCGGTTCCATCTGTCGCCACACTAGGCGCGACATACCACAGCTTGTCCTTGAGCTTGGTGAGCTGGAGTTGTTGAGTAACCTCCTCGGGGCTCAGGTCTGGTCAATTGGTCAGTATGGGAAGGCAACACGGTAACTTGGATAGCGAAAGAGCAACAGGGGGAACGTACGGCCGCCGATATCTTGCTTATTGGCGAACACCAGCAAAAGGGCATCCTTCATTTCGCGATCGTTGATAATCTTGTGTAGCTCCGAACGGGCCTCCTCCATGCGCGCGGTATCGCTTGAGTCCACCACGAAAATCAGACCTTGTGTGCCGGAATAGTAGTGTCGCCAGAGAGGACGGATCTTGTCCTGACCACCGACATCCCATACGTTGAACTTGACATTCTTATAGGTAACGCTCTCGACGTTGAAGCCGACGGTAGGGATCGTAGTGACGTCCTGGTTGCTGAGTTTCAATTTGTAAAGAATAGCTGGGATGTTATCAGCAACCGCATGTGATATATGAAAAACCCAAGCCAGCTCCAGGGGTATCCTTACTGGTCTTCCCAGCAGCATCCAAACCCAGCATCAGGATCCGCATCTCCTTCGTGCCGAAGATCTTCCCCATCATCTTGGATACTTGGCCGCCCATCTTGGCGACGCGTCAATTAAAAATGGGCGAGAGAGAGGTGAAAGTGTGCAACAGCACAAGGACCAGTATCGAAGGAGTCGATTCGGGTCGAGCAGCAGGAGTGAGAATCAAATCAAGACCAGACAAGGACACGACAAGAAAACAGAATCGCGGGGGGGGAAAAGGGGCAGCACCTCGCCGAGCTGACTCAGCCACCCCCGACGTTTCGTTTCGGGCTCCACTGCTCATTTACTGCAGTGGCTCCTATCGACTCGAGTACGGAGTATGAATGGAGAACTCAGTACACAAGATGTATACAATGTATACATACTCTGTACTTCGATTTCCAAGATAACATCCCAATGGGTTCGGCGCAGGAACCATGGCTGGTGAGAGTTTACGACGTCATGTCCAACACAATCACGGTCACACGCTCTACACTACTCTCCGGCATCTTCATATTTGCATGCTTGTACACCCAGATATTCCCCTCCAAGAGTTCATCCCCTTCTCTTTATCCCCAGACCGAATTAACTCAAGATGCCTCACGACGGACACGCATTTTCACGTCATGCCTCGGTGACGCGGCAGCACCGACTATCACAGCAGTTTCAAGGGAATGCTTGGCTAGCGCCTCTGTCTGATGTATGCACAACTCCGAGAGACATTGGATGTCTTTCATAGCCAATTCAAAGCTGACAGGACAAGACTATTTATGCTGGAGTTTCAGGCTTCTTCTCCGACGACCATACCTCGACGATCGCAATCGCAATCCGAGACCCTACATACCTACTGGATTTCATACAGACGACGATCGAATCCGATCGCGATGGCAAGCTAGCGACTGACTTCATAGTTTCCCAATTGAAGCAATACGCCGAAACCCACTTGGAGAAGATCATGGGGCTAGCTATGCCCCGGCATGTCGCAACCTTTTGCAAGTCCCTCTGTTCCCGGGTCTGGGCTGAGATCGACGTGGTTCCTCTCGTTCTGCCAGAATGTAAAATGATGAATGGATTCACGCTTCTCCAGCCAGCCACCACATATGCATGGGATAGCAAGACCCTTGATGAACAAGCGGAGTCCATGTCGCGAAAATCTGTTAGGTTCGTAGGATCGGCGACCCTGTGGATCGCGGATGCTGATCCTTGCGCAGATTGTTTGGTCCGGAAAACATCCCCTTACTGCAGGTCGGTTTAAAGAGCCTCGTGGAAGTCGACACGGCATTCCACGTGCAGTTGACAAATTTGGAGGACTTTCAAAAAACCGTATCCGAGAGGACCTGGTCTGCGGTACTACATTATGCGGCTGAGCTCAAGGAACGAAATGTGAAAATTGCTTTTTTCAGCGCGACTCCGCAGGGTGGAGGTGTTGCTTTGATGAGACATGCCCTCGTGCGGTTTTCGCATTGCTTGGGCACGGACATCAAATGGTGGGTCCTATAGTATACCTTCCTTCACGAGCAGCGAAAGACTAAATGAGCTTGTCTAATCCTATCGTTAGGTACGTTCCAAAGCCACGACCAGGCGTCTTTCGAGTAACGAAGGATAATCACAATATTCTCCAAGGCATCGCTCGCCCGGAAGAGCGGCTGACCTCAGCGAACAAGCAATTGCTGGAGGATTGGATTCAGGAGAATGCCAAGCGATATTGGACTACTTCCGGGGGTCCTCTTTGCGCACCCTCGGAGGGAGGCGCAGATGTATTGATCGTGGATGACCCCCAGATGCCCGGATTAATCCCACTAGCCAAAGAAGCAGCTCCAGATCGGCCGATCATTTTTCGAAGCCACATTCAGATTCGAAGTGACTTGATCGAGGAGGGTGGGACGCCTCAAGCCGAAAGCTGGGATTTCATATGGAATCATGTCAAGTTATCTGATTGCTTCATTAGCCATCCCGTAAGTGCTTTCGTGCCAAAGGATGTGCCACCGGAGATGGTGGGATATATGCCAGCTTCAACCGATTGGTAAGTGGACTCATGAGCAAGGGATCCTGTGATAAGTGCTGATATGATACAGGCTAGATGGGTTGAACAAGAATATGCGAGATTGGGACGTGGCGCATTACGGTCGTATCTTTAATGCTGCATGCAGGAACGCGGATATGACCACGATCCAATACCCAGAAGGTAAGACCATTGATAAGCATGCATGGGTTAGATAACCATCTGACCGTGTCATCCTACCCATCTACTAGATCAGTACATCGTACAGATCGCGCGATTCGACCCATCTAAGGGTATATTTGATGTGTTAGACTCATATGAAAAATTCCACGACCGACTGACTCGTGAACGGCCTGATTTGACTCCCCCGAAGCTTCTAATCGGTGGACATGGCTCAGTGGATGATCCGGATGGGGCAATCATCTATGATGAAGTGATGTATCACATCGCACACGGCATTCCGCATCTACGAAATCAGATCTGTGTCATGCGGCTGAGGCCATTGGATCAGGTTTTGAATGCGCTCATGTCCAAGGCAACCGTCGCATTGCAGCTGTCGACGCGAGAAGGCTTTGAAGTAAAAGTTTCAGAAGCAATCCACAAGGGCAAGCCTGTGATCGCAACGCGCGCTGGGGGCATTCCCCTTCAAATTTCTCACGGCAAGAACGGGTTTCTTGTGGATGTCGGCGATTCCGATGCAGTTGCAGGCCATTTGTTTGATTTGTGGACGGATAAGGCTCTCTACGACCGTATGTCGAGATATGCCCTCCATCACGTCTGTGATGAAGTTAGTACGGTGGGGAATGCACTCAATTGGTTATATCTCGCATCGAAGTTGTCCAAAGGCCAGCCTGTGCGACCTCAAGGTCGCTGGATCAACGACCTAGCCTTCGAAGAACTCGGGGCGCCCGTTACGGACGGTGCGCAACGGCTAACTCGCGAGGTACAGGTGGAAAAGATGGGTTAGTGAAGTGCATTCTCAAGTACTGTTAGCTTGCGCTGAGCTTTGCTCTCTGATGCCCGTGAACTTTTTAAATATGTTCTGGTAATATGTATATATGATAGTATCCGCATTCAACAGCATTTGTCTCGATCAAGCGTGGCTAATGCAGGGTTGACAAGAAAAGAAAAGCAAGGGTATCATTCGGCGACAAATCAAAAATGAAAAAAAAAAAGATGCATGATAAATCTTACGGTCTCCCCACAGCCCGATACCTTTCTCTCGCCAATCCACCCTCCGCCCCCTCAACGCCATACCCCTCGCCAACCTCGCCAACAATCCTGGCAGGCTTACCGCCAACCACGCACCAACTTGGCACAACCATAGCTGGAGGAACAACCGCCCCGTCAAGCACGACGGAGAAATCTTTTATGATAGCCATACTTCCAATCGTAGCCCCAGCCCCAACATGAACATGGTTCCCTAGTGATGCAGCTTCGACAACAGCCGATTCGCCGACAAAGACGTGATCACCAATCTTGAGAGGATAAAATGAGTGTACACCGCGGTGTAGTCTGCTCGGCGGGCGCAGGATCGCACACTTGGAGATGTAGCTGTATCGGCCGACGGTGATTGCGACGCTCGGCGTGTTTGACGGTGGAGGGGGGGTTGTTTGGGTCTGTTGAGGCGGCGGTGGCAGGAATCCGGTAGAGATCTCCTCGGATGACGGCTTCGGCTTGAATGACAGTCTTTCCACCGAGAATAATGTGTTGTGTGCCGTGGATTTGGGACCGGCGCGAGATCTTGTTTCCCGTGTCCTTGGTGCGCGTTAGCTGGGCTTCTTTTCTTTGCCATTGGTGGTTTCACCAGAGGTGGCTCGGGGTGTCAGTGAACGGATCGCGTTGTATCAATTACATACAGTCTCAATGTACTCGCCCTTGGCAGCTTTGGGAGGCATGTTGGGTGCGTGTGGTTTTGAAGCTGGTGATTGTCTTCCCCCGTTGTTGATAGGGAACGCGGAGGAAGGCGGTCAGAGACCATCAATGTATGCATACATCTACTACATCTGGCCAATGAAATAACTACACTTTTCTCTGGGTTGTGCTTCCTATGATTGCTTCTAGAATCTTGAGCACGAAAAGAACATAATCTCATCTTGTTTCTAATTTTACCAGATGAAATCGAGGCTGGTATCAATTCCATCGTTCATATTTATCCCAGAAGGTGTCTTATTACAAAAACACGCGGCTATCATAATTACGTCAATTATAGCTTATACAAATCCGAGATTGAGGCCAGATTTTTTCATTTTTATCTGTTGGTTTTAAAGGTATCAATGCTTCCTCCTCTTGAGTTGAATTAAGAAACTCGCCAGATCTCAAACAAGTGCCCTTGGCAGTTCGCTGGTTATAGATGCAGGCATTATTCAATGTCTTACGATTCCTTCCTTCCCCCTACAACACCAAAATATAAGTATCAGGGCATTCGACAATGCCTAAATATAATAAAAAGAGAGTCAATTCAATATGCACAACACAAGGGTTTATCAAACCCCTACGTCATCATGTCTATCGACGAACATTCCTTCCTGAAATGTTTCGTTGAATCGGACGAGAAGCTCCTCACATTTTCCTGGAGATCTTACGACTACCTCTCTCAGACTGTCCTTATTGAAATACAGTCAGACGAGCACGCAACTGCAATCAGCGCATTTAGTGCTATCTTCAGTACCTGGGTACGACCGATCAAGGATACTCCTCTGGCATATACGGCTTCGATGAATGTCTGCGGGGCGTTGAAGGAGAAAAAACCAGATTTTTCATGGACATCGCTTCATTCTCCCGCTGGTCGATTGACGAGATGGCCAATATTGGCTGGCGAAGTGGCCTGGTCTGAACCGCGTGAAAAGTTGGTTCGGGATATGAGGTTTTGGCTTCAGGAATCTCGCGGAGAAGTCAAAGTCGCCTTATCTATCACCGTGCATGCTTGTGGTCGGATAACTGTTGAAAAATGGGGTATCGATGCTGGCGACGAAAATGCTTCTCCATTCGTGATGCAGAAAATTGAAGTTTTTCGGAAGTCGCCGCTGAGTTGTTCGAGGGTTATTGGAGAACTTACAATTAAGTTTGAGGAGGTCTTTGTGCGGGAGAAGAGAGAAACCGAGACCGACTTCACTCTCACCGAGAAGGATATGGAAGAAGTAGCAGGACAAATATGGACTGTACAGTTCTCGGAGATGTCTCGGGAAGATGTTGGAGGCTTGACATAAAGACTAATACTAGTTTGATTGTAGTTAGGTGCCAGTGTACATAAAAAATCCGCAGAGCCTATGCAAGAAGAGGAAAATAGCCTTGTCATGAATTAACTTCAAATTTGAACTATACACTAAAGCTACAAAGCCTTCGATAACTAAAAGCACAATTTCTGGATATCCTGGAGAACAAAGTCGTTCCCGAAAACAAAACCAAAACGTAAGCCATGGCCACCCACAAGGGATGCCGCACATTAATCCTCGTCCAGACCTCATAAGATCGGTCGTGAAGGGGGTATATTTTAGGCGACTCGGAGAGACGCTTATTGCTTGAAGGTGTAATCGCCGTCCCAGTGGAGCTTGAGCGCTATAGTAGAAAGTTTCGATTAGCACAATGTGGTTGTAGTCGGAGAATAGGTTGAACTTACACATAGGGAAGGGGAAGTACGAAGTACCATCCTGGCGGAGGTAGACATAGTACCCACCCTCCTGGGGGATCTTCTTGAGCTGACCCTGGGCACCAGGAGCACGGCGGAGGTTCTCCAGGCGACTGACGACACGGAGCATAGAGACGAGAGCGACCTTGGTGATCTCCTGGCCGAAACCAGTGTTGGCGCCCGCACCCTGGCTGAGGTAGGAGTCAAGGGGACGGTCGAGGTTGACCTCGTTGGGCTCGGGGAATATGCTGGGATCGTGGTTGGCCTGGACGTAAGAGGCGAAGACCTCCTGGCCGGCCTTGATCCCAATGGTCTTGCCATCATCTTCAACAGTGATGTCACGTACAGCCTGGCGGTAAGCGCCGAAGGTACCGTTGATACGGATGGCCTCCAGGCAGTAACGGAAGAGCTTCTCGTCGTTCTCCTTGGATTCCTCCTTAGCCAGACGGTTGATCTCAGAAAGATGCTTCTTGCCCTCCTCGCCAGTGTAGTACTCAATGACCTGAGTGAAGGCCTGGCCCTGGTGGGGGACCAATCCAACGATAGTTGGGATGATCTGGGACCAGGTGATCTCCTTGGAGTTGAGACCAGCCTCCTCCAGACGGCGGAGGGCACTGGTTCCGTACTCGCGAAGAGCATTGTCGTGGGGACGGAAGCTGTTCATCAAGCCGGACAGAAGTCCACTGTTGGTGTCGGCCTTGACGGTAGCCTCAACAACCTGGCCGAGCTGCTGAGCAACAGCAGTGGCGGCACGGTCCAGGGAGTAGGACTTGGTAGCATCAACGTCGAAGAACAGAGCGGAGAAGACGGTGGTCAAGACCATGTACATCTCATGCTCAGTGAATAGTCCGTTGGGGTTCTCCTCGGTCTTCAAGGGAAGACCGAAAAGGGTCGAGGCAAAGTGAATGTGGGCCAGGTTGCCGACATCACGGGTAATATCAACTTGGTTGATCTTGGCCAGCTTAGCGCCCTTCTGAGAGATGAGACGGCTGGTTACATCCTCGTAGAACTTCTTCACCAGGCCAGGGAACTCCTCGGTGCTGAATGCCTTGCCCATAGCCTGCTGCTGCTCAGCATTGAAGTCACCCTTGCCAAAGAGCTCCTCCATGGAGCTGCTCCAAGAGGTGGTGAAATCCTTGGGGTTGTTCATGACCAGCTTAGCGTTCTGGTGAGAAGACAGATTGGCACGGCTGGGCAGGAAAGAGGGAGCCTCGTAGGAGTAGTCCTGCTCACGGCCCAGGTTCTTCATGATGTTGCGGTTCTCGCTAGGAATGGTCATGGGGTAGTGGGCATAGATGGAGTCGGGCTTGTAGTAGTTGGGGAAAGCACGAGTGGCCAGCTTGTAGAAGACACAACCCTGGTTGATGTTCAGGTCGTAACGGCACTCGTTGTAACCCCAGTTGGTCAGGTTACGGGGGTTGTAGTCAACGGTGTAGTGACGATCACCGCGAACCAGAGCGACGGCATCCGACAGCACGGCACGGGAGATGGTGTAGGTGGGGGCAATACCAACACCTGGGATCATGGGCTCCTTCGCCTCCTCAGAGACGATACCGGGATACAGCTCAACGTTGTCAGGGTGATCGTACAGGTGACGAAGAGAGTTGGCGATCTCAGGGTCAGAGTTGATTTCCTCGAAGGTGTCGTAGGTCTTCAGGCCGAAGTGCTTACGGAACTCGTTGAGGGAACCGACCTGCCATCTGCGGGCAGCCTCCATACCAAGAATCTCGATGGAACGCAGCGCCTTGGGAACGTTGCGAGGGCCAAAAGAGCTAGCAACATCCTCAGTCGCGTGAGTCAAAATTGCGACCAGCTCCTCATCTTTGAAGGTACCGTCCTCCTGGCGCTGCAGCTTGGCGAACGTACGCTTAGAAGGATCGGCATCAAGTGTACCTTCGACCTTCTTCATGCCCATAAGAAGCTCCTGCATAGAGACCTCTTCGGCAGGCTTGCCCATGAGATCATAGTAGATCTGCTCAACCCACTTCTCATCTCCCTGGCTGATGGCGGAGTGCCAGCGGTAGGCCAGGTTGAATTCGACTGAGCACGAGTTACCGAGACCAGAAGGAGTGGCACCGGCCTTCTCCATCTGGGCGCGAGGGTCCAGGCACCAAGTCGAGTTGGTACGGTTCAAGTTGACAATAGTACGAAGGTAATCATACAGGGTGATGTTGATGTACAGACCGCAAGTGATCAGACGACCAGTCTGGAACAGATCCTCGTCGCGCTTGGCCCATGCCTGCTTCTGTTCCTCTTCGGACATCCTAGCGTGAGGCGTAGGGAAGCGGTTGCCCTCGTTAACTTCAGCTAATTGCTCGACGACATTGTTGTGGAAACGGTTCAGCATAACAAGCAGCACACCGCAAGCAGCGGGGAGAGCTTGCAGACGGCCTTCGGAAAAGCAATCAGGCTTGAGCTTTCCGTTCTGGTGGGAGCGGATCAGGTCCTGCTGCTCCTGAACGTCACCGTAAAGAATGGAAAGATCCAGGTAGGCGGAGGTCTTGTTAAGGTGAGGTTGACGATAGTCTGTCTGGAAAATGTCTATATTCGTATTAGTATTTACTTCTGGGCAATTGTGGCACGATGATGCTTACCGTGGATGATAAGGGAAGCCCAATCGAAGAAGACACTGGACACCTTGTTGGGGTGAGGGGTGAACTCCTGACGAGCGAACAGGCTGTCGAAGATCAGGCCAGGGTCGGGCAAACCGCTTGGCTGGATAGTGAGAGGAGGAATGGTCCGGCAGTAGGGAGTATTAGCCGCACCCAACTGAGGCTGGGTAGGGTTGTTGTTAGAGCCGTCTGCGGAACGGTATTTATAATCATCGCCCATCATGCTGTTCAATCATGTCAGTAATCCAAAGACATCATTCAACACGTTTTAATTATAAAACTCACGAGAGAGGGGGGTGCGGCAACGAGTTCCACAGCTCATCAAGGAACTGGTTTGTGAGCTCTGTGCGGTTCTTGGAGTGGCCAGGCATGTCGGCGACGAGCTACAATGTATCACCCTGTCAGTTTTGAGCCGCAACTATTTGATACATACAATTGACTTCATTTGAGTCTATTCCATGGTCCAAGTGTATTCCATACCTGAATAATGCGCTCCATGATGTATGTCTTATCGTCAATGAGCTCGCCGGAGGCCTTTTGTTTGATCAGGTCCTTGACGGTGTTCAAGTCGCGGAATCCAAGAGACTTGAGGTCATTGAACAGTCCTGAGGACTGGTCATGCTTCAGGTAGGTGCCATCGCCGGTCTGGTTAGGCAGAGGCTCGCGGGAAGCATGGATAGCCTGCGCGTACTTGTCGAAGATTGCCTCGACCTCCTCGCGCTTCACAGGGTGGCTCTCCTCTTGAGAAGGAGCTTTCCGGGGTGCAGCGGATTTGGAGAAGCGCTTACTGCTGTTCTCCTTGGCGCTCTTTGGCTCGGCTTCGCCATTGCCATCCTTGTTTCGCTTGAACTGCGTCGAGATTCTTCGCAGCATCGACATGGTGACGGGAGTCTGAATGCTTGACACAGACTAGGTCACAGTGTGAAAGTAGAATTGAGTAAAAGGAAGAAACGAAAACAAGGGTATTAAGATGGCTACGTCGGGCCAGATCAGGGGAGAAAAGAAAAATCGCGGTTGCAGCTGCGTGCGCGCGCACTTCATTTAAAAACGAGCTGTGCGGGAGGACCCAGGTGAGAACCAGCTGCAAGACTGTGGAGCATCCGCGGTGGCGGATTTGTTATCACCAATAGTTGATTGACTGCGAGGTCCAGATCTCATTAGAAATGGTTAGACCAGCACGACACTAGCCTCGATCTGCCCCGGGTCTGTGGCTCAGAACTGACAGTCAGCTGCCAATCAATTCGACAGCCCCGCGTGGGACAAACCTGATGAAGCTGATTCGAGCGCAGATCTCACTAAAAAAGCATGGCTTCCCATAATGACGAACCACTGAACCAGGCAATTGATCACCACGCAGGTCGACCAGAGTGGGGAGGAGGGGGGGGGGGGAGCTTTGCTGCTTGGGAAAAGGGGGTGGGCCAGCAATTGGACGCGGCACGTCACCCGGGGCAGCAGCGCTGAAACTGTTCACGGACAATTCGTTTCTCGAACGTGATCGTCACACGATTGCCGGGATAATCCTGCCGAGAGGTGATATTCGTGGACATGATCAGGTACAAGAACTGGCGCGTATCGACGTCACGCCTGAAGGAAGGTGTAACAATACCCCTTGCTATGCTCGAGCGTTTTGATAGACATGCATTGAAGCTATGAATGTGACTGATATCATTTGGCAATAGCGGTGTACCAAGGAAGCGAATCTCGGAAGTCGTCATGATCCACACAGGAGATCCAGAGATCCAGCCATCGAGCCCGACGGAGTGATATGGACCGTGGCAGCACGATGTGGGGGGGGGATGAGGGGCGATTGGGTCTTGCGCTTGACCTTTTGATGGAAAAGCAGTGGCTGGCTGTGGCGATCGCCGGAGTAACCGGTTGTCTCCTCTGTTTGTGTGCATGTACATCTTACTCCGTAGAGTACTTGGTATCATCATGTATCGCAAGGTCTGAGAGGCTGTCATGCCTTGACCCTTGATTATACCTAGCCCATTGTTTTAATTTCTGGAGGGGGCGGGGATGGTGCGGTCGAGACGGATGTATACGGACGCAAGGGAAAGGGTGAGGGCAAGGGTAAGGGAACCTCAAAACCAAAAAAAAAAAAAATAATAATAATAATAATACAATGCAGCAATTCCAATCTGGTGCAGCTGCAGATTTCATTCAATCAAACTCGGATCGGCAAGGCCCACCCGTTCGCCCACTCGCTAGGAGTTCCTAGCTTACGCTAAGGCTAAGGCCGTGGACGGGCCAGCGTGAACCGCATTAGCTCCACTATCATTGGTCAGTCAAGCTGCCAGTCATCGCCAGTAATTAATCAAAATCTGATCTGTATCATGCCCTTCCCCCACTCTTCTCAGGGTCTTGTTTTTTTTTCTTGTCTTTTTCTTTTTTCAGTTGCATGGATTTTTCGCTCCTCGTGGTGAATAGGGCTGGATGTATGCAAGGAGGGCAGCAGCAGGAGAGTCCCATAATGCCCCATCTCAGAGCCTCTTTTTGACAGGAAAGATAAGTCAATGACAACCTGTCAACCACGGAACGCCCGTGGCATTTCTGGGGGGGATAACAGCGGCCACTCCCGCTACTGCCGTCATCAAGCCAGAGATATGTATGTGTATAGTACTCCATACTTCGTAGTGTGAGCACAATATTCAGTGTGTACTATTGCCGAAATTCAAGGGCAAATGGTGGCGAGCACTATTGTTGGCCTGCAGATGAGCCATGACTGTCCACTCCATCTTTTCCATGTGATGGAGGATCGTGCATTGTCTCTTTCCTCCTCCACCTCGATGTAGGAAGATCCGACGATTACCAACAAAACAGAGCTGAACTGGGTTCCACTAGGGAGAGAAATCTCTGCTCTTCAACCTCGTGCTTTCCTCTCCGCTTGAGTACACACATGTAACTGAAAGTTTCGGACCGCGTCAGACCCAAAACTGTGGCGACAAAATCTTCAGCCGAACAGACAGGTGGATCCTGTCGCCGTGAAGACATTCAAGCCCGGTCCGGGTTAGGGGAGCCAGTAGCTCGTCTTAGTGAGTTTAGCGCTCGACACTAGCCAGTAGCCTCGATTCATGAACTGAATGGGCCCATTGCCCATTGCCCCTTGCCCAAAGCCCGTGCTGTCGGAGGTGACGTGGGGAACGATCAGCGGTAATGTCCCGAGCCCATGAACCGCTTTGCTGGGCAGGTGTTATCTCATAGGTTCAGCTAGTCCATCGGACCCCAATATGTCTCCAGTATTGCGTCGCCAATGGGGAAAAAACTTGGAGCAGCTGATGTTTGGATTTTTGAATTTTTCTTTGGCTTTTGGGGGGTGGAACAGGAAAAGAAACAAATCCACCCACCCCCAATGGATGTGGACCTGAATGAAGGTTTTTGGCGAGTCAAGGTCAGGCCTAAATAGAAACGTCAAAACAACGTGAACGAGGATCCGAAGCCCTACGACTGGCTGGGATGCGCCCCCGTTGGAATGCGAAAGTTCAGATAGGGCTCAGGGTGTGTAACATGTAAATCACGAGAGTGGAAGGGGGAGGCAGGGTATACTTGGTGGACAAACACATATACAGATCGCGAATGGCGGGAAGATCCTTTCCCCCCCACCACCATCTCACCCAAGCTTGACGTATCTTGCAGCGATCGTCTCGGTGTCACCCTTTTAGGGCCTTCCAATCATGCTCGTCCAGCTCCATCTTTCATCGCCCCTCCTTGATTCGTAGCCCCGGCTGCATCGCGTCGTGCCGCGCAGCACCCGACTTTTCTCTCTCTTCGATCCGTATATACTTGATCTCGTTCCCCCTTGAGGCCTCAGGAGTCTGTTTCTCCCTCTCTGCACAATATTATGGCGCATCCACTCCACGTCGCCCCCTCGCCGAACCCGAAGCAGTTCGTGCTCTGCTTCGATGGCACTGGCAACAAGTTTGCCGGTGATGATTCCGACAGCAATGTCTTGAAAATCTTTCGCGTATGTCAATTCTTTCAAGTTTCTGCCAATAGATGTTTTGATCTTGGCTGCTAACAGGGATTCATAACTACACAGATGCTGGACCGCAGCCAAAGTCACCAATACCATTACTATCAACCAGGTATCGGTACCTACGTGACGACTAAGTCACTCACCAGCCATGGTCGAGTTCAGCGACTGAAATCCTGGTATCAAAAAGCCAAGGACTCTGCCATCGGCTCTTCCTTCGATGAGCATGTGATGGGTGGTTACAAATTCTTGATGCGATACTACTCCCCTGGCGACGAGATCTTTTTTATTGGCTTCAGTCGCGGTTCCTACATTGCGCGATTCCTCGCCGAGATGCTGGATTATATCGGTCTGCTTGAAGCCGGAAACGAAGAGCTGATCCGCTTCGCCTGGAAGACCTTTGCCAAGTGGCAGCAGCGCTCGGGTGACACCGAGGAGGAACAGGCGGAAAAGAGGAAACTCTTCGAGTACATGAAGGCCTTCCGTGAAACCTTCAGTCGCCCAATCTCACGCATTCGTTTCATGGGTCTCTTTGATACAGTTAATAGTGTGCCGCGCTTCGAAAATGCTTGGATGCAACGCAGCAAGTTTCCCTACACCGCGCGCAGTTCCGCTCGCGTTATCCGACACGCCGTCGGTATCGATGAGCGTCGCGCAAAGTTCCGCCAAGATTTGATTTCAGGGGCACGTCCGAAGGACAATCGACACAAGCACCGTCGTCATCACTTTGGTCCTCATCGACTCGAGCAACACCTCCATCGCCACGAAGATGCCAGCCACCACCTGCATATCCGACACCAAGCCCACCAAAATGGCAATGGCAATGCCAATGCCGACCAAGTCCCCTCAATCCGCTTGGATGATGGCACGAACGGTGCTCCCACCGAAGTGAATGCTCCCGAAACCCCAGTCGATGCTCCAGATTTCCAAAATCCTGGCTGGGGACCCGGCCCTGGCGAAACGTACTACCATCCCCCGCATTCATCTCACGCTGGAAGTGAGGCCAACCAGGGCGAGAAGGCCCATCGCTATCGTGCCCCCTCCCCTCGACGCAACAGCTTTCTCGCTCCCAACCTGAACCAATCGACCGACGACGTGACATCTGTCCGTAGCGGACAATCAGGACTCTCCATTACAGTCCCCAGCCATGCCGGCGACGAAGATAGTGATGAGGAGGAACAAGATATCCACGAAGTCTGGTTCCCTGGCTGCCACGCTGACATTGGTGGAGGATGGAAGCTAGAGGATGGCGAGCGGTGGGCGCTGAGCCATGCGCCCTTGGTCTGGATGGTGCAAGAAGCTCACAAGGCCGGCCTGGAGCTGGACGAGCGCAAGATGAAGCACTTCCAGTGCTTGGAAGAATACGACGGCGACTACAGTCCCATCCGCGCGGAAATTGCTGCCCGTCGGCCTAGCCAACAACCCCCACAGGATGACCCCGACGCTTTCCGCGAGAACCCCGACGAGAAGCAGCGTTCTGCTGCGAGCCGCGACTTCTGGACAGCCCTGCACACGTCCAGCACGCAAGGCCTGCTTCACGACTGTCTGGAATTCAACCAAGGTCTCCCGCCCATGTCGGTTCTCTCCTGGCGCATCATGGAATGGCTGCCATTCCGCCGTATGGACCTCCAGTCTGACGGATCCTGGAAGCCGATCTGCTGGCCGCTACCTCGTGGTGAGGTCCGTGATGTACCGCTCGATGCGGAGATCCACGTTTCCGCCATTCGTCGCATGCAACATAACCCGCAGTACCGTCCTGGCAACGTGATTGTTGGTGGCGGTGGCCGCGGTGTGCGTTTTGCACCCGAGGAGAGCGGCATGGGCGATTGGGTGATTCTCCGGAATGAGGGTGACAAGGTGCGCGAGACATATGTGCGAAAGGACCAAGCGACCAAATGCAAGGAGAAGCTTGAGCCCCTTTGCAGGGACGAGCATGAGCACTCATAAGTGCATAAGCCGCTCTTACTTTTGAAAACCACCTGGTCTAATATGCTAATGCCTATTCCCCACCTTCACAATTTGTCAACTATTATATAATTCCCTCTCTATACATCATCATATTACATACTATACCTAGTACCCCAGTTTCATATATCAAGTGCAATGTACCATTTCAACCTTCAAAAAACTTGAAATCATATAAGCTCACTTGTCATGATTTACTCGTAGAATGATGTAGCTGATTAACCCCAAAGATCACGCTTGCAGCCAACCCCTACATATTACTTCTCAAGTCAGCCCTGTGAGCCAGGGCTCTGTCCTTGCTGGGTGAACCCGGTGCTTTTGAAAATGAAATCAAGGCCATCCATGGAATTAGAGAAAGTTCCATGTGAGCCACGCCAACCCTGGTAGGGTAAACTGTATTAAAATAGTAACCACACCTTTAACTAGTACATTGTAAGGTGAATGAACTGTCAATAGCTTGGATGCCCAGGTGTACCAGTCATTCCAAGGTAGGCTGCACGTATTCGCCCTTGGGGCTAATAACTGTTCTGTCTAATGTGCTTCTCACTGTGGTAATATTTACACTGGCCATTCAACTCAGGTGTTTTACTATTTTCAACACCTGAAGTTCAAATTATCTGGGCCCTTCTAGAGCCACCTTTGTGGAATGATGTAGCCCAGATCGAAATTCTAGACAATCCTTACCTCAGTTGGACGAATCAAGGCCCGATACGCATGAAACGTTGGTTCCACCTGTTCCACAGCAAAGAAGACGTATGAAGGTTTTGGTGAAAGTGAGCTTGATTGGGCCCGAGACCTTGATGGTCAAGACGAAGTTATGGGGGAGTGCATGGAGCAGAAAGATAATCCTGTCATCAGTGGAAAAGTGAGAGATAACTGAGTTTGCTATTCTTAGAACCTATCCATCGTCGCTGGGCCAGCGATAATGGTCTGGATGCGGCCTGTGGGGTTAATTGTCTGGGCCTGGTCTCCAGTTAGCCAGAAACCTTACATCAACGGCTTTTGATCGTGATGGCGAAGAAGAAATCTGTTCAGTGTAGTAGTATGCGTACCTTTGGCTACCATGGTAGGTACTTCGGTATATGTCAAACTGGGTATCTATTCCGATGCCATGCAATATGAGAGTACCTACTTATGGTACATACTGTAGGTGTAGGTGAGAATGAAGACATTCTATCCACTCACAACCCCGTGTAGATCTTTTGGGTGTTTCGTTTCATGGTGCCCACTCCTCGTTCTGTCCTTTGATACTACCAAATCTACGGCGTACTCCGTACCGACTACGGAGTACTGTAATATTGTGGCCCAAAGCGCCGAGAAAACCCCGGCTCGGGCAGGGAACCGAGGTCTGGCAGCTGGCAACTGGCAGATGCAGGCCCAATGTTAAGCATCGAGGTTTAGATAGACTGCGGGCATGCATACCTTTCATTGGGTGAGAGACTACTATCTCCGCCAGGTCGGGAGCCGATCCATGGATGCTGAGTTCGGGAGGTTGAAGGTTGAAGGTTGAAGGTCAAAGGTAACCTCCACGTATAGTTGACATGATTCAAAAATTGGAAAATATAAGTCAATAATACCAAAAATAATAAAGAATGTGCGAAAGGCGAAAGCGAAACGGACAGAAATGAGAAATAAAAAAAGGAGTATAGCACAGCCCTAGCAGGGTCCACGGGTCTGGGCCGCGTCCTTTTTTCGCCGCATCTTTTTCTTCTGTGAATTCCTCACTTCTTCTTTCCCAACGACACAAACTCTGTTCACTCTCGAAACCTGGCCGGTCCACGGTTTTCGATCCTCCCTCGATTTTCTCGATTCTATCACGCTTTCCCCTTTATCATAATGCGCCCGGCGTAGCCGTAACCTCTTGCTATCGCCTCCCCTTCTCTCCGTCTCGAACCCCAACCGCCCCTCCCCCTTTCCTCGCCGATCATCTGGAATCACAATCATGGGAGAGTCGCAGTCGCAGTCGCAGCCGCAGCCGCAGCCGCAGCGATCTGAGAACAGGCGCTCGCCACCTTCGGATTCTAGTGAATCCTCCTCCGTGGTCGCGTCCAACTCCGGAGCTGTTCCGGAACGGGTGGGAAAGGAGGACGTCATGATCACTCTCTCGCTCTCTCCTGAACCACCGGCACCCCCTCGGGCGCGATCTCCTTTGACCCGATCGCATTCACGCTCCCGGTCACTGGTGGGAATCCCCGGCATGCCATCGATGACGCGCGCCTACTCGTCTCCAGGGCTGGACTCCCGGGGTCGATATATCTTCGTCAACGGCCGCGGTTTGCCCGCGCATCCTCCCGCCGACGGCGTCAAACGACCCATGCCACTGCAGATGCGCGCGGACGATCATATCGAGACCCGTCTGGGCTCGCTGAACATCTCGGAGACCATCTCTGAGAATGCCGAACTCGACACTACTCCAAGATCGCCGTCCTCCCATACCAGCGGCTCTCCCGTCTTGATGCCGCAGACATTCCCTCGCATCGGCCGTATGCGCTCAACATCGCCCCTCCATTTCCAACATCCCATGAGCAGTCCGCCTCCGATTCATACCTCACCTCTTCTCGGCGGCAAATATAACGAGTCCTACCCGATCCATTCCTCCTCGTCCACCTCCTCTGTGCCCTCAACCCCCACCAGTCTACGCTCCCGAAGTCCCAGCATCTCGTCCCTGGAAACAATTCCCGACATCCCTGATGCAGAGGCAGAGGCTCTCGAGGACGAGGATCGAATTGCAGAGCTCAAGGCCGCGGCCGACGCGGCCGACGCGGCAAGCAACGCCAACCGCCGGCGCGGTACTTCCGATACCTCAAGCCCATCCAGTTCTTTTGGCATGGTCCGGGGTGGTTCCAGCGCATATGCACCGCGCAGTGATAAGCGGAAGCGATGGAGTGTCTGTGGTGCTGAGCGTCGTCAAGATCTTGACTTAGAGACCATCTGGGAAGATTGAGGTCGGACAACTCCAGCTGCATTACCTTCATTGATGCCTCTCAACACCTTCCCTGCACCGACATAATGCTCTCGCCATATGTCACAACTCGGCATCTCAGGAGTTTTGCCTTTTCCCATGGAATTGGTATTCTATTGAGTTCGATCCCGGGCTTTCTTCGCATCGCAAATTGGCTCATATGCCACTGTCTGCAATATCGACCCAACCCCCCTATCAGATGCACCAACTATCTGGTCAGTACATAACCACAGCATCATCATCGTCATCTTTTTCATCTTCTTCATTACACCCAGGAGTTTACTTCCGGTGGCGCATTATTCCCTTTTCTCGTTTTACCAGGTAGTACATGGGAAGGATGACGGGGCAACTGGCTCGGTGTTTTCCATATTATTATGCTGGTCATAATCTTTGCGTTTCTGGAGGTTCTGATGTTTTCTCCATCCATGATTTCTCTGCCTCTTTTTTGCTTTGCCTGATACCATCCAGTGTATTCCATTCACTGGTCTTTCCTTTTCTATCCCCAGGGACATCCCGAGTTTATGCTTGAATCGAAACAATCATGCCAATCTTAGGCAATTAAACATAGACTGCTGTGCAATTTTCTTAAAGCAAAAGAGGAGTATCCCACACTCTACTAAGTAAGCTGTAGACTGTCACACGGATCTGAATTTTCCATGATGTACTACTACATTTTGTCATCATGCAATCCACTATCGGATACTATATCCACGATATCCATTGCTAGCCCATGATCGTCGGATGACCTTGGGAAGGCCTGCGATCGCTAGAGCGAATCAGCCACGCCTAAGCGTCCCATAGATCCACCGACAGCCAATCACCCGCGCACAGGGATCCCCCGCCTTGAATCAACGACATCAACCACTTCGCTGGGGCCCATTCGCTTCCCACGGAAAGAAAATCAATGGTTCGGGCTGTTATCATTGAAAGATATATCCGAAGATTCTCATATCATACTGTTGGCTCCATCTGCCGCTTCCATACCATGGGAGCCAAAACTCACGTTGGTGTTGTGGGCTCGGGAATTTCAGGCTTACGCTGTGCCGATATCCTCATTCAGAATGGGGCCCGGGTGACTATTCTTGAGGCGAGAGATCGGATTGGTGGAAGGGTATGTTTGTATTCACCTGCTGCTTGGATTTTCTTGTGAATGATACCTCTTATACTTGAACTCTTGATGATTTGATGTTCTCTTATGGATCCGGGCTAAGCAGTCTTCCTTCTTAGGTACATCAAAATGGTCTTGCGGGTCATTTGGTAGATCTGTATGTATACGATACCTCTGGATTTCAGGCCCATACATCGTGAGGTCAGGTGGCTAACAAGAAGCAGGGGGCCTAATTGGATTCATGGCACGGGAGAAAATCCAATCATGTCCATCGCTGAGGCAACTCAGACTGTGGCCCATGATCCAGAAGGGAGAAACATTTCGATCTCCTGCGACGGACAACTAGTCAACGAAGAAAGAGCTACCAAGTCGGCAGAGTTTGTCTGGACAACTATCGAAGAAGCCTTCGAGTATAGCAATCAACATGGGGACAGCATTCCACCGGAACGGAGCCTATTCGACTTCATCCAGGAGAAATTGGAGAAAACCAACTTTTCTGATGAAGATAAAAGACTCTGTTTGGATTCTTGCAAGCTCTGGGGTGCTTACGTTGGGGATCCTATTGAAAGACAAAGTCTCAAGTTTTTCCGATTAGAAGAATGTATCGACGGGAGTACGTTGCTCCTATCACTTTTGGACACACAGCCATGTGCCCCCCATAACTACGGCCCTCGAGGATTTAACACGCTGACATGTCCCCCTTAGACAATTATTTTGTGGCATCGACCTACCAGCGCATCTTGCAACATGTTGCCAAAACAGCACTAGCCCAAGCCGATATTCGCTTCAAGCAACCCGTCATCAAAATCGAAACACCACCTAATGATGAGCAGGAACCGAGTCGGCATCAAGTTATTGTAACTACAGCTTCGGGGGAGATTCACACCTTTGATCAATTGGTTATTACTTGTCCCCTCGGCTGGCTAAAACGCAATACGGAATCCTTCAATCCACAGCTCCCAGCCCGTTTCCTCCAGGCAATCAACAACATCTCCTTCGGCCGTCTGGAGAAAATATTCGTCAAATTCCCCAACGCTTTCTGGCATAGCGAGTCAGAGTCAACGCAAACAACACAGGCGAACAATGCCCAATCCACTAACCCCGTCTTCGCTCAATTCCTCGAACCAACATATACATCCCATCCAAAAGATATCCAATGGAATCAAGAATGTCTCTCACTAGCGAACCTCCCAAGCCCCTGCGCCCAACCAATCCTCCTGTTCTACACCTACGGACCCTGCGGCACAAACATCGTTAACCAAATCGCCGACCTGGACGAAAACTCGTCAGAATACAAACAGATCCTGACGGATATCCTGAAACCCTTCTACTCAAAGCTTCCGGGGTATGATCCCTCCTCGCCTTCCTGCAAGCCGAGTTCTGTACTCGCTACGCGCTGGCAATTGGATCCCTACGCGGGGAATGGCTCGTATTGTAATTTCCAGGTTGGACTGGTAGCTGGTGATAAAGATATCGAGGTCTTGCGCTCCGGGGATGGAATCGGTGCTGAGCGTGGTATTTGGTTTGCCGGGGAGCATACGGCGCCGTTTGTGGCGTTGGGGACGACGACTGGTGCTTATTGGAGTGGGGAACGGGCTGCTGCTCAGGTTTGTGAAAGGATTGGATTGAGGAGCGTTGGGGTTGGAAGTTCGAGGGATGATTCCTTGCCTTCGGCTGGTAGGAAGTGAGTGTAAGTTGGGCCAGTACTTGTTAGGTCTTATGGCCGTGCACTAGCATTGAAAAGTGACTTGGTCGAGGGAATATTCGGTTCGCTTGCAGATGACTTTTTCTTTTCTACCGGATGTAATTTCTTTACTCAATTACTCTGGGATTCTTATAATGAACGAAATTCAAGTGGTCGTTAAGGTTTCATTCCAGGATTAGTTGATCTATACCGGGAGGTATTCCCGTTGTCAAGTCCTCGACAGCATTCTGCCCTTCCTCGGTCCAGTGGACTTCTTGACGGGGGATAATTAACAAGATCCAAACAGAAAGGTCCAAGTATCTGGCCAGGATCGAAAGGAGGATCAGAGATCTGCGAGGGCCGACGGAACTTGAAAACAAGGGATCATGTAGTTCACGTGACAGACAGATGTGGCGAAGAACCGCTTATAGGCTCACAGCCCAAAATCGTGACAGACAAGAGAAAGGGAAGGGGACCAAATACAGGAAGGCTGAACAAAAGAAAACAAAAAAGACCAAAAAGGTGTGTTTTTAAATGACATTGGCCAAGGACACTTTTCTGTACTGATGCCTTGTTCCCCCCACCCTCTCTCAAGGGTTACCTCCATGCCCCTTGGCTGAGGGACAGAAGACCCTGGACACAGTCCAGGTCGTCCTCTTGGCTGCCTCCAGGGCCACCTGTCATAAAGGCCGATACATCTGCACTCAATTCCCCGGGAGCTTTGCCTTGGGTTCCTGATGCGAATGGCCTGTTTCGTTTGCCGTTGGCTGATATGCCTAGTCCCCGATTGCGGTTGGCTTCCCGCAAGACAGGTCGTTGTGCATGAGAAGTTGTGCGGCGACGAACTGGGGTTGCTCGTGTGCCTGGGATCCAGTTCTCCTTATCAGAGTCGCCGGCGTCTAGTTCCAAGTCATGCTTGCCAGGTTTGGACGAAAGTGACTTAGAAAGCTTGGAAGATTGGTTTGAGGACCGGTTCCTTTCGGTCTCAAGTCTACCCATAGAGGAGACAGTACGTGAAAGTTTCCGCCTCTTCTCCCCCATCGCTTGTGAAATAGGTGTGCGGCTTGCATCTGCATGGATTGAGACAAAACTTTGTCTGCCTGATACACTTCGGGGTAGTGTGCGGTTGGAACGGGATTGGAAGAGACCGGGAGAGGCGTGAGCGTTGGGGGCGGTTTGAGAGGTGGTAGGTGTGGACAATGCACTTCGTGCATCTGTATCGAAAAATGATTCCCAGTTACGAGGATCACGAGATCGGCCAAAGGTTTGATCTTTCTCGGTCGTGCCCGCCCGCGGGGTGGCCGGGAAGATCGCACTGCTACTGCGGCGAAGGCCAGAGAGTTTTGTGCGGCGGACAGAGAACATCGCTGCCCGGTTCTTGGACGGTGACGGCTCATTCTCTGCCCGGATGACAGCCTTTCCATCCGACGACATGGCGATACGCAACGCGTTCCGACCCTTTGGCGGAGACGGTGTCATCTCATCCTCTTTCCGAACCATAGCCTCCCCGTCGAACGACATCGACAGCCGCAGCGAAGGAGGTGATTTGACCGGCGTCGTGTTCACCTCCTTCACTAACTGGTCGAGATTCTTTTCCCCTAGAATATCTTCCGTCGACCGTTTCCGTTTTGGTGCCTGCAACAAGGACTCCTCTTGGTTGTTTTGCTCGCTCATGCTTTGTCCTGAATCCAGTCCGTGAAATTCCTCTTGTGTGGTGGGCGGGGTATCCTCCATCGCCTCTGTCGCCACGCTCGTCTGTGTGCTCTGCGGCGGCAGTTCAGGCTCTTCTCTGTCACCAGTCACCGGCTCTGGGGTATCGGACAACTGCAACAAATCGCCACCCCATGATTTCGGTCGCGTTTCCTCGGGTCGGTCCTGACCCTCTGTCTGCTCCGCCCCACTCGAGAACCCTAGCTCCCCGGACGCGTTATCATCGCTAGGCAAAAGTCCGGACGAATCGGACATGCTTGATCGCGGCGCAAGCAGCTCGTGTGGTTGTAAGGGCTTCGATTTCCGACGGTCGTTCTGGCGGCGGTTCTGGAACCAGATCTGCAAGAATCAGTCATGCGGGTCACACGGTTAAAGAGAGAATTTTAGACCGTGAGGTCTTGGCATCACGTACCTGGACCTCTTTCTCGCCGAGCGAGACGCGATTCACAATCTCGGTTCGAGCCACCTTATCCGGCTTGGGATTCCTTTGATATTCCGCCTCTAGAATTGCATGGTCCTCAGGGCTGTACCGATGTGCCGATATTGGTTAATAACGACGCGTATTGGAGCTATCGGAGCTCGCGGGAGCCAACATACCTAGTTCGACGTCGTTTTTGACGAGCCAGAAGCTTGTTATCGACGCGAGGTGGCAGATTCTGAGTCAAGGTCTTCTGTGAGTGCACCAGAAATGCATAGTTGAGGAGATTGGAGTCGACGGCCGGCAGAGACGGTGAGGAAGAGGCGGCAACAGCCGAGCACTCCAAATCGGACATAATAAACTCTTGACTAGAAGAGCATGAATGGTAGAAAGAGAAAGAGGAAAATGAGAAATTTCCGACCGAAAACACCAACTGGACCAGAGAGAGAAGAAAAGGAAAGGTGAAATCCCAAAGGAGACGGGGCTGGTGCAGAGTAGAGTATGCAAATGCAAATGCAAATCGCGTCGCGATGCGGACGCGGAGGGTAGCAGGAACGTGGCCGCGCTAGTCTCGCCCGTCGTCTCCGAGGTACCTACTACTTACTATTCTATGCTCCTACCTGGTGGGAATTTAGTGGAGGATTCTACTTTCAATTAATCACCCTTGCTCCCAAGTCACTACTAATTTCACAGTATTGGCCCAAGTCCTGTTCTCGACCAGCTCAATCCCTCTGTTCGGACAATATGGACGCGCCGTGGAGTCGGAGGTAATTCGGGAGGTCCCCACTATACAACCTGGGCCCTCGCGTGTCCCACGTCACACTGCTGGAATGCTCGCGATTCCAGGGATCCCCAGGTCCCTCCTCGGGGTTTTTACGCCTGCCTCTGGTATCCAGCATTTCCCATGTCATCACTGACACCCAATTTCCATCTGCCTGGAAAGCCCCAAACGCGGTGTGACACGAACTCACGTGATTGATCAAATACACGTGACGTTGGCCTATTGTAGAGCTACAGTAAAGCCAACGTGGAATTTAAAAGGTTGAATCGTGTATAGAAATGTAGAGACGCGTCGAGGTGGATTATTTTTGGTCTAGTCAGAATTCTCAGACCCCAAATTTCGCTAGTAATCAATATTGCACCTGATATATCCTGCCAGTGCTTAAGTGGGTCCATTCAGATGAATCTATATCGAAAAGGAAACAAACAAATAAGCAAACTTGAAACTATCTAGGTACCTCCAGGCTTCAATCAAAGTTCAATATTCAGTAGTACTGACGCGTACCTAGGTAGCTACTATATCTTAGACTGCCTGTTCAGAGCAGCTATGCTTTCGACTATCTCTTTCCATTCCGGCTGGAAGCTAGACTTTTCCTTTCCAGACAACTCCTTCCAGCCATCAGCAACTCGAGCCTCATCCTCTTGCCAACGTTGGCGTTCTTGGCTAATCCAAGATGCCAGTGTTTGCGCAGTATCTGTCACCTTTTCTTGCGGTGCACAGTGGCCTGCTTCCTCAATTACCAAATATTGCACACGTCCAGACTCCAAGCCGCCACTACCGCCAAATCCAGTCCCTGTGAGTTTTGCGGCAGCCAAGTGCACACCTGTTTTGCCAAGCGCACTCTCTGAGGCACTCATGTATATCACGGAAGGTCTGATATGCGGGAGTAACTTGAATGCCAGAATCGATTCTTGCCGGTATGATTTTTGAATTGGCGATAACGGTCCCAAAACGTCGGGAAACAGGATGGGATCATGTGGCGGCCCGATTTCGCTAGAGTTGGGGTTCGTGTAAGTCTTCCCCTCCGGTGCTCCTAACTGGGTATGTCGCTTGGCATTTGGTCGAGTATACATCATCGTTTCTTGGTGCTTTGTGGTGGTCAATGTGACGGGACGTGTGCCGTTGGCCGGCTTTTCGGGATGTATGCACGTCGGTAAGTCTCGATACCCGAAAATCTTCCACAGCTCAAATACGCGAGGATCCCATGTCTTGAAAGCTTTGCCAGCCTTTTCGACAGCAGCCTCTCGAGATGGCCATGCGTCGCGTTTCTTCATCGACATGTACACAAGCATTGGACCACCGCCAGCGAGAGGGTCGTCGGTCATGTACGGTTCGATCAGTGCTAGGGATGTAAAAAGTCGTGGATGGAAAAGAGACGCAAATAGCCTATGGAATTGCTCGTTGGTATCAACAGAACGCGTGATCCACGATCTAAAGACACTTACAGTTGCGTGGCGCCTGAGACTATGGCCCACACCCACAATGGGCCGTGGCATCTGGTCGCGAAAATGATTGATCATGTGAATTACATCGCGGCTATTATCGTACCAGGATGCTTTGATAGATCAGCGCTGCCAAAATTGCGCATCAAGTCGTCCCACTTACGATCATTTCCTAGATTTCGCTCATTGAGAACGCCGCTGGCGCCCTGGTTTGTAGCATCCGCTATCCAGATCGAACGAATTCGAGCCCCGTGTTTGCTGGAACTAGCTAGCAAATCTTCCCAAAGGGGCTCATATAGTTCCTATAACAGCAATTTAGTCGATTTACCCCTTTTCAAAAATCTTTTTGCTCACTGAAAGAACTCGAAATCACCTTGGGAAATCCAGTTCCATGAGTAGCTATGATTGTGACATCCCCTGGCTTGGGTGTTGGGTTGTCTAAAGGCGTGTATTGCTTGATACAAAGCTTCAAAGGTGCATCGGGAGTAGCCGTAGCTCGAGGGTACTCTCGAACGTGTTGTCCATCGATAACATGTTCGGTGATATGGAACGAAGCACGCATATTGGAGCGTGTTTAGAACTCACCAAATAGCGGTCTATGGTGAAGTTGAGGTCGCGGGAAGAGATTATGAATCACCACCGGGTAATGCAAGGGGGATCGCTTTGACGGGAAGCTGGTCAATGACCTAAGGATCTGCGAGTTCGTAGAATTTTCTCAGTCTATGTATCTAGTGCTCCGTCTGAACACGGGAATCGTCGGTGTGGATCATTATTTTATCACGCAGTGGAGCAATCCTTAAGTTCCGGTGGAGATGAGATCTGAGGTGGGCCATGCCACCTGGATACTTTCAGTATGAGACAAGACATACCCCTGGAATGCGATCGAAAAATTTAAAGAATAATCGATTAAATCTTACAGATTTTGCCCTAGCCAGTAACTATACACGAATATAAAGCCCCCAGGAAATGGCGGCCATCTCGGTAGAAGCAAACAAGCATCTTAGTATGTATCCGTTCGGGTGAGTGAAGAGCGATAGGGTCGATTCCAGCAGAACACATACTAGTATGTGACCTGAGAAAGTTGAGAGATCTTGTTATCTTCCCAAAGGTTGTTTCGACTACTAGTATGTTAGATGACCATGCTACATAGTATGAAGTAACCAGGCAGACTTTAAGGCAACCGAGCCCCTGCTGATGCAGATTGGAACCTTGGTGAGCCACTGGCAGTCTTAAAGGAGAGCTTCAGGGGAAGGAGGGCAGTAGTGTCAAACCGGCCACATCAATCCTTTTTGCAAGTCTGGCCCGTACGGCGCTGTATAGCCGCAGTTGAGCCAGAGTTTGGATTAGGTTAACCTGATCCTAAAAGTTTGGCATCTCGTTCAAGGTTAACGACCGATCATTACTTTATGAGAGATGAACGTTGCGCATGTGTGCTTCGGGCGTGGCTACAGAGTAATCTTGGTAAGATCTACGGAGTACGGTTAATTTCCTCCGACTCGAATCTCCCAGGTTCAACTTTTTGTTTTGACTTGGGCTGAACGTCACCATAAGCCTGCCCACAGTGGCGGCTGTTGACTGTCGTACCCACCGCCAATAGGATCTACCTTCGGATGGTTTCCGTAGGCGGAATCGAGCTGAGCGGCCTTAAAAGCTCTGTGGATAAATTGTCTCGGTCTGGATCGGGGCCATATGTTACCTAGTCTAGTCTGTCCGGTGTCCTGCTGTGTTCAGTCTGCGATCGTGAGATCGTAGCTCAGATAAAAGGCGGAACCAGGTCCCACATGCTCCACACATCTATTGGCAATTATGCAATTTGGCTGGGAACTTGGCCATCTAATATTATGGAGGGTCTTATCTTTCATTATTTGATTGGGCTGATGGCGGATAAGGCGTCCATATTCACGCTTGCGAATGTAGATCTGATGGACACGTCGATCCCTCCGGCGATCTTCGGGGCTGATAGTGTCGAGCCCTAAGGTTTTGTCGAACGGCCTGCTCGCTGACGATAGACAATTATATGAATACAAATTCCGTGCATAGATAACACATATCCAAAGAAGCAAATACATCCTACTGGTCACATACTCCTAGGCTTCGATTACCGCCAAAATCTACAACATTACGTTCAATGGGGTTGAAAATTGCTGCGGTCGCGGCCATTTCTTTGCTGTTATACGTGAGCTTGAAACGAAATCATGTGTTTTCAGTGCTGACAGTCTATGATAGACTATTGCACTTGTCGTCTATCGCTTGTTCTTTCCTCCGCTGGCGAAATACCCTGGTCCTCGCTTGGCAGCCATAACGCATTGGTATACGGCCTACTATGCCTGGAATGGAGACTTTCACATCGTTAGCCGAGAGTGGCATACCACCTATGGGTTGAAAGATTTTTCACTTGCAGTGAAAAACAATCGTGGCTGATCTTTAAAATAGGAAATATTGTCTGATTCGCCCCGAATGCCCTCACTTTCAACACCCACACCGGGATGGACGCGAGTTATGGCGTTAGAGCAAACGTGATCAAGTCAGAGGGCTATAGCTCGCTTAGCGCCAGTCGACATACCCCCGATATCAATCCTACTTTCAGTGCTTCTATTCCATCTGACTCTTATAATGTTATAGGTGCGGATACAACTGCCACTGCAATGAGTGGTACGGTACATTCTTCTTTCTGGCCCACAAAACCGACCTTCTTCAACCGATTGACAAAGGAGATTCGCACCACTTTTGCCAACGAAGAAGAAATCCGCACAGGGGACCTACTCAACTCGTGTAAGCTTTTGCAAGCATGTATCAATGGAACAATGCGACTTACTCCGCCTGTTGCCACTACGATCCCGCGAACCGTGTTGAGCGGAGGCTTGGTGGTCGATCAAGAACTTATCCCTGAGGGGACCATGGTCGGTACAACGACTTACGCCATCCAGCGGAATGCGAGCTATTTCCAATCTCCAGACGAGTACTGCCCAGATAGATGGATAGTTAATCCAGAGATGGGGGTAGACGAGGAAAGCATCAAAATTGCCAATCAGGCATTTTGTCCATTTAGCATTGGAGCGCGCTCTTGCGTGGGGTGGAAACTTGCTTGGACCGAGCTAGATGTACCATTTCTCGGGTCCTGTTTCGATATGATATGCGGTTGGCACCTGACTCTCGATGCTGCGGCGGAAAACGTGATGATTGTGCCTTTAGATTGAAAGGTTGGGTAACCTCGGCGGTGGAAGGGCCTTGGGTGCAGTTCCGATCTCGGACTTGAAAAGCTACTCATGTTGTGATGAAAAAGCAGACTAGCAAAGGTTATTTTTATTTTATTTTGATAGAGAAAAAAAACATTGAATTATTGATTTCACCTAATTTGAGCTTCGTGAGGTAAAGTACTTCAGAAACCAGACAGAGAGGAGAATCTACGGCACCTGGGTATTCCGCTCTCCTGCAACCCAAGAACGCTAAGAAAGGTGTATACCAAGCCACAGAATGTCAAAATAATTAATCCGGGGAATGCTGATACAATAGAAGACTTCTGGCAGGTTCTGTCGGGCCCCTAAGCGAGCAGCACTCTATTCTAGACACGGGCAAACGGATGCGGGGGATGCCGTCGGCACACCGGGGAACCCATCGGGCTACAGCGGGCCGTGATAGGCTGGACACTCGGCTCGTGGAGATGAATAGAAGCTTGGAAGACACTCACGCCACTGTCACCCCCGGATTTTCCCCTCGCTTCTTCTTCACCCCCCCTGTCATTATTCAGAGACTTGCGCCCGTTGCCCCGCTTTTTGGTAATCAATGCACCTCGCGCAATAAAAGGGGCCTACAGGACGGGTCGCCATTCTGTATACCATGTAGAGCCCGTCTGTGTTGAGTTTGACGACGCTGTTCCCCCCTCTTCCAAGGTGGTGACCATATAATATTATTGTGGGCATACGATATTTACCCCTTACCCGCCATGGGTCGACCTTTTACCATCTTTGTGGCCTGTCTAGCTGCCACCGGCTCATTCCTGTTCGGCTATGACAGTGGAGTCATGACAGATGTGATCGAGTCACCGAATTTCCTCGCATACTTCCGAACCACGCAGACATCTGCGATCATCGGAGCAATCAATAGTACTTTCTCAGGCGGAGGTAGAAGATCCACACAAGACAAGCACTTTAGGAAGGGAAACAGTATTCGCTGACCGTCGTCAACAGCTGTCATCGGGTCCTTGCAAGGTGGCCTCACCATGGATCGCTTTGGTCGCAAAATTACCATCCAGATAGGAGCCTGCATTTGCCTCGTAGGTGCAATCCTGCAGGCATCTGCACAGAATCTCTCAATGATCCTGGTTGGCCGCATCCTGGCTGGGTGGGCTGTCGGACTCATGTCCATGTCCGTACCAGTCTACCAAGCCGAGCTTGCGCATCCGAATTCTCGAGGCATGATAGTTGGACTAGCACAACAAATGATTGGGATTGGATTTATCGTTAGCACGTATGCTTTCCCGGACGCTATCCGGCATTTAAAAACGATTGCCAACATTTACTAATTCAATGGGAACCATAGGTGGATCGGGTACGGGTCCCTGCATGCCCCCGCAACCAGCCAGTTCCAATGGAGGTTTCCTCTCGCCTTTCAGGTCGTACCGGCTCTAATTCTGGTAATCGGCATGATCTTTCTTCCCGAGTCGCCGCGATATCTCATCGAGAAAGAGCGTTATGTCGAGGCCATGCGCGTACTGCGAAAGTTACACTTCGATGGGACAAACGAAGATTGGATCGAGGCTGAATTTAGTGAGATTCGTCGCACCATTGATGCTGAGAAGAGTGTTGCAGTGCAAGGGTGGAGCGCTTTGTTTACGGTTCCGCAATGGCGTACTCGCATGTTGTATGTGCAGCCCCCTCCCTCCTTTGCCTACAATGCCCCCACGCCAACCATGAACATTGGGGCTAACTGACTATTTTTCCAGGCACGGTCTCGCTGTCCAGGTGTTTACCCAAATGACAGGCATTAATGTGATTGGGTACTACCAAACAATCATGTACAGGGCTCTGGGCATCACCGGGAATCGGAACACGCTGGTGGCAGGCTTATACAACTGCGTGGGCCCAATCACCAACCTCATATTCGTGGTATTTTTCCTCGATCGAGTTGGTCGTCGGCGACCGATGCTTTTTGGCAGCGTGGCTATCTCTCTCGCGCTGATCTGCGAGGCGGCACTGAACTCTCAAAATCCGGATGGTCAACGCATTGGATACAGCATCGGCGGTGTGTTCTTCTTGTTCGCCGTATCGGTAATATTTTCAATGTCATTTGGGCCTTGTAGCTGGTAAGTCTCGCGCTTTTTCCCCCCTCATTCCGAGTCCCCGAACTTTTTCAAGAGGACCTGGGAGACTGATCATTTAACAGGGTCTATATGGCCGAGGTTATGCCTATGCAAATCCGTGGGAAGGGCAATGCTTTTGCTGTCGCCTTTGGGAACTGGGCAGTCAGCACACTTTGGAATCAAGTATCGCCCATCGCTTTGGGCAAGATCCAGTGGAAATTTTATTTTATTTTTGTGGCGTGGAGTGAGTTGTCGATTCGGCCCCCCTGAAAGTTGTCTCCCAAAGCTGACCCGTTGATCTTACGTAGACCTGTGCGTGTCGTTTCCCGTGATATATTTCTTCTTCCCAGAAACCAAGCAGAAGACGTTGGAGGAAATCGACCTGTTGTTTGGGCAGCGCGTGTTAGAGGCAACGCCCGATGGGCCGGTGCAGACGGAGAAGGAAGAGGGGGTCTCGGCGACGAATGTAGAGAACATGGCGATCCACTAGACACGGCTTGGAAGTTAGCTGTTAGCTGTCAGCTGAATAGAACTTGAACCAAGGTATCCATTAAAAGTAAAGTAAAGTTAAGTGGAGAGTGTAGAGTGGAGATTGGAGAGAGTAGAAAGCGGGGGTGGAGTACTCCGCGTACGGAGTATACACTCTTCTGCATACACTCTGCTCGAATCAAAACACCCCGGCAGGTCGTACAGACTAAGGAATTAAAACCGTCAACTTCCCTCCACATGACCAGCTTTGGTTCCACAACGGAAAGATTAATAGGGAAGAAAGACGCAAAAAAATGGACAATTCAGCCGATCAGCATTCCCAGCCGCTCACACCTTGGCCCGCCCATCCCTTTGGGCGCCACACACCGCGATTGGCTCTAGGATCCCCTCACAACAGGCCATGATCGCATCGCACAGTCGTTGCTTCAGTAGATCTTCTTCCCCCCGCTTTGGTCGATCATCTTTCCCCTGCGGGCAGGAGGAGCTCTTTTATCTAAGGGCTGCGCAGGGTTTCCCAAGTTTTCCTGTCTGATACCCCGAGCCGCACGGGGTGCTGGCTTTACTTGTTCAGGTGCGTGTGTCTCTCGTTCGCCCCTTCGAGAACTTCATTGAACTGGGATCCTGGATTCTTGTGGGAATGAATCAACTAGGGTGTCATGATCCACTAACCTGACGACTGTCGCGCGACAGGACACATCCACCCCGGCAAGAAAGATGGGAGACGACCATAGCCTCAAGACGAGCCATATGGCCATCGTCCTAGGGATTGGCCTCGGTGTGGTGATGCTTATTGTGCTCAGTTTGCTGTGAGTATCACTTTTTCTTTGAAAGGTGATGGAGAATCAGAATCGGGGGGGGGGGGATCTCCTGATCCTTGTCATCCTACTGTACAGACATTGTCTCGTTGATTACGATTCCCCAGATCGTGTCACAAGAATCCCTTGTGCTAACTCCAGCGCACCCAGTCTGACAATCGTCGTCAACCGCCGCGATCGTCAGTCATCAATGCGCCAGAGGAAGAATCCGGACGAAAGATTGCGCAATTTGGATGCTGTCTCGCCCACCCGCACACTAGAGCAGTGGTGGACCAATACAAAAGGCAAAATGGGACTTTCCGAGGCCGTTGACGGGCAATTTGTTTGGTGGGATCAAATACTCTTCCTCTTTATTCCAAGTTTATGAACTCGCAGCAGTGCTAACGCTGGCCCCAAGTGCCGTCTGTCTGGAACAGGTAGACCGCTCCGAAGAAATCAGAGAGTTGAAATGCCTACACGTCTTCCACCGAGAATGTTTGGAAAAATGGTACCTTGGCGATCATTACAACTGCCCTTTATGCCATCGACCCTATTTTGTGGCAGACAACCCCCCAAGAAACGACTATGTGTGGATGGTATGACATGATGAATGATCTAATGATCCCGGCGTTGGTGTTTGGCTTCGGAAGGGTGGCAGGTGGGCTGAAATCCATAATGGCATGCGGCCTCATTTATTTTCCATATTTGCCAGGCGCGAACTACATTCCCCCCAATGATTATGATTATATGATTGAAGATGACTACGCGTACAATTATGGCGTAAATCATCCTCACTGCACAAACGCATCTGTTGCGGAAAAATACTCCGTGTTGAAATCCCAGGCGTTGGAATTCGACCAGTCAAGAAAGCTGGACAGACCGGAAGTAACATCATGCACCATTTCTGCGGGGACGGGCTGCGGGTCGAGCAATTGGTCGAGGATTCGCGACAGCTTCTTCTCGGCCTCCTTACATGCCTGGTGGTTTCCATGGCCCGGCCGTGACACCCAGGACAGAACTGATATAAAGACGCTTAAGTTCCGAATGAGTTCAGATCGAGGAAGCTCCACATTATGCGGGCCAGGGTTGTGGGACTGGTGTAATAGTTCCAGTAGAAGAACACTAGCAGCGGGAAGACCATATGAGAGGGCCTAAATTGGTTATTAAAAGGGGACTGATATCTTGCGCAATGCGGTGTGAACAGGGGAAGAACTTACTATCCAAGAATAATGTCTGTCGAGGTCTACCATGGGGTGGCGCGCCGAGGTAAGGTTGATTACAATAGCCAGTGTTTGACGTGAAATATCACAAAGTTCCTCTTGCCCAGTGTTCGTGTACTTTATCAAGGTCCTCTGGAGCAAGAAGCATGTGTAGAGGTAGTTGAGATACATGTAGACTATTGTCAGAAAGGCGTCGTGAAAATCATCGTTCTTTCGGCGATCATAACGAATTTGATCTGGAGTAGACTCCCAAACATCGCATATCTTTTCCTTGATCTCCCTGTCAAGTGACATAAGATGTCAGTTCAATTTTATCTCAATGCAAGTTCAGGAAAGCCTTACTGTGTTTTCTGTACCAGATCCTGCGGTTGATCAGTTCCAAGCGCCAGCTCAAGAGTTTGTTCTCTGCAAATTGCCATTTTGAATCGTAGTAGTGAAGGAGTTATTCGGTAGCGAGCTCCATGAGTATTCCATCCATTGCCGTCAAGCTCCGAAATCGCTTTGTTTAGAGCGTCACCCCCTTCGATGATAACATCATCACTCAAGTCTAAAGGGGGCACCATCGTACAATAACGATAGTTTATTAGAGGTGGTCGACCAAAAAAGCTGGCTTGCATTTTGTCCAGGTAGAAGACAGAGATGAAACAGCCCTTTCGCCACTGGCGCAAAAAGAATGGGCGGGTATGCTCCTCCCCATCTGTATGAAGACCGACAGCATATACCGTGGCAACTAGGTCACCTACACGACGCCACGCTTGATAGTCTATATGAATTTCGTTAGCGATGGAAAGATAGAGGAACGAGCATCAAATGACCTACTTGAATCTCCGTATTGTTGAGTCCGTAGCATGATATCATTGTACTGAAGATAGGCTAGAATTTCATTGGCCGAGGAAGCTTCATCGCAATAGTTGATGCAAATAGTGGTAGCCACGACGACTTGCTCCAGAAGATGGTCTTTTGCCTGGGGTCATCTGATCCTTGGGAGAATTCAGGGTCATTGTCTGGGGTCACCACCAGTTGCTGACCGAATATCGAAAAAAGATTGCCGATAGGCTCCCAGCGAAGATTTTCTCCGGTGAAGGAGTCACAGTATTCTTTTACACTCATTGATGGGTGAGAAGTCATTGGTCGTGAAGTATTTCGAAATATTTGGGTGGCGAGCTTTTGCAGCCGAGGCATTAAATTATGACCATCGAATTCGTCGAAAGTTCTTTCAATCGACGCCAGCGTAGCTCTTACAAGAACCTCCGGAGCGATAGCATTGCATGTTCGAAGATGAAATTGATTCAATAATTTTTGCCGGTGTTTGAAGCTGTAGAGGAACAGCAGGACCTCCGCTCCGGACTGGACGCGGTCAGGCGCCACTGTCAAAACGGGGCAGGGATCGGGGTGGTCCTCGGGTTCGAAGGGGATCTCATTGCGATGCTCAGTCAGAACTGCAGTGAAACTTGTAGAGCCCAAATAGCCCGGAAGAGCCGAATGGGGTTCCGGGAGCGGGGGCGCAAAGATGCGTCCGCTACCTAATGAGCCGGGACTCGAAGCACTATGTGGTTGTTAGGCTGTGAAGTGATATTTGGACGAACAGATAGCATTCTTACTTGGAAGTTGGCTGGCTTGTTAATCGACTAGAGGAGACGGGCGGTGGATTGGTCTGGTCTGATGTCCGCTTGCTCATCGGGGCAGGATGATAAAAGCATTGGCCGTCGATGCGCTTCCCCGCACACCTGCGGCAAACGGGCCTCTCATGGCCACAACGCTGCTTCGACCGTCGACAGGGCTCACAAGATTGAGGTGCCCCATTCCGGCGGGTCGCAGGCAAATATGAGCGCCGATCATCGTTCCTCATCTCATCGGAAAGTTTTCGCTGGAGAGAGTTGAGAGTTGCGGGCAGAAAAAAGGCCGGTCATATCCCAAAGCGGTTAGCGTCGCGTCTATAGTAGGCGATGGCGATTAGAGATGACCTTAGCCTCGTATAGATTGATAGGACACGCGCGAAGTTGGATGTTTCACAAAAATCAAAGATTATCACAATATTCACAGCGGCCTCATGGTCTGACAGCTGATGCCGAGCAGTTGGTGGGTCCTACCAATGGTGTCTTTGGACCTGAGCCTTTAGACCCTCGGCTAATTGCCCCGAACTGTCATATTTTTGCCATTTGAGAACGTAAGGGGGCCATCTCGAAGTAGCATGATCAGTGTTTTTTTCTCCGGTGTACTGAGTACTCCCTGGTGGTTAATAGCTAATGACTTAGTAGATGCACATCAATTAATCGAAGTGTTCGCTGGTCTGACATGGTATGTCACACCAAACACAGAGTTATCAACAACTCGGTTTAACTACTCCGTACTAATAACCAATACTACTCAGGTACTTCCTTAGACACTGAATCATTGACCGTAGTGTGTTCCCATATGCTCTATATCTATACTCTGTACATTCTTCCTCGGTCTCACGGGAAGACACATAGGGTAATTACGGCTTTGGCTCGGGGCACGGCCGAGCGAAAACCTTGGGCGAGGCGTCTTAGGCTCGAGCTTATTTGACTTGCCATCTCATCTTACATTCCCACTTATCCACTTGCCCACCGCCAGATGGCCATTCCTAGGCTGACGGCACCAGTCTGCATGGTGTCGGTCTCCAATGGCAAGAAATGAACGCCCACTTACGTCCGTAGGCAACTTCATGTCTTATCCACCAGCACTTCCCGTCCTTTAAGCCAAGCCACCAACAGACCAAGCGCCTCCAAGAACCACCGTTTAAACTCGAGGGCAGCTTGGCATCACTTAATGGCATCTCCATTGGCTCGCTTCGGCGGGTCGTCAGTTTTCAGGGTCCAAACTCAATGCCCAGAGAGCCTTCTTGACAGATTTTCCTCCCGTTATTCTATTAATATGCCCGGCTTTGGAACATTTTTCCCATCCCACGCGCATCTGCACGGGCCAAAGGAATTGTTACGTCAAACTTGTGCGGGACAAACAACCGTTGGATCGCTAGAGCCCCATTCGACTGCTTCTTCCGGACCCATTTTTGGTGCTGAGAAGGCATTTGCTGGCTATTTCAGCCGCTAAGGAACTGCCTTTTCCGTTTCTTACTCTTTGAATACCCACGTCGCATTCTTGCTAGTAGCGACGTGAAGATCTCTGCCCCCCTCGCACGATGATCTTCAGTCACGGCTGAAGAAACCGAGATTGAGACACGAACGAGAGGCTACTCCTACTGAGCTGTACAATAACTTCCCTCTAGGAATGTCAAGTACAGCCTCCTGGTGGCTCTCCTGAATATGGTTGGCGTCCCAAAAAGTAAAGGATGCCAGACTTGCATCCAACGACGAGTGAAGGTAGGTCTTGAGCCCTTATCTGCTTACCGTTACCCTAACCATGGGCATTACCTTCCTTAAGGTACTACCAAGGTAGTATTCCTGACGGTCACCGTCCACTTATCAACAATCATCTAACATGCTCACACCAGTGTAATCTAGCCCGCCCAGAATGCACCCAATGCCAAAGATATGGCGTGGACTGCCCAGGATACGCAAAGTCTCATAAATTCATGGACGAAGGCGAAAAGCTTCATCAACGATTCGGGAAGAGACGAAGTAACCCCACCACCTTACCTCCCACATCGATTGACGAGCGCATCGTACCATCTCTCGCAGCCCGCTCGACAGATAAGCAACAACCCGTCATATTCGGCTCCTTCGTTCTCTCCGCTTTTACACGTTGGTTTGGACTCAATAAATACCGAGTTCACGTTCCATGGACACAATACGTCGCCCAGCATATAGGCCAGAGCCCCGCGTTCGATGCCGCCGTCTACTGTGTCAACTCAATGCACATGGGCCATGTGCATAAGGATACGAGGCTTCAACGCTCTAGCCGCGAGGTATACAGCAAGGCACTGCGGCTATTTGGAGATCGAATCTGCGACCCTGATTCGATGAAATCCTCCGAGAGTGTCAGCATCACCATCGTACTCAGTCTGTTTGAAGCATACTCCCGCACAGCTTCAGACTCCTGGACCCGCCATGCCGCCGGTACGGCCCTGCTCATGGCCCATCGTGGCCCTGCTGCCCATCTTACCGGTTTCGATCGTTGCCTGTACCTATCCTTCCGCAGCTTCCTCGTTGCCGAGGCCTTCGTCAATGGCCGACGGTGTATCTTTGAGAAACCAGAGTGGCAGGCACATATTGACCAAGTGAGATGGGAGGATATGGCTTCTCCACGGGTTGATGAGCCTATTGCATTATTTATCGATCTACAAGACCGTATCTTTATGGAAGTCTCCAAGGTGCCCGGTCTTCTATACCAGGCGCGCAGACTGCATACTATCCCAGATTCACAGAGAGCAGCTCGCCGACTAGCAACCCAAGTACAGTGCAGTGACCAGGCACTGCGTGCCCTTTCCGCACAGTTACGTCTAGCCGCGACGGTGGAGAGCTATGAGTGTCTCAACGACGCATCCACCGACAACCGTGAGAAGGCTGCTTTCATCGGGCCCATCCCATCCACCTTCCCGCAGGAATTTGCCAATAGTGTCCTACGTGGCACCGATAATTGTTCACATATACTTCGACTCCTGCTCGATTTTCTCGAAAGTGATGAAGTGCAGAACTTGACACCTAGTCCGGAGAGTAAAACGGAGACTGAAATTTCGGATCCTTTGCCCTTCTGCTTCGTCTCAAAATTGGCTTTGCATGTAGATGCGAACTCGGGGTCGTCGGGTCAAGAGCGAAATCTGCCCCCTCCAGAAAAATGGCTCGACTTGGTGGCTGCGTCGATGGGACTGGAGGCATTCGAAGTGGTCACATGCGCGATTGAGACGCCTGGGTCGGCCGAAAGTGTGGAACATCCGGGGTCGTGGAGTGGGACTGTCATGTTACGATGATACGGAGCTGGAAAATACAAACTCCAAGCCATGTCATAGATTGAATAATAGAAGAGAGAGAGAGGACTGGCCTTTGCCGCGGTATCCTCCTCTCAAGTTAACGAGATCATGATCTACTTTTCGAAAAAAAGATATACAATTACGAATGAAGTTGAGCGAATTCGTGAGATCAAATTGTCGTATCGCCGTAGAACTGACAAAAAGCAATTCGTAACAGAACACCATACCATGGGCGAGAAAATAGCGAAACGATTGAGAAGAAGGCAAGTTGATCGGAATATACAACAAAGCAGAACCTGCAATCTTTCAAGTGATTCAGCCATTGACGCATCAACAGTCGTGCGACCAAAAACGCCGTGCGGAACATGCCCAGAACCCATCCCACGCCAGAAAAATCCGAAGATAAAAATCGAAAGCAACAGAACAAAGAGGTGAAACATTAAAGCATTTGAATGCAGAAAAGAAATGGGGTATGCACAAGGTTTCCCAGTGGGAACGAAGAAGAATAGTAGTAGGCGAGGCCGCAACACAGCTGCGGAGAATGCACAGAGCTAGAGACAGACACCATTACTGGACAGTGCGAGCAACACGGTTGGGGCTAGAGGTGCTACCAACCCGGCCACTGGGCTTGCGCACACCTCGTGATTCACTCTTGTTGCTGTCTGTTGCCCGCTGGGGCTGGAGCGAACCTTGCTGACCGAGATCGGACCATTGGCACTCTTTCGGCTAGAGGGGGGTTTTGGGAGCGCCGGTCTCAACCCAGTTTTCGCGGTCCTCATGAATATCATCAGTTAATGTGTAGCTAGCAGTGACGGTTGCCGAGTAGCTGATAGACCGCGAGGTCGGTGATGCAACTGGGGATCGCGATGCTCGTTGCTTGGCGAGCATGCGTAATTGAATCTCTTCGTCGCTTTCGCTGCTTTCATTGCTCAGGCGGTGGCCGCGATGGCTTCGGTCTCCATTCTGTTCAACCGCGAGAGAACCCGATGCGGTCCTGGAGTAAGGGTGGTGTCGGGAGTCTTTGCGGTGGGATTTGCGAGGCTGACCGGGGGTAGGAGCAGGAAGGTTTTCCTCGTGCTGGCTAGCCGCGCCTTCATTGTGATCAATCTCACCCAGGGCCGCGCGCTTAGAGTGGCTGTTATTGGGAGGAGTGGCCACCTGACCATTGCTGGGACGCTTCTTATTCGAAACCCGAGCAGGAGTAGCCGGGGTAGACAGGGCAAGCTTTTCCTTCATGCTGTCCTCGAACCACCACTCTCGGAAAGCCATCTGGTTCAAATGAAGCCAGTGTTGTTGGGGGCCCACAACCATACCGGGACGCATGAAACGCATGAAAGCAATGACCTCATTGGCAGTGAAGCCATAGCGGTAAATTAGATAGGCACCGATCAAGCAGCCAGTGCGACCGAGTCCAGCCTTGCAGTGCACGGCAATTCCCTTCTTCTTGATGGTGATCATGTCATGGGCCATCTTGATAAACTTGCGGACCAGCTGAAGAGGAGGGCATGTGCCATCCTCGAAGATCATGTCGATGTGCGAAATTCCCATGGCGGTAAAATGTGAGGGGCTATAAAGTTCGGAGTTCAGTCGCACCACGAGGCCAATGTTGCGAGAAGAGAAATGGGCGAGAACATTCTTGAAAGGAAGAGGGAGTTTAGACGAAAACACTTCGGAAATGGTTGATGGGAGCGCATCGTATTCGGGGGTGTTCATAGGAACAAGCGCGATGGGTTGGTGTTGTGGGGAGGCGAAGGCGAGGAAGTCTTGAGTGACCCAGTTAAAATCGCCCATATCAACTCGCTCGAACTTCTCGTATCTATGCCAAATATTAGTACGGGTCATGCTATAAGAGGCTGGCGGGAATCGAGAACATACTCTTCGAGATTGAAATCGCGCAGGCCACACAGACCCTGCTCCTTAGCCTTCCACACACCATAGACCACATCTTGAATGTTCAGGATGAAGTCTGCCTGGCTGTAACCAGCGTCGCGGAAGGGCATATAAGGAGGGTCAGCCTGCGCAATGGGCGCCAGAGCCAAGTGAGGCGGCCATGATTGAATCAGTACCATGTAGCAGGCTACAAGGCAGGCCGCGTTGGCACGGCTGCGTGCGTCTGTTTTGCTATGAAACACAACTGGGCGATCACTGTTCGCTGGGTCTCCGAGGATCTCGTGGAACATCACAGCGAAGCGGTACAGGTGACCAATGTGGAGAGGACCGAAATCAGCATGAAAGGCATTGTACAGGAGGGTGTCGTCGACCGTGAAGTACACAGGGGATCGGCGCTTGCTCGTCGGCGTAGTAGGCTGGACCCTGGCCGATCGCTTGCTTGGAGACTTGGCTGAATCGAGTGGGAAAGGGAAAGGCGTTCTTGAGGATGGTGCCGAGTCATAAGAGCCCAGGTAAAGGCGGTCTGTTGTTGTGATGCGTTGTTAGACCCCGCTTGAAGCCGCACAGTAAATCAAAGACAATCTCAGCGCAATGCGACGAACCTTGGATGTACTCGATCATCTGACCTCCGCGACCAGTGTCAACTGTCATTTTGTTCTCACGGTCTGCTTGTCGGAACTGCAGGTATAAGAGATTCGGGGGGAAAAAAGGTCACGGCGAAAGCTTGGATCACAGTAGGGATAAATAATGATCAGATCTGTGAGCGCAGGCCAGGACAATTGCTGCGATTGGAATCGCAGGTCGTCGACAATGAAAGATGGAAGATCTCAAACGCTCATGGTCTGATGGATCGGAGGTGCGCGAGTTGGATGATTGTGGTGGGAGAATGGGAAGCCTCTAAAGGATGAAGATAAGAATAGAGAGGAGAGTATGAAGAGAAGAGATGAGAAGAAGTCAAAGTCCAGCTGTACAGGACGAGAGATGGGGAAGAGGGGTGGGATATGGAAAACAAAGAAGAATCTCATATGGGCAGCTGCCATGCCACGCTAAGCCGATGTTATGTTTGGCCTGGACCGTGCGTGTCCATTTGGGGGTTAGCGCAGGCCGTTGGCTCGACAACAGCGGCCCGTTGAGTCTGTTTCTGCCTTGATGTCTGGAATCCCAGGCCTTAAGGCATCAATACCATTGACATCTTAGTCATCCAGCAGGGAACAACAAATATTGCTATTGTATGTACGGAGTACCCTACCTACTCCATACTTCCAAGTTCACCGGGGTAACTGCAATAACTGAATATTCATCTTGAATTATTCATATTGCTACCAAGTTCCAATTGCTTCTAAAATCTCAGTCTGGAATCACGGGGATTTCGTACCAGATCCTTGCCGGTCTCCGTCTCTGTCTGCGTCTCCGCATTGGAGACGCCTGAAAGGGGCAACCCAGGCATAGTATGAACATTCCGTATGACCACCAAAGAATTGTCGTAGTGTTGTTGTTTGGCGCCTCGGCTATGTTGGGGCAGTTGCCTTGAGTGGCAGAGGCCAGCCTAAATCATTCTTCCTCGTCGAAATGGGCGCTTGCACTTGCTCTTGGCTCACTTCTACCCCTTCCGCGGAATCTCCCTCTCTTATGTCATCTTGGACTCTGGTCCTCGCCTGGTCACTGCACCCTCTTGACTTCACACAGTGATATAATATCATCCTCCAAGGCAATCGCCATCCCTTGGGACCCCGTCCGTGAGATCAGACAGCAAGCCCCGTTAAAGCGGGTGCCGTCATCTCCGATCCCACACGGTTAAGGTTGTTGCTACCCGGCGCCGGTCGTCCTTCACGACAGTGTTATTGTTTAGTTGTTTGATTGTTTGTATACAATCCAACAAACTTGGCAGACCCTATCGGCAAGCATCCAATCTCCACCAACCCGACATGATTGGTCCCCGCGGGTCAGAGCTTGATTGATCGCGGTCCAACACAAGTCCTATCATTCGACTTGGACAATTCTCTTCTTTTTGCTCGAGGATCTCGAGCCTTCAGGCGGCATAAAATCAATACCATGGTCTCGCTTGTCTCAATGTTGAATGGACCGTGTTGAGATTATAGTCTGTGCACTCAAAGGGGTAAATGAGTCTCCGCGGCCTCGGTCGGGCCAGATGCGATGGATGCAAGGATATCCAACGGTCGAACTTCCCCTCAACCTTGACCACGACGAACAAATCTCCTGAGCTTGTTAAGAGTCCTGAGATTACTGTAGTTTTGGTGATCGGCATGGCGCTATAGAAGCTATTCATGGATCTTTGCATAAAGCGCGACCCTTGCCTACGACCCCACTGGACAGGTCGGTGCGGTGGACCACACCACATCCCTCGCATGCAAAACAAAATGAGGTCTCAGTTCTGTTATGACGAACTTGGTCTTCTGAACTAGTGACAATATACACAAAATGTGTATTATGAGAGCGTCGGTCAGCCATCCCGGCTGCGGACTGGCAGCCGAGACCGCAGCACTCTCAAGTGAAAGCGTTTGACATCAATGATGCACAAAGAGATTAGCAAAGGCCGGTACAAGCTTCCGTGAACTGATACTAATCAAGTGAAACTAATTTCGCACCTTGCTGATAGGCAGTTGAGCTTATCCATATCGAGTAGACCGCCTACTCCGAAGCTTTCGACTGCCAGACTCGGGAGTTTGTATTGAGGGCCCATGTGGAAACATCCCTTGGGCGTGAATATGGACCACCCAAATTACCTGTCCACTGCGGCGGATGGCTTCGAGCTCATGCATATCGTGATTCGCTGCGGAAAGAACGAACGAAATTATGAGCACGGAGAAACTCTGTTCCCCTGATGATCGCAACTACATTGCATGTGAGGAGTTGATGCAGCAGGTGGGAGCTCATAAACAACAACGAGCAGAAGGCGTATATAATCTGCAATGAATCCAACTTCCATGTCCTGTTCTCCAGCTCCAGTCATTCATTCTATCTCGAGTCGCTCTTTCAACTTCCCACTCTTCCCTGTACACATTCATTCCCAACCAAGTCATTCTTTGGAATCTTTTCTTCACCAAACGCAAACATGAAGTTCACCGGAATCGCCTTCTCCCTCGCCTTTGCTGGTGTTGTCTCCTCTGCGGCTCTGCCCCCTGTCGGTCTCCCTAACATGTCCGGCCCTGAGGGAGCCATTGGTAAGCTCGAGGGTCAAGCCGGTAGCATCATCACCGGCGCTGTCAAGCGCCAGACCCAAGGAATCATGGATACTGTTTCCGAAATGACCAATAGTCTGCATGGTGTTAAGCGTCAGCTTCAATATCTCCAGCCCATCACCGAAAGTGTGGCTAGCTCCATGAACGGCGGTACTGGTGTTGTTGGCAGTGCCGTGGGCACTGTTGAGACCACTGTCGGAGGTGCCGCCGGCACCGCTGAGAACAGCGTCACTGGCGTCCTTGGTGGTAATCATTCCCTTCTTCAACTAGAATCTCGACTTGCAACTAATGATTTCTCCAGCTGCCAAGCGCCAGATGCACAATGGCGACGAGAAGGTCGAGGGCCCCTTGCACGAGGTTGATGTTTTGCGCCGACAGGATCCCATTCAGCCCATCTCTGAGGGTGTTGCCAGCACTTTAAACGGTGGAGCTGGTATCGTTGGTGGTGCTGTTGGTACGGTTGAGACCACTACTGGCGGTGTTGCTGGCACTGCCGAAAATACTGTCGCCAATGGCCTGGCTCGTACGTATTCAATATCTTGGATTCTCATTACTCTGCTAACCCCTCCTGAGACGTCAAGCGTCAATTCGGCAACCTTCCCGCCACCATGCAGCAGACCGGTACTGATGTTCTCGCTGGCCTCAGCGGCAGTATGTATCCTCTTAAATAACCTTCTGCATCCCATTCTGATCTATTTCCAGACCCCAGCGGCATCTATGGTGCGCTTGCCAACCTCCAAATGATTGTTGCCGCCGGCAAGCTTAACCCCTCCGACATCAACGACCCTACTGGTGCCGTCCAGCGCGTCATTGCCAACCTTGCGGTCGCATAAATCTCATAATATTTCCTAAGTCGAAATGTTTTGGGGGTTCGATCTGCATTCAAAGGTGTCATGACCTCATCTTATCGGCGCGATATTTACATTCTTGTTTTCATTTCTTCTATCCACCTTGGGCCTACATTCCACGAGTTGGCCTTCGAGAGACGTTGTATAATACTTTCACGAGCGCTTTTGCTATTTCTATATGACCCGTGCTGAACGAGCTGGGAAGTTCTCCGAGAGAATGTCTTGCTTTCTTTTCCTAATACCAAAATTTGCATTGTTTATCCCACTCAAAGTAATGCGTCCAACTGCTTAGCCAGTAGTATGTCCTTCCTAGTCACCTATATTGACTGCCCTCCCTCTACGCGTTCACACTGTTTACAGTCGTCAGGGGCAGTGACGGGGACTTCCCCCGATTCCTGAGCCAGACGCCTCATGTATGCTTCAATCAAACATTATCACTTTTATTGTATAGTCATAGAAAATCTCAGGGCCTATTGAGCAAGTATAGGATGTGCGGGTGTCGACCAACCGCGTACCATTACCCAACTTGAACATAACGATAAAATATAATGCATAATTTGCTCTAACTCCGAAGCCAGAGCAAAGCTCTCCAGTCTCCGACATGAACCTTGGAACTTTGGAAGGTAGTAATGACTTTGAGTCGGATCATTCAAGTTCAAGTTCACCTGGGCAGTCACAGCCCGGGCGGGCGCCAACATGCTATGGAGACCTCGAGAGGTGGAGTCACTGGATATATATCTGAGCCCCGGGGGCCATCCCCCTTGTAGATCTGCAGAAGACCGTGACATCCATTCCCAGGTTTTCGAAGACCACTGGTCTGGTACTTTTGGAATACCACAGCTCCTACTCGATTGTTTGAAGACTAAACACACCTAGGTACTTTGTACCTACGTATGATTGGCACCAAACATCGTAAGAATACTCCTGCTGACCTTTGGTCTTGGCGTGCCTCTGAACCAACCTTGGAAAGTCACATGATCGTGGCCCCTCGATTTGGCGGACGAAATGGTTTCACAAGCACATTCAACACAAGCGTTGGTCTCTGTCTGTCCTTAAAACTCCTCACCTCGATAAAAAAGAAAAAACTCCGAATCATTAAGCTGTGCAAAAGCTGCACAATCATCATGGCCGCCAACCAACTTTCCGACTCTGAATTTCCCTACTCTTTGTATGTGCCACCCCACCTTCATGGCCGCACATTGATCCACGAACGGGATACCAATGCGACATGTGCGATACTGATACATGATCTAGAACCATCTCCCTCCCGTTGCCAACCCATCGTCTCGCATTGTCTGCTCTACAAACCCTCGAAGTCGACGCTGAATTGTCACCATTCGTACGACGGACCTTTGCCCTCACAGCTCCCACTCAAAACGCTTCCGACGAGCCTCAAGAGAAGAAACAGAAGCAAGACCCCGAAGAGTCCAATACTGTTCTGCAGACCACCTACCGTGCCACGACAAACCGTATGCTCCGTGTCGCCGTCAATGGATTCATGGAGAGTATCGGTGTTGTCCTTGGAGTGATGGCAGAGCTGGATGTTGATGTGCTTAAGGCAGAAAGAGAAGGGTGATTCAGGCGAGGGAATTGGGTATTCGGTATCGAAATATGCCATCAAATTCGATTGGATTTGCCTACATGGTGGCTGGAATAGGTCTATGTTGCCACGTGAAAGGACACCAACGTGGTGTCCAGCCGCAACATTGAAAACGATCTGTGGCCGAGTCGCAAGCTTTCCAAAACTGAGAGTCTACCGTGTGATTTGGAAGTTGCGACTCGGCCCTTGTTGGCCATTCCTGGACTTATTGGGGAGCTCAAGCCGCGACTGGTGGAAAGTCTACACTAAGAAAGCCTCCTCGGAAATCGCCAAGACAGACTGAGGGAATTTGATGTGAACCGGAAGCAGTATACAGATCGGGGATGACCCTCCCAAAGTTGTGCGATGCGATCTGATCGTAGCCTGCAGAATTTGGTGCTAGAAGAACCAGGGACTGTGGATTCCCCTCTTGAGCAGAACGCGCGGCAACACAGCTTCCGAGGCGTCTACTAGGCCTACTACTGCCCTTATTTCCAGGAAAATAAAGTATGGATAGAATATTTCTAGAAGAACGGAGCAGAAATACATAATCCAATCAAAGAGTTATGCATAGCTATTGTTATCCGCACAAAGCGTCGATCTAGCCTCTAGGAGACCGAATAAGCTTAATAATTGGTACGGCTGGGTCCAAGTATTTCGGTGCTTAACCCTGCTGGGTAAATGCACCGCCGTCAATGATTCTTCATCCTCCAATTAGCAAACGTCTAATTCATCCGGAACGGGCGTCAAGAAAGCCGTCGGCTCATCACTCCTCCGGAATCTGGACCTGGGATCATTGGTAATATCCTAATTCCAAATCATTTCCCTGCAATGGCGCCTCGGCTGGTCCTACAAAACCACGGCCTGCGCGCCATTCTCCCTCGCCAAGTTCACCCTAAATTACCGCGGTTCTTCTCATCTCTCCCCGCTTCCTCGACGTCATTGCGATCGTGCCACCCAAGCTTCAAATCCAAATCCAAATCAATCTCCTCCACACTCCCCTTCTCTCCCTTTTCAACCCCCCCACCACCATCAAATCAGAACCATGGCCGCCGCCACCACTTTCTACGACTTCGAGCCCGTCGACAGTACGTGTCCCATCGTCCCCCTTCCCCTCGCACCCCCCTTTCGAGCGCGCGAGTTTCAGTCGCGGCGCATCTCCCTAGAGAGCCATTAGCTAACTTCGCATCACAGAGAAGGGCGAGACTTTCCCTCTCACCTCCCTCCAGGGCAAGGTCGTTCTCGTCGTGAACACCGCCTCCAAGTGTGGCTTCACCCCGCAGTTCGAGGGCCTCGAAAAGCTCTACCAGACCTTGAAGGAGCGCTACCCCGAACAATTTACCATCCTCGGATTCCCCTGCAACCAGTTCGGTAGCCAAGACCCCGGCTCCAACGATGACATCCAATCCTTCTGCCAGCTCAACTATGGCGTGACATTCCCCGTGCTCGGCAAGCTCGATGTCAACGGCAGCGAGGCCGCCCCCGTCTTCACCTGGTTGAAGGAGCAGCAGCCTGGCCTCATGGGCTACAAGCCTGTCAAGTGGAACTTCGAGAAGTTCCTGGTTTCTGCCGACGGAAAGGTCGTTGGTCGCTGGAGCAGTCTCACCAAGCCCGAGTCTCTGCAAGACCCTATCGAGAAGGAAATCGCGAAGGCCAAGGCGGCTGGCACTCTTTCGTCCTAGGCGCCTGGTTGGTCCTGAGCCTTGTCTTTAATACCAATTTCTATCTGTACCCACCCCTGACTTGTTTAATTATTGCACGAGCCAGGCTCGTGATGTATGCAGCATGCCGCATGAATAATACCCAGTAATTCATATCTCAATCCTCACAGACCAGTACATATGACGCAAATGATCGTACTTGCAACATATCGAGCTAATGCAAGCGAGCTTTCCACTTTATATGCCCACGAGCAGGTTCGTTTGGGCTAATAGGAATCGCTCCGTGATTCCACTCTATCTTGTTTCGGTAGTTGCTTTAATTTCCGCCCCCGGTTCGGGCCCCAAGCGCGCCCCGCTCCTCGGGTTAGGCGTCCCACGCTGTGACCGATCGAGTTAGAACTTGCGATGCTTTGAAGATTGTATATCATAGCTTCAAGATTGAATAATATATAAGAGTGCATACAGATGTCTTTCTCTTTCACTTGCAAGAGCTAGATCCTTCTAGCTTCGGGCCAACATTTGATTCCAGTCATCAAGGATTGAAACTACACCCATAATGTGTGGAATTAGCGCTGTTCTTTCTCTTGGCAGCCATCCTGCATCTTCGAACCAGGAGCACGCATTGGCCCTGGATGATGAACTTAATGCAAGTCTAGATCTTGTTCAACACCGTGGACCTGATGCTCGTGGTACATGGACTAGTGATGATGGCAAAGTCTGTAAGTGTTTGTTATGAATTGGACCGTCCTGGACAGGGACTCTGTCTCACACACACCAAGATACTGATTTATTTTGATTTGTTTTGTAGCCCTCGGACATGTCCGACTATCTATCGTTGACCTGAGCCCGGAAGCAAACCAGCCATTCCATGACAGCGTTAACGATGTTCATGCAATCGTGAATGGAGAGCTTTACGACGACGAATATTACCGAGATCTCCTGGGTACCGAATACGATTTCCGCAGTCGAAGTGACTGTGAGATTGTCCTGGCTCTTTACAAGCACTATGGTCTATCATTTCTATCCCACCTCCGAGGTGAATTCGCTTTGATCTTGTGGGATGCTCGCAGAAAGGTATTCATTGGCGCGAGAGACCGTTATGGAGTGAAGTCACTCTACTATACCATCGTGAACAATCAGTTACTGGTGGCGACTGAAATGAAATGTTTCCTACCATTTGGTTGGAAGCCTGAGTGGGATATTCAAGGTCTTCGAGAGTGTGGTTGGGTATTTGGTACTGGGACAATGTTCAAAGGGGTTCAATCGGTTTGTGGCACTTCTATAGTGTTTCTCGAGAGTCTTTCTGATGATCTTTAGGTTGCTCCGGGTCATTACATTCTAAGCCGCAACTTCAGCCCTATCAAAGACGCAGTCTACTGGGATGCCGAATATCCAGACAAGGTAGGCAAACCTTGGAAATATTGGCTAAATTCATACAAACTCAGACCTTGGACGCTAATTAGTATTCATCCAGAATACCCCCGAGCTTCGATCAGAATCTGAGATGACAGAGGGTGTGCGAAGTCGTCTTATGGAAGCCATCAAAGTTCGACTTCGTGCTGACGTGCCCGTGGGAATCTATCTCAGTGGTGGAATTGATTCGTCAGCGGTCGCCGGAATGGTAGCTCACCTCGTCAAAGAAGAGGGAGCTCGAATGGGCAATGACCAGAGTCATCTTGTCTCCCGGATGAAGTGCTTTACTGTACAGTTTGATAAAGATAGTGGTGCTGACGAGTCAGGTACGAATTCCTCCACATTTAATTATCTCCGTCACCAGGATATTGACTTTATCAGATATTGCACAGCGTACCGCCGAGTGGCTCGGTGTCGAATTTCATCCTGTGCCTATCACCGAAGAAACTATCGTATCTAAATTTGAAGATACCATCTGGCATAGTGAAGTGCCCCTGCCCGACACAAACGGTATCGGGAGACTGGCCATGGCTGAAGCTGCGAAATCTCAAGGAATCAAAGTGATATTAACAGGTTTGTCTTTTTCAATTATACTGGCTGATTTCTCAAGCTGAGAAATTTTACGTCTACAGGAGAAGGATCCGACGAGCATTTTGGAGGATATAAAGAATTGGCCAACGACTTCTTGCTTGAAAGCGATCCTTCTTGGTCTCCCTCTCTGACCAGGGCAGAGCTCGCAGAAATTCAACAACAACAATGCGGTCCCGATCATGCAGCATATCTGGCCATCAAAGCTGTCAGATCGCTGCCAGAGTCGACCTGTAAAATGCTTAACAACATCTCGGTTCTTACGAAGCTCGCGCTAGTCTCCCGCCTACCATTCGCTTCATGGACTGAGCCTTTTACGGCTACACACCCTGAAACCGCTCAGGTAGAGGGTCTCGACGGGCGAGTTCGCGACTTAATCATCAACCGCTGGCATCCACTGCATACAGCGGAGTATATTCTTACGAAAGGCCTTTTCCCTAACTTGCTGCTTCGGTATCTTGGAGACAACGTCGACATGGTCCACCACGTTGAAACTAGACCCCCGTTTCTAGACCACCATCTCACCGCATATGTCAACAACCTACCGCCTAGCTTGAAGATCAAATGCTCGCTGCCAGATAAGTCTTTGACCGAGAAGTACATCCTTCGAGAAGCAGTGCGCCCTTTCGTTACCGATGAGATCTACAAGCGGCCAAAGAAACCGTATGTTGGACCAGCGAAATTTCCCGAGAACGGGCCTTTGCATCAGTTATTCTTGCGCTTGATTTCTCGGGAAAATGTGGAGGCTCTTGGATTTTTGGACTGGACAGCAACCGAACAGCTTGTCAGTAAGGCGTTCAGGGATCAGAACCCGCTATGCTTCCGAGCTGCATTCCAAATTTGTCAAATGGTGGTCATCTCGCAAAGATTCGGAGTTGCCAAAGCTAGTGCCTGAGCTTTTGAAAATGGGCACCTGGGCAGGCGATGTTTTTCCTTGAACCCCAGCCTTCAAGTTGGAAGGGGATTATGTTTCTATGCATAACAAGAGAGATGTCTAAATGCAAACATTCAAGGAGTAGCAAATGTGGCGCTATATTCATCCTCAAACTACGGAGCATCTCGTGTCTCTCAAGTACAGGCATATTGAACAAATTTTTGGCAGAGTCCTTTGTCAAGTATCGAAAAAGAGATCTATTGATTGTCATTTTGCATATTTATCGTAGCATAATCTATAAAGGTTTTGATCATTCAGGAGCATTCCATCTCCAGATAGAGTAATTTAATTAGGAATGAGTCCAAGACCATTCGCTAATCCAGCAACAATCTCGTAGAATGCCCAAGCTCCCGGGTCCGGTAGCTCTTGGCTCGACGCCTCTCCGACGTATGTCGCTCTTCCAAATTTAGCCTTGAGATATCTTGTTGCCTCTGCATTCTCTGCAGCTACCTTAACTGCGGACACAAAGTCATTTGTCTCGGAGAACTTTGCGTCAAAGGGTAGGAGAACGTCCATGACAGTTCTGTCCCCTTCCCGTGCTCCAGTATGAGACTTTAAAGCTGTCACCGCGGATGCCAAGGCTGCGGCATAGAATTGTGATGTAGAAGGGCTTAGCTTTCCTTCGGACAGATTAGTCCTCAGAGCTGTCGCTAGGGCTGATAGAAGAACTCCAAAGATTGCACCAAGAGTTCCTCCCATGTCGTCAACGTCTTGTAAAATCGAGCGAATGACTTCCAGCACATCGCCGGAGTGTGTGCACCCTTTATCAACCCTGAGCAAGATAGATTCAGCCAGGCCTAGAACAGCCTCGCCGCAGTCTCCATCGCCCATGACCATGTCCCACTGCGTCAAATTTGGCTCTGCCGAAATTGCTCTTGAGCATGCAGCCCTTAAAGCTTTCTCTAGTCGAGAAGAGTCGAATTTAATGCTCGCAGAGGTGGTTTTCTGTACATTTTCTTGGGCATCGATGGGTTCGAGGGATATTTTCTTCTGGGAAGAAGAGGGGCGAGTGGTATTGGGCCAAGAGACGGCAGTTGTGGCGCTATCAAATTGGCGAATCAAGGTAGCGACGGATTCATTTGATTGCTGGGCTGCGGCAGTAAGGTTGCATAGAGAAATCGAGAAGCCCGGTGCATTGAGAGAAGTCTCGAATGCACCAAATAAGGCCCTGCAAGGTTTGATATTCCAGCGTGAGCTCAACTGGATTTGGATTTCATCGGCCAGGGCAGATAATTCGAGGACGGAAAGACCGCCGTAATTGTTAATCAGCAGTCCGACTTCATCATTCGTCTCAAACTTGGCAAATGCTCTTTCCGTGTCGGTTTCATCACAGAGAAGCTTGAGGCACCACCCAATGATCTCTTCAACTGATGGGGCGGGAGAAATGTGAAGTTGTCCGGGCTCATTGTGGATTCCGGCACCAATAACGACCACATCGTCTGGGACGGTTGACTGTTGGGTTCTACCTGGAACATGGCAGTGGTCGAGCGCCGATGCAATCGTGACCGTGTGACCATTGACGGCCTGTCCAAGCGCAAGGCATTGCTCGAAGGAGTAACCTTCCGCGGCGGCAGCACCGATAATTTTCATTGCTGCAGTCCGAGTCCATTAGCCGTCCGTAATTATCTGAATAAAGAAAAGAAACTTACTGAAGACATGGCCAGGGAGACCTCGCCTTCCCATATGGCTGTTTTTGCTTCTTCCAATTGACACATCATCAGTCGCATGCAAGATCGCAATGTTTTCAACGAGGCCATCGGCCTTGGCCCTTTCCGCTGCGAGTCCGAAGTGAAGGCGATCGCCAGTATAGTTGGTGATCAAGAGAATAACACCCTTTTTGGAGGGTGCCATGCGAATAGCAGTCAGGATCTGCTTTGCACTTGGTGATGCAAAAATATCACCACATGCAACAGCTGAGAGCAAACCATCTCCGACATAGCCACTCCATGCTGGCTCGTGTCCCGATCCTCCGCCACTGATGATACTCACTTTTGAGTCATCATGATAGGCATTGGCAACGACTCGCTCACCAAAGTTCAAGCTTAGATGATCGTTTGCAGATACGAGAGCTCTTAGCCCTCTGGGA